CTTGTCATTGAAATTTGGACTAAACTAACGGGAAAACAATAATAATCAACTTTAGTCATCTATATTATTCACGTCCTCCATCTAAATTGTCTGAATTAACAATTCAACTTAATTTAAGAAACTGAAGCTAAATGACGACCCATTTTAAACCACACTAATAACGTTGCTAGAGCCTAGAGCCATATATAAAGAACTACATATATGTTGGTTCGAGCCTTTAACCATTGGTCAAGATTTTATTTCAATATATAGCTTATGATGTTAGCTATATTTTATTTCAGTACATAATATCCCGACACGGTATGATCATTTTGATTAGGTTGCTCCAAATTAAGCAAAAACCACCCTCAAAACCCCACAGCCTGACAGCCTGCAAATTCCCATAAATAGGGATGACAATGGGGCGGGTTCGGAACGGGTTTGTCTAAACCATCTCCATCCCCATTTTCAAATATCCAAACCTATACCCGCCCCATACCCATTCCGGGAATATTTTGTAAACCCATCCCCATACCCGTGGGTTTCGGGTACCCATGGGTAATACCCGTACTCGTACATCCAACATTATTATATCTAAAACTTACAAGAAATTTTTTAATTATAACTCTAAACAAACCTATAATATCATGAAGTCAACAAAACACAGTCATTTTCTTAATACGGTTCAAAGTATATGATCTTAAAACATCCATGAATACATAATATAGAGTATAATATTTTTCAAATTATTATATTTTGATTCTGATGCATCTATTAAGTAATAATTAACTAACATAATCTTGTTGACAAGGGGGAAAGTGAAAATAGTGAAATGAGAATTGAGGGAAATGAATTAGATTTTGATTAAAGTGGTCACTCAATTGCATTTTTACTATTTATTTCCTCGAGTTATCCTCATCACCATTGATAGATTACAATTTAATCCACATATTTTTTTATATGTGAATAAATTCTCTTGGTGGGGAGGGTATGGGTATGAGTATCGGGTGGGGGAGGCCAAAACCATACCCGCCCCATACCCATCAAACTTTTTGCGGGTTTTGCCCATACCCGGTCAAAGCAGGAATTCCCCACATTGACTGGGTCGGGGGCGGTCGGGTATTCGCGGTAATGGGTTTGATTGCCATCCCTACCCAGAAATGGTGTATGTGGTAATAATCATTCCTTTTTTTTTTTCCAAGTTAGGGTTTTGGCTCAATTATCATGTCACCAAATTTCCTCAACGGTGAAAGCTTAGCATTCAATTCAGGGGAAAGGTCTCTGTAAATCATTCCACTCTGTAAATAATCAAACTCACAGTCTCTCTCTCACGCATACGCCTTCGGCCTTGCAGTGACTGATCGAAGAGTACGATTCTCCCCTTCAACCACGGGCTCCTTGTCCCAATTCGTTTGCTCTCTAGCTTGCTCCATGCAGCTTGCTGCTGCAGCCCTTTTAATTATCTTCTTGCTTCATTCGGGCTGAAAGTTGGGAGACATGAACTAGCTATAGCTAGCTCGACCCCACATACATACTCGAGGAAGATAGACGCATGAACGGTTCGAAGATGGTTTCTTTTCGTTGCTCTTGATCGTATAAAGTTGGGTTCTTGTAGGTACAAATGGCTGGTAACTAGAAGAGACTCCAGAAGACGATCTAGAACTGGGTCAATCGCGTTTATTATAAGTGGACAATAGAGTGGTGCTTGACACGCTAATCCTGCATACGAGAGTCGGCTCGAGATTCTTAATGGCCTTGACTCATGTTGGGTCAGCTCAAAAAGTGGAAGGGCAGATGAAACGATGACCTTTACTTTCTTTCCTAAACTTGAATTTGGCTAAAAGCAGAGGAAGAGTTCCATTCCTCGAATTTTAGGCGGGATGGAAATTGTAATTCTTGTGCTGAAAGACTGGCATTCCTTGGGGAATTAGGATTGTTATGCAGGAGACTCACTCACAAAAGTCTCTTGTAAGTTGTAACACTAAATCCAAAAGGACTATATAAACCAATTAAATGAGTCACAGACAACAGGAAAGGCAAAATGGAAGGTGGCAAAATTAATAGTCAATCTTGCTTTCGCTTTCCTTGAGACATGCAATAATCGGCCAAAAGAACACAAACAACAATTAATTAAAAGTAGTTTAGGAGACAATTAATTACTTAAAATAGAGCCTGCTATTTCCAATTGGCATAATTTTTTTTTTTTGCATTACAGGAGGCGAAACTCGCCAAAGAAGAGAGGAGGAGGGAGGCTAAGAGGGAAGGGCAGGGCCGAGCGTTCCGGGAACAATCCGACGCTCGAAACACACCCCCCTAACATCATCCTGCAGAATGGGACCTAGCCCTGAGGGCGGGTTAGCAAGCTCATGCATTCCGTAGGGATAGACGAGACTGTGCTTCGAGAGCCAGTCCGCGGCTCTATTCCCTTCCCGGTACGTATGAGAAATGCTCACCAGCCAGTCAAGGCTAAGCTTCCTCCGAATGGCCAAAAGAAGAGTAGAATAAGGATGGACAGGATCATGTCTTTTCTCAATAAGCTGGATGGCCAGCTGAGAGTCAGACTGCACGATGACAGTTCGGCATCCTTCTTTCCAAGCTAGATCAAGCCCATAGTAAAACGCCCATAATTCTGCCAGAGCCGCGGTTGCCGAGCCAATGCTGGCCGTGAAGCCGGCGATCCACTTCCCTGAAGCATCTCGAAGGAGACCACCCGCTCCGGCTTGACCCGGGTTCCCGCACGAAGCACCATCAATGTTTAGAGCTATCCATCCTTCAGGGGGTTGTTTTCAGGGGGTTGTTTCCATCCTTCAGGGGGTTGTTTCCAATTGGCATAATTAAGGATAAAGAGAAACGGTTACAAAGGAGGAATATAAATCTCGGTTAGCATGCTAACCCTCTTAGGAGTTGGAAGAATGACACCCCTGGGTATTAAATACAATTATAGAATTTAATACACACATTAAATACACATTAAGAATTAAATGCACCATATTAATTATTTTTTTAAATTAAAACCTACACTAAATACATTCTCTCTCCATATATCTGATTTTTCCTTTTTCATTAGCCTCCGATCACCAGGCTTCCTCCGACCGCCACACTTCTCCGATGAAAATCCCATCGGCAGACTTCCTCCGACCACCTGCAAAACAATACCACTGCACTGATACGTTGTACCACTGCACTGGTAGCGATATCAGTGCACTGGTACCAATGTCATATCTGAGTATCGGTGCAGTGGTACGAATACCAGTACAGTGGTACAACATATCAGTACAGTGGGATATGTTCGCAGGTGACCGGAGAGAGTCTGTCGGCGCGATTTTACCGGCGAAGTGTGGTGGTCGGAAGAAACTTGGTTGTTGGAGGCTGTTGGGAAAGGAAGAATCAGAGGTAGGAGTGAGAAAGATTAAAGATGAGAGAGATAATTGTATTTTGTATATGTTTAGATTTTTTTTAAAAACAAGTAATTAATGTGGTATATTTAATACTTACTTTGTATTTAATAACAGAACATTTATTATGTTTACTTTCATTAATACTTGTCAATGAATAATGAAAAAATTGACCAATTGAGAAGGAGTGTCAAAAAACCAACCCCTTCAAAAGTAGGCATAGCTGAGAAGTGGTTAGGCAATTAATTAGGTGAATGATTTCTAGATAGTCGGCAGTCTTAGAGCTTTCAAAGATCAAAACCCATTATTAATATCCGCCGATTAATTAATTAAGTAGCCTAGCTGAGAGATTGGTGGTAGAACGGCTGAAAGCCATTGAGGAGGTGCCTTTGGATTGTGAAGTTCATTAAGGGTTTATCGGTTTAATTTTATCCGTTAAAGAGAAACTAATAAGTCTATAATAATTTTTGATTTCGGTTAAAACCAAAAGATCAAAACCGACCCGTCACCCTTATTAAGAAAACACGAGACAATAGATTTGAGACTCCTTCAATGAAGTGTTTGCACTTTGAATAGGGCAGATTATGGTGAATTTGATGGAGGCCTCTTAAAGTTGTGTAGGACTGGACTAATACGCGTATAAGACTAGAGCATTCGAGTTGTAAGAGAATAGGTAAACGAATTAGTAATCAGATTAGTCAGGATTGATCTCAATGGTTTCGTTCGTGCATAAATTTTTGATACCAATAGTTAAAGTTCTCGTCTTTTGAATCAACAGACTAAGGAGTTCACACATTTACGCATTAAGTCAATCATATGAAGTCAATGTAATGTACTCCTACTAATACAAGTTTTCTATTTCATTCACCATTGAACCCACTTTTTGTTTAAGGTATGAATCTTGCGAGGGAAGAGTGAATGGTTTAAGAGCATGAACAATAAGTCAAAAGGAAGAGGAAGAAATCAAGGAACTCTCGTCATAATCAATGTATTCACCCTCTCTCTCCATCTCACTAGCATTGTTAATTTATTGATTATATGAAGGAAGAAGGCATGATTATTGTTAATCATAAAAAGAAAGATTTGAGTATGGTCCATTTCTCTATGACTATTCCTTTTTCCAAAATTTCGAATTGGGCTTTTGGTGGGTTGGTTCCCATAACCAATAAAAGTTACTCAATTGGCCACTCCAAGAAAACTTTGTACTAGTCAACATGTGGGAACCAATGATAGCACGCCATTGTCTCTCTTGTGTAGTACTCAATAAGTATATGATAAGTCTTGATTAATAAGGTATTATGATGATATGATTGATGATTCTTTGAGGTGGGAGATGTGAGGAAGTGTGGTTAAGAAAGTATCTTATCACATGAATTGATTGAATTGCAGATATCTTGTGGATAAGGTTGTTTTCTATCTACTTATCTTGAAAGGTTAATTATATTAATGTAAGATTCGGAAAAAAATTGTCTCTAGTTGAAAAGTATACTAGTATATATCGTCAGTCTACAAGGTCTTTTCGATAAATCCGATATTTTTTATATAATCCAACAAGGTAAAGCTCGTTTAAGCATATAAGTGTATCTATGTGATGCAATTAGTTAATCCATTAATTTGTGTTTCCCTTGTCATTGTCATGATTAATTAGTAAAAGTAAAAGTAAATAAAGCGCAAAATGCTAGCTAATTGAGTCAACATATATATATACCAAACTATGGTATCCTGAGTGACCTAGAGTACTCATCACAAATAATTGCACCAAATTTAATATTCTTACTTCCATAACCTCCTGAAATAATGTTGTGGCGGAAAAATATTTTTTGAAGGGCAAATAAAAGTTGGAATGAATAATGAGTAGAAATGGTGGAAAAGTTTACCACGGTTTTGTGAAACCATGTACGAGGTCTGACTGGAATTATTGAAGGTTAAATTGATAAGTGATTTTTAGCAATATTAATTATTGAATTATGATTGAGCACAAAATATCCTACTTCTAATATAATCTCTACTATGATTTTACAATCTTTAGTTAATCAAGCATTGAGCAACGAGGTAGGAAGGAACAGAAGGAAGCCACGGTCAAGCTAGATCCATACATAACATAAGGTGTAGATATGTTAACATAAAAAATATGATAAAAATGTACAGGTTCAGTGGTGGAGTTAGGTTAAAGCGAGGGACTATAACCCTCTCTCAATTTTGAATATAGGTAAAAATTAGATGCAAAATTCGTAACAAATTTAAGAAATAGAGTATTCGGTAAGGTTTTAGCCCCTCCGACCTCCACAATTACAACATTTCAAATAAGCTATTCTTATTCACACATCTGGCTCCATCACTGTATTGGTTGTAATTGTTGGGTTACCTATTTCAATATCTAATAGTCAATTTGAACATATTTACATTTTGGTGGCTACTTTGAAATTTCTCCATAATTTTTATTAGGGATGAATGCACTAGCTTTTTTGTTTTGTTTTCTTATGGTGACATACATTAAAATTTAAATAACCACTTAGTTTGTCACTAAACATGACCAATTATTCCGGCGTCCAATTGGGTAAATACGAACAAGCATTAATCGGCAAGATCGTCGCCGGCGTAGTTGCTTTTTTCTCCTGAGGAGGATCCGGTTATTATTTTATGGAGACGTATTTTCTTATAAAAAGCAAGTAGTGCAATGATGAAGCAATCAACTAGCATTTAGGAATATTCCCATTATTATCGCACAAACAAATTAAAACCTTGTTTGGATAGAGAATTTATGATGAGCAAAACTAGGCATCGCATATAATGTACATGAGCGCTTTTAGAAATATTGAGCTTTTCAAATTCCAAAGATTACACATCTATCATAATGAAGATCGTTGTGAAATTGTTAGAGCTCGATTTCTCATTTTCAGAATTTCCATTTAGAACAAGCTCTAATTCTTCCATTTTCTCATAACCCTAGCCTCACATTCTATCGTTCGATGAATCCTCCCATATAAAAATTTCGGTACTGCAAATACATATTGTTAGCAATATGCTCATTTCAACAAACCAATTGTTAGAACGGATTGGGTAATGGGCAATGCAAGAAAGTAAAGAACACACAAATAATTTACGTGATTCACTAACACAATGTGTGTTAGCTAATTCATGGGCATGAGAGAGACAATTTCACTATAATTGAGAAGATACAGATTACAGAGAAATATGAAAAGTATTTATAGTAATTCTTCAAAGTGCATACGACCTAACCCTAATCCAATCTGGTAAATAATAAAGCTACAAAAACCACATCAGTTTCACTATACAACGAATTCCCATAACTTCCAGATAATAACGACAGATAATCTGATTCAAATCTTATCAACACCATCATCGACCTAAACAATGTCCTAAAAACTCCCAAGGCCATCAGGAAACTATAACCACCCATCTCATGCTTAATCATGAAACCTAGCTAGTTCCCTCAAACCAAACCGGCCGCCATACTTTCACTTGATTAAACCTCTATTTATTTCCAACTAATGAGAAAATTAAACCCTTAAACGTCCCTTAATTCTGTACGGGATTTTTTTTTCCAGTATGATTCGATTCCATACATCAACCTGTAACACACTTTCCCTCATTTAAATATTAAAAAGGTGACGATTAACAAAAAAATAAAGGGATCAATTCTCTCCACATTATTACCAACTCATTTCCACGGATTTGTCAGGATTTGCACCAAAGCTCCACAGATTTGATTCGTGTCAATTAATGGCTGGACTAGTGGAAGAATGATTAGCAGTTCATTGGTGATTAGTTGGGTATTAGTGAGATCACGAATCTCAAATTAAGAACCTCCAGCTGAGTACATTATAATGTTTATTCGTAATTAGTACATAAGCAAGCCTGTTAATTACTTTCCAGGTGCCCGCCACTGCGTTAATTAATATAATGCATCTTTGGACTTTGATTTATGTAATTAACCTTAACGACAGAATGGGGAAGAAGTGGAAATGGAATTTGGGGGTGAAAGTACATGTGGAGATTCAAATGGAGGAAACGTTGCAAGGAACTAATGGTACAAGATTCACTATTGGATCTATTGTAATAACTCGAGTTATTAGGACTGACGGGTGACATGATACCAGAGTATATTATTTTATGTTGAAATACTAGTAATTAACGATCTCAAATATTAAAAGAGGCGATAAAAGCATATAGTAACATTCGGGTTAATTGGTTTAGTTAATTTGGTCATATATGAAGAAGAAGAAAAATACTCAATCCATACCATGATCTAGTATCCAAGACACAACTTCGTTAGCAAGTATTATTCATGTTTATCGTGTGCAGGGGCGGAGCTAGAGTTATGAGAGGGGGTTCAATGGCACCCTTTTGATTTGGAGAATACACAAAACATAGTAGTATAAACATACCAATAATGAAATGTGAACCCTCAAATTTTAATGCTAATTGCCAACTATTTACCATCACAACCACAATCACTTATATAACCTAATTCTACTCACAAATTTCTAGAGTAATATAGTATAGTTTATCACAATGGGTAAGACTGGTGCATATTAATAGAGCAAAACATTAAACTTTCTATGATGACAGGAAAAAAATTGGTTTCCGTCAATATATTTGTTTATGTAAACTATGTTTAGTTTGTTGCTTCCTTCAGTCAACAAACTAAACACATGTTGATATAAAATTTTTAGCAATGCAACAGTTGACCAACCTTCAAATCGAGCAAAATGAAATTGTGAATGGTTATTTGAAGGGATAAACATTAAGAGTGAAATTTTGTTAGTTTGAAAAATTAAGTAGTTTTAGAATAATTTCATGAAATCAAACGCGACTCTCTGCCTTTACATCCAAGAGTTATGTAGCTAAATGGAAGCTAACTAGTAAAGGAGGCTTAGCCATAGTATAGCTTAACTAATTACCACCTAAAAGTGTTAATTATAAAGGACTATGCATTAAGTATATGGTTAGCATGTGTAGGAGTGAGATTTTTTTTAACAATGAGAGTGAGATTATTAGTTAGTGATCATTTGGGATTTGCATGCTTTTAATTATTTAATTTTGTTGGACCACTTAGTTAGCTTTAATTAATCTTTCTTCCATGCCTTTGGCCCCCAACGTGATGCCCTCTTTTTGTCCTTAATCCTCATTTCCCACACACTTAAGCTTCTCTAAGTTTGTTTGATATTTAACTAATCCATTTTTCTCCTCTAAACTTTGATTAAACTAGTTAAGATGATGGATAATTAGTTGGTAACTTTTCTTCCTTTTTGTCAAAGCTATAGGGTATTACCCTATACACGCAAACCAATTTTGATTGTCAAGTCATACATAAAGAACAAGGATGCCCTAGCCTTTTGTTTTATTTTATTGAATTTGTTCTAAGAGCATATACACCCTTAATTTTGGTTGCACAGCAATATGATCATAATCGTCATTTTGATAGTTATATTTGTATCAAAACCATCTCAATTAACCTTTAGTTGTATAACAATGAACAAAACAATTGTTAGAGCATTCTCAAATTCAGAACGGTTTGCAACAAACCTCACGAGGAGGAAATTAAGATTCTAGCTAACTCCTCACCGCAACTAGCTTGAGCATTCTTAAATTCAGAACGTTTTGCAACAAACCTCATGAGGAGGAAATTAATATTCTAACTCCTCCTTGCAAAGATGTGTGATGCTTATCAATCATGGATACGTGCCAAATACAAAATCTAACAACAAAGTCGTTAATTCGCGTAATTCATTTTTATATATATATTTATTAAATATTCATATCATCATACTTACTCGACGATACAAAAGGTGAAAGCAAGGGGTAGTGAAGATTAAAGGGAGCTGGATATTGACACAAAGATTCGTTTGTTATGCTATTGCTATCAACCGTACAAAATTTCTGTTTCTGAGAAAAATGTTGGAATTTGACAAATGAAATGCATTTGTTTTGCTCATTTTTTCAAACTATTTTACTCACCCCATTGACATATATAACCTGACAATTTTCTGAAATGACCACCAATAAATGCACCTACTAATCACACACTAAACCAGCTTAATTAGTCCAAGAAAAAAGAGGTAGGACCCCCCTCCCCAACCTCTACAAAAGGTGAAAAGATTTGAAATCTAAATCGTATCTAAGGTCGCAAACGATTGATTGGTCTGGTTAGAAACAAGTTAATTCGTATAAAACTTATTTTTTATAAGAAAAAATTGAAGGAATGTTTAGGAGTTTTTCCATGTCTACTCGGTTTTTTCTTCCTTGTTGTCGATTGGCTCACAAAGTTGAGAAAAAGGACTGAGAATGAGTGGTGGCATGTGTTTCCTGAATTGATGAATTTGTGTCTAGAGATACGTTACAAAAAGGATCTTAATATGTAGACATTTTATATCGAATCTCACTACTCACTTGGGAAAATGTAGGCAGAACCATACAAAAATTAAAAAACAGAAGACAAGAAAAATCTCTGAAATACGACGTTTAGGTGAGCAAGAATATGCTAGCATGACGAATATATATACAGACTTCACAATCCGATTAATGTTTGTTATAACAGTATTTAACCATTTCTCCTAACCAACCCTTTTGGTAAAGACAGACCGTTAACCAACAAGTATTTTAGGTTTGTTGATGAAATTTACAATTACATGGATTCTACAATACACACATTGCTTCCCGGGTGTGTTTGTTACTTTGTTTAGAAAAAGTTTGGCTTGGTCGGCCCGTGTTAGGATTTTAGGCTTTCTTCAGCCCAACTGAACCATTCTCAAGTTGGCAAGTGAGGCCCACTTTAACCATCGGCCCGCTGAGATCGTAAGCATGTGGTTTACTATAAACTTAACCGACTCCCATACTTTCTTAAGCCCATGTTTTCCTTGCTTCCCACTTCTCATTTTCTTCTGCTTCATTTCAAGATCGAGTTTTTACTGCAAAGATTACCAGTTTTTTACTAATATACAAACCTGGTACACATATGATGATGCAACAACCAGTGGTTGTTGTTCTACTGTTATACATCTCCACTATGGATTATTGCCAGTGATCTATAAAACAAGATCCCAGTTGCAGTTTTATCAGAACTACAAACATTCCCCCCAGTAAAATTGATCTCCCACCTTTGCATTTTCACATGATGGGTAGATCTGTACAACTATTGCATACACAAACACATGCTAAAAGAAACAGTAGCCAAAACTATATCTCTAATCACTAGAAGAAAAAAACTGCTCGTTCATTGTTGTATTGAACTTGCTGTCCCAGCTCTTAGCACCGAACGATGGACCGAAAGCTTGATGGTGTGCCGCTGTTCTGACATGTAAACGTCTTTGCACTCCTCAAGATCCGCATCACACGTGAGAAGCACCCACTCGTGATCGTCGTCCAAGTACTTGAGATCGATTCTGCAGGTTGTATCGACATTGAACCGGGACAGAAGCTCTTGCTGCAACTCCATGAACCCCCAGCTGGATGGCAAGCTGAAGCGGATCGTGTCTTCTCCGAAAGAGGCCTTAACACGGAAAGCATTCCCTTCTCTCAACCTCCTGCAACCGGGTTTAGGACAGTCTGCCAGCATCCTGTGGCTCTGTGATCGGGAAAGATGGTGCTGCCGTGTTGGTTCCTCGTGACGGTTCAATACAAGCAATTCTGCATCGCTGTGTGTTCTCTTGAGCAAACTGGTTGGGTCTTCGGTTAGAAAAAATGCATTTTGCTGGCATGAACTACAACCTGAGCTTTGGCTGCTGGACGTGGATGCTGATTTCGAAGCGGTTGCTGCTGCTGTTACATTGTAGAGCATGCTGCTATCGGGTTCCTTCGGAGATGTCAAGTCGGGGAAAGCAGTGTAGAAGGAACCGATTTGAATGGAGCCTTCTGCACCTTGCACCGAGTCGATTACAAGTTGGAGCTTCTTCAGAGTGTGGCCAACCTTCTTGATCTTACGAGAAGGCCATCGGTTGATGCCATATCGCCTGCATATCCTTTTCAGAGTAGTGGGGCACACTGCAAATGAAGAGGTTAATGGTTTAGTTTAGTTGTAAATGATCTAATAGAAAGTGTAGTTTCTAGCAATAGTTTGTACTGGGGCAAGGAATTGTGCACTAATGGAGTAATCAAAGACAAAAGTTACTGACTAGTGACATCTATGTGATTGACACCTAATCAATCTATGGTAAAAATCAAATTCCTGAAAAGAAAAGAAGAAAAAAAACTTAGTAACTAACTACAGCATATTATATGCTTCTTACCACCAAGACTCTTAGCAGCATCTTTAAGGCTCCCAGCAAAGTACTGCCTCAGCACTTCCAAGCTAACCGTCTTCTCGGTTTTGGTCGGTCTCTTCTCGATCGTTCTTCTAATACTGCTCGATGATTGATGTTTGATAGAGACAGGCCTATGGTTCATCTCTTTCTGATTGGTCTGCCAGTATCTCGTTACCTTAAACTCCTCTTGAGGTTCTTCCTTTGCACATTCCTTTGAGAAAGAAAAAGTGTCACCTTTCCCTTGAGCCTCCATAAATCGGCTTATCCAAGAAGACTCTTCTGGAACTGAAGCTTGCTGGTCCATCTCTTCTTCTACCTCTTTCTCCATTACAACACGTAAGCTACGAGAAGCCTGCTGAACAGTCAGGGGAAGCAAGTCTCGAAGCTTCTTTCTCTCTTGGCAATCCTTTGGCAAGAAGAACTCTAGCACGAAATCGGCTGGACCACCAATTTGACTCTGTAGTGGGATTGCCACAGCAGCGTTTAAGCCGAATACCATGGCCTGGTGAGAAAGGGGATAGGTTGACTTGCTGAATGCCGTGACATCATTTGCGAAGCATTGTTTGTTCGTTGTGAATGCTTTGCCAACGATTCCTTGGCCGAGGAAAAGGTACTGCTCGGAGCAAGCAGCAAGGAACCCGAGGAATTCGGTGTCGGCCACGGAGCAGGCTTTGTCCACGGAGGAGATGTAGTGAGCATAGCTCTCGTTGAAATGGCGGCATCCACCTTTTCCCTGCCTAAAACATGGGGCCCATGTTAGAGCTAGAGGTAGCTTGTGAGTTTTGCAGACAGATGCCAAGATGTCTTGCAGTTCAGGAACTGCGGCTTGACAGAACTCCTTACAACCCTGTTTAAAGAAAGCTAAGTAATATGACATCAGTTGGTTATAAACAAGGTTAAGATGGTTAAAACATGGTGTATATTAGTTGTGGTTACCTTTACACTAGGAGGGACAAAGTCGTTTGAACTGCTTAAATCAACAGCCTGCAGTCGAGACCAAGCTCATTAGGAAAGAAAATGCAGAAAGTTCATATGCTAATATGACTTTCTAGAGACAATTGACCTCCATAAAAGGTAGAAGTTCTTCCATGAAGACCATAAACAAGAACGTAGAAGCTATTTCATGAAGCAGCAAGATGCAAATTTCAAGTTTAAGAATGCTACATGATCATCGAAATAACAAGAACACAATCCGAAATTGAGGTCCATGTGAGGTGTATCTAAGATTTAATGGGCAAAAGCGCATTTCATCGTTAGTTTTCCATTAAATTTGTTATCTTTCTATCTAAAAGTATATCACTTTGGCCATTTTACCATAGTAAAATTGCAAGATTTATAATAAGTAAACATTTCTTATCTGCAAAATGAAGCATAGCATAAGAAATTAAATGATGTACATTAACTTTAATGAATCCGATTAAGTAACAGCTGCTGAAAATAGATCAAAATTGAGAAGGAAAAACAAAAATAGCTACAGCATTTTGCTCAAGATTTGAATGAGTAAAGCTTCTGAGTTATATAACCAATGGAAGACCGAAGAGGAAGATAGAAGAGACAACCTCAAGAGCTTTGCAGACATTCTCTAGTTCAGGGCGGTACTTGATATCTCGGGTTGTTGTTATAACCTCAACAACCCCCAAGCAACTCCCACTGCTACGCTCAAAAACAGGAAATGCAAGAGAGCCACAGATGCTATATTGAGTGGCATATTTTCTTCGTGGGTACTCCTCGGTCTTGAAGTACCGAACATCTGGTGTCCACTCTGGCAACTTCCCCAAGAAAACTCGACCTGGTAGTCCAACCAACTCCTTGGAATCCACCTCAGCTCCAAAGTGATATTCTTTTGAGACATCTCTATAGCTAGCAAGGTTCCTGCACTTGGGTGGAAGGAAGTAAGGCTGGTCTTTGGTGGTAAGAACATGCTTGCCTCCTTGGTATATGGGCACCCATATCTGCACGAGGACATCTCTATGCTCTGTGTACTCTTTCAACTTCTTTATAGCATACTCCAATCGATCTTTGATCGAAGAACGACTCTGGCATCCTTCTACATATGTGATTGGGGCGACATTGTAACTGTTTTTGGAATCCATTTCAATAAATTGACCTCCTTTGGCAGTGGAGTCGTCATGAAAGTCAGCTTCTTGGTGAATTTTTTGTTGAGCACCGAAGGGATCAAGGGAGGGGAAGAATTTCGAAGGGGGGTATAAATCGTTGGACGTTGGAGGGTACGGCTGTTGTGGGAAGGTGAATCCATCAGGAGTCCCCATCCAACTTCCTTCATCAAAGAGTTCCTCCATGAAATCCAAATCCATGGTGCTAGTGGTGGATGGGAAGTTCCCAAAGGCAGAGTTGGCACAATCATCATCCATATCCAGTACCTTTTTGCTTCAGAGTTTGCAACAAAGCTATAACCAAACCGAAAATTGGTTAACTACTCAGAGCTCATCATCATGAGCCAAAGCACAAGAGAACAGTGAAGATGAAAAATAAAAAGAGGAACTTCCAGGATGGATTTGTATTGCTCATATCCGGATACCCAACACGCCCCATTCGCAGCAACATCGCTCAATCAAATTAGTGATGTTTGTGGTGTGTTCAAGTTCAACTGCAATCACAGATCCATTTTAGAGGGAGAACCAACCATTCATTCAAGTACTGACACCACCAAGTCACATAAGAACGATACAGACTAGAAACCCTTGTCTATTTATGAAGAACTACAACTTTCTGGATGACCCAATTGGAGCTTTTGCATGAAACCATCACCACAAGGCAAAATCAGCAGGCAAAGCTTGAAGACAGTATGAAAAAAGCCACAGGGCATGGCAAAGGAAGTAACTTTCAAACAAAAACCACTGGGTTCTAATCCTTTTCCTAGCCAGAACCCAATTCAAGCAACATAGAGAAAAAGCTGAGGAGCTGTGAAGAGGGGGGAAATTAAGGTACCCAAAAAGAACTCACTTTGCCAAGTGAAGAGTTCACTCTCTTTCAGAAGGAATCAGTTTATGAAGCGTGAGAACTGGCAGTGCCACCAGCCCGGAATGAGCAAATCAAAGTCTCTCAACAGATGGAGCAGGAAACCGTGAATTCAGAGGAAACTTTCTTTCAGGGCTCGGCGAAAGTTGGGAGCTTTTTAACCATCAACTGAAAAGATGAAAGCTTTTTGTGTTCTGGACTTCTGGCCTTCCATTTTTATCATCCTTACTTTTTATTTTCTTTTTAACATGAGGTATCAAGTGCTTGCTTGCGTTATTTTTCCATTTTCTTCCCCCTCTGCGAGTGGATGAGAAGAATCTTTCCTTCCCAAACACAAAACGAACATAGGACCCATCCAAGACAAAAACAAAACGAGAAAAATGAGTGGGTGGGTGCCACAAGGCAAAGAATTGTTGCTAGTTTCAGAACTTTTGTCCACGTTCCTCTGCCTAGTCTTGTGGGCACATATCAGCAATTCTGCACCTAGGTAAGCACAATATAAACTTATAACCGATTTGCATCAATAAACTAAAGAGGTCTCGTGTTTGAATCTTTTTAGTCATGCTCTTTTTGCTCATTGTTAGTGCAACACAATTTACAAGCCAAAGAAAGAACTAAAAACACGAATAAGGATTTGGTCTTGTGGCCTTAATCACAATGTCACTGGTTTAGAACCTATAGTTCGCATGTTCGAATCTCTTGAATAGTACGTTAATCACAAAAAATTAAAACCTATATCATGCTTATAAAAAAAACTAAAAACAACTCAAGTTCAAAAAGAAAACAACATTATATCGAGAATTTAAATTTAATTTTGATAAAAGCAAACGAGTCTGAGTACAGAATCGGCATCCAAACACCTAGCTAGCTTTTGTACTTGTCACTCTCTCCTACCTTTCTTCAGATATTCTCTGCATTCTGTCCTCCCAAAGCATTTTCTTTTCTGCGAAAAGCTGGGAGCCATGCATGGCATGGAATAAGAGGCAAGAGGAGCTGTCAGTTTTAGGGAAAAAGGATTCCTAATGTAGCCTTCATTTATGAAAGAAAGAAATATTCTCTTTGAGAACAAAGAATCTGGACAAAGGAGTAGCTATTATCAGGAAAATGGTAGGAAGAGATTGCGGGCGTGATTTTGATCACTCTCCTTAAAGTGTTATTTGTCCTCACTACGTTGTTGTTTGTAGGATTTAGGCAAACCACTCCCGGAGTCCCTCCAATCAAAGTCAGAAAGCAGCACCTTTCGTGACTTCTGTGTTTGTGTTTTTGGAGAAGGAAAATGAGGAGAAGAAGATGAACGTTGGATGAAAATATGGCTGCAGAAGCCTTTTATTGTGAAAACGACAATTCCCTTACGAAGGGTTACGTCGTTTCACAAAAGTCAAAATCAATTAATTATCCAGAATTAATTAATCAAAATAATTTCGGTAATTAATTAAATAGCTCACACAAAAACCCAGGAACCACTTTATCCAATAAACTAGAGTGGAAAGCAAACTTAAAACTCATTTGCACTTTCCTTCTCCCAATATGGTATTTCTTTTAATTCTTTTGACTATTCTAACAAGCCCACATAAAAGATTCTCTATATCAAAAGCTGAGAAAATTTTCACCATGCATGTGCTTTGCCCATACATGTTATTTCTCTTCTTTCTTTCTTCTCTTTTTCCAGCTTTGGATCACATTGTCACATGAATTTGATATCTAAATCTTAATTTTTAATAGAAAAATATTACTCAAAACTACATTTCCTACCTAATTTTTTTTATAGTGGCATTTTAGTATAACAAAATTTCAAAATACACACAGTTATCCAAAATTTAGAAGCTCCTTGAATTCATGAATTCAATCCACGAATGTAATCTATATGTGACCTCTATCTGCAAGTGCGAACTAACATTATTCGATTGTCTCCTGATCCCGATCATTAAATTACAGCAACTACGATTCCATTTTATAAAATATCTAACAACTGAAATTACATGAAAAAACACAAATCTAATTGTATAAACCAGTAGTAATCACAGAGGTGCCTATACAACCATATTACCTAAATTTGTTTTTTTTCCATTGCCTCATAGGTTCCACTCTTGGTTTCACTTATGTACCACACATTAAACACAAAAAACAAATCAAGCTTAATTTATTTGGCCATCAAAAAGTGACAATTAAGGTGATGAGATCATCCCCATACATTGATATCCAAAAACCCTAGATGTATCTAACCTTACTTTTTTTTAAAAATATTTTCTGAATATTCAAGAATATACATACAAAAAGTGATTTATTTTGCCTAATTAATGGGAGCTTTTAGGAGTCATCCAATCTGTTGCAAGGTTGTTGGATTGCTGGCATATTTTATGGGTTATGTTGCCCCTCTAAGATTCCCAAGGGTCCATTGAATCTTTACAGTCATATCTCCAATTCGTCGCGTCTCATCACCTCATTAACACGATTCTAAGTATAATTAAAGGATGGGGATTAGTATAATCAAGTATAGGGCTCAATCGTGATTAAAGTGAGAGGTGTACCAATACCATTGGTCAGAGACAAATCATGGAATCCACATCATATGCAGTCAAATCTGCTCTTGGGTTGTGATTCCAATCATTAATAACAAACCAAAGGACATAATATATCGAATCGCGAAAACGAAGCTGCACACAAACCATCTCTGTAGTGGATTAGCATTCAATTAGTTTTTAGAGGAGCTTGTAAGTTTCTTGATAGTAAACGGTGATCTATATAGGTCTCATGTTTGAGTATTCGCTGTGAAGTTGAATTATTCGTATTTCGAAAATTGATGAGAAAACTTAGCTATAAGTACAAAAGATCCATAATTTAATACCTTCAAACAACTCGAGTTAGTGAGATCGATTGGTTTTCTACATGATATCAGAGTTTTCGAAGACCGAGAGGTCTTGTGTCCGAATCATGACAACCCCCCAATGTTAAACACATGGCATTCAGACCTGTGCAAATTTCAAGTCTGCATGGGTTGGCACTCGTTTGAGGGGGTGTTAGTCATATCTCCTAAAGCAGAACCTCAAGTGCTCCATTTTAGCTCTCATAATTGGCAGCAAACGATATAAGATCTATAATTGAAAATCTCTTAACAACTCGGTTTATTGAAATCAATTGATTCTTAATACAAAAAATCCAACTTGTTTGATCAATAATTTAAGTTGTTGGGAGACAGAGGAGTTTCGAGAAGGGATTTGTACAATTCTGAGAATATTAGAAATTTGTAAGTAAGAGAAGGGTGACTAGACAAAAGCCTTGAGGGAGGTGTGATCTCATTGCTCGAAGGAAAAGCAACATGGCCTACTTTTGTTGCTTTATAGGAAACAATCTCAACTACAGAACATTGAGCTAAGCAAAACCAATTCAAAAACTGAATTTTTTGTTGTAATTATTACATATAATTTATTAAGTAGACCCTATGCTCACAAATGATAATTATATAGTAAATTAATCACCACATCAATGATAACATCAGCTAAGCTATGAATTAGAGGATCCCACAATCTACAATTATATTATTAATTAAGCTGCTTAACACAATTTTTCAATAGATGGTGGGCCAATTATAGGTCATTTTGATGGGTACATGTATTGTATTAAATTAATCAATCAATGGTTTTATTATTATGTTATAGCCGACCTGTTGGATGTTATCCACTCATCATATAATATTATCAGAAGTGTTTGATTATGATTTTTAATGAGTTGTTGGGTTTCCAGAAAAAAAAATATGTGAAAATTTCAGAGTCCTTTCAATTTTCAACGGGACTTAACCCTCAATCTATTATTAAATGTGATGTAATTACTATTCGATCGCGCAATTACTTTATGGGTCAATCTAAGAGCTTGGTATGAGGAGGTGATGCGTCGAGATAATAAGAGATACTATCATTTTTGTTATTTTTTACAACCCTTTTAAAATACAGTTTTTATGTGTACTTATAATATGCAGTTACGTTATTGTTTAATACGAACCAACTTCATATGTCAGAAAAATAATTAAGCTCTAGAGAAAACCAATCAACCATACCAAACCTACAATAAAACCAAATGGTTCCATACAACGAGTTATCCACAACATCAAAGTGTATATAAATTTTTTCTTATTTTGTAAATGTATGATGGTTCATCAGCTGATGAACTACTTCAATCATTTTCAATTACCTCAGACATTCATTATTTCTGGGTTATAAAATGGGTTAGCCCAAAGTGATGACATCATGATATATAGAGGTTATTAACTAGAAATATTTAGGGTTAGGGTTCGGTATTCACTCTCTTATTTTCAGTTACTAGTGGCACATTATTTTTAACTTAAATGTATACATTTTTTTTATGAGAAATAGGAAAACAAATAACGAGCCCTTTCTGTGACTTGCAAGAATTGTATATTATCTTGACGTTTAAGTTGCCTTCTCTTATCGCTAATTTTATGATTACACGTCTCTTCTCGCTAACTAAAATTATTCTTGCCTTCTCTTTTTATTATTCAAATACGAGAGAAATCCGTAAAAAATGATAAATCCCGACTCCCGTGAATCTCGAAGAACCCACAATCTATGCTTTTACCATCTCCACCTATTGGTTTTTCTCTTCATCAAATAACTAATGTTTATAGACCAAGCCAATTAATGTTGGTTGAGAAAACTTAATGGCCTACAACTGTTTTAGTCACTAATTATGCAGCTACTACTTCTTGGCACATTCATCAATGAAAGTGACAAAGATCATATAATTATAGTGTTAAGTCATGATCAAGCTTACATCCTAACCCTGAAATGCATAAACTATGTGTCTCAATTATTCAGTTGGGGTTGAGAAATGAATCCAAATTGAAGGAAACACAAATCAATTAATAATGGCTACGTCTGAGTTTTGGTTGAGATTATGATCAACTAAATTGGACGAATTTCAACCAAAATCATAAAATAAGCAGATTTTTTTTTTGTAGGAATAAAATAAACAGATTTGATAGAGTTTGACTTTGTTTCATTATTATTTTGGATGAATTTCCTAGTTTATTTGTAATTTGACTTTCCTTAAAAAGAAAGGCAATGGCTTTGTTTGACATTTTTGTTGTTGATAACCTTTTTAAATACTTCTATTTTGGGCAGTTTAGCGAACCGGATTTGATTATTTGTATCCACTGATTAAGAATTTGATACCATAGTCAATAGCCCACTTAATATAAATTTTTCGGTGCATTATGTGTAATCTTACTCGTTAAATCAAACCAGGTGTTCTTCAAATATGAATTTAGGATAAAAAAATACTTTATGATGTATGTATGCATCAAGAACCCTTGTCATAAAAATATAAGAAAGCCCTCCAAATTCTAGATGAAGCAGAATGTTCCGCATTCTTCGAACACAAAACCAGATGACTTAACTAACGAAATGCCGAAGTCAAAATATTATGAACTAATACAAAATGTTAATTTTTTAGCAAAATAGAATTGATCGATGATTATTTGAGTTTCATTTGTATGCATAAATTACAACGACAGATAAATGAGAATAAATGAACTCATCCCTGTTGTATCAACGCACTAAAACCAATAATACTGCCAAGTAATTTTTGCCTTAAATTATTCAAGTAGCCTAACACAAATCTGCATGGGGGATGATGGCACAAATCAACACACAATAATTGACAAATTTATTAATACATTTTTCATGAATTTTTAAGAAGCAAAATACAGAGGAAATGGATGATGAGAGTTGCACCATCATTAGGGTTTGTGGGACTCACAAAAACCACCAATAATCCAATATAGTAAGAACTATTAATACAAAGACAAGTACTGCCTAGTAGATGCTCACTCACTCACTCACTCAAGGAGTCGTTTTTCCGCATCTTCTTTAATCACTTTCTCCCTCTCCCTTAAACAAACAATTATAGTTAAAGATAAATGAAGGCATCCAAGAAACTTCTAAACTCATCAATCATGCAAACAAATTTCTTCTTGTTCTCCTCGTCATCGCGATCTGCTATTCAGCATGAGTTTCTCGAATGAGTTTCACGTCTTAATCATTTTGGTTGATTTTTTCAGTGGCGTGAATGAAATCTCAAGAGTGGTTGTCTTTTTTGCGAGGGTGTCATCGACATTCGTGTCCATCACTATGCTGCTAAACAACGACGAGTCTCTCTCTAAACATTCGAGCTCAGTCGAGTCTCGAATTCCTATGATTTTATGCACTCCTCTTAAAATAGTTTTCCAACAGTAATCACGTGAATCGATAGACAATCGGACATGGGTTGAACTTCCTTGAGTTCATGGATGACCTCTTAGATTTGGGCAGAGGAGCTTTGGCATGGACTCACTCTGTATCCGAAAAGAAAAAAAATATTCATCGAATTGATAATAATCTTGAGTTGGACTATAGCCCTTCGTTTTTTAAACTCGACTAACTTAGCATATAACATTATTGATAAGTGATAGCATGAAACATCAACTAGTCCAACTACAATAAAAATCCGACGAGAATTGCTTCCTCAATTGCAACTAAGCTTACAACATTGACATAAGCACACTCTCATTATTATCAGCAACATTCATCACAAACAACCATTAAGGGTAAAAAAAGTTACATCACGATTTATTAACACAAGAATGTCTAGTATATCACAAACTACACCTATATAATCTTCTTACACAACCACACTAACCTAATCCGCCTCTCAAATAAGGGCGCAATTAGTTTTACAATCTCACAAATCACATCATCATATGAACAAACAAATATCCAGGCGACACTAACACAATCTCCTAATCATTTAAACTAAACATGATTAGTGTTCATAATCCCAATACGAAAAACATGGGCCCTAAAAGCGATGGACCCAAAAGAGAACAGGCCCAAGATCAAAGGCCCAACCTCAAGTCCAGAGTTGGGGGCGACGACAGAGAGACCGGGGAGGAGGAGGAGCATTCAAGCTCTTCATCTTTGGCCGGAGGAATCACAGCCGGCGATGGGACTGGCGCCGGCAAATTCAGGTCCACCATCAACATCGGCGACGAAGATTGAGATCCTTGATTCTGATTGGCTCTCTGATTGTCCCAATGGCATCTCTTATGCCCGCCGAGCGCCTGCCCGCTGGGGAAAACTCGAAGGCAAATGCTGCATTTGTGGTTGCCGCCGGTTACGGAACTGCCATCGCCTCCGGCCAACACGACCGCGGCCGTCGTCGTCTCTGCTGAATTCACATCACCACAACCCGCGCTGCTGCTTTCGGCTAATGAACTGTTCTGCCGAAAATCGTCCGCGGGAAAAAGTGTGTGGCTGGCGCGGTGACTTCCTAGCGCCTGTTGCGACCCGAATACCTTCTTGCTACTGGAGAACTCGAACCGACCCGAATCCCCTCCTTCGCCTTCTCGATTGTGATCTCGGAAAGGCACAATTGCGCCGCCAAATTCGCCTCCTTCGGCGGCGGCGGCGGATGCTCTGTTTCCCCAATTTCGCTCTGCCGCTGCTAAAACAGGGGATTGGTGACTGACAGTGAAATTGGCCAAGGCGAGTAAGCAATCAGCCACCTCGTGATCCGCTGCGGTCATCGTCATCAATTCCCCGATGTGGGTCCCGTGAAGGTGCGGCGGCGGCGGTGAGGGAGGGCAAATCGTCAGGGGAATCTGCGGCGGAGGAGGGCGGCGGCGGTGATTTGGGGGAGGGTTAATCCCGCGCCAATCTCGCTCAGGGTGACACCTCATGTGACCAAACAGAGCTTTCCAAGACGAGAACATCTTCCCGCACTCCGTACACGGCTTGGTCTTCGGCGCTGATGGGTCCGCCTTTTTCCCACCGCCGCCGCTGCCCTTGTTCTTCCTGGCGCTCCCACACGCCGCCGCCTCAGCCGCATTGTGGGTCGGCAAAGACGACGACGAAGAAGAAGCAGCGAGAGGAGGGGAAGCAAACGGATTGGGGAAAATTGGCGGGGGAATCGGAGAGGGTTCGAGCAGAATCTTGTTCAACTTCGTTCGCTTCTTCCGATGGTGGTTTGGGTTCGGGAGGGAAGAAATCTGCGGCGGAGGAAGTGGGGGAGGAGGAGAAGACGACGAAGAAGAAGGGAAGATGGGGTTGGAATTCGCGTTGTTTTGGTTGGTCATTATCGCGAATCACTCTGGTGAAATTTGGGAATTAGGGGAGAAAACAGGGGAAGGTAGGAAAAACAGAGGGTGTGATCAGGAAACGAAGACAGGCGAAAAAAGTTGGAAGAAAGGGGGAAGCTTTGCTTATGTAGTGGTGGGGAAGAAGAAGGAAACTACGGAGAGAAAAACGGTTACCGATTTGGAGAGTAAGTGAGACAAACATGGCGGTTTTGCCCTTTGGTTTACAGTTAGTGGGGGGTAATGGTCGTTTGTTCGTGATTATCCAGAGGAACCCACCTTCTCCACTCGTCCACTTACCATACTGCCCCTATTTGGGCGGGAAATACGAAAGAACACCCTTCAAACAGTTCAAAGTTCATAGCTTTGGCACCAAGAAATAATAAAGTTTGGGACTTCTTCGTTGTGGTAAACTAACTTCAGAACATGGGGGAGTGGAAGAAGGAAGGTGGGAAAACGAACGAATTTCAGGGTTATGGTTAGAGGTGGCCAAGTTCCATCTTTCCCTAATTGACACTCACATTGCGATTTGGTTCTCGAGTTCAATTCGATGGAATATTTGGATAGAAAAGAATCGAATCAAAACAAAAATACTTTTTGATCAAAGTTTTGGATCTTATTTGTTCTTTTTTTACTTGGAATCATGGTTGTTATGCTGTTGGCATGCCACCCGGTTAGAATCTGGTTCAACCTGTGCGGGTAATGAAATCGGCATGACACCGCCGGTATGATCGACTTACGCATTTTAAGTCATTTTAATGAATTTAATTAACAGAAAAAAATAATTTATTATTTATTTTATGAATTTAATAGTTAAAAATTGATGATATTTGCTGGATTGTAACTAAATTGTCCACAAATATGTTTTATATATATGATTAAATACATTGGATATCAATTGTTTTCACATTTTTTTAAACCAGCATGAATCGGCACAAATTGGTTATACCACCAGTCATACCATTCCACTTGCCAAACCGGCACAACAGTATAAACCGGTTTGACAACCTTGCTTGGAATTCATAAAGGTAACACTCCAATATAATAATCCGCGATCACTTCTGCGTATAGTAATGTCTAGATCGTTATCAGAAAGATGTAAACAACGGAGTGACAAAAATCAATATAGTTTTGTTCTATTTAGTATGCATATATCCCCGTTTTTAAACATATCCACGAAATCAACACATAACGAAATTTTATATTAAGTTGTCGAATGTGGAAATCGAGCCAAATGATAATCAGTATGTTCCGACTCAAATAAGGGGAAAATCATCACCAGCTTGATACACAAGTCTAGAGCGGAGCAAGAACATTCATTATGGAGAAAATCAGCACGTTTTCCTCATTTTAAGTTCCTGTTATTTGGGTTTTGTAACTGTTTTATCAGATAAACGAGAAAAAGGGTAACTGCCATGTTCATTACAGAACAATGATATCATGTCTGAATCTTGGACAGAAAAAACTGCCCATAAGATAAGGATTTAATCCAATCATCTACACCAAATCGATAACAACACACTTCTTTCTGATACAAATGCTTTCAGCTAGTCGTGAACTTCTGTCTCAATAACATTCAAGTTAGGGAACTGCCTAATTTACCTTCCTCCCATGGCCCCCTCCTTGAATTAGTTTAGCACTCACTTCAAATATACAACACTAACAGTTAAAAATTATGAGAGACAAACAGAGCGAACTAGCATACAACAGCTTGCAAAATTGCGATTGAACAAAGGGATGACGATGATGACCACAGTGGTAAGAGTAGTAGTAGTAGTAGATATAACCCGAAAGAGATCCGTTTGAACACAGGGTGTCATTTCCTCTGCTGAATTGTGGGTGGTGCTTTGAGATTCCTCCCCAGTACGTTCAGGAATGCCACTCGCTGTATTTCCTTCGCTGTAGCAAGCAATCAACATTGAGACAGAGCCAGTCATTTTATGATGTCTTTAGCTATCTTCGCATGGCAACTTAATCGACCAGCAATAGAAGAATACATTGTGCAGATCGAGAGCAATGCATTTATATGTTTGTGGGATACATTCAACCTTATGGACAGTGCTAACTCAATTCTGATGACAACCCGTGAGCAGACAGAGATTAAAGTGACCATAAGTGGTGTGATTCCATTAAACTAGTATTTGGTAGCATGGTTCTGATGCATACAAGAACCAAGTCTAGCCTTAACAAAACAACATTCAACTTTCGGGTTGTCGGGCAAAGCTTCCTTTATCCTTATTGGTAGAATTAGCAGGCTTTTCGAGTTATCAAATATGCAATGAATGTAAGCAAGGCAAGACTAATCATAAATAGTTGGAGCATCTAAGTAAAATAACTAGCTAACTGACGCTAAGAAGAAATAGGTTAAAAGTGTTTAGATTCAGGTTTTCTCCGATATGGCAAAAGAGATCACGTGTTCTAACAGGTTTATGTTACCTTCTTCCAGAGAAAGCTGAATGGATCGCTTCTCTAACTCAACTGCATGTCTGCTAAGCTCAACTGAAGAAAGAGATCGGAGCACTGAGATGACAATACACAATACACGCCGTTAACAGTCAGTCAAGAATTAACATGGCATAAGTATTCGACTAGACAGAAAAACTTACTCTGTATGTAGTCCTCTTCGTCTGCTTGATCTATTTTCTTTAACAGAACTTGTAACTGGCAATATCGTTCCTCCCAGTGCATAACTCTCATCCCCTTCCCTTTATCAGACACAGGTACAGCAGAAGCAGAAAAGGGATGATAAGTGGGCTGCACCGATGCAAATCTCGGAGTACTAGACTGTGTTATAGGAAGGGAAACTGAAGGCTTCGATGTACTTATTGTGGTGCCGACGGGCATAGGTGCCATGAATGCTGAAAATTGAGAAACCTTTGGTTGTTCCTTAGTCATTGATTTTGGCTGGTTGGTCTCCCCAGAGTGCCCAACTTGTTGATTGGGGGAGTTAGCATTAATCTTGGCAATTTCAGCTTCGGCTTTCCGGCGCACATAAACTAGTTGAGCATTTGCAGCATTACCATTTGGGGACTGGTTATGTGCTATTGGACTCTCGGGAGAGGGCCTCTTGGTACCAGAAACCTTATTAATGGTATCCATACTTTGTCCACTGTTCTTAGTCAATGGAGAGTTGCTGATGAAGTTGTGAGCCCTATTTTGATTCTGAACATCTCGCAAAGCTGCTTTCTTTACAGCAACTGGAAACTGTTTATCACCAGCAGTCGTCAAGTTTGGCTCGGTTGTGGCCAACCCATACTCAACGAATTTGGAGTCTATCATTTGCTGAACCATCTGAAAGACAGATCAGGTTGTTCTGAATCAACAGCTAGACACTCCAAACGATTTTAAAACTTACGACTCATTCAAATTTAACAAGGAAAAGGGTAAAGCTGTAAGATATGAAAGTTCCCAATAGGTTAATCAGCAAGTCAGAGACTTCAAGCTCTCGCAGATCAACTACTAGCCCACTTTTGTAATATATATACATCAGGAACCAAACTAGGTATGTTATCATTGCTTGCAGAAGTAAGAAAGATTGGAAATTTAAAAGCAGAAAACTAAAGCCAAGCACTGTAGTTTTCAGGTAATTAGATCAGATAAAACCACCATTGTGATTGTAATCGATCTACAGAACTTCAAACTATCTCAGATCAACTACTAGCCTATTTTTGCAGTACAGATATATCAGGAACCAAAACTAGGTTTAATATCATTGCTTGCAGAATGAAAAGATCGACAATCCAAAACCAGAAATCTAAACCCAAGCACAGTAGTTTTCAGCTGATTAGGTCAGATGCAACCACCATTTCAGATTGTAATCGATCCATGGAACACATATATAGCATGGAAAATGCATGATGTTAAGCAACTAAGCTATACCATTCTTGGCACTACAAGTGGCAAAACATCATAATCCATGGAAATCAACTGATACAAAAGCATAAATCGAAGCCATACTTAGCGCAATCGTTCACAATCCTAGCATTAGTTCACATCACCCTAGAGCTAAGGCAAGGTTTGTCATCAGTTAACCAAATGCAATTGAACATCTAGAGCAAGTTCTGCAACCAAAAAAAACACGGAATTGACAAAGAGGAAAGACCAACAACATTTCAAGAGATGGGTTGTAGTAATCACCTGAAATAAACAACACCCATCAAATTGAGAAGCAGGATTGTCGAAGGAAATCAAGCATACCCTGGAATGAATGCATGCTGCAAAGAAGTTATCTTCGACAGGGAAGGGGAAAGAGAAATGAAAAGCCGAGCATTACGAAGAACAAGGACTCGAATCTGAAAAAACAGAGAGCGAAAAGCATTACCGTGATAAGCTTAGCTCGTTAAATTCGGAGAGAGCTGAGAGAGAAAGAGGGGGAAGAAGAGAGAGATTGAAAGGGGGAAGAGGGGTTTCAAAAGAACAATGCCTTGTCTCTCTCTCTCTCTACTCTCACAAAACGAAGTCTAGGATTTTATCTTGTTTACTCCTCCGACTTCTGGAGAATAATTTATTTTGAAAAATGCCAATACGGTCACGCAACTATGGAGTTATACCAAAATGATCACACAACTAAGTAGGAAATAGAAAATCGAGAAGTGGGCTTCGGATTGCAGCCCATTGGGTGCTATTTGGCCAGATTTAAATGCCCCGCGAACGCATTTGGCGGCAGCAACGGAGCCCGGATCGGATCAGGAGATCGCCGGAGGATGAATTAGAATAGTGCCGAATATCTTGACGGAGAAGGAGGAAGCGCCGGCGCCGACGTTCCTGAGGAACAGAAACTGAGTGTACTGACTACCGAGGCATTGGATAAACATAAAAAAAGAAACCATCGTCCTCCAATTGTTACTTCCTTCGTTTCCCCTGTTTTCCTCTTTGGTTCCACCAAAGTGTAAAGACTGAATTTTTACAGTCTTTACTAGCAACCCAGTAAGCATTTCTTGTTCTAGATTGTGTATTTCAATCATCAGTTTTTGGGTTTCTGCTGGATCACCACAAAATTACGTCCAAAACAAAGAGAACCCACAACAAGAAGAGAAACAAAATCAGAGTACCGAGCTAACAAGAAATTAGAAGAGGACTTCCCAGGCATTCACAAGTTTGGTTAAGAGTAGGATCTGAACAGCTCATATCTTCTTGCGCTTGCTCAGAATAGGATCCCAAACGCCTCTCAGCTCATTCAGCTTCTTCTCGTAATCTTCCTTGATCGCACCTTGGTTTTCGTCCAACCAACGTGAAGTTGCTAGCACAGAGCTCATCTCCTCCTTTCTCCTCTCATCGCCCAACTGCTGCAGCCCATCACTACTAAGGATGGCATTCTTGACATCATAGATGTAGCGCTCTAACTCGATCCTGGCATACAAACGTGCCTTTGCCGTCTTGTCTTTCACCTCCATTTCCTTTGCTTCTTTGATCATCCTCTCAATCTCTTGTTGCGTAAGACCTCCTTTGTAGTTGGTGATGGTTAGGGACTGAGATTTTGCTCCGGGGATCTTCTCCCTCGACGTCACTTTGAGTATTCCATTCTCGTCAATCTCGAACGTAACATCCACTTTTGAAACTCCCCTGAAATCAATGAACCCCGCCTCATGCTTGCTAGAAAGATTATAATTATCAGTAAGACGAGATACCATAGATACGTACGTACCTTGGAGCTGGGGTGATACCGGACAGAACAAATCTTCCAAGCTCGATGCAATCCTTGATCAGGGTTCTTTCACCTTGAAACACCTGAAAATGCCGCTTATTTTACTTGGACTCATAAGGAAGATGCACAACAAAATGAACAGAAACCAACTAATTGAATGAATCAACCAACATAGATCCTCATTCTGGTTTGCTGGTCCCGTATAGTGAAAAATTCCTTTGATATTTTTGTTGGAATAGGGGTATTTCTTGGGATAATTACAGACATCAAACCAAGTTCCCTCTCGATTCCCAAACTCAAGGGAGTGACATCAAACAACGTAATACCTGCGTGCAATATTACTTAAGAGAATGAAAAAGATGATCGAATTAAGGGTCAGGAGCTGCAAGCTGTAAGAAATCGAAAAACGATTACCATCATGTACTGCAACTGCGTGACCACTCATTTTTGCTCCTAAGACAGCAGCACCATAAGCCACAGCTTCATCAGGGTTCACCCCTTTGCAAGGTTCCTTCCCATCAAACATCTCCTTCAGCATCTCCCTCAACCTGGGAATCCTTGTGCTTCCTCCCACCAGTACTACCTCCTCGATCTCGCTCTTCTCCAACTTGGCATCAATCAGCGTCGTCTCGACCACCTCCAACGTCTTCTGAAACAGATCCAAGTTCAATTCCTCGAATTTTGCCCTCGTCAGAGGCTCCGAGATATCGATCCCTTGAAACTCTATCTCGACCCTGACCTGGTTTTGATTGCTCAACGCCCTTTTGGCTCTCTCGCATTCCTTGCGGAGCTTCCCTAGAGCCCTTTTATCCTCGCTGATTTCTTCCTTGCCGTACTTTCTTTTAATCAACTTGATGAAGTACTCCATCACTCTCTGGTCGAAATCCCCGCCGCCCAGATGAGTGTCCCCGCCGGTAGCCAATACACGAAACTCCTGACCATCTAATTCCAGTAAACTGACATCAAAAGTTCCCCCGCCCAAATCATACACCAGAATCTTACTCTTGCTTTGCTTCCTCTTCCGATTGAGCTTGTTGAGACCATATGCTACGGCCGCAGCGGTGGGCTCGTTGATGATTCGGAGGACGTTTAGACCCGCGATTTTCCCCGCGTTCTTTGTGGCCTGCCTCTGCAAGTCGTTGAAATAGGCCGGGACAGTGACAACCGCGCCGCTCACTGGCTCTCCGAGGTAAGATTCGGCGGTTTCCTTCATCTTCCCCAAAATCATGGCGCTGATCTCTTCTGGGGTAAACCCTCTTTTCATTTCTCCTCCTCCTCCTCCGCCTTCTTCTTCTGATTTCACTATTTCGATTTCCACCCACGGCTTCCCGTCTCCATTGACCACGGGATAGGGTAAGTACCTCAAGTCCCTCTGAACTTCTGGGTCGTCGAATTTTTTCCCGATCAGGCGCTTGGCGTCGAAGATAGTCCGGCGAGGGTTGAATGCCGCCTGATTCTTGGCGGCTTCACCGACGAGGCGCTCGGAATCGGTGGCGGAGAAGGCCACGATGGAAGGTGTGGTACGGTTGCCTTGATCATTGGCTATGATCTCCGCCATGCCGTTTCGAGCGACGGCGACGCATGAGTAGGTCGTGCCTAGGTCGATTCCGATCACTTCTCCGGCTCTTAATTCCGCCTCCGGGGCCATCTTGGGCTGAAATGAACTTCGCCGAAGAAGCAGAGTGCAGGGACAGTGTTCTAATCTCTGGCTTGGTCTGGCTCTGCTTTCTGGGTTTAGGGTTCTTGCTCTGTATTTTTTTTTTCCTTTAGCAAGGAGAAATATGAAGCCGGTTTACCTTCGGAATTCGGGAAAAACTTATTGCTCTGCAACCGATTTTGTAGCCTTTGAAGCGCGGGAATTTTTCCAAAAATAACACTGTTTTTTAAAAAAATTCCAAAAATAGCACACAACTTCGAAAAATTTCAAAAATAGCACCCTTTTCCAAAAATCGCTCCCTACCAGTGCGGTTTAGGCGAAAACCGCCACCCAAGGGCGCATTTTTCGATGAAAACCGCACCCCTATGGGGCATTTTTGCAGACCGCACCCCCACCATGCGGTTTGCTTTTTTTTTTTTTTTTGAAAATCCTAACCTAGGTGGAAACTTCAAACGAACATATCTTTGTGTTCGGGTATCCGATCGTCGCGATTTTTTTTTATTCTGCATAACTTTTTGAGATCTTGCAAGCCGAAGACTGTCGAAGGTGGTTTGATCTCGCATTCGTCCCAAAAAATGTCGTTTGCTACCCCGAACGAGCTTATTTCCAATTTCGTCAAACTTTGGACAACCATAACTTTGTGCTCCAAAATCCAAACGACATGATTTTTTTTTTTATTTCGCATAAATTTTTAAGGAATACAACTTTTATCATAGACATAATTTCAAAATGTACGTGGATTGCTGAGAAGGGAAGCTATTCCCAAAATCCTGCATATCCAAAAATAATTCATGTTTTGAAGTTGTACCATAACATAAAGTTACAAATTATGTTATGATACAATTTCAATTTGTACCTGTTAATGTGACTTGAATCGGACTATCAGCCGCTACGACTGGAAGTCTCGGGGGTCTCGCTGCCCGTGGACTAGCTTTGATTAGGGTTATGGTTAGAACTAGGAGAAGTACTATAAATACTTCTCATACTTCTCTGTCATCTATATCTCTTAAAAGTATAGTGAAACTTGCTCTCTCCTGCCCGTGGACTAGCTAACACACATTATGTTAGTGAACCATGCAAATCGTGCGTCGGGTGTGTGTGCGCTTTCGTATTCTTGTATTGTTGAATCCTCCAATTTCTCGATCCGAACAAAACAGTCGTAACTGTACCTTTAATATTATAGTGCAAGTTAAAGTTGTACTTTAAATCATAGTAGAAGTGCTCTAATTTGAGTTCTGTAGAATTGCATACCAATACTTTAAAGCATGGTACAAATTCTCTAATTTGAGTTCTATATAATTGCAACAAACAGCGTAGAAGGGGAAGACTTGTATTGATCATTGTTTCTTTAATAAGAGTGAAATAGATTAGTTTGCCTTTAGTACTACACTATAGAATTGCATGCCCACTTTGACCCGACCTGGTGAGAAAAACGGGCCGCACGCACCCGCCGGGTCGACCGTTATAAGGTACCGGGTTGGAGATTAAATTGTGCCATTTTTTTCTTTGTTTTGCGAAATGCGCGTATTTTCCGATTTTTCTTTTCGCCTAACTCAATCTTTGGAATCCTAAATTGAACATTTGAATATTATTGTTATATAAGTGTGTGCGAATTTTCACTATATGTTGAATCTAAGTACGAAATGTCATTTTGGTGTAATATTATATGTTATAACTCATATGTTAGATGAGATTTGATATAATTTATCAGAATAAGTACAATATAATGACGCTTTCCATATTTCCGGGCTAAACCGGGTGATCCATTAACCCTTGACCCACTAACCCAACCAGATCCGGGTCAACCCGCGGGTTGACAACGTGTGCTCCTACGACGAGTTTTGAAATGGGAGGATAACTGAATGGGAGGACGATGAAGGAGATAAGCAAAACGGAGCACAAAGTAAGCCCACAAAACAAACTCAAATCACTTGACCTTCTAAACATCAATGATAATAATGATCACTTCTTTTATCTTCCAACAATTTTACAAATACAATTTTTTGACCTGAAGAAGAAAGATGTAGCAGCAGCAGCAGTAGTCTGGGGTTGTGTATTAGTAGTAATACATGATCGATGAAGACAATGACGAACGCTGATGATGATTGGACTGTCAGATAAAACTTACAAAAACTTTTATCTGAAAGAAAAGAAGAGAGACTAGAGAGGAAAAGTTGAGAGCAGTTTCGATTCAAAGAGAGGAGGAGGGAAGAGCAAGAAGATCTCTCAAGGTCCGTTGTTCCCACCCAACAGCCGCTCCACTGCTGCATGAACGTTACCAGCAGTAGCGCGCAACGCCCTGATGTTCTCCTGGGTATCGAAGAACCCCATCTCCTGAAGCTGGGTGAGCTGAGTCGCGTACAGTTCTTCTGGTGGCACTGTTATATGCAGCAGGTGAGGAAGTTTCAACAATCAGATCCACAGTAAAGACCCAAATAAGTGGAGGAGATGAGAAGGTTATATTATATATACCATCTGGTTGGTTCGGAGTAGATAAACCTCCAGCACCAAGGCCGCCAAACATGTTCATCAACAACTCTAGGTTAGCAGCATTAGGCATTCCTGCCACATAAGAAGACATTTAAGACAAAAAAAAAAAAAAAATTGTTTTCATGAAACTGTAAACTACAGTATTGAGAAAAGTTTTTGCAACTCTTGGGTACCTGGGGTAGTACCCGTCTGCGGAGATTCCCTGCAAATGACAAAATAAAATGGTAAGTATCAAGAGAGAGAGAGAGGAGAGAATGGCATCTCCTTGGCAGTCATACAATCAGAAACTGGGTATTCCAAAGGGGATCATCTTACTGGGTTGACTGCTGCCGGTTCATCTGAGACATAAGTGACTGCTGCAGCGTTAGCATCTGTTACAAATACATAAAAGTAAGGACTGTGAGACAAGGGCAAACATACTGAGAAAAATATGACCGCATTGCTAGTCACACGTAAATCTTCAAAGAATGATGTTTCACACGACCACAATGACCATCGATGTACACCTAATGTTAGTATATGAAATATACAATGTCTTGGCTAATCATCTGGATTGGGATGTCTGTCATCATCCCTCAGCAAGAATGTGTGTTAGTCTTCATTGCAGGTTATAAGTAAGAGAATACCAACTATGACAACTGAAGAACGAAATTAAAAATCTAAGAATCATGAACTCTCAAAAATGAATCCACCAACCAAACATTGGTCGCTACCTGGTTCATGTATTCAGGGTTGGAAAGCATGTTTTGCATCATCTGTGAAACAGCTGGATTCTGCAAGAACTGATTCAAATTACCAGCATCAGGCATATTCCCCATCATTTGTTCCATTCCCGGGAGACCAAGCCCTCCAAGTCCAGCAAGACCAGCTGCCCTGGCATCCCCAGCAGCAGGAACTGACCTTGTTGTAGTGGTCGTCTGGCTTCCACCTTTCAAATATGGTAAAAGAGAAAATATGAATGCCCGCTTCAGGTACGGTATGCATATACATAGTAACCTAATAGTTGAACACTTGAACTCAATCACAACCCGTCATTCAAAATACAACCTTGCAGGAAAAGTTGAATCACAACAGTAGAATCTCATATAGTCAAAGTTCCAGTCTTAGAACCTAATTAACACAATCTTGAATGCAAAGTAGAATCACTTAGTTGAATGCAATATATAAATACAAGGTAACAAAGTGAGAATATGTGAGATAAATAGTACTTAGGTATCAAATACCCATGATGAAGCAAGAATATTGCACATAGGAGGTTTCTTAAGAGCATAAACCACCATCTTACCAGAATTACTGTTCCAAGGATTAGGCAGTGGGTTTGTATTTGGAACAGTTAGACCCGGGGTTCCCTCTGCACCGGTGGCTGAAGAGTTATTTGATGCATCCCTGGCCTGTGTCCCACCTTGGTTCCCAAGAAGTGCAGCGAACGGGTTTGAATTCGGGTTACTACCAGCATTAGTATTACCCATTGTGGTTGCGTTAAGAAATGGTTCCTGGACATTTTCATACATACGCCTGAGCATGTTAAATCCCTCGGGGGAAGCTTCAATATTGCTCATTGCTCGATCGGTGTTTCTCATCATCTCTCGCATGAGTTCAGGATTCCTAGCAGCTTCAAGAGTCTGCCTGAGAATGCTAGGGTCGTTGAGCACATGTGCAAGCTCGGGGTTCCTGTCAATGATTTCACGCATTTGAGGATTGCTCATAATCAAGCTCCGCATCAAATCAGGGTTGTTCATCAGGCTCTGGATAGCAGGCATGTTCATTATTTCCCTCATCATGTTCGGGTTCTGTGTCAGCTGCTGCTGTACTTGTTCAAACTCTGGGAGCCCAGTTCCAAACAAGTTAGGAGCTCCACCAGCACCACCACCACCACCACCAAGCATATTCAATCCGAGTCCAGGAAACAGAGATGAACCGAGCCCAGCACCACCAAACGGCCCACCTTCATTGGAGCCCACACCCCTTGTGACGCCTGGTGTAGTATTCTGACTTGTGGGATTTGCTGCAGGTGTGGGGGCAGCACCAGATGCAGGAGTTGATGAAGCTGGAGAGAAACCACGAACCATATGGACTGTGTGATCAGCCTGCAGACCTTCGACCCAAAGAAAGAACAAGAATAGAAAAGGGTCAACCTCGAGAAGCAAAAAAAATAGAACAAAGAGTTGTGTCTATCATGAAGCTGAAGCCCAGAGTTCATATTGCAATTTAACTAGAATCTAATGCATAGCAAGTGCCAATGCACCTAATCTCCAACGTCTAATCCGCAAAATCTCAGGCCCGAGTAATATTCGGCTGAAAGGGTACTACACATCATCCCATCTCATAATCATTTCAGGACTGGCAAAACACCCCGAACAGAGATCACTACAATTTATTTGGTTCAGTGCAGCAATTGGCAATATACGTGCTCTAAAAACAGCAGAAATCAATAGATCATTAACAAAAATTACTAGAAGAAAGCCATCCCCAGCAATCTCTACACTTAACCAACTGACACAATCTGCCTGCATCAACCCACTCGACTCAATACTCAAGTGCCAATAGCTGCACTGAACCAAATAAATGCTAATGCAATCCACGGAAGATCCAGGGCAGAACCCAGTTAAAGAAGCTAACCAAGCAAGAATAACACATTACTGGGAAAATTCCAAGATAAATGAAATTGGGATTAAAATTACCCACCATAGCTAACAAGGGTTTGGTCGTCCTTGAGTATACGACCCTTGTAAATCAACCTCTGCTGCTCAGCGGCCACATCGCAATTCTGGGCCAAGAGCACCTTAAACGCCTGCACAGTCGACTCAAGGCTCGTCCTCACCGAAAATTTGGTGCCGTTGGAGCATCTAACATTAACCACGACCAAATCCTCCCCTCCTTGCTGCTGCTGGGGCGGCTGATCACCACCGCCTGCCTCACTTCCGGCGGGTTTCGTCGAGCTACTCGAGTCTCCTTCGGCTCCCATCTCTCTAATCAATTATCCAATACACAAAACACTCCCCAACTAATCGAACAAACCCTAAAAAAACCAACCCAAATCGTCGATCGGGGCTGATCAGCGGCGATGAAGAGAAAAAAAGCGCGGACGAATGGAAATCGGGGAGCGGAAAATTGAAACGAGAGGAAAAGGGTTTTTGTACGAGAATCGGAAGAGTCTCTCTGTCTTGCGGAAGGGGTAGGGATCGCAATTTCGAGAGAGGATTGAAGAAAGAGCAATTGCTGTGTGCTTGTTGTTATTTACGTTTCGCGGAATATTCTTTTTTTCCTCTCGTACGACATCGACTTTTTTCCCTTTTACCCTTTTCCTCCTCGGAACTCTATTTTCTTTATTTTACTCTCTGAAGAAATTTACTTACAAGTCCCTCAACTCTGCTAACTTTATTGATTAGTGCCTGTATCTTTTTTTCATAAGAAAGAGGACCCTTGAGAGAGAACACATCTAGGGAAGCACTTAAAGAGAGAGAAAAGTACGAATCGATATTGAATTACAAACACATTCAAATAGTATAGCTTGATCTTACAATCAAGTGCTTGTGAACCATTGTCCACCATTAGACCCTTGCTTATATTGATGCCTTTTGCGACGAGAGATGTGAAAATTTCAGACATTAGCCTAGTTTCTTATACGAATCTCATTTGGTAAGGTATAGTTCTTCTCAGATGTCCATTTGGTTCATCATGGTTGAGGGAAGACAACTTCATGAAATCAATTTTTTCATCTTGTTTCGTGAAGTAGGATATCGTGAGAAGCTCGCTTACACATTACATCAACAAGAATGCTCATGAATGGAGCTTAGCATAACCAAATTCCCAGGAAAGAAACTACACAAGAGAGATAAGTGGGGTAAAGAATCAAGCTCAAAGTGTTCACTGGTTGAGGAAGGAGCAATAGTTGATGTAAACTCCTTCATATTCTACAATTGGCAGCTGCAATGGCAAAGAACAGATAGTTTGGATTGTGGATTTGACAAACTATGATTATGAAGAAAAAGAAACTATAAAGAAGATGGCAGAAGCTTGCTGTGACTGCTTACTGCAGTAGATGAACTGGTTGAGATCAAGACTAATTCTGCCTTGCTTAGCTGTATCGAAGGAATTGAAAAGGTTCCTGTCATTACAATAAGGTATGAAGCATCACCATATGTCGAATCCCAGTTAGCAAAAGCAATTGGATTTCTGTCTTGAAGGGGAAACATACCGAGCTGACTGTACAAAGATACAGAGAGAAATGAAGTCGTCCAGACGGAATTTTCCATCCTTCTTCTTATCAAAGCTCTGAGAGAACCCCAGAAACTTATCACAAACATTTGGTATGATACATTTGATCTTAGCAAGTAATTTGACATTTAACTTCAGTAAAATTCGGAGATCGAGTGGCTGAATTACCTCACACACTGTGTAGAAAGACGGTGAGTCGAGGGAGAAACCAACTTTTACTAATCCCTGCAAACATGGAATCAACATTGAAGCTATAGTAGGTGGATGCACATAAGAGTCTGACAACAATGGCCAAAAAGAGCCCATGACTTAAGTGAGCATAATGAATAACAGATCATGTTTGGAGCTACCTCGTATACATCATCAGCAACAAGGTACCCACGATTCCTGCCAAAAAAGAGAAAGAAAGACCTTTCAAATGACTGCAGACATGCCACATACTGATTGCAGTCTAACTACGGACACAGCAGTTGGACTAGGAAAATGTGTCCTCTGATGAGTCATGAATCGGAGCTTCCAAGCATTGTTTTGACTACTCATTGGTAGCATGCAATACTTAACATGTCTAGATCTTAGCTAAACCAAATAAGCAAGAGCAGCGTCGTAACTAGAAAAAAACTAAGATATCTAATCAAGAATATCACAGAGACAGAATGAACTGCAATGGTAAGTCTCTCATCCATAAGATCCAAAAGAGCCACATTAGGGTGGTTTTTTCTTCTTGTAGCTACATAGCGACACAAGGACTTCTAGTGAGTAATTTGTGCATGCAAGAAGGGGAAAAAGAGAGAAGTACATGGAGTTCTAATTGTATAAAGGCTTAAAGCAACCTACTTACCTCTCTAGGTCTGAGAAGGCGTGTTGAACCTGCAAAGTGGACAATCAGCAAAAGCTACTATTAACATATATGTCATTCTTCATGACATGCATGATACATTGGTTTCTACCAGAATGAAGATGAAAAATAGAGCATCATGGACAGGGAGGAGGAAGCCATCTTTTGAAATGAATCAAACACCAGTAGAATTTGGATGCCAAAGCAGGCATGCAGTTTCCATTTTCCAAATCCTAGGAAGTAAGAGTGCAAAAGAACCCATTGCAGCAATCACTACTTTCAACTACAGTCCTAACAGCCAGTAAACCAACAGAAAGGCCGCCTGGGTCATTCTAGTAAAAGACAGGAAGATGACCATATCATTGCTCCAGCCATCACATCATTCTGGTTTTCTGGTTATAGACCAAGAGGAGAAAACTCTAACCTTTATGAGGAACTTGTTCAGTGCAACGAATTCTGCACATGCAGCACCAAGAAAACAACAGATCAGTTCATCAGCAAACAATAGGAACCACATGTCCAAGGTCATGATCAAAGTTTAAGGCTTTTCAATCTTACCATCAAAGCTCATAGTCCCATTCCCATCAAAATCGTACATCCTGATGAAAGAACACACATAAACCACCATTAAAACCTCAGCTCAACAATAGCTCAATCCAGGCATACAGAATTGAGAAAGTGGGCAAGCTGCAGAAAAGCCACCTGATCATTTGTTGAACCACAGAAATAGGGAATTCCAGGTTGCCAACCGCCAAAGCACTCTGATTGAGATGGTCATCATCAATACCATCGATTTCATTTATTACTCCGGGCAATTTTGTAGTGAGAAATAGATAGAGAGGATTGAGTGAGAAGAAGGTACCTTGAGCTGAGTTGCAGTGATGCTCCCGGCTTTCTCCGAGTCAACTCGGTCGAACCACTCTCTCAGAATCGCCGGCGCGTTCTCCATCTGTTTTCTTCCGGCGGCTATGTTTTTTCTTTTTCCCTTTTCTCCCCTTTCTGTCTAATTTCCCGCAGAGGATAACTAACTGCTAATTAAAATTTTAACCAGTTGAATTCATGATTATTTTACTGATTATTTAATTTATTTATTTATTCTGCACAGTTCCTTCCCCACAGATATTAGTGGGCGAAAGCCAATAGGCTGGTCAGACTTTTCCTTTTCTGAATTTCTTCTTCGCAATCTGTAATTTGTTTTCCCTTTTACGTTTCTCTCTCTCTCTCTTTCTCTGCTTTCTTCCTCCTAACCAACTCTCGTCGTCTTCACTGAAATCCTCTGTTTTCTATTCCCAATTCGCTCCAAATTTCTCGTCTTTTTGTTTCTGGGTTTAATCGGATCAATTCAGTTGAAGATTCCACCTGAAAGTAAGGGAAGAAAGTTTTGATCTTCCTCCCTGGAGAGAAAAATTTTCCCGGGAAAAAAGAATTATGCTTTGGGGCATCGGCAGAGGGAAGAAGGATTCAGAAATTAGTTGAAGGAGTGGGAGGGGGAGGGGAAGCAGGCGAATGAACTATCAGGATCTCTTGTCTCATTACTACATCCTGCTGGGCTATTCTCCTCCGATATGGGCGTCTATGCTCGCCGGTGCTTTAATGGCGGTCAGCCTCTCATTGTCTTGTTACCTCCTCTTCGAGCACCTCTCTGCTTACAAGAACCCTGAGGTTTTTCTTCTTCCCCCGGCTTCTGAATTCGATCGTGGACTTTTAGCTCCTCCTTTGGTTTCCACTCGGTACTGAATGTTCAGTTTTGTTTCATGTTTTTTCCCCCCCATTTTTACAGGAACAGAAGTTTCTGATTGGAGTAATTCTCATGGTTCCTTGTTATGCCACAGAATCTGTAAGATAAGCTAGATTGTTCTCCTTCAGTGTTTGCTGTTGTTCCCTTTTCTCTATCATTAATTTAATGAATTGAGTTTGAATTTTTGACAGTTTATATCGTTGGTCCATCCATCAGTTAGTGTTGATGTTGGGATTCTACGGGATTGCTATGAATCCTTTGCCATGTATTGCTTTGGGAGGTACCTTGTGGCTTGCTTGGGTATGTATGTAGTAACTTCTTTAAGAGCTCTTGTGTTGTGAATGATGCTGGTTCCTTAGTTTAAAATTCAATGCACATGGTTGGCTATGAGATGTTGCTGGAGTGTCATGATAGCATAATCGAAAGCATACCAGTTTCTACCTTGTTTAGGAAATCTGGGGTGTAGTCTTTGCATATAGATTTATTTATGAATGTAGTGCCACACCTTGTTAGTTCTAGAACTAGAATAGCCACTTGAGCTTTGTATTCTCCATGAAGCTCTTGCCAAAACCTTCAGAAAACCAAGAATAAGGTTAAATAGGTTCACATTTGAGGGTTTTGATTACCATCTGACAGCATTTTAACTTGATTTCCTCTTGTTCATTTCAAAGGTGGAGAAGAAAGAGCAGTCGAGTTTATGGAGAGACAAGGGCGTGCAAGCACCAAGACTCCACTTTTAGAACATGGTCACGAGAAGGGAACCGTTAAGCACCCGTTTCCGATGAATTATTTCGTAAAGCCGTGGAGGCTTGGCCGGTGGTTTTACCAAGTTGTGAAGTTTGGTATTGTTCAATATGTATGTTCCTACTTCCCCTGAAATTCACACATTTTGTTTACTATTGTTTTTGTTTTCTAAATATTCCTTAGCTTGAAACTTCGTTCACTCTTATCTTTGGCAGATGATCATTAAGGCTTTCACTTCGATTTCAGCTGTAGTTCTTGAGGCCTTTGGAGTCTATTGTGAAGGCGAGTTCAAATGGAACTGTGGGTAAGTTGTATTATGAATGCTTAATGGAGTGTTTTGTCTGCTTCGTGCTTAAGTTATTGAATTCGCAATGTTTCTTGCGCTGGCTTTGACAAGCATATAAGTTTGTACCATCTGAATTTTTGGGTGTTGCCCTTGGTTTTTCAGGTATCCTTACCTGGCAGTAGTTCTAAACTTTAGCCAGTCATGGGCTCTCTACTGTTTAGTGCAATTCTACACCGTAACAAAGCATGAGCTAGCCCACATAAACCCATTATATAAATTCCTAACCTTCAAATCGATTGTGTTTCTGACGTGGTGGCAAGGAGTCACAATCGCACTTCTCTCTTCCCTCAATTTGTTCCGAGGTCCCATCGCTCAAGCCTTGGAATTCAAGTCAAGTGTGCAGGACTTCATAATCTGTGTTGAGGTATATTTGGTGACAATCGATCTCGTGTCATCATAGTTATAGTCCAATTGGTATTTGAAATCATATATCTAGAGTAATTTCTTTTTCTTGGAGATGATTGAGGTCTAACAGGTCTGATGGATTCATCCAGGACAGATGGGCATTGCTTCGGTTGTTCATCTGTATGTTTTCCCTGCAAAGCCATATGCACTGATGGGAGATCGTTTCACCGGAACAATTTCTGTCCTTGGAGATTATGCATCAGTGGATTGCCCTATAGATCCCGATGAGGTCAGGGACAGTGAGCGCCCTACTAAACTACGCCTCCCCCAGCCTGATGAAGATGTCAGGAGCGGGATGACACTGAAAGAAAGTATGCGGGATGTGGTTGTTGGTGGCGGTGGATTTGTAAGTTCTTTTGAAACTATGACGCCAATTGTTATGAATAGCTCAATGGTTATGTAGCCACTTAGCTGAGATGAAAGAAAGTGGTTGATGCATACATCTACTAGGAAAATTGTTCGTAACTCCGTTTCTAACATAATGTTGTCATGTTGTGAGCTTCCATACTGGTTGCTACTTACCCTACCTACTTTAGTGAAGACTTGATTCCTGCCGTTTTGGCTTATGGATTTGAATGGTGGACTGACTGCTAACCCAACAATTGATTTCAAAAGGCTTTCAATTCTGAACAATCTAGCCATCTCAACAATCTACCAATCACGCCTTATGTTTTTATGAGTCCGGTTATCAAGTATTTGACTGAAGCCATTTTATCTATACTGTGTTTCCTGCATTTGTCTCGTTCTGAATGTTCACTTTTCATACCTTCTGCAGATAGTCAACGACGTTAAGTTCACTGTAACCCAGGCAGTGGAGCCAGTGGAGAAGGGAATCACGAAATTCAATGAGAAATTACACAAGATCTCTGAGAATATGAGAAAGCATGATAAGGATAAGAAGAGAACGAAGGATGACAGTTGTTTATCATCCCCGCGGAGAGTCATTCGTGGTATAGATGACCCTCTCTTAAATGGGAGTGTGAGTGACAGCGGGGTAACAAGAACGAAGAAGCATCGACGGAGAGCAGGGAATAGTAATAATAATAGTGGTGAGAGTGGTGGAGAAAGCAACAGCGACCAGAGCTATGGTGGTTATCAGGTCAGGGGCAACAGGTGGATAACTAAAGATTAGGAGAAAACGTATAAGAACTGGCCAGATGATTATTGCAACTTGTATAGAGTATCTATAGAGAGCTTGCTATTTTTGTGATGCTGCTATGACTCTGACTGTATTAAGAAAGTTTGGTAATCTTGTTTGAAGAACTCCCACTTCGTTTCTTTCAATTGAGCTAAGCATATCTTCATCAGTCATCACCATTGCAGCTGAAAGAGTTAAAGCTCGATGGGAAATTACACGCACACAAGTGCACAACGATAGGCAGATGCTAATTGCTATTAATGAAATCAACATTTAGGTTTTGTTTGTTACATCTGCAGCCATGAATTGGAATCGGAAAGCCTTATTTTTTCGGCCCTAGGTCACACAACTCCTCGCAGTTCTCCAGTTAGCAAGGCAAACTTCCGGTGCTGGGATAAGACAGAAGGGCTTCTGACTGCTTGGAGTCTGGACACAACGTCTTCACTCCCTGTTGATCCTTCTTGCTTGGCAGCTTGGAGTACCGTCTGCAAGATTTGCAAGGGATCACCATGGCTAACCACCAAGATTGCACATCTGTAGTTGAATAATATGTCAGAATCGAATTTGGTTCAAATGTTGGAATGACTTCTTTGACAAGCAATAATTAGTTGTACTCACCTTTCAAATTCCAACTCTAGTTTTGAGATGACAGTAGAAAGTCTGGTAGCAACATCATTCACACTTTCTCCACCTTCTGGTTGCGCGAATGGGTCCTTCTCATCAAGTGCCCATATCTCTGCATACTGTTATCGAATAGAAAAGCCAATAATAAGGATGAAAAGTAAAGCTGAACTGAAACAGTACTACAAACGATATGAACACATCGACTAACCTTATCGTGTGACTTAAGTTCGAACGAAGGGCCAAAATACCGTTCCCTGAGATCTTCAATCACCTGATGTAGTAACATGTGATTCATTCAGTGCGGTTAGGAACTAGAAACCAAACGCAGAGTCCAGCAAACAACAACTTTCACTGCGCTGAATCTGGTTACTTCTGTTCGAGAACAAAATGGCTGAGGATACCTCAGCACTCTTAGACTGCTGTGTGTTGTTCTTATGCATAGTTCATACGAGGGACAGCACAAGAGCAGAGCTCATTAACATACTGACCTTACATTGAGGGCCTTCAAATGGGATACTTAAAGCTGATGCAGCAACTCTAGCAGTGTGGCTTGTTCTAGCAAATGGAGAATAGCAGATTCTCACACTATCAAGTGGAATACCGTTTTCCTTCAACTCCTGCATACACCAAACAATTTTACAAGTTCCCCAACATAGCCTTATTGCAATGAGTTTGCTTGGCAACATTGTAGAAGAACGGAATCTTCAGAAAGCCAATGGAAAAGGAAAATATGTAACCTCGAGGAACAATTCTCCAGCCAACTGTGCCTGAATAACGCCTTCCTCGGCGAGTTGGTATTCTGGACGGATGCCATTCTCCTGTTCAAATGCTCACCAGTCAGTAATAACTAAATACTAAAGCAAATGTGAATCCAGCAGAAACCCAGATACTGGTGATCAAAATACATAGTCTTCAACCAGAAAACGCTCACTAGGTTGGTACTAAATACTGTAAAAATTCAATCTTTACAATTCGTGAAATTAAAGGGGGAAGTGGGGGGAAAAGGAAGTAACCATTGAGGAGACGATGATTCCTTTCTCGTTTGGAATGCTTTTCCCATGCCTCAGTACCCAGTATCTATTCCTCAAGAACGCTGGCGCCGGTGCCGGTGCCGCCGCCTCCTCCTTCTCCGCCATCTCCGTCGCCACTTTTCTTATTCACTCTCCGGCGATCGCGGGGGGATTGGCAGAAGAATATCAGCAATCGTCAGTGACCAACGAGCAACGACCAATCGATTTTGTTCATACCGGCCGGGCATCCAAATCTGGCCCAATTAACACTGTCTGGGCCGTCATATGGAGCCCACTTCTAGATAACGGGTCTAATTTATTCCAGCCCACGCAATTCACGCCAACTCCTCCTAGAGCTAGTTGCAACGTTAAATTACTAATTAATTATCCACGCCGGCCTCACATTCACACACCGATAATCCTACTAAATTATTAGTTAATCACACTCCTAATCCCAATTGCAAGAACGGAACTTTATATCTACATTCTCAAGACAAATGGAAATGGAATCAAATGCTTCTTTTATTTTTTTTTTATTTTTTCGTGGGTTAAGTTCCAATTCATATCAAATCAGATCGTATTGTACCAAATTGATATTGAGTCAGTTCAAATCGAATAAATTTATGTTCAATTTTAATCTTAAGAATGATTTTAAATATAAAGAAAAAATGGATCGAAATCAAAATTTACCGGCCCAAATGAATTAATCATGATTTTGGTCTAATTTTGATTCTGATTTTCCTTATGTTTCTTATTTAATTCAGTCATGATTCGATCTGGTTTTGAATCGGGTCGACCGAAACCAACCCCTAGTTATGGACCCAATTTTATTTGAGTTCTCCTTTGGACAACACAAACCAAGTCCATCGTCCATTCTTCTCCATTTTCTTCCCAAGAAGAGAAACATCCGAACCCAAAACATGGCCGCTTCACCACCCACAGTCGCCGCCGCGACGTTACCACAGCAAGTGCACTTCGTCCTTTTCCCGTTCATGGCACAAGGCCACATGATCCCAATGGTCGACATCGCCAAGCTCCTAGCCTCCCGCCACGGCGTCCTCGTCACCATCGTCACAACTCCGGTCAACGCCGCCAGATTCAAATCCCCGCTCGACCGCGCAATCAACGAGCTCCGCCTTCCGATCACCGTCGTTCAGCTCCGTTTCCCCTGCTCCGAAGCAGGGCTCCCCGAAAACTGCGAGAGCGTCGACCTGCTCCCTTCCGTCGCCTCCCTCGCCGGAATCTTCCGCGCCGCCGCATTAATGGAGCCTCAGGTCGAAACCCTTTTCCAAACCCTCAATCCGTCTCCCAGCTGCATCGTCTCCGACTTCTGCCTCCCTTACACCAACAGGATAGCGAAGAAATCCGACGTGCCGAGGATCAGCTTCCACGGATTCAGCTGCTTCAGCCTCCTCTGCCTCCACTTGATGAAGCTCCACGAGGACGAATTCCAGAGCTGCGCGAGCTCCGACCACGAATACTTCGTCGTCCCGGGGTTCCCGGGAGGAATCGAGCTCACCAGGGAGCAGCTTCCGTTGCAGTCGAAGAAGCCAGGGGATGATCTAGGGAAGGCGGAGTCGGAGGCAGAGTCGGAGGCTTATGGGGTCATTGTGAACTCGTTTGAGGAAATGGAGGCAGAGTACCTGAAGGAATTCAAGGAGGCGAAACAGGGGAGGGTTTGGTGCGTTGGGCCCGTTTCACTGACGAAACGTTTCGAATTGGATGATTTGGAGAGAGGGAACTCTTCGCCGTCAGTTCGTGTCGATCAGTGTCTAAGTTGGTTGGATGACAAGGAACATAATTCTGTGATTTACGTCTGTTTGGGCTCTATATGCAACCTCTCGTCGGCACAGCTGATCGAGCTCGCATTAGGGCTCGAGGCGTCGGAGAAGGCGTTTGTGTGGGTCGTCAAGGAGATTGAGAAGACCAAGGAGCTTCTCGATTGGATGGCGGATGAGAAGTTCGAGAAGAGGGTTTCTCCGAGAGGGATGTTGATACGAGGGTGGGCGCCGCAGGTGATGATCTTGTCCCACCCTTCCGTTGGAGGGTTCCTCACTCATTGTGGCTGGAATTCTTCCCTGGAGGGGATTAGTGCAGGGGTTCCATTGGTGACGTGGCCTATGTTTGCGGATCAGTTCTGCAACGAGAAGCTAATCGTGGAGGTGGTGAGAACAGGTGTGAAAGTTGGAGCGTGGCGCCCCACGATCTGGGATGGGAAGGAGGAAACGAAGGAAGTGTTGGTGACGAGGGAGCAAGTGGAGAGAGCGGTGAGACTAGCGATGGATGGTGGAGAGGAAGGAGAAGGGAGAAGGAAGAGAGCACATGAGCTTGCTGATATGGCGAGACGAGCCGTGGGAAATGGAGGATCTTCTCACAAAAATGTTGCCATGTTGATCGAAGATATTATTCAACAGCAAGAGCTAAGAAAACAGTAGGGAAGAATCGTGTTACTTTATTCAAAATTGGCTAAATTACACGTTCGGTCACTCAAATTATACAAATCTTTCACGTTTGCCACCCGAATTACTTTTCTTTCTTATTCGCCACTAACTTTACAAATCGTTTCACGGTTGGTCACCGGCCTTTACACTCCGTTTAGTTTGTCCTACGTGGCAGTCAACTATAAACTTTGACCGTTAACTAGATGACGTGGAAATTAAAAAAAAATTCTTTCCACCTCATCATTGCACTTAAATATAGGTCTATGTTCGATATGTATTGTTAGCTAATTAATTAAGCATTAAATATAATCGTTTTCATTCAAGAGGGACGCGGAGGGGCTCTGATACTATTTTTTCGACCAAGATATTGTCTACGTTGGCCATACACATGCACGATTTTTGCCTTGAGGTACATATCAAGGTGACTTATCATAAGTTACCCATACTTGTTGTACTCCACGTTAAACACGTTTAACTTTGGAGTTCTTGTAACTCTTTCATTTCACCCAAAAATCGCATCTTCTCCGTTAATATCGATTTCTTATTTATAAACCATGAATATTTTTCGGACTTTGTCGATGCTGGATTGTGTTACCGTATATATTACCATTATCAACAAGAAAAAAACAATTGAAGCTAACAGCTAGTACATGGGTAAGCAAGATCGTAGGGATCTGAGTGTTCGGTGGTGAGTGTCTGAGTGACATAAATGAGGTTATGAAGAGCAACATGGTAAGCATGGTGAGTAATTGATAATTGCCGTTGACTAATTAGAACATTAGCCTCGGCTGGCGAGCTTGGACTTGCATGATTAAAATTTAAAGTCATCATCACCAATCCTATATTTAATTAATGCATGATGTTAAAAAAAAAAAAACCCTACTTGATTAAGGGATGTCATAATAATAATAATTATTATTATAATTAGAATAGTATAAGTTTGATTTAAGGAGTTTGGTGGGGTGCACGAGGGTGCACGATAAGTTCCTAACAATCCATCTAGAATTGCTGTCTGATTCATCAAAATGTTGTTGAGAGAGGTCCATGAATGATATTTAACAATTTTCTTACACGTCCCCCTCAAATGAAAGTCAAATAATGAGTTTGAAGTTTGTATAGGGCCAACACACGTGATCTCAAAGACAAACTAGCTCTTATAACATGTCATAAATCAACTGGTCCCAATAACTCGAGTTATTGGGATCAACTGGTTCTTGACATTGTATCAGAGCTTTCTATGATTCAGAGGTCTTATGTTCGAATCCCTATGTGATATGAACTTGGGTGCTGCTATTTCATTAGACTATAACTCATTTGTTCTTGTATTTCAAATTCGAATATAATAGTTAAAAGCTATTTCGTATCCCAATTACGGGCTCCCCTTATCTAGTGGGATATATCTAGGGTGTCCTCTCATAAAAATTAAGTTAAATTAATTATTAAATAAGAAAATATCTGAATTTACATTTGATTTTCAATGAATGGTTATTTCCATGGTTCAAAACGATGTGCTTAGAAGTGGGGACAGGTTAAGGTAAAGGTAAATTGGGTATGAAAAAATAATTTTTATTAATTAATTTTATAATAAATTACATTTTGGGCAGTTACAAAAATATATTAATTATAATTATCTCTCTTTCTCTCATTTCCGTAATCTCCAGCCAGACCTTGTTTTCTTATTTTTCTCAATCTTTCTAAAAAAAATTACTATCAATCCATTAGCCACCACCACTTCGAAAAACACCAATACCATTATAACAAAAAACAAGAAATCAATACCAATCCATTAAACAACCACTACAACTTCGAAAAACACTACAGTTGCACAAAACACTAATATCGTTCGAGAAATAAAAACACTACAATTTCACAAAACACCAATACCATTGCAGATTCAATCAAAATCAAAACATGTAAATTAATACCATTACATGATAATCAATACCAATCCATTATATAAATCAAATAATATCATTGCATAAATAAATCAATACCATTATGAAAAACAAAACTATACCATTTCATAAAACGAAACAAAAAAAAACAGTACCAAAACAATAAAAAATCAAATCAAAACCTCTCATGTGCTCCTAGAGAGAGAGAGTGAGTGAGGAGATCATGTGAGGGAGAGGAGGGAAGGCAGGGTGGGGTGGTTGGTGGGGAAGAAGATGACGGGAGGTAGCAGGAGGGGAGGGGAGGAGGGCGGCGGAGGGAAGGCGGCGGGGTGGCGCGGCGGGTGGGGAGGAGGGCGACGGGAGGTAGCGGGTGGTGTGAGGGGGAGGGAAGAGGGACGATGGGGAGGGAGATGAGTTGCAGTAGGATTAGGGTTTGAGTATAATATATAAAATAATAAGGTGTGGTATTTTTTCATTTTTAAATTTATCCTTAATCTAATCTTCACCGTTAATTTAAAAATAATGTAAAATAGAGATAACGAGTGGTGTAGATTTTGGTAGCCACCATGATTACTAAAAATTAAGTAACTTTGCTAACCTATTACCTTAGAAGTGTTATGAAAAAGGTTCCATAAATACTCTCTTCGACATCTAATCAGAAGTAGGGTCATTTAGATATAATCACTCCCGTTATTTTGTTATCAATTATGTTTAGTATCTATACTCTATTTAAATCGAAGAAATATATTGTTCCCCTCTATTGGTGGATTAACTAGCATGGTACATATTGTGTTAGTGAATCATGTAAATATATGCGTCTCTTTTTTCTTACCTTACATTATCGATTACCCGCTCTATCGCAATTTTACTAGAGTCTTCGACGAGTGAGAGATCCTGTGTTCGAATGTCAAAAAATCCCAGTATTTATCAAGATGAGAAATTCGTGATTTATAAGTAAAAACTCAACTTTAACATATAAGTTGCGTTTTGTGGTGAAACGAAAGAGTTTTTGTAAGAATTTCGAAGTGAAACGTGTTGCTCACTATAGAGCATTGCAAGTATGAGTGATCTCAATATTTTGTCGCGAAAAGGTTCGGAATATTACCATATATAATAGAAGCTGAACATGCAGCTAGCACATGTGTTACAGAGATAAGGAGCTAGGGAGAATTAATGAAGAAGGAAGATCGAGGGGATCTGAGTGATAAATAAATAATGAAACAAATGATATTATGAATAGCAACATGGTAAGCATGGTGAGGAATTAAAAAGATGTATTTGATTAAGGGATGTAATCATAATCAATATATATAGGATATGAAAATGAGAATCTGAGAACTCTATATCATCTTAAAAGTTGAAACCCAAGCTTTAACTACAGAAAACCGGCCGAGAACTAAGAGCCTTTAATTTCTCAACATCCCGCTTCACGTGTTCCATTTGCCATCACTAGAAGGAGTATGGGGTCGGGTGGTGACTGATTAATTAGATTATATTTGAGAGCTGATAATGACTGATTAATTAGAATATTAAACTCGGCCGGCGAGGTTGGCCTTGCATGATTAAAGGCGTAATCATCAACCTGTTACTTGATTAAGAGATATAATAATCAATATATAGGTCGAACATGAGAAAAAGCTCTTAAAACCCAACCTTTTACCCACAGAGAAACCGACAACCACAGAGCCTTTAATTTCCCGACATGGCGGCCGCCGCCGCCGCCGCGCCTTACGACCGGATCGCCGAGCTGAAGGCATTCGACGAATCAAAAGCCGGCGTGAAAGGGTTGGCGGACGCCGGCATCACCGAGCTGCCTCGATTCTTCCACGCGCCGCCGCATCTCCTCCACGACTACCCTACCGCTGCAGCCGGCGATCCCAACTTCGCCTTCCCCGTCATCGACCTGGAAGGCGGCGCGTGGGAACAAGATCCCGACAAGCGGAAGCGGATTGTTGCGGAGATCAGTGACGCGTCGGTTAACTGGGGGTTCTTCCAAGTAGTCAACCACGGCTTCCCGGCCAGTCTCGTCGCGGAAATGAAAGCCGGAGCCCACAGGTAACAGAACTAATTTTCACATACATCTTGTTATGGTTTTAAAATGGGTAAATAAGAGGGTTGGTCACCGACATTATTAAATCGTGTTATGTTTAGTTACCAGTAAAAATTAGTATCATTTTTGGTCACTTGAATTACTAAAGCAGGTAGCCTCAGCCTAACTCCGGTAACTCGAATTACTTTTTTTTTTTATGAATGTCACTCGAATTACCGAAACATGTCGCATTTAGTCACTCTCCCGTTAGCCTCCGTCCAACTCCAATATTTCAGTAATTCGAGTGACCAAAATTGATATTAATTTTTTCTGGTGACTAAACATGACATGATTTAGTAATATCAGTGATCAAATGTGGCATTCATCCTTTTTAAAATAGATTATATGCCGTCAATTACAAGTCATAGGGTGTATGTCGCTTCAAGTGTAGTGAAATTGATCTCTCCTGCTTATGGATTATCTAACACACGTCGTATTAGTGAACCATGTAAATATTTTTTTTTTGTTATTTTACTTTTTTGCATTGTCGATTTCCCATCCATTACGAAATTTGTATATCATCGTTTTTTCACATGATGGGTTTCGTCATAGATTCTTTGAGCTGGATGTGGATGAGAAGAAGCAATACTACAGCCACGACATGAGGAAGAAAGTCGTCCACCACAGCAACTTGAACATTTACACAGCTCCCACCATCAATTGGAGGGACACCATCATGTTTCAGATGGCACCAGATCCGCCGGAGCCAGAGGAGTTACCAGCTTGCTGCAGAGATGTCGTAACAGAGTACTCGAGGGAGATACTGAAATTTGGAGAATTGCTCTTCCAGCTGTTGTCTGAGGCTCTAGGGTTGAAGCCAGATCACTTGAAGGAAATGGGTTGCGCAGAGGGAGTGAACCTGCTGTACAATTACTACCCGGCCTGTCCTCAGCCGGAGCTAACTCTAGGGACAACCCAACATGCCGATGTTGGGTTCATATCTTTGCTCGTACAGGATCACATCGGAGGACTTCAGGTTCTTCATCGGGATCATTGGGTCGACGTGCCTCCGGGTTCAGAGGGTATTGTGGTCAACATCGCGAATCTGCTTCAGGTGATGTCTAATGACAAGTTTACGAGCGTGAAGCACAGAGCGCTGGTGAAGAGCGTTGGACCGAGAGCGTCGGTTATTGCCTTCTTCGGTGTTGGATATGCATCGGGCTCGAGAATTTATGGACCCATAGAAGAGCTGGTGTCGGAAGAAAATCCTCCGAGATACAGGAAGACCACGGTCGAAGATTTCCTCACTCAATCTTACAAGCAAGGTCTTAATGGAATGTCTTTTTTGGACAATCTTAAACTCGTGGTAGATTAGCTAGGGTTTCGAACGTGATGCTATCAGCTTCTGCACGAATAGTATATGATTGATATGTTTGTTTTTTCTTTGTGAATAAAGGTGCTTGATAAGTATAAGGTTGTTCATCTATGATTCTAATGTAATTGTATTTACTGTTTCTAATTTGATTTTTTGTAAAACATTTGTTATGCCAAAATTCAATCATTGTTTGTCATATATATTTTCAAAGAGAATTGAACAAATGCTATGTAATAATTTTGTAGACAATCAATACAAATAAGGACGATGATCACTAAAATTCAATCATTGTTTGACATATTTGGTATTTCTACGTAGCAAACAGATAATGCCGCCGCCGCCGCCGCTATCTCAGTCGCCACTTTTTTATTTACGCTCCGGCGATCCCTTCCTCCGACTACCAACCACTTTTGTCCAAGTGGGCTTTGCTTCGGCATCTAGATCGACCCAATACATCATATGGGCCTCAATCCGAAGCCCAATTTTCGCACGTCGCTCCGTCCCCAACTCCCAACTCTTCCAACCCATTGCTACTGCGGATGTGCGAAGCTTTTTCAATGCTTAAACTCTGCAAACTCCCTTTTTTTCCCGTTAAGATTTCCCCCAAGAATCCTCCGAAAACTGCCGAATTGCCAGCAGAAATTCCTAGCTCCTCCCTCGATTCGCCACCCAATTGCCGCCACACTGCATAGCAAGTCGACTCCGAGCTTAGAATCGCGATCATGGCACTCAATCTCCGCCAGAAGCAAACAGGTAAGGGTTTTCATTACTTCCTCCGCTGCCCAGATCTCCTTTCTAGCCATTGTTACTCGAGAACAGTTAGTGAATCCGAAATCAGCTCGAAAGCCCCGCTCTTTGTTATGTTCGAATTCTGGATGTTAAGGTTTAGCTGAAATCAATCCGGTCAATTTGCTGAGAAAATCGCTGAAAATTTTCCTCTGTTGAATCTGGGATTTCGTTTGTGTGCTGTACAGAATGCATAATCAGGATGTTGAATCTGAACCAACCCGTGAATTCTACGGGCACGGCCAATGAAGAAGTGTACAAGATCTTGATCTACGACAAGTTCTGCCAAAACATCCTCTCCCCATTGATCCACGTCAAGGATCTGCGCAAGCACGGCGTGACCCTCTACTTCCTCATTGATAAAGATCGAAAGCCGGTTCACGATGTACCCGCTGTGTACTTCGTCCAGCCGAGCCAACCCAACATCCACCGCATCATCACCGACGCCTCTCGTGGCCTCTACGACAGCCTGCACTTGAACTTCTCGTCCTCCATCCCCAGACCCCTCCTGGAGGATCTCGCCTCGGGAACCCTAGGATCGGATTCGATAAACAGGATTGCAAAGGTTCATGATCAGTACTTGGAGTTTGTGACATTGGAGGATAGCTTGTTCTCTTTAGCACAGAAGTCTACTTATGTCCAGTTGAATGATCCTTCGGCTGGGGATAAGGAGATTGAGGAGATCGTGGAGAAGATCGTGAGTGGCTTGTTCTGTGTGCTGGCCACCCTGGCTGTTGTCCCGGTGATTAGATGCCCACGTGGAGGGCCAGCTGAGATGGTAGCCTCAGCGTTGGATCAGAAGCTGAGGGATCACTTGCTGGCTAAGAATAACTTGTTCTCTGAGGGTGGCAACTTCATGAGCTCGTTTCAAAGGCCCATTCTTTGCTTGTTCGATAGGAATTTCGAGCTGGCGGTTGGGATTCAACACGATTTCAGGTACTGTCCACTTGTTCATGATGTGCTGGGGCTGAAGCTCAACAGGCTGACTGTGCAAGGAGAGAAGGGCGGGATGAGATCGTATGAATTGGACAGTTCAGATCCATTCTGGCTTACAAATGGATCTCTCGCGTTCCCTGATGTCGCGGGGGAAATTGAGACCCAGCTGAACAAGTACAAGAAAGATGTCGATGAGGTGAATCGAAGGACAGGTGGTGCTGATGGACAGCCGGAGTTTGAAGGAACCGACTTGATTGGTAACACAAAGCATCTGATGAATGCAGTCAATTCACTGCCCGAGCTGACTGAACGAAAGCAGGTGATTGATAAGCACACCAACATTGCAACAGTTTTGCTAGGTGAGATCAAGGAGAGGTCTTTGGACTCCTATGCTAACAAGGAGAATGACATGATGATCAAAGGAGGGATTGATAGAAGTGAGCTAACGTCGGTTCTCAAAGGGAAAGGAAGCAAGATGGACAAACTGAGGTTTGCAATCATCTACCTCATATCTTCAGAGACCATCAACCCACAAGAGGCGGAGCTAGTCGAATCAGCTCTCAAGGAGTCAGAAGTCGACACCTGTGCATTCCAGTATGTGAAAAAGATCAAGTCTTTGAACGTCCAGCTTGCATCAGCAAATTCCGCAAGCAGAAGTAACATTGTGGATTGGGCAGAGAAGCTGTACGGTCAGTCATTGAGCGCTGTCACTGCTGGCGTGAAGAACTTGCTGTCGGGCGGCAGACAACTGGCTTTGACTAGGACAGTGGAGGCCTTGATGGAAGGTAAACCGAATCCTGAGATTGATAACTATCTCGTGCTTGATCCGAGGGCCCCCAAGTCGAGCTCCGGGGCAGGGGGATTGAAAGGCCCGTTCAAGGAAGCGATTGTGTTCATGGTTGGTGGAGGGAATTATGTCGAGTATGAAGGTTTGCAGGAGCTTGCTCAAAGGCAGCAGCCCGTGAAGCATATTGTATATGGGACGACGGAGATTCTGACCGGTGCAGAGTTTGTGGATCAGTTGACTCTGTTGGGGCAAAAGATGGGATTGGGGGTTAGTAGTGCTAACCCACCTGCGCCTGCTCAGTAGAATCCCACATGTTCTTTGTATATGCATATGCATTTGGAAGATGAAGTAGCCAATTATCTTGCGTGGAAAAGTCGAAAGGCTGCTGCTCAGCAGAGCCGTTATTACTCTCTGATATGACATAGTTCCCCCCTGTATGTCGATGTTTTTTGTTCATTTAAATCAGATGAGATTAGCTTGAGTTGGTTTTTGGGATTTGCACACAATCTACAGACGGTGGACCATATTTTTGTAGGTAATCTCTGTTAATGGGAAATTTTGGGGCAGTCTTCATTGGAAACTGGTTCCCCTCTTCTTTTTTCTCCTACTACATATTGTTGAGTGTTGACACTGTTATGGTAAAAAAACATAAAGGTCAAATTTAAGTTATAGTATAACTTGAAAAGTTGAAGTTGTACGACAACATAAAGGTCAAATTTACTTATGGTGCAACTATAACTTTTACATTTAATGTTATGGTACAACTTAAAATTGTACTTTAAAGCATAATAGAAGTGCTCATTTTGTCTGTGTTTACACTTTACAGTGCACTAATCTGTACTGAATTCATATATGTTGTATACTTCTATATATATATAGTTCGAACATATTGGTTTAACAAGTGGTATGGTCCGGTCGAGGTTAAACTCGGTATATATTGATTTTAACAAATACATGGAAAATTAGTAACATCACGTATATATAACATATCTTAATACAATTTCTCTACCGTCTAAATTCATATTTAAATAAAATACAACATTACAAACATAATGACAAATACTCACAATTAAACATAATATTTAATGGCAACGTCATAATATTTAATATTTATATATGGTTGAATTCAACAAGTAATATCATTTAAATATCCAATTTGAATAAGAAAGTTATTTCCTCTCCACGAGACTTCCTCTCTATTGGTGTGGGGGTGTGCAACAGTTCGGTTCAAATAAACTCATAAGAACCGCGATCCATTAGTGAAAGACATCTTAGGATGAAAAACCAAACAAATATTGCATTCGGTCCAATTCGATTAGGTTCAAATATAAGTTCAGTCCACCATTTATTCAGCAATCATAAAATCAATGAGAAACAAAAACCAAACCACAGTATACTCGATCTGGTACAATCCAATTTAATCCGGTACGGACCGGACCATTCCACCACCCCCTACTATTATTGGTCCAACCAACATCCAATCCGATTCTCCACTTTTTGTTCACCATTAGACTCCCATGCAAATTCCTAATATTAAAAGATAATTTTTAAAAAAAACTAACCAATACCCAAAATTCCCTTTCCCCTCGACATAACATTAACAACACCGTAGAGAGAAGAAGAAAACAGGACAAAAGAAATCCCTACGTCTTCCTCCCGATCAAAAAATACATCCAATCACAAAACAAAACAATGGCGCGCCGATCCCTCCCCGATCTCCTGAAACGCCTCTCCCCCGCCACGGCAGCGCCGTCACCGCGCTCCCGCTCCATCACGTACATGCCGCGTCCCGGCGATGGGACCCCACGCGCCGTAACCCTCATCCCCGGCGACGGGATGGGCCCCTTGGTGACGGGCGCGGTGGAGCAGGTGATGGAGGCGATGCACGCGCCGGTCTACTTCGAGCGGTACGAGGTGCGCGGCGACATGAAGGCTTTCCCCTCGGAGGTGATCGAGTCGATCCGGCGGAACAAAGTCTGCCTCAAAGGCGGGCTGATCACCCCCGTCGGCGGCGGGGTGAGTTCTCTGAACGTGCAGCTGAGGAAGGAGCTGGACCTCTACGCTTCGCTGGTGAACTGCCGGAACATGCCCGGGCTGCCGATTCGGCACGAGAAGGTGGACATCGTGGTGGTGAGGGAGAACACGGAGGGGGAGTACGCCGGGCTCGAGCACGAGGTGGTTCCCGGCGTTGTTCAGAGTCTTAAGGTTTCCATTTTTCAAATTTGATTTGTTTTTTTGATTGATTTGGATTTGGTGATGTTTGTGGTTTAGTGTGTTTGTTTGTTTGATTTGTGATGGGTTGTTGATGAATGTATAGGATGTGTGTATATTTTGATGTTTTAGGTTTGGTCAGGTGTGGGATATACTAGCTAGGGTTATAGAACGCCGGTCGGTCGCGAGATTTGAGTTGGTGGAAGGGATGACTGTTCTTTTTATCTGGATAAAAAAAAATGTACGTGGAGATATTGAGCTAGAACTGGTCTAGCGTAATGTTCATATTCGTCTATGATTGTGATGTGTTGTCGGTAAATGCATGATGTTTAAATTTGATATTTTGAGTTAGGTTAGCCGGCATGGGGAGATACTAGATGGGGTTTCAGAATGTCTGTCTCGAGGTTTGAGCTCCGGAAGGAATGACTATTGTTCTTGTTATCGTCAACAGATGAATAAAAAAATGTACGAGATATTGAATTGGTCTAGCATAATGTTCATATTCGTTTGAGATAGTATGATTGTGATGTGCTGTTGGTGAATGCAGGATGTGTATATTTGATCTTTTGAGTTAGTTTACGCATGGGAGATTCTAGCTAGGATTTCAGAATGTCGGTCTAGAGATTTGATCTCCCAGAGGGATGAATGTTCTTTCTATCGTCCATAGACAATAAAAAATGTATGAAATATTTAATTGGTCTAGCATAGTGATGTGTTGTTGATGATTGTAGGATGTGTATGTGTGATCTTTTTAGTTAGGTTATGTATGAGTTATATTAGCTAGGGTTTCAGAATGTCGGTGTCGAGATTTGATCTCCTAGAGAGATGATTGTTCTTGTTATCATCAAGAGATAAGAAAATGCACAAGATCTTGTTATCTAGTATAATGTTCATATTCATTTGATATCTTATTTTCTTCTAAACTTATGATCCGTTATTTTGTTTTTGTTTTGTTCTCCTTATAACGGTGATAGTTGCGTGGACACAGTATGATTATGAATATTGATCTCTAGATTTGAACTCGGAGAGGGTTGAATGTTGTTCTTGGATGATGTTTCAACCATCTTTATCTTTTTGTTGATCACATGATTTTTTGGTTATAGTTTACAATGCCGAGGAATAGAGTAGAATATCGTTAAATTTTTATGCAACTATGTGCTCTTTTCTCATACTTAGATTGTTCTTCTACCTTTCCCTCATTTGCTTTTGATGGGCTTATGTACGTACGTAGGTGATAACGAAGCACTGTTCCGAGCGGATTGCAGAGTATGCTTTCGAGTACGCCTACCTGAACAACAGGAAGAAGGTGACGGCGGTGCACAAGGCCAACATCATGAAGCTCGCCGACGGCCTCTTCCTCGAATCCTGTCGAGAAGTCGCCGAACGGTACCCTGCCATCGCCTACAACGAGATCATCGTCGACAACTGCTGCATGCAGCTCGTCTCCCGGCCCGAGCAGTTCGACGTCATGGTTACCCCCAACCTCTACGGCAACCTCGTGGCTAACACGGCCGCGGGCATTGCCGGAGGCACAGGCTTCATGCCTGGAGGTAAGGGTTTCAGTCGATCTCTCTCTCAACAATTCGAGTTATTGAATTAATCGAATCAAAATGCGCGATTTGTATGTTTTCTCGCAGGGAACGTGGGAGCGGACCACGCTGTGTTCGAGCAAGGCACGTCGGCTGGAAACGTGGGGAAGAATGAAAATATCATAACCGAGAAGAAGGCCAACCCAATGGCTCTCCTGCTTTCATCGGCCATGATGCTCAGGCATCTCCAGTTCCCATCGTTCGCTGACAGGCTGGAGACCGCCGTCGGGAGGGTCATTGCGGATGGAAAGTGTCGGACCAAGGACATCGGCGGGGACAGCACCACACAGGAAGTCGTCGACGCCGTCATTGCCAACATCGACTGAAATTTTGATTCAATGTATGAAACAATAAAAAAACAGAGTACTCTGCCCCTCCCAAAGTTCTTGTTTATTTTCCCCCTTTTTTTTGAATAAACTAATGCATAGAGAGAATTGACAGATTCCCACATTTTTGTTCTTTGATCTTTTTGTTCTGCCAACAAATTTTGAATAAACACTAATTCAATTCCTCCCCTACTGTTTCCTCTGTTCTTGATGTTTGATGATATCTTCAATCAACGTGGTAACATTCGTGTGAGAAGATCCTCCATTTCCCACAGCTCGTTTCGCCCTCTCGGCGAGCTCTTTTGCTCTTGTCCTTCTTGCTTCTCCTTCCTCTCCACCATCCATCACCAATCTCACTGCCCGCGCCACTTGCTCCCTCTTCACGAACACTTCTTCCGTCTCGTTTCCATTCCAGTATGTGGGACGCCATGCTCCAACTTTCACCCCAATTTTCACCACCTCGACAATCAGCTTCTCGTTGCAGAACTGATCGCCGAATAGAGGCCAGGTTACCAGTGGGACCCCGGCACTAATCCCTTCTAAGGAAGAATTCCATCCGCAATGTGTTAGGAACCCTCCAATCGAACGATGAGATAAGATCATTACCTGGGGCGCCCATCCTCGTATCACCATGCCCTTCGAAGAAACTCTCTCCTCAAATTTCTCTTCCTCCATCCATTGAAAAAGCTCCTTCGTCTTCTCAATCTCCCTAACAACCCACAGAAACGTCTTGTCTGACGCCTCGAGCCCCAAAGCAAGCTCCATAAGCTGTGGTGACGAGAGGTTGCATATGGAGCCCAAGCAGACATAAATCACGGAACTTTGTTCCTTGCCATCCAACCAACTCAGACATTGGTGGACACGAGCTGATGAAGACAAGGATGACGAGACGGAGGAGTTCCCTCTCTCTAATTTATCCAATTCGAAACAATTCGTCAGCGAAACGGGCCCAACGCACCAAACCCTCCCCTGCTTCGCCACCTTGAGTTCTTCCAGGTACTCTGCCTCCAGTTCCTCGAACGTGTTCACAATGAACCCGTAAGCATCCGATTCCGCCTGGCTCACATCATCCAAATTCCCTTTCTCGGTCGAATCGCTCACTAGATTCTTGTACTGTAACGGGAGCTGCGCTCTGGTGATCTCGATTCCACCCGGAAACCCCGGGAGCTCGAAGTATTCGTGCTCGGACATCGCTTCGAATTCGTCCCCGTGGAAAGTCACGCAACGGAGGCAGAGGAGGCAGAAGCAGCTGAACCCGTGGAAGCTGATCCGCGGCACATCGAACTTCTTCGCTATCCGGTTCGTGTAAGGAAGGCAGAAATCGGAGATGATGCAGCTGGGCGGTGGGCTCAGGGTTTCGAAGAGGGTTTCCACCTGTGGCTCCATTAACGCCGCGGCGCGGTATATGTCGATGAGGGAGGTGATGGAAGGGAGCAGGTCGACATTCTCGCAGTTTTCGGGGAGCCCTGCCTCAGAACAGGGGAGCCGCAGGGAGATGACGCTGATTGGGAGGCGGAGCTCGTTGATTGCCCTGTCGAGCGGGGACTTGAATCTCGCGGCGTTGACTGGAGTCGTCACGATCGTGACGACGACATCGGGGCGGGATGCGAGGAGCTTGGCGATGTCGACCATGGGGATCATGTGGCCTTGCGCCATGTATGGGAACAGAAGGAAGTGAAGTTGCTGGGTTTTAGTGGTGGAAGCCATTGTTGTGGGTTAGCGATGGAGAAGAATGATGTTTGAGTGCTGGATCTGAGTGATGAAACCTGCAACTCTTGAAGGTGATAAAATGAGGTGCTAGTCTCATGGGTGACGCAAGGGCAAAGGTAAGCAGAGTACGACGGGGAAGGGGACATCAGTTGTCTTGTTGCCTGAAACTGAAAGCAGGGTGTGGATGATTGAGCTATGTGATGGGAGGGAAAGGACAACGGTCTTTCGTCGTGTATGGTTGCAGTTGCTGTAGGTCTGTGGAAAGAATGTACAAATATTAGGTTGTATATGGTTCTGGATCATCTTAACTACGCATTTCTTATGCTAACTGGAAGCCCGTGAAAGAATTGAGGAGACCACAAGGTTGGGCTCTAGTTCTTTATGATGATGACAGTGGTTGATATGACTTGAATCGGATTATCAGCCGCTACGACCGGTAATCGGGGGTCTCGCTGATCATTTCCTTTGGGTTCGGGTTCTGGGCCTGGTCTGTAACCATTTCCTTTGCCAGATTGGATTAGGTTTAGACCCACATGGAGAAGTACTATAAATACTTCTCATACTTCTCTGTAATCTGTAATCTCCTCGATATAGTGAAATTGGCTATCTCTCGCCCGTGGACGTAGCTAACACACATCGTGTTAGTGAACCACGTAAATCGTGTGTCTGTGTTTTCGATTCTCGCTTTCGTATTCTTGCTTTGTCGATTCCGGCTATTTCCCGATCCGTAGCAGCGCGTTTATAACAACAGTAATTTACAGTTTATTCTAATCTCATTTTCTAAAGAAAGGTGGCCTTACTTACTTATAGGTCTACTCATTTGATGAAATGTAGAGTATGAGAGGTACTCCTCTTTTTTTACCATCTTTCACTAAATTATAAAATCATATTATTTAATATAAAAGAAATTTAACAAGATCCATTTTGACCTACTTATTTGGTCTGTTTCAGCTTTTGAAACCGAAAAACACTTCTAAAAGCCGGACCAAACATATGTATAGTAGATTTCTTTCTCGATATAAGTATAGGATGAACAAATATAGTAGGTTTCCTTCTCGATTTAAGCTAGATTTCTTGTATAGGATGAAAATTAAGCTCGTTTCATCCAACAAGTGGTTTAGCTGATTATCAATATCTGCTTGTTGCTGCTCCAAGCGTCAGAATTCAGAAACCCCAACACATCCTGAGTTCCCGATACAAATTAATCCGAATTTCCTATGCCCGTATCATCAAGAGAATGACTATTTCAGCTTAACGATAGAATAATAACATCCCTAACCTCTAATGCCTTCGTGCACGAATCCTCTCCTAACCTGGCAAGCAATCATATATTCCTAACCCTAACCGGCGATCACTAATACAGAATTACTTAATCTCAACCTGCTCACATGAAGGAACCCAGAAACCATTTTTCTATAATAACCCAGAAACTTGACAACCAATCACAATGTAACAGCAGTAGCAAAAATCACTGATTCAGAGATTAATCAATGCAGCAGAATCTTACCAAATCCATTTCTCTAATGGGATTTTCTAAGATACGCCTACCAATTCCATTTTGATTACAGTGCTTGGAAGAAGACAAGGAACCCTCCATCTTCACATAAAATAGTTCATCCATCCACCCTGGAGTCAACGGGCATCATCACTTCCAGATCCATTTATATTGCTTATATAATCCCCAGGCGCTTGCTCTGTTTTTCTCATTCATCACCAGAAACAAAAACAATGGCGGCTCATCATCATCATCATCATCAGAAGCAGATAGCCATCATCGGAGCAGGAATCAGCGGCCTCCTCGCCTGCAAGTACGCCCTCTCCAAGGGCTTCAACCCAACAGTCTTCGAATCCCAAAACGGCGTCGGAGGACTCTGGGCCAACACTCTGCCCACCACCAAGCTCCAAACCCCGAAATCACTCTACCAATTCTCCGACTTCCCGTGGCCGGAATCCGTCGCCACCCATTTCCCGACCCACGACCAAGTCCTTGATTACCTCCAATCCTACGCCGACCACTTCGAACTGACGCAGCACATCAAATTCAACACGAAAGTAATCGGCATTGAATACAGGGGAGTTGCAGAGGAGGAAGTGGAGGCGTGGGCGCTCTGCGGCGGAAACGGCGACGTTTTCGGCTCCAGGGGAGGGAAATGGGAAGTCGAAGTTCGTCGGAGCGATGGGAGTGAAGAGACTGAAATGTACGAGGCGGATTTTGTGATACTATGCGTCGGGAAGTACAGCGGCGTGCCGAATATCCCCGATTTTCCTCCTGGGAAAGGGCCTGAAGCTTTTAAGGGGAAGGTGATTCATTCGACTCTGTATTCTGGTTTGGAGGCAGGGGAAAGTGAAAAGCTTGTAAAAGGGAAGAGAGTTGCTGTCGTTGGTTTCCGGAAACATGCTATGGATATCGCCATGGAATGCTCTGGAATCAACGGTAAGAAGGAAACAGAGAGAAAAAGACAGAGTTGCAGTCAAATTTGTGTTTTTTGCTGAAACCGACTCTGTTTTTTGACAATTTGGTTGCAGGGAAGGGAAATCCGTGCAGGGTGTTGTACAGAACAGAGCGATGGAGTTTCCCTGATTGGTTCCCACCATTCCCATGCCTGTACCTCAGTCGATTTTCGGAGCTTTTGATTCACAAGCCTGGAGAAGGGCTCTTGCTCAGCCTTCTTGCCACAATTCTGTCCCCAATCGTAAGTGTTCGTTAGTTGTTCCATCGACACCCACAACCTGAAAATTTCAAACTTTATTATGAGGGAAATTGAATTCTTGTGTGGTGTAACAAAAAACAGAGATGGGGGATCTCCAAGTTCGTGGAAAGGGAAATCAAGCGCAAGCATCCATTGGAGAAACACGGGCTGGTTCCGAAGCAGAGCTTTCTCCAGGATGTGAGCTCCTGCTTGATCGCGACGGTACCTGACAAATTCTTCGACAGGGTGGAGGAAGGAAGCATCGTTGAAAAAAGCTCCGAGCTTTAGCTTCTGCAAGGAAGGGATCGAATTCGAAGGTGGTGATAAGGATGAGAACCACCACCAGCAGCAGCAGCCGCCGCCATTGGAAGCCGACCTGGTGATACTGGCCACAGGTTTCAAAGGCGAGAAGAAGCTCCAGGACATTTTTGGATCGAAACGTTTCCGCGAAATCATCGTCGGCCCTCCAAACGCTACCGTTCCACTTTACAGGTAGTTATGATCGAACTGTTTTATCGTAACTAGTATAATTAAAATTGCGTTTTAAAACTTAAAAGGTTACGAATTGCTTGAACCAGGCAATGCATTCCTCCGAGAATCCCGCAATTGGCGGTGCTGGGGCACTCGGAGAGCATCGCGAACCTGTACACGTCGGAGATGAGGAGCCGGTGGCTGGCGGAGCTTCTCGACGGGAAGTTTAGGCTGCCGGCGATCGAGAAGATGGAAGCTGATGCGGCAAATTGGGATGTGTTTTTCAAGGAATACGCCGGCGAGTCCTATCACAGGTCATCCATTGCCACCGTCCATGTATGGTACAACGATCAGCTGTGCAAGGACATGGGCTGGAACCCGAGGAGGAAGAATGGGCTTTGGGCCGAACTGTTCGAGCCTTATGGCCCAACCGACTACGTTTCTCCTTGATCATGTATTCATGTTCCAAACGTACAAATTTGGGTCTTGGGTTTAATTTATTTTCTCATTAAACAGTTGATTAGTTGCTTTTTCCCCTACAAATAGCATGTGATAATGAGTTGACTTGTCTCGTCACGTACCATCACATGTGTTACCCAACTTGGCCCGCTCTGAATATTGGAAAAGTATGGATATTGATGTACTTGTGTCGCCTGGCCTCATCGTCATCACAAGTGACAATCACCAATCAATTTTAATATTCGTTCTTGAATACTTTAGTAGGAGCAATTCGATGATGCACTATATGATTATTTGACATGTCAACCACTTCAACATAGTTAATGGAGAAGTTAACAGATGATTATTACAGTTGTCTGTCATCTTTAAAACTATTGGCTATTTTATAACATTTTGAATATATTACTTTAGTTATTTTTAATCATAATTTAAAAGGTTTGTCTGTTTTTAGTATATATCTTAGTTTTACCAATATAGAGACTAGGGTGTACTATGTCCATTCTAAGTAACTCTATGGTACATTCTTAATTTTGGATGCAAACAAAACACCACCATCGTTTATAAAATAGTTTAACAAGCTACGTGTGAACCTTACAAACCAACGTTTTACAAACATTTGATGTAGTGTTACAAATCATCTATTGACATGTAAAAATTATTTGTAAACTATACACCCATAATTAGGGGTGTCAATTGGTGTGGTTGTTATTAACATCATCGTTTAGGGTGATTATATGTACCCGCTTTTGGGCAGATATGCGTATTGTAGCTGCACCGCGTGCAGTTACCCATCAACTGCATAAAGTGCGTAGCAGTTACCCACATATATCGAGTGGTCAGAATGTGGTGCGACGAGCAACAATGGGCGGATGGAGATGGGGTAGCATGGCGATGCGCCGATGCAAATGGAGAAGGGATGGTGATGTTGTTGGGTAGTCGAAGCGCGCCAAGATGCACAAAAAAACAAAGCATCGATGGCGAATTCTTCTTCCTTCCTGGTTGGAGCGGCAGAGCGCCAAGATACAACAGCATCACAACAACAACAACAACAACAACAGACTCTTCCTCAATTCCAGTTGGAGCGGTGAAAATGTCGAGATGCAACAACGATGAATTGGAACCCTAGAAATTAAAACAGGTGGGTGGAAGCTTTCCCTTCGTCGAGCTGGAACAGCCGAGAGGAAAACAAGTTGGGCCAAATTCGGGATTCGAAATTGAAGGTTAGAGTGTTTATTCGTACTGGGTCGAAATTAGTAGGTACGGTTAACCACAACCACAAATCGCAAAACAAGTCATATCACTAATCGTGCCCATTTAAGTAACCTCTTATGTGGTGTGCGGGTGCTGTTTGGTTACGGTTAACTCCGAAAAACTATTCTTTGTCAGAGGACTCTATTCTACCCAATGACATTTCTTCCATCAAAGTCCCAAAGGAATGAGTTTTATAATTACCTAAAATGGCATTATGCTAAAGTGCGCTCCTGTTTGGCACCAACAAATCCATCCATTCCTAGTCAGTTTGGGGCAAGCGACCAAATGTTTGGCAAGTCCCAATCCATTAAAGGGCCAGCCATCCAATCAGTTAGCTGTTCTCTTTGTCTTGTTCTTCGTCGGCCTGGTGCTTCATTTCGTCAAATCGCTTCGTCGCAGGGTGGAAATAGAGTAATAAGACGATCCAACATTTCCCATTCTCCCTGCCAATCGCCAACAAACAATGGCGGATCAACATCAGAAGCGGATAGCCATAATCGGAGCAGGAATCAGCGGCCTCCTGGCCTGCAAATACGCCCTCTCAAAAGGGTTCCAACCCACGGTCTTCGAATCCCAAAATGGCGTCGGAGGAGTCTGGAGAAGGACCCTGTCAACCACCAAGCTCCAGAATTCCAAACCCACCTTCCAGTTCTCCGACTTCCCCTGGCCGGACTCCGTCACCGTCGAGTTCCCGACTCACAATCAAGTCCTCGACTACCTCCAGGCCTACGCCGACCGATTCCAACTCGCTCAGCACATCAAATTCAACGCCAAAGTCGTTGGCATCGACTACAGGGGAGTGGCAGAGGAGGAGATGGAAGGCTGGCACCTCTGGGGTGGTAACGGCGAGGGTTTCGGATGCAGAGGAGGGAGATGGGAAGTTGAAGTTGCGGGCACCGGTTCATCGGAGAGTGAAGTTTACGAAGCCGATTTTGTTGTGCTCTGCTTGGGGAAGTTCAGCGACGTACCGAATTTTCCACAGTTTGCTTCAGGACAGGGGCCTGAAGCGTTTCAGGGGAAGGTGATTCATTCGATGGAGTATTCCGATTTGGAAGCAGAGGAGGCTCGGAATTTAGTGAAAGGGAAGAGAGTTACTGTTGTAGGTTTCCGGAAAACGGCTCTGGATATAGCAATGGAGTGCTCTGAAACTAACGGTAAGAGAGAAACCATGGTCTAATTTTGTTGCCAAAATCGATGGTTATGACTCTATTTTCCCCCCCTGTTTTCGTGTGGTTGCAGGGAAGGAAAATCCGTGCAGGGTATTGTACAGAACAGAGAGATGGAGCTTCCCCGATTGGTTTCCGCCATTGCCATACCTATGTTTTACTCGATTCGCAGAGCTCTTGATTCACAAACCTGGAGAAGGTGTCTTTCTCAGTATTCTCGCCACACTTCTTTCCCCAATTGTAAGTCCTCTCTGTTCCACTTCTGAAAATTTTGGTCATTTCGATACGGAAATTTGATAAGTTTTTCCAAAACCAGAGATGGGCAGTCTCCAGATTGGTGGAAAGTGTGGTCAAGAGCAAGCATCCATTGGCCAAACACGGGATGATTCCAAAGCAGAGCTTTCTCCAGGATTTTAGCACGTGTCTTCTGGCGAAACTTCCTGAGAAGTTCTACGACAGGGTCGAAGAAGGAAGCATCGTGTTGACGAAAGCTCGGAACTTTACTTTCTGTAAAGAAGGGATCAAAGTCGAAGACGATCAGCCTCCATTGGAGACCGATTTGGTGATACTGGCAACAGGTTTCAAAGGCGGAAAGAAGGTGAAAGACATATTTGGATCGAAATTCTTCCGGCGAAGTGAAACCGGCGGCTTGCCCCTCTACAGGCAATGCATTCATCCGCGGATCCCCCAGCTAGCCGTATTGGGATATTCGGAGAGCCTGTCGAACTTGTTTACGTCGGAGATGAGGAGCCGGTGGCTGATGGAGCTTCTCGACGGGAAGTTTAAGCTGCCGGCGATCAAGGAGATGGAAGACGACGCGGCGAAGTGGGATGGATATTTCAAGTGTTACGGCGACGAGTACAGCGACAGGGCCTCCATTAGCGCCATTCATATTTGGCACAACGACCAGTTGTGCAAGGACATGGGCTGGAAGCCCAGGAGAAAACATGGGCTTTGGGCCGAGCTGTTCGAGCCTTACGGCCCAATGGACTACGTCTGCCCTTGATTAGGACATTTTATCTGTAAATTATCTATTTTTGTTCACGTTTTCCTTCTAAAATTACAAACCTGTGCTATTCTCTAAAACTGGTCACTAAAGAGTTCAAGGTTTGGAGCATTTATCAACCTGGTTTCCATCATTCAACTACCTATCCTGCTGCTGCTTCTGTTGCCGTCGTGTGTTCTAACTCCGGACGATCCCCGAAAAGCTGACATAAAACCTTCATATAGTGATTGAAGAGGCTAGCCAGCCTGATGATTCTGCAAGTCTTTGTGTAGGAACCACCAAGGACCAGATTTCAGCAGCAGCCTGCAAAATACAGACACACACATTAGTGTAAACAACAGAGACCACGCTAAATGGGTAAAAGCTTGAGATTCAGTAATGGTGTCTCGGTACCTTGCTATTCCGGCTGCTGTACGTAAGGCCATGAAGAGAGCCAAGCCGGACCAGACACCGGGAAGTCCAGTGATTGGTGGAACATAGAGGAGGAAAACTGAAGATAATGCTCCAACCAACATCTTGAAACATAACGGAGCGGATGTGAGATTGGGCTAATGTAAGATACTGGAGCATCTGATATTAAAATAGAGAGTTTTGCAATCTACCATGGAGCAGGCTGCATATGGGAAGTCAGAAACACCATAATGGAGGCCATCGAAAATGAAAGCCAGTGCATTGAATGGTTGACTCGCACTAACAAACTGGATGGAGTTCAAATGTGATTATATAACCAGACCAGTTAGATAGATGAAGATGAAAGGGGGGAAAGGGTAAGAAGCAAACAACAGAAAGAATTGCACTTTACCAATATGCCAGTTTTTGCGATCCCTAGTACTTCAGCATCTGTGGTGAACAAGGTGGCTATGGAACCAAATGATACGCTGAGTATAGCAGCCAAGGAAATACCTGTGACCAAGCCAACCTATACAAATGTCCAGATGAAGCTATGAGTAAAACCAAGACTGCAACCAAAGAACAAAACAAAAGAATAGCATATAGCAAACATACCTTCAACACCAAGTTTGTGACTTCTTTTACATTCACGTAGTCACGTTTCGATGAATAACTTGCAATCAGAGCCTAGAAGATAGATTTTTAGGTGATCTAACATAGTAAATATGTGTGGTGACATTCATTATTAGTGGTTGTGGAGATAATTATTACCTGACCAGATGAAGCCAAGGCATCGGTAAGTAGAGAGACAGCTAACCAAACTTGCATGCATATCTGATGCCCTGCCATGGCAACTGGTCCTTGGCGAGCAGCCATTGCTGTCGCTAATGTCATGGTTATCAAAACAGCTAGAGTTCTTCCGATAAGAAAACCACCTGTAAAGACACAACCTTTCCTGTTAAAAATCTCAACTCAAGGTATGAGAGGTCTTATTTACATTGGAGAGAGAGAGAGACTTACCAGACTTCATATAGACACCAAACTGTAAATCAGCCATCCTTGGAGGGAGTAGTACAACCTTCTCATTGAGATGCCACAGCATTAATATGGTCACAAGATATCTAATCAATTAAAACTGCTTAGGACGCTGTCAAAACTTAAGGAAATGAATAGAGAAAAAACAGTGGATAGAGAACATACTGAGACACGACGGTTGAGAGTGCCGCCCCAGTTACACCCAACTTAAACTGATACATCAGCAATGGAAAAAGAAAAACTGCTGACAAATTACCGAGACCTGCATATGTAATAACAAAACATTGAAAGGTAAATACATAGCAGATCCAAATCCAATATATAAAAGATGTGAATAAAAGATGAACTTGCCTAGACAAATCACAGGCGTCTTCATGTCCTTGAAGCCTCGGAATATGCCTTGAAGAGCCAAAGACAGTACAACTGCAGGAGCACCTAGTGCTTTTATTGAAAGAAATTTCTGTGCAGGAACTCGCATTGGTGAATCCTGCTCAGAGAGCTGTGGTCAGGAAAGACTCCACAGCGCAGGAGCGTGCAACATGTAAGACAAAGTTGGAACATTTATTCATACCGATGTTACACCCATCAAGTTAAGAAATGGACCACATCCCAATGACAGTGCGGTTGCCTCAAAGACGCCTATTCCAATGGCTAGTAGTAATGCTGTTGACACAGAAGCCAGTTGCTTCCTTTTAACCACCCTATTTACGACTTTTCCATTTGTATGGTCTTCTTCAGCACCAACTAAATGGAAGATAAATCAATGATTGATGAATGGAGGTTTTGGCTATTGAATTGACTGAAGGAAATTATAAGGAGATCATTTATCGGGTATTCATCTTACCAACGCTAGAGTCCATCACTGCATTCTTAGCAATGTCCTCAGCAACGAAAGAAGTTGCAACACTTAGTAGGGGGATGTTGAACAGCTTGGAAATGTTGTTAAAGATCATAGTGGCAACACCAGCTGAACCCAACTCGATAGGACCTTCAAAGGTAGAAGAAGTTCATGAAACCAACACCCCACTATATGGTTCTGTATGAACCCTGCTAAGATTCAGTATTACTAATGTTGATCAAATGCAAGGATGCGAAATAATTTTGTTACCTAGTCTACCAATAAAGGCAGTTTCCATTAGTTGTGCGAAGGGATCAATTGCTTGTCCAGCAATTGCAGGCACTGTAAGCATTGTAAGCTCACGTTTGACATCTGTAGGTTGATGTTTCTTCTCAACTGAAAATCCCACAGAGTCACTGTATCCATATTAAACAGAAACAAAGGAGTTAGAAATTGAAAGAATTTTGCATGAAGTTTACAAAGCAGGATGTAATAATCTTGAACCATAATACAAGATGAATATGGCTTGGCTTACAATTGCTCATGTGCAGAACCATTCACTGCATGTTCTTCTTCCAAATCCAGACTCTCCTGTACATCGACGGATTCAACACCATAACCAGGAGTTGACTGATTATATACCACGCCCAACTGGGGCCTTCTTCGACAATTCACCAGTGGTGACAATGAACTTCTATACTTAGTAGACAAGCAGCACTCCGTAGTACTATCTCTCCCTCGAAATCCTGTGGGAACTCTACTACACCGAGACCAAGAACACGGACTGTTTGTAAATTTGGTTCTACCTGTCACTACTCCGGAGAGTGTGCCACTACCAAACTGCCTAGTAGTGCTCATTGGGAAGGAAATATCGCTGACACCTTCAAACTAAACAAAATCCTGCCCAAAGCGAGAGAGAAAGGAAATGATCACACCAAACAGAAGCAGATGAAATCAATCAACCATCAGACGAGCTAACTGAAAACCAGCAACATCAAAAACAAAAAAATTGGACAGTCAATTGCTTAGAATCGCAAGAGCTCGAATGCCCAACATGCTTCCACAGTACAAGCACAAGTGCACTGGCAAACAGAGGAAAATGGAAACAAACAGTTAACAAAAACAATACTTGAACAGATAACAAAGAAGCAAAACCTAACCGAAATTAAACAAGGAACGGGGAAAGATCACGCCTTTTTCCCACTCGGCTCAGCGAGACAGCGACCCAGAAGAGAATTCCATAGCAGAGAGCGAAGAAACCAAGAAACAACAATCATAGACAGCTCGGATAAGGAAGACTTCCGGAAAAGTTACCCAACACCGGAGAAAACGAGAATCGCGTCGAGAGAAAGGTGGAAACTTGAAAAGAGAGCTCTTTAACTCTGAAACACCATCAGAATGATTGAATGAAGCCAAGGTGAATGATAAAATGCGTAACAGAAGAGAATCGACGGGGAGAAGGTTGAGAAAGGAAAGAACTTTACTTTTGATGTTGGACTTGGGAAGAACTATCAGGATTCGGCTGTGGTTTCTTCCAGCAGAAGTTAAAGACGATAATGGACAAACTACTCTTCTTCTATCTCCCCATAACCGGCAAAGAGAAAGCAGGGGGCACAGAGCCAGAAACCGGTACCGATTGAAGGCAAGGGAGTGATGTCATTCTTTTTTCCTAACGAGGGCAGAAGTCTGTGTACTGGGCTACTGGTTTTGGTTGTGGTCCAATGGGCTCTCACAACTGAATTTCAGGCCCAGCAGAGTTACATACAGAATTTTTTTTTTTTGTCATAGATATTATTGTGGATAAATCAGACGAGTGCGAGGAAATATCACAACATTACGGAATTCGCTCACAAAAATTACACCTAGTACCATAGTATAGGCAGTCCTATTCACATCTCAAAGTGTGTATACAAAATGAACCAGTGGAAAATAAACAAGTCAGTCATGGAGTTAGTAACTTAATTGCATATCGTTTATGGAATAATGTTTTATTTTAAAATTATAAAATCAGAAAGTATCCATCAATACTTATATGTTTGTAGAATTCGGTTTGAAGTTCTGTTTATTTGATGACGTTGATTGAATAATGAGAGGAATCAAATTAAATTGAGAAGAAATTAACTGAATTCTCAACTTTAAATTATCCGTTGGAACCATTGTTATGTAACAAATTAATGAGAAATCTCTTGCTTATGAACTACAAAGTCGCAAGGTGGGAAAATTAGTGACTGGTCTAGGGGAAACATAGTCCATTGGGCCGTACGGCTCAAACAATTCGGCCCAGAGCCCATTCTTTCTTCGGGGCTTCCAGCCCATATCCACGCACAGCTGGTCGTTGTGCCATATGTGGATAGCGCTAACGGACGATCTCTTGCAGAACTCGCCGCCGTATTCCTTCAGATACGCATCCCACTCCGCCGCATCCTCTTCCATCTCCTTGACCGCCGGCAGCTTAAACTTCCCCGCCAGAAGCTCCGCCAGCCACCGTCCCCTCATCTCCGACGTGAACAAGTTGTTGAAACTCTCCGAGTATCCCAATACCGCCAGCTGCGGAATTCTCGGAGGTATGCATCCCCTGTAAAGAGGAACGACGGCGTTTGGATGGTCGCCGGCGATGACCTCCCGGCAGTTCTCCGATCCGAAAATGTCCTGCAGCTTCTTCTCGCCGTTGAAACCGGTAGCCAATATCACCACGTCGGCCTCAAGTACCGAATTTTCATCGTCTTCGACTTCAATCCCTTCCTTACAGAAGCTAAAGCTCGGAGCTTTCTTCAACATGATGCTTCCATCTACGACCCTGTCGTAGAATTGCTCCGGGACCGTCGAAACCAGGCACGTCGTGATCGCCTGAAGGAAACTGTGCTTCGGAACCATCCCGTGTTTCGCCAGTTGATGCCTGTGCTTGATATCGCTTTCCACAAACTTGGAGATCGCCCATCTCTGCAATTTAAGGGAAACCAAAAACAGAGTATTGCTGTAAACTAAGCTTTTTCAATTGGGGGGTTTTGGCTAGTTATGGAGATCACTTACGACTGGAGAAAGAATGGTGGCCAAAAGACGGAGGAAGAGCCCTTCTCCAGGTTTGTGAATCAATAGCTCTGCAAACCGATTGAAGTACAGTTTCGCCAATGGGAAACTCCATGCCTGGAAATCAGGGATGTTCCAGTGCTCTGTCCTGTACAGTACTCTGCAGGGATTTTCTTTACCTACAAACAATTCAACCAGATACTCATTTTCTAAATCCGAATCAATCAATCTCAATAACTCCAACGGTTAGCAAACCAATCGCACCGTTAATTTCAGAGCACAACATGGCGGTTTCCAGAGCTTGTTTCTGGAATCCAACGACAGCAACTTTTTTCCCTTTAACCAACTCTTTAGCTTCCTCTGCCTCCAAATCAGAATACTCCATGGAATGAATCACTCTCCCCTGAAACGCTTCAGGTCCTTTCCCAGGAGGAAACTCGGGAATATGCGGGACATCGCTGTATTTCCCCAAGCAGAGGACCACAAAATCTGCTTCGTAAACCTCACTCCTCGCCGAACTCCCACCGGCGGTCGAAACTTCCACTTCCCATTTCCCTCCACAGAGGCTCCACTTCTCCATCCCTTCCTCCGAAACTCCCTTGTAGTTGATGCTGAGGACTTTGGTGTTGAATTTGATGTGCTTTGACAGGCAGAAATGATCAGCATATCCTCGGAGGTAATCGAGGACTTGGTCGTGAGAAGGGAACTCGACGGTGACAGAGTCCGGCCACTGGAAGTCGGAGAATCGGAAGATTGTTTTCGGGGTTTGGAGCTTGGTGGTGGACAGAGTCTTGTTCCAGAGCCCTCCGACGCCGTTCTGGGCTTCGAAGACTGTGGGGTGGAAACCCTTTGAGAGGGCGTATTTGCAGGCGAGCAGGCCGCTGATTCCTGCTCCGATTATGGCAATCCGCTTCCGATCATCTGCCATTATTGATGCTGTTTTGTTTGTTCTATGTAGTAGGTGATGGATGATTAGCTTTTGTATAGCAATAGGATGATCACTAGGACTCTGGGACCCAGTAAATAACATACTGTAGCAACGTTTTGCTTGAAGTAATAGTTTGAAACGCCAAAGGAGTTGATACAATAACATACTGTAGCAGCATTTGAGTTCGAGAAACAGCAAACAGAGATAAGTTTTTAGATACTTAACTCGTAGCCCTTCAACTACAGTAGCTGCCGAGGCTTGTTGCACCGACCCCAATCGTCCCTGTAGAGCCATCGATGGAAGCTCGAAGTAACAACATAACTTAGCAAAACAAGGCCAGCATGCTGGTTGTGCACTTGCCCAAACTCAGAGTTCTAGACAGAAACTTGTTTACCCCATGCTAGCCATGAAACCAGCTCTTACTATATTTGCATAACTCACCTTGAGCTCTAACACACCCGCAAACCTTGATCCTTCCTCTGCGCTTCGTCGGGACTTTGAAGCGGCGGCGGCGGCACGATTTCACACCCCGGCGGTGGACCGAGCTCGTCGGGATGGCGATCCTGATAAATGTTGGCCGAAGTTGTTAGAGAGTGGTATAAGATCCAGCATAACCTTCTCCCAACAACTCGAGTTATTAGGACCAACTGGTTTATGACATGGTATCAAAGCCTAAAACTGAAAAGTTATGTGTTCGAATCTCCACGACCCCCAATATTAACCGTTGTCTTTCAAGCACATGGTATGGTGGGCCTGTGCAAACTTCAAGCCCATGGGTTGGCTTTCGTTTGAGGGGGCGTGTTAGAGAGTGGTATAAGATCCAGCATAACCTTCTCCCAACAACTCGAGTTATTGGGACCAACTGGTTTATGACATTAGCCGACGATGGTTGTTTGGGAGGACTAAATCGGCGAGCCATGGTCGGCGACTCGGCGTTTGTGACTCCCCGCGGCCCGCAGTGCGTCTCTCACTACTTCATTTTTTTTTTGTTAAATGTAATCACTATACTATTGGAAAACTACACATTAGTCCTTTCACTGATTTTCTTGAACAATTGAGATCGCTAAATTGCAATTTTCGTGACTAATTAGTAATTAAACCTTTTCGTCGACGAACAAGTAGATTTCTGGAGTTGACACGACCTTTGAATCGTTAAGCTTTCGAGATTCTATTAACTGTACTCCTCGTATTTGGCGAGTTCAACAATATTCGTTAACGAATTGATGACATGATTGATATGATCTTGAATTACGCTTTCGAAAGAGTCGAGATGTGTGATACCTTGGCGTTGAATGTATGCGAGAAGAAAAGAAATGTAGAGGAGTAAGGAACGGGGATTGATCACTCTAAGCTTCATTATTGTTCCTCGTGCAAGCAAAACCCAAGGGGATTTCCAAGTTTCAAAACTAATACACCTACGTTACAACGAAATCACTAATCACTCAAATTTTATCGGGTGTTCGTAAAGGAACAAATTGGATGCTAATCATCAAGATTCGTCATCCACCTATACAAAATAGGTATAGTACTATCAAATGAACCAAACTCAACAAAACCATGTTCGAGTTCTTCGGAACAATCTCGCCTCCATTTGCTGCGCAAACAAAGACCCAAAAAAGGTGTCAAAACATCGAGTTATCGACTCAAATCATTGAAACAGATTACGGAATAAGGCTCAATAAGAATTAGAATAGGTGAAGTTTTGCTCATGAAATACTCTTTAACACCAGATCCACTTATATCTTTAAGAAGACTAACAGCACGTGATAACTACTAGGATTATCAAAAACAATACACTAAAATTCTCGATCATGAAGAACTTTAAATAAACAAATCGACTCGAGTCATTAAGAAGTTTATCTTTATTTTGCATCATACTTCATTACTTGAATGAGTGATTGACATAAGAGTAACTAAAGTTCGAACACGATACCTTTCAATTTCATCATCTAATTGGTGTTATCATGCAATGAAATGAATTCAAATGGAGAAATTGTATAAAGTTGAAATCCAAAGAAAAAAAAAAAAAGGAGAGAATAAGATGTCGATAGACTTACAGGAACCAGAACCGGGAGCGGGAGAGGGAGAGCCGGAGCAGGTGCCGTCGAAAGTGGTGAAAATGGTTTGGTTAGAAGAGAAACCGCCGTAGGCGCAGGTAGCGCCGCCGCAAGCCGACGCCGACGAGTTCCCTAGTAATACGGCATCGTTCCCTTCGCCACATTGCATCGCAGGGCAAGTCGACCAGTCCGATGGTCTAACCCCAGACGGCTGGCACTGTAACCTGAGGAAATTCAGAGCAAGGCTCAATTCCTTGACCATGAATTCAGAGCAAAAAACAAAATCACGAACAGAATACCGAAACAAAATGCTTACGTCCAGTTGTTGGCAGAGTCACATTTGCATTGGACGCAATTGTGAGCAGTGAAGGCGTATGTTCCATTAGCCACCAGCAATTGCGAGTCTATGGAGTCGGATCTTATCGACGAATTACAAGCTGCGAAACCAGAGATCAAAGAGGAAAACAGAGCATAAAAATGCAGGGGAAAAACACAGAGCTCAATAACAGAGCATCTCCAGCAAAATCGTTACACAGAATGCTACCTAAATTGAATCAGCTTACCCATAAATTTCAATTTCACTTACTATCCTTTAAATTCTATCAAATTCTACGAAAAAGCATCAAACTTTCCCACTCCGATTAGATTAAACAAAGCCAAGAGGCCGAAAGTCTCCAACTTTCCCCTGCTCTTTTCCTTCTTTTTACCTCGAATTGGGACATCGATGAGTTGCCCGCCACGAATACTCGACCCATCTTTCAACCCATTAATCTCCATCAAGATCGGGACGCTAACCCCATACCGGTCAGCAATGGCCTCCAGGGAGCTCCAAGATTCTGCCAGGTGTCCATAGTGAACAACCTTCATCCCCTCCACGTCGTCGCAGCTGCAAGGCAGGGGAATCGACAGGTTCTGCCCGACCTTCACCGGATCCTTCCCGGAGATACCGTTCGCGGCGGAGATCGCGGCGTCGGTCACCGCACCAGAGAACACCTTCTCTGCGATCCCCTTCAGCCCGTCGTAGTCCCCCTGCTTCACGGTGTACACCGGCCGCTTGTTCGAGATCCCGGCCCCGCTATGGCAGAGGCAGGGGAAGGGGATTTTCAGGGTCTGTTTGGCGGGAAGCTTCTGATCGGGCGGAGTGGAGCGCGGGAGATTGTTGGCGCCCAAAAGGGTGCGGAGGTTTCTGACGGCGAAGAGGGTTTGTACCTCGACGAACGTGGTGGATTCCGGGGTGATGTGGTCGATCAAGGCCTGGCATTTCACCGGAGAACTCCCGCATTTGAATGCCGACGCGTAGAGGGGGAATGTTGAGATGATTAGGAAAACCAGAGGAGGTAAACTGCAGCAGTCCATTGTTTTTCTCTCCGGCGAGGAGACTTAAAAGTGGAACAGGGTATCACGGGGAAGGTGAGTGAAGTGAAGTGAAGTGAAGTAGGGTTTGTTTATGGGTTTCCATTGGAACTTGAAAGCTTATAAATGTTTAGAGTGAAGGAGTTGGGAGACAAAAAATGACATCTCGGGAGGAGGGTGCAAATGGACTTGCATGTTTGTCTGTTTGTTTGTTTTCTTTGGTGGTGGGAAGAGTGGTTTCGAACTATTGTCAGAGTCTTTAACTGAGAATTCAAGTTCAAATCTTTACGACTTTCAGTATGAAGGATTTCAAGTTCATGATCGATTGAGGTTGGAGAAAACGAGCAAGATTGTAAACAAGCCAAGTAAAGAAAAGAAGAGTCCTGGTTGGAGTTTGATGCAACAGACGGATCTAGCAAGGGTGGTTGGCTTATTTGGTCGACCCATATTGACAGTTGTGAAGAATCTCAATCCCAGCTGTGAAAGAGATCCAAGTCAAAACAGGGTGTTATGTGTGATACTAATTTGGTCGACCCATCTCCATGGTCAAATCGATCTTTTGTTTTGCAAAAAGGTGAAATCGAATGATGAATCCTCATGTTCCCTTCACTTCTGATCTAATTCGTTCTCAAATTCAATCAGATTCTGGACCGGACGCGAAAACCATACCTCTCCCACTTACACTATCACTCACGAACATCAACTACACACATTAATCCAAAACCAATCACAAATCAGATCGACAATTAAAAAAAGTAGCAACAAGAACTTCACTAACCTCTCAGCGGGACATCAAACGGAGTCCCAGCAATCAGCTGCCTGTCACTCGCAATCCCATTCAGCCGGTACAGAGTCTCATTACTCGTCCCGAACTCACTCGCAATCCCTTCCACGCTGTTCCCTGCCTCCACCAAATGCGTGTAGTGAACCACCTTCTCCCCTTCCACATCCTCGCAGCTGCACGGCAGGGGAATCCAAAGCTTCTCCCCCGGCTCGATCATGTTCGGGTCAGGGACGATCCGACTGTTCGCTGCCGCGATCTGCTGGAACGTCACCAGGCGCATGAACACGCTGGTGGCGATCACGGAGAGGGAATCCCCTTGCTGGACGGTGTAGATTGGGACCTTGTTGGAAACCCCTGTTCCGTTGACGCAGATGCAGGGGATGGGGACGCGGAGGAGCTGCTGTGGGGATATGGCGGTGGTGGGCGGGGTGGAGGGCGGGAGGTCGTTGGCGCCGAGGAGGAGGCGGAGGGTCTTGACGCCGAAGAGGGTTTGGACGGCGGAGAGGGTGGTGGCGTTTGTGGGCTTGTAGCCGAGGAGCGAGCGGCACGTGGCGTTGGCGGAGCAGCGGAAGGCCGGCTGTGGCTGTGCGGTGGGAGTGGCGGGGAGGGAACAGAGGAGGAGGCAGAGGAGGACGGCGGAGAGGAGTGTCCGGCGGTGAGTCGACATTGGCGGTTTTGGAGATTGGGGAATGGATAGGAATGGAGCGGTGACGGTGTTGGTTGTGTGTGAATTTAAGTGGGGGAATTGCATTATTGTGCTAGTGGAGAAAAAAACAGAGAGAGAGACGACTTGTGGAAAATTGAGGCTGTGGGAAAGGTAAAGGGTGGACCAGTGTCGACGGTTGACCGGCGGTCGTCGGAGGTAGGGGCCAGTGAAGTTGGAAGATGCGGCAGAGAGTTGTCTTTTTGGATCCATTCACATTCATTCAATTGCCTTCTTTTGTGGGTAATGCCGGTTACAACTTGCAAAGGCTATTGGATGCTTGTGGTGACAGTGTATGAATCAAATGTTCGCGCGATTTAATTGTCGTCGTAATTCAAAATAAAACTGTCGTTGCATGAACTCGACGGCCATAAAAAGGTTAATCGTGGTAATTCAATAGTCGCGAATCGCGCTACGACGTGGTAACTCGGATGGTTGTTGGTGGTGGTGCAGCAGCAGCGAGCTTGCCTAGTGGTTAATACTGTTCTGTTTTTCAACTTCTAAGTGGGGAGAAATTATGGTGTTATACATGAAAGTTAGTAGAAGGTTCTCCAATGGTGATTGTTGTTGGATGTTGTGGGCGTGCGGTGAGGTAATGATTTGGCATTTGCTTGAGTGGTCAAGTGGAAATGCGACTAAGGATTAATGTCATTGTTTAATACAGCCTGCCAACACAAAGTACACTAATCTAGAGAGAGAACAGCTAATCTTTTGTCGTGCATTCACACATGGAGTTTAGAACAGCTATCTTCCTTTCCCACTACTTTTACTCTATACCTGACGTCGGAGTTGAACCCCGGCGGCCGGCGAGTAACCCACCAATTATTCCTGCGTTAATGTAATACTCTGTTAGAACAGGGGAGCCCCTGTTTTCCAAAGAGAGAAAAACCAGCTATGTAAACGGAGGAATTAGTTCCGGCGAGTAGTTTATCATCAATGGAGATAGGAAGAAGACATGAAGAAGTCTTGCCGTGACTTTCAGATCAGTTGACCGTTTACCCTGCTGAAAAGTCCGCCGTGACTTAACAAGAATTTGCCGTACAGTAATGGACACGACTAAGCAGACTAAATTGAAAACAGCCAAACAAAAAAACACCTTTCACCATCGAGAAAGGAAAAATCAACACTGAAAACCAGAGGGAGGAATCCATGCGCTTACTACAAACAAGGTCTTCCCACAGTAAGTGCTACAAAGCCAACCCCAAGGCAAACACCTTTTCTTATTATCAAAAACTTGATCATTCTCAACCTAATCCATAAGCTTACCCGTGTTGCTGAAGTTCTAGATTTGAAACATTACATGATGCGACATGAACTGCTAAATACAGCTACACCTTTGTCTACCGCTCCTCCAACCGTCGTAGAATCGTCTCAGCGAAGCTTTGTTGCCTGAATATACATAGACAAACAGAGAAGCAGGCCGTGTCAGCTATGTCATGGTTCCTTAATGGATAACATAGAGCGGGTTTGAAATGGTGGAAGGTCGGCTTTACTTTAGTTCCCTGTGTTTAGGGCTCGGCCTGGAGTACTTCAGATACCCGTCCCAAGGTACCTTCTTGAGGCCAGCTCGCACAGAGATTATGTCGCGGACTCTGAACAAGAATAATTCAAAAGGATTTCTCAATAAGGAAAAAATGGTGGTTGTTCAAAGAAGTACACACTTCTGCGAAAGAGATTTGTTCACCTCTCTGCAAACTCAATAGCCGTCTCCCCATGTTTGAGAGTTTGCGGCTCCAAGTACCAAACGTCACAAACAACTGCCCATGATGTCATGAGCTGGAGTAGATGCATTGTGAATGACTGCCTGCAGAACATATGTGCAAATCGTAGAACATTGCTAAAGGGACATGTAAGGAATCAAACAAACTAGCATGACCACAGATTTACTTACTTCCGGCTGTTCCAAAAGGCATCGACAAAAATCTTATTGTACTTGACTGCGATCGGGCAAACCGTACATCCTAGTTCAAAGGCACCCTACAAAGACAACCAAGACAGGAAAAGTTTAAAGGACAATGCTATCTATGAACAGCTAGGGTGGGAAGCGAGGTGCAACTTGATTACCTTCTTGAACATCACGGTATAGTGGTTATTTACACAAGTTCCTTCGGGAAATATGAGAAGAGGATTGTTATCAGACCCCTGAACATGGTCTCGTAACCTGATCGACAATGTATAAAAAGATGTATAAAGTAGACATATTTCAGGAATAAATAAATTTTTATGTAATGGGGACTTACTTTTTGGCTACAGTTTCACGATCCTTTGCCTCACTACGATTGAACCAGATACATCCCAAGCTGTCTAATATGGTGCTCTGCAGGAGTCCTATACAGAATACCAGCGAAATTGATCATGAATTCTGCATCATCATCTCATTATTTAAGGTATCTAAAAATTGTTGGTTGACCAAATCACTAATTAAATCAAGTAAACTGAAAAAACAAGTAAGCAACCAGCAACTAACTCATTCATCAATATGTTTGAACTCAGCATCCAGCCACCAATCACTTACCAACCCAACCAGGGTGCTTCTGCATGATGACAGCAAATGGAGTCATCTGTTCCAAGACGATGAAATCGATCATTGAAGTATGATTGGAGACAAAAACCTGTTTACACAAATTACAACCAGAAACTTTGCGTCAGCATGTGAATTGAACCATCCTCCTACAATATCAAGTAAGGGCAAGTTTACAATATCAAGTAAGGGCAAGTTGGATGCTCCTAGAAAGAAACCTGTTTTGGCCGCATGCTGGGACGTGGACCATGGTACTTCACCACTCCAGTCCATGATGCCACAAAGAAGCTGCAAATTAACTCCACCAGATATCTCTATGGAGGAGAAAAGAGGAAAGTTGAAAAGTAAGTTCAAGTGTAAACACAGCAATCAAGATTTTACAAATCAAATCAAATCTCAGAGCTCTACCGAAGTTAAAAAGACAAAAGACTTTCGAAGGTTGACAGGCAGAATAAAGAGCAAGATCTTAAGAACTTAATTTCGTACCTCAATCTTCTTCCTCAATTTGTCATGTCCTTTGAGCAGAACATGAACAGGAATGTAGGCTGACAGAAAGATTATCCACCCAATTGTTAGCACAATAACCCTGCAGAATTCGTTCAACAACACATGTATCAGAAGCAGAACACTAAATACCAATTTCAACATTTTGGTAAGCCATCGTAAGTTAGTAGCTCGTCAAAACCAACCATCATTGAACTGAGAAAAGCGGCACGCAAATGAAATCTGAGATAAACAAATACAGAAAAGAAGTTCAAGCAAGTTGGAAAAGTAAGTAGATAGCCCAACCTGACAGGGAAGAGAATCCCATATCTAACCACCACACCGCAACACCATAGGGGGAAAAGATACACATTCCAATTCCAAGGCTCCGGCGGATTCGACTTGAAACACCGTGTAAATGAATCCTGGTGCAACATAACAATCCAACTCAAAACTTAATCAACTGACAAACCAAATCACAGAACTTCCCATCAGGTTCACTTATACTCCCTCACTACCCACTAATCCATTTCAACTTCTGCGCCCAAATAGTTCAATTGGTGCATGGAAAGTTCCAATCTTTTTTTCACCTCTGGCCAGTCAGATGTCGAACCTCCTCATTTCAATTGAAAGATAGGAGACAAGAGAAAGCAACTCACATCAATAATCGCCCCGGCAGCCTCAGTTAACGTCGGGGAGATGTCAAGCAAATCGCGCCTAATTCGACCAGACAAGTGGAACCAAGTCACTAACAATAAGACCCAATTGGCAGAAGAAACCAAATTCGAATAAAATTGAATGGGGGAAGGAGTAGAAGAAGAAGAAAGCAATACAGTCGAAGCTGGCCGTGGGGTTCATGAATGGATGCCCCAGAAGGGAGGTAATCTTCGATGTTGGGTCGATCCAGGTCCAATTCGGAGCTCGATGTATTCAGCTTTCCCGGATCGCTCATATCCGAGCGTCGGAGGATGAGAGCCCCGGCGGAGGGAATTTGTGGGGGCTGACTGTTGGCTTTTTTCCTGTCTGCAACTGGATGAACAGAGGGGAGAAAGGGGGCGCGGGTTTGGTGGTGGTTTGAGGCTTGGTTGTCACCTGAGAAAGTCTGTGGAGAAGAGAAAAATATGAAAGAAAAGATAAGGGTTTTTTTGGGTTCCTTTGTTGCGATATGATTATGAGCTCGATGGATGATGACACGCACCGGACTCTTATTCCCGTTTATGGGGACGACAATTGTTTTCCAGGTTTTCTATTTTGGGTGGGTTTGCCAATTTCCCCCATTAACGTGACCATATCAAGTTATTCAACAATGACACAGTAATAATATAGTTGCAGGACAACACAAAAATAAGGCATCAAAATCAAAAACTGTGAAAATGAAGATCGTCTCAATTCATGGAGGAAATCTTTCATCGATGAAATTTGTTAGTTGATCATTAACTTGTCTATTGTCTGCTCTAGTCGAATTTGTTATTGGATAGTGTCATAAAAAACCTAATATATGTTAGTAAGTGGTATAAGATTCATTATTGAACGTCTTCTAATAATTCGAGTTATTATGATCAACTGATTCTCGATAATATCTACTATAGTGACGATAATGCATGGGTTAAATTCGCAAGTGCAATGAAACTCCCTCCCAAATTCATTTAGAGAGAAAAAAAAATGAATCTAATGAATAGAGTTTTTTTTTTTTTAATGTTTGAAATAATTTGTGCTTTGTGCTTCTGGTGTCCATCGCCTATGATAATGATTGAGAATCCCACTGTTGGAGTGAGTATACCAAAATAAATAAGAAGAAAAAGACATCTGGCACTATTTATCTCCAAATGCAAACTCTTCCTTCAAATTTTTGTATATAATAAACTTTTTTTTATATTCTACTCAAGAATATTTGTAGAAAAGGAGAAATTCATTACAAGATTTCAAATTTGAAATTTTCGAATTGAAAATCAATTATTGTTTTATTAGACTTATCTCTTGTCGCATTACAGATCATTTGGGCCCAAATAAATTGGGGACCTGAATTTTAGATTATTCGATTAAATTTTGATAAGCATATTGAATCTAATCGGATCGAAATTATCTTTTACGTACTCTTGAACAAACTAAGATATGTTTGGATCCACGATACTATCAATTGTTAACTTACCTATGTTACTTTGATCACCTATATTAGTAAGTTATGTTTCAATTCAACTCCAAATCAAATAGGTATCTGAAACGAACCACATCGTTAGCAAACCGGACATTTTTCGGTATAATTTGATGATGTCATATGATGTGATACTCTATGTTCGTGTTAGCCCTCCAAAGCAAGATCAGTGGTCACTTTTCTTTTATCTGCCGGACCACCTCCTGCTATGAATCTCTTCAATTAATGGCTGGCTGGTGAATGAATGAATGGTAAGGTGGAAATCAATTTGAGCGTCATTTTGACCATAAATGGAAACGGGCCTGGGCTTGAATGTGTTGGATTCGGTATGGTATACACGGTTATAATTTTTGTGGCCCATTTCAAAATTAATGTTGGACATTACTTGGGCTTGGACTTGGTCGATTATAGATGGCATTCACCTTTGGGCCCAATAAGACATATAGGCCTGGATCGCTCACTCTGATGAGTTTGCGTTGCGGGCATTCATAAGAATCTGAGTAGTCTCGGATGTAGCCATGAAGTCTTATATCATGATTTTTATGTATCATCTTTGTCCAAAAAATGCATGTTTTTGCGGTTAAATCGCTAAGCGATTTTGTTCTTGAGATCCAAAAAAACGTTTTGAGATATCAAATGATACTTTTCGATTGATTTATTTCATATTTTATAATATTTGCTTGTGTATAGTATATACATCGATGTCCTCAGTGACAATGCAGAATAATGAATTAGTCCATGTGAGATTAAATACCAATTAATTAAATTGGAAAGCTTGTACATAATAATAAGTAATGAAAGCAAATGAAGGGATTGGTAAGTCAAAATAAAAAGCGGTACACATACTGACATACATGTGTTGAATAAGATTGATTTTATTAGGTTGCTCACATTGGAAGGCAAACACCAATCAACTGATCATGATCAGAGAAAACGATGACCTAATTAATAATAAGAAAATTCTTTTTCCCAAATGATAAAATCATGGGCAATGTATCAAATCACCTCATGAAAGCTCCATTGATCCTTCCATGGCAATCCCTTCTACAATATGGAAAACCTCTTCTTTATGGATTCTTGATATCCCAAAAGACCCATAACTTATATTGTACATGATTGTAGGTTCGCAATTTGGTCGATAAAAATTTTGCACAGTTAGTATATTCTTCTTCATAATGACGACAAGTCTACAACAGCAACCAGACTCCGAACGAGGATTATTGGTAGTCAAAGTGTATGTTTTGTTTCACTGTGCAAAAAATGAAGTATCATCCGAAAATTCTATGTTGCGCTCACGTATTGTACGTTTGCTTCAGGTGGATAAGCAGAGTTCACATCAAATTAATCACATCACCCTCCCGCTTTCAACTAGTTATATTGCACTGCTTTTTCGAAATCTTCGTGTGTATTGTGCATGGTTTAGCTCTCGAGAAATACTTACCCCGACTAATTTGGTGTCCAGTCCAATACAAAATTTTGTCGCTCACAAATCACAATATTATCTTATAATTCATATCCAATTGCTTACATGAATTTGTTCAAATACCTAAAACTCTAAAAATCCCCTCCACAAGAATTGCCAAACAATTACCTAGTATTCCAAACTTAGTTGTCAAGTGAACTATGAATTTCACACGTAAAAGCAACACTAAGATGCTTGGATTCCACTTTCATGTATAGGCATTAGGTTTACAAGAGGGACTCGACATGGAACCAACAAAAGCTATTTATTTGGCTGCAATTTCATCCGCACAAGCAATTTCACCCTCTTTTTCACTAACTTCCCATTTCCAGCAGTCACTTCCCACAGTGAATCTTTAACGAACACTATTTATTATACTAGCATTAACCCTGCCCTTTGGGCAGGTGATTTTTTAATTTATGTGTATATGTGTAATATAAAAGCAATAATTTTTTAAAACCACACAGTTAGTTTCCATCACAAAAATAAAGGTATCGAGGCACCACGAAAAGGGAAAGAAATCTCGCATCTCAACTTATAGTTAAAATTCAAAAGAAACACCAGAAGGTCCGTCTATCTTGATGAAGTTCTTCGGGGGAAGTTTGGTGGGCATATAGTGTCGTCTTGTGGTGGGAAGCTCGATCAATCTATAAGGAAGAATCGTACATGAATTGATGGCCAATCCTCCACCCAAATAGTAAGGATTATTTAACAAATGTTAGTGAGTGAAACAAATATAGATACAAAATATCTCTATTTATGATATATCGAGATTTTAGAATTTGTAATCTCTAAACCTACAATGCACGTATAAAATGGAGAAAGAAACCATATTCGTTAAATCTCTAAATTCTATGAATCTATACTTCGGATTTCATTCTCCAAATGACCTCTTGATTAATTTACCATTAATATTTTAAAACATATTTTCGATTAAAAATATTAAAAAATATTATGATTATTATTTAGATGACTTGCATTATTATTATTGGGGATAAGTAATCATCATAAATCATTATAATTTACTTCGTCATCTCTTTCCTCCCATATCTCCATCCAAAATAAATTGATCAAAAAGAAAAAAGAGAAAAACCTGTACAATGAGGAGTCTAGGGGACGGTTTAAAGGGGTAAGAAACATAAGCATTTAGTCTGAACAAAAAAAAATTGACATAGAGGCAAACGCGAATGATAAAAAAAAATAAAAATAAAAACACTTAGATTACCGAAAATCGCGGTAAGGCTTTTGAGGATGACGTGGAGAGGGTCCTAATCTTAATCCTCTTTAATATATTTTAAGATTAAGATTTCTTTCGTGATAAGTCATTGCGATATAAAAAATAAAACATAAATAAGAAAAATATACGTCAAGTAAGTTGCATGTGTGATGATACATAACCATTTGGTATATATATGGATTTCTACAGTACCAGGGTGAAATCCGGGGTACTGCATACATTGAGTAAGAAAATGCTATCTATAATTTGAATTGACTGATCTTTCGGATACTATTCTCTAACCTTTAAAGATCAAAATCTAGGTCTTAATTATCTAAATCTTATACCCCAAGATCAACTTAATTAGAAACAATAATCGACGGTTATGATTAGTCCAAATATAGGCAAAAAAATCAATACACCATCTTATATATATATGGTGGTGTCTTCGGTGCACTCACTTTTTTTGGTGCATTCAGTGCACTCACTTCATAACCGTCATTTTAAACATGCGATTTATGTCAAAATGATGTCAATCATCACTTATGATGTGATGAACAATAACGCACATGAATTTGCATAAAAGCCATTAAAGATTTACTTGAATTTGAAGAAGTTAGATTTTTTAGATATAGGGTTAGGGTTTACAATTTGGGGTTTAGGGATAGAACTCAAAATTGGAGGTCTAGGGTTTAGGGTAATCCGCTAATATGTTATATCATCATATTACACTAATTCTACAAATTAAAATTCATAACCTGACACCTTAAAACTAGTTTTTGAGTTGGATGCATTGAACGGTGAGTGCACCGAAGTAGTCACCATATATATATACACCCGACTACCCGTGATAACGATTACCAACAAATTTTCCACCACGTTCATCCAACGATGTTTTCGTAAGTCGTAAGTACTTAAAAGACTACAGACACAGTAACCGAATTGCATCTGTAAAAAAATTCTTAACCAAGTTGAGCTCGATTAAGTGCTATTGATATATGTATACATATAAATCGGTTTCAAACAACATCACCTATCTCAACTGCTCATTAAAACAAGAAAAAATAAAAACAAAATATCTCAGTAGGTAAGTGGTTGGCTGGGTTATCAGAGACACATCCAGATTTAATCATATAGTAATCTGACTGCAATTAATATCTAACGGTTGAATCTTAATTAATCACATGGTTCGTCACAATCCTTAACTATTGTTAACTTAAATTAAATTAAATCATCAGAATGCGGGTCAAAAGCCCAAATGAGTGATTAGGCCAGCAAATTTAATTACCTAATTGCAAAGTTAATTGCACTCTTGCCGTTATTAATCACCAGACAACAGACAAAACGGCACAAACTCAATTGTGCCGTGTTGTCTTAGCGTAATGTGTATTTGGCAAATTAAGTTATATTTTGTTCTGTTTGATTCAAATGTTGAGTCGATGAAATGCAACTTAAATGTATCGTCACTTGAAAACGATAGCTGAAGAGATAGTATAGACATAGACGAAGCTCCAACGTGTACCGAATTGTTGTCTACACTCAATCTATTGCCAATACCTTTTATTATTATCTTTGATCGATAAGAGTAGTGACGAATATGATTCCCTTTTAATTTGTAAAAATGTCACACCGCCGCTCTACATTAGATAATTAACTAGAGATTCCATTGTTAATCAAACCCCTCTTGATTTTGTTTATGGAGAGATTATGTTGAACTTAACGCCATTGTTTTGATTTGGTCGATTGGATTTAGAAAACCGTTGTTTGTTTTAGCTATTAGTAACCCTCTTAAAGTTTCATCGAAACACTTAATCTTCCTACCTAGAATATTACGGGTAAATTATATCCTGATGCCACAAATACTTAACCCATAACAATTGCATATCAACTACTTGACCTTTGACTTACGATTTATTTATGATATAATAATAATGATCATATTAGCTAAACAATGGCGTGATGTAGTGGTACTGGTACTGGTACTGGTTTTCAATTTAAAGGTTATAGATTTGAATTTCTTAATTAGCACCTAAAGATAAAAATTAATTTATGCCATCCTTATGTAAAAAAAATAATGAACACGTTATGGGACAATCCAAGTACCACATAGGTAATACAAAGGAAAGGACCTTTGTATATAAGTGTCCAGCAAACTCATTAGTACGAGGTCTTTTGGAGAGGACACCCAAGAGTAAAACCGTGCGGGCTTGGCCCAAAGCGGACAATATCGCACTAATGGGCAGCCCGATTTCGACAAGTGGTATCAGAGCCTGGTTTGGATCCGGGGCGGTGGACGTCTGTTCGGTGGCACCGTGCGGATTTGGCCCAAAGCGAACAATATCGTACTAATGGGCAACCCAATTTCAACATAACATATTATAAGGGGGAATTTTATGGTACCAGCCGTAGATTTTGGGTATCCCAACACCTAGGGGCGTGCAATAGTTTGGACCAAGGACCGGAAAACCAGTGCATTCGGTTCACTTTAGTCTGGTCTATTTTTCTTTATAATTTATATATTGATGGGGCCAAAGACCGTACCATATTATATTCGATTCGATATAGTCTAGACTAAGAAATTCATTACACACCCTTAATAAGAAAATGGTATCTAGACTTGTTCTAAATTCCAATTCTAAGAAAAGTATACCCATGATTGATTTCATCATATACAATAATCGACGGTTCTAATTCATCTGAGTACATCCAACATGCTATATATATTCACCTTTTTATGAGGGTGATATCATTCTAATTTTATTGATAGGTGCTAGTTAAGGGATCTGAACATATAACTTCTAGGAAACCAACGGTAGAACTTCTATGACCAACTCCTTGTTCGCTCAGATTCACCTTCTTAAGCTTTAAGCTTAGGATTTCGAGAATTATGACTTATAATTCACTCATTTTAGGTGACGAAAATAAAATCATATGTCCCAAATTCCTTTATAATTCAAAATGTAGATATGGTTTTTTTACTAGACATACGCGATATCTCTAAATTTATGTTCTCTAAATTTATGTTATATATTAACATAGTGGTCAAATTTCCTGTAATATAAACAAGAAAACGAGAAGCATATGTAAATTTACTTTTTTTTAATTGGCGTATCGACTTGTAACATTAGTATTGTTACTAACAATAGAAGTTTAGAAAGAACATTTTCCACAATAATGGACGCGAAGAACCCGGTCAAATGAGTATGAAGATATAAATAAAATTTCAATAGAAATATTCCAGTAAAACTCTTTATAGTTTGGATGATAATTGCATAGGTAATAAAAATCAGTGTAAAAAATCACCTCTCTAGCTACATATTTTTCAGCAAAGAAGGTGCCAAATTGGACGGCGATCATCGGCATTAACCGGAAGGACAGGTGTGGGGAACTGGGGATGTGATTTAGGGATGGCAATGGGGCGGGTTTACTTAAACCATCCCCATATCCATCTTCAAATACCCAAACCCATACCCGCCCAATATCCATGCGGGGAATGTTTTGCAAACCCATCCCCATACCCGTGGGTTTCGGGTACCCATGGGTAATACCCATACCCGTAATCCAACATTATTATAACTAAAACTTACAAGAAAAGTTCTAATTTTAACTCTAAATGAACATATTATATCATGAAGTCAACAAAACACGGTCATTTTTTTTAATATGGTTCAAAGATTATGATCCTAAAATATCCATTAATACATAACATAGAGTATAATATTTTTCAAATTATTATATTCTAACTCTGATACATCTACTAAATAATAATTAACTAACATAATCTTGTTGACAAGGGGGAAAGTGAAATGAGAATTGAGAAAAATGAATTAGATTTTGATTAAGGTGGTCACTCAATTGCATTTCTACTATTTATTTTCTCAAGTTATCCTCATCATCATTGATAGATTATAATTTGATGCACATATTTTTTTTTATATATGAAGAAATTATCTTGGTGGGGCGGGTATGGGGATGGGTATGGGGCGGGGGAGGCTAAAACCATACCCGCCCCATACCCATCAAACGTTTTGCGGGTTTTACCCATACCCGGTCAAAGCAGGGATTCCCCGCGTTGACTGGGTCGGGGGCGGTCGGATACCCGCGGCCATGGGTTTGATTGCCATCCCTAATGTGATTGGGTGGAGCGAGCTGGAAAAAATATGGTTTACACAGAAAGCGAGATAGAGGGGAAAGGCCAAATCCGGCGTAGGAGCGACTTCGATTCTCTGTTTTTCTCCGCCGGCGAGACCCGCCGGAGCACCGCCGAATCCTCGCAACCAAACGAAGCGAAACCACCCAAAAAAAGACTGATTGGAAAGATTAACATAATAATACTTCTCTAACTAAAATTGGGTTGAGAGTTGAGACGCTTGATTTCATTGACAAATTTCTAATTATCCTAATTTTTTCTTGCATGTACTCGGATATCAAGCATTAACGAACTTTTGAAATAAGGCAATTTGACTCAATTATCTAACATAACGCATCATTTTAAAATACATGTCGTTGTCCCCTCAATTCAAATTGATGCAAAATGAATTAATTCAAATTGTCTCGACCCAATCGCTGCATTCTCTTTTTGTGTTGTCAAATGAGACTATTTGACAACTTAAATACTTCATGAAAATATCGCATCCAAACAAACCAAAAGAATTTACCAAGGTAGGATGAGCGAGATGCGATGGTCGGTTTGAGTTTCAGAGACCCTCGATTTATCTTCCTCTCTCTTTCGTTCTTTAATATGTACACAACCTCTTAAATTTGGGGGGAGGGGGGGATGAACCAAATTCTTAAGAACGGGTGGTTTATACTGTCGACCGATCCTTTTTTTGTCATATAGACATAACACAAACTTCTAACAATTGTGGTTCTCAAATTTCAGTATATATCATAAACAAACAATTTTTTTTTTTTTTTTGCCAAAGTATTGTAACAACCCAACTCATTTCTTCTCAAGATATTGTTCATTTTAGCCTATCAGATATGATTTTTCTTTACATTGCTCCATATTGAACACCTTTAATTTCGAAGTTCTTAAAAAAATTATTCCACTTCACCTCAAAATACTCATTATCAATTAAAATTGTATATTTTTCGTAAATTAGAAATCACTCTCGTACCACGTTGAATGTGCCTAAGATATTACCAGTGTCATAAAGGCATAAACAAACAATTTATTAGACGGGGGAAAATCAATTGTAAAAAGAACGAAAAAAAAAATCATTAAAAATGGTATAAATGAAGGAAAACTAATTCGTGGGAAATGTATTTGACAATATTGTTGGGGGATTTCTTTTCCGTTGCATTGCAACAGAGGAAGACAGAGTCAGTCTCCCATGGTCTCGTTCCCTTCTTCTCCTTTTGCAAACTCCGGCGCTGGTACGATTGCTGTGAAGCTTACCTTCCGGCGATAACCAACGAGAATCGGCGAATCGTAAAACGTCGTCGATTCCCTCTGTAATTTTACGTTCGGAAATGAAGAAGAAGAAGAAGAACGGCGGTCATCATCATCATCCTCATCATCACTACAACTGCCCCGCCGCAGCTCGTCTCCACCAGATTTCCCTCATCCTCCGCGGCGGCCGCTATCTCTTTCCGGTGATCTCGGCTTTCTCCGCCTCGATTCTCCTCTTCCTCGCCGCTTCCGCTCTCCTCTCCTCTCCGCCGCCTCTCATCGAGCGCCGCCACCTCCTCCAGCTCCCTCGCCGCCATTCCTCCTCCTCGTCATTCGTAATCATCGCCATCTCATTCTCCGTTTTCGCGCGCGCTCTCTCTCTCTCAATTCGTATGTTTCTCGAATTCATTCTCGTGTTTACTGATTTCAATTTGAAAATCACAGTCCTACAGTGGAGCCATGGAGGAGACGGAAGACGCGGCGTCCGGTACATTGACGGCCTTCAGCGTCCCGGTAAGTTTAGATAATTGTCGTGACGACTGCACAGTGATTTTTTTTCTTTCTCGCCGGGAAAAAAAAACTAGCACTCGGTCCCGGCTATTGAATCGTTGCCGCCGTTTTGATTCCGTTGGCGGCTCCTTTTTGATTTTGTGTGTTGTTTGGTTTTCCTCAGGAGCGCGGCGGAAATTTAGGCCACGACTTGTGGAGCTCTCCGTCGTCGGAATTCTTCTACGGTTGCAGCAACGCCAGCGATAAGTTCCATTGTAAGTTCCGGTTCCAGCTCCAACTCCGCCGCTCCGGCTGACCGGCGCGGCGGCGCCTATTTCTTCTCCGTCTTCTCCTTCATTTTGACGATTTCAATTTATTGCATTGGAGTATCCGAAAATCTCAACTATCTCCGAAACAAAAGCCGACGACTCCGTACTTTTTCCTTCTAGAATTTGGACGGTTCCTCTACCTTTTGTGCGTTTTGGCCCACGCCGGATTTGGACTACTTCAATTTTCCCCTCTTTTTCTCCTTTGTTGTCTTCTTCGCCTGTACTCTGTTTACTCTGCTCTAAAGCTTATTAGGGTTAGAATTAGAATGGCAACCTATGGCGTGAAAGGATTAGACCTTCAAGGGGTTCTAATTCAATCCTTTATTTCTTTGTCCAGCCGCTGAAAAGAAGACCGAACCGAATCGGTACTTGTTGATCGTCACAAGTGGGGGGTTAAATCAGCAGAGAACAGGGGTGAGAAATTGGTTCTTTGATTTTGTTGTCTAATTCCAAATTTTAATCCTCTGTTAGAGTTCGTCACTGTAGAACTAGACTTTTAGATATTCAGCATTCATTGGATTATCACTCTAATTGCACATTGCAATGGCTGCAGATAACGGATGCAGTTGTTGCAGCATATATCTTGAATGCAACTCTTGTTGTTCCAACGCTGGACCAAGCATCCTTCTGGAAAGATTCAAGGTACGTCAATTGCAATGTGATCCCATGTTCCCACATTCATTTCTGGAAAAATTCAGTCTCATTCATCTGTTTTTTTTTTTCTGGGTATGCAGCAATTTCTCTGAAATATTTGATGTGGACTGGTTCATTTCATCTCTTTCCAAAGATGTGCGGATCATCAAGCAACTTCCAACAGATGGTGGGAAGGTTATCACCCCGCAGGCCATGCGGGTTCCCAGGAAATGCACACCATCGTGCTACGCGACCAAAGTTCTTCCTGTCCTCAACAAGAAGCATGTATAGACCGAGCTTGCCTAATTCGCATTCTACGTTATCAACCATTTGCTTCTTCTTTCGGTTTATTTATGTATGAGCTGTTCAATATGTTCTCTGGCAGGCTGTTCGGCTAGGGAAGTTCGATTACCGTCTCTCAAACCGGCTGGACACGGACTTGCAGAAGCTGAGATGCAGAGTCAACTACCACTCCTTGAAGTTCACCGATCCAATCGTTGAAATGGGTGAGAAGTTGGTTCATAGAATGAGAAGGAAGAGTAAGCATTTCATTGCTCTCCATTTAAGGTAATCATAACAATCAATTAAGCTCTTGTTCCCTCCATTCTCCATTCCACTTCAACTAATTTGGCTGGTCTAACACGGCGATGGAACGTTATAACGCAGGTTCGAGTCCGATATGCTCGCGTTCTCCAGCTGTGACTACGGAGGAGGAGACAAAGAGAGGGAAGAACTCGGTTCCATTAGGCTGAGATGGAAGAGCTTACATGTGAGCTACCCGTTTCTAAACTTCACTACAGCACCATAGCTTTCTGGTCTTCTATGGAATAATGAAAATCATTTCTGATACTCTTATTTCTTTCGGGTATGTAGCAGAAGAACCCCGACAAGGAGAGAAGGCTGGGGAGGTGCCCGCTGACGCCAGAGGAAGTGGGGCTAATGCTGAGATCTCTGGGCTTCGGCAGCGACGTTCATATCTACGTTGCTTCAGGGGAAGTCTACGGCGGGGAAGAGACTCTGTCTCCACTCAAATCCATGTTCCCCAATTTCCACTCGAAAGAGACCTTGGCTAGCCAGGAAGAATTGGCTGCATTCGCGCCCTTCTCTTCTCGTATGGCTGCCTTGGACTTCCTTGTCTGCGATGAAAGCGACGTCTTCGTCACCAACAATAACGGCAACATGGCCCGAATCTTAGCCGGACGACGGTACTAATTAATTAATTTCTCCATTCCTTTCCCTCATTTGCCCATATCCAAAACCGGCCTCTAAATCTCGCTCTCTCCAGGAGATACTTCGGACACAAGCCGACGATCCGCCCCAACGCCAAGAAACTGTACAAGCTCTTCTTGGGTCGCCGGAACTCGACGTGGGAGGAATTCAGCGGCAAGGTCCGGTCGAGTCAGATTGGGTTCATGGGGATGCCGAACGAGGTGAAACCAGGGAGAGGCGAGTTCCACGAGAACCCTTCTTCCTGCATATGCGAGACGTCCACGAGGAATGATGATAATGCAGCTTCTCCTGATGTGGGCAAGAAGAGATATATCGACGCCGGCGCCGGAGATTACCGGTCGTCGGCGACGGAGGATGAGCGCGAGCGGTACTATTTCTCCGACTCGGAGACGGCAGTTCCCAGCGGCGGGTTGTCGCAGGTGACTGAAATCGACGAGGAGGAGTTCTTTTCTGACTAGAAATATATACCGGAGGTGGGCACTGTTTTTTTTCTTCCGCCGGCCTCTTGTTCATGTAAATACAAAGGGAGCTATGTCAAAAAAAAAAAAAAAAAAAAAAAGTCTCAGGCTATGACGCCGTGAGGTTGCCGATATGCACAGCAGTACAAAACGCCGTTAGAAAGAATCCCTCTCTGCCGGTTTGTCTGTCTCTGTTTACTATTTTTACTTTTTAAGTTTTTTACTTTTACCTTGGGGTTAAATAGCTAGGGTTTCTATTCTTGCCGTAACCGTAAGGCTGGAGAATATAGATTAGTGAGAGAGGGGATCCAATATGACTTGCTTAGTCGTTTGTACGACTCATTTTTGTTGTCCCCTTTTTTATGTTTTTACCCTGAGTGAAAATTTTAATTTAGAGAGTGAATTAATACTACTAAAGATATTTTCTAAAATGTAGATTATTTGTGATTTTTTATTAATGGTATAGTTAGACCATGACTATTAGACTATATATGAATCATGCACATTATTTGGGTTATGACGACTAGGGCTGCAAATGAGCCAAGCTACTCTTGAGCAACTCGAGGCTCGAATCGGGAAAAACTCGTTCGAAACTCGATTCGTTTACTGACGAGCCAAGCTTGAGCCTAGCTATGTTCAGCTCGTGAAGCTCGCGAGCTAGCTCGACTCGGTGGCTTGTTGAGCTCAACTCGTGAGTTGGCTCATTTAGAGCTCATGAGATGTCTCAACATTGTGGTTTGAGGGCCAACTTGATCACTGACTTATGGACTAATCGATCTAATTTGGACTTTCATAATTCATAGGATTGTTAAATTATATATCTCACATCATGTGAAGTTTAACATGTTGAACATGTAAGAAAATATGCCTTATTTTTAATTCTATAAAGAAATTATGTACAAAATTGTTGAACATTTGATTATTTTTTTTATCTCTACATCAATCACATGTACCATACTCGACATACAAAATGAATGTATTAAATACTATCTAAGAATTTAGTAAACAAGCCTAGCTCGAACTCGACTCGACTCGGCTCGTTAATAAATGGCTCAGGCTCAAGCTCAGCTCATTTGTTAACGAGTCAAGCTCAAGCTGGGGTAAAACTTGGCTCAGCTCGGCTCATTTGCATCCCTAATGACGACTCGGATTGAACCAACCACCACCATGACTATTAGACTATATATGAATCATGCACATTATTTGGGTTATGACGACTCGGATTGAACCAACCACCATCATGCATACAGTAATATCCATACTTTACACAAGTTTTTGGATGGAGATTAGAAAGTTTGATTACCTAATGCGTCGAATATATCTATTTTCATTTAAATTTCATTACTTATCACTTACTTTGTTACGAAGGAGAGTGCAAATGTAAGCTTTTAGAGTATGAAAATTAGACTTAGCTCAAGGCCCATTCACGATCCAATAACATATAAACTTGTGCTTAGACTTGACATTTATACGCGAATCATGCTAACTAGAGTAAAGAGAATAAATAAATGATTGAAATCCAATGAAATGGAGTGATTCACCATGTTATTTGCCTATATGTTAATATAAACAAAACAAAACAACACAGGATAATCATGATTACAAAAATGACACATCTCTCGTACACGAATGTAGTATGAGTCAGAGTTAACTTGTATGAATGTCTTATGCATGACGTTAGAGTATAACAAGCCAATATCAACAATAAGAAGGTATGATGCTTTGTTGCTAGAAACTCTTGAGTGTAAGTGAATATCTAGTTTTGATGAAACGGGAAAAAGTTTTTAGTTTCATGTGATATTGGAGAAAACCAAACTATCGATTCAAATGTATATTCCACTAAACTCACCCAAACATAACAACTCGTGAGACATATGTCTTCCTTTCACCATGGAGTCCAATATCAACATAATAAGTGATAGGGAATCATTTTTGAATGATTCATAACAAGCCTAACAACGGTACTTGTATTATCCCTTGTGTATGTGTATCTTCGTAATGTTGTTTAACATCTTTTTTTGAAATCAAACCCTTTGGGGGAAGATGACCTAAAAAACCATGATTGTCATGTCAAGTGGTATGGGTCACGAAAATTGCGTGAACACTACCATTATGATCGGCATGAATACCATCGGTATGATCGAACTTTGAGGTCAACCCATGGGAAGTTGGAGGGTGCACCGCAGACTTTAATTGTTTGGGGACAGTGGGGCCCATAGCTCCCTTAAATGATCAACCATGGACCTCTATCACTTAGTTTTCGTTTCTGCAAAATCTAAGACTCCCCTCCCCTTGTTCTTCCTCATCTGATTGACTAGTTATGTCTGTTGCTTCTTCACTTTGAAATCTCTCTCTCTCTCCCTCTCTTTCCCATTTTAGATCTTTTCTTCTACTTTGTCCATTGCTCCTCACTTGAATGGAAGCATGGAACAGCCACGGGCCTTTCCATGCAACAACTCTACCAAACACTATGACTCTAAGAAAGACATTAAGCAGCATTACGAAAATACTCACAAGGGTGATAACAAGTATCCTTGTGAGAGTTGCTACCAATCCTTCAAAACCAAGAACTTGCTCAAAATCCACACTATTGAGAAGCATAATAAGTTATGCAGGTTAGTTTCTCTATAGTCTTTTTGTTTCTCTGTTCTTGTTCTATCTTTATCTATCTTTCTTTTACCCGTTTGGTCTTTCGAGAGCTTTGCTAGCAAGCATTTTCTACGTCGTGGTTCTTGTCTTTTTTTCTTTCTTTCTTTGAGTCTCCCATTCACAGATTACTCGGTGAAACAGGGGACACTAGCGTCAACTTGCAAAATTAACGTAAAGGCAAAAACAGAGTGTCACATAAAAGCAGCCATGGAAACGCTAGGTTCAGAGGGGAAAAAAATAAGAACTACTATGCTTGGGAGCTCTCTTAGAGACAGACGGTAGAAAAGATGGATAAAGACAAAATAAGAACAGAGACACAAATCGCTTTACCTGTATCACTTCTTGTGCTTCTCCACTCCATGAATATTGAGAAGATTCTTAGTCTTGAAAGACTGATAACATGTTTTGCATGAATACTTCTTGTCCACCTTATGTTTTTTTTTTCATAGTGCTCCTTGATATGCTTTTTTGTGTGATATCCTTTAGTGAAATTGTTACATGGGAATGATTTTTTTGTTTCATGGTTCCATTCACAAAGGAGAATAAGAGGGAGGAGAATGGAGAGAGCTGTTTCAAATAGAAGAATCACAGGGCACAAATTCGTTGAGGAAGAGGTAAGGTTTAGGTTGCCGAAAGGAGGACTAGCTGTGACAGAAGCCTATGGTCGATCGTTTAAAGGAGGTTGCTGGGAGGGAAAAAAGATAAAGTGGATCCCACCTCCCCAAACAGTTACAGGTGGGGTCGACCCTCCCAATCCTCCAGCTAGGCCCCCATTGGAGCAACTTGGGGCGAAAGAAAAAGGCTTCGATGCCGCTTCATCCATGTTCAAAGGATGACACCTGCAGAAAACCCATAAGTTCCCTGGCATTAAACTGCAAACAAAAGGGAAATGGAAACCTGCCTTAAGATCAAATTTGTGAAAATATCTGCTAAGTAACTATTTGCTTCCAACAGTTGGTTGTACAACTTCTCCCTGCTTCATTGATCTCCATCTTGAGATTGTCATATTGAGCAACTGTACAATTGGAGCAATTAGTGAGACATGGGTCTCAAGAGAGCAAAACCCCTCCTTGTGTTACTAATGTTACATACTTAAAATCACCTAATGATTAAACTGCAGTTGCTATTTGGTTTACCTCGGGATTGTTGAAGTGGTGCATTGATGACCTTTAAACGACAGCTGAGAATGTTCTGACCTTATGGCATGTAGTAGATCAGATGAACACGTAACCAACGTAACCACAGTTCCAGTCTCAGCCTTGCGGTTCACCCGACAGCTGACCCGTTTTTTTCTGAGTGGACGAATGATGTTGCTGATAGACTGGCATTCTCCGAGGTAACCAAAATGAACTTGAAATCAGAATTGCTTTTCTGTTGTAATTTGAACAGATCAGTGTGATATTTGTTTGAGAGTGGAATGTAAATGACGGTGTACCCGGTTCTTTCGAACGACACCGTGTTCTCGGTCCCCATGACGGAGACTGTGTGGACCAGAAGGAGATTGGCAGCCTGGAGAAGTTCCTGCAGGACTAGTTCACCAACATATATTGAAGAAGTTGAAAGACCTCAAAGCTCAATCTAAGCAAACTGACATCTACTTTACGCTGGACTAATTTTTTGGGCCTGGGCTAACTGGCTTTGGATAGGCCCAAGAATCGGACTAATCAAAGAACGGGCCACTGTACGAGTGATGGGCTTGCATGGATTCCACGTCGAGGAGGTTTTGCAGGCTTGCCTATTGGGGGTTGATTTTATTCGAAGAAATCTGAAATCCAATCATAGCCCATGATTGGTGGGGGGAATATGAATCTGTGCAATTGAGCTTTTTTACGCAAAATCATTACAGATAGGGAGTGGGTTGGGTCGTTTCCTGGGTGAATGGTGAAATCAAATAAAATCGAATCACCCCAAACCTTTCAATCCCTTTCAACTTTGGTTTTTCATGGGTTTTCATTCTTCAGAATTTTGTAAATGTTTGTTGTACTTATGAACAGTAATTTTAGTTGGGGACTACATGAAATAGTTTGTACTCTGTTTTTACCTAAAAAAAGAAAAAACAGAGCACCCTGTTGAATTCATATCCATTCATTCCCATCATGTAATGCGTTAAATGGTATTGATGCCTATGTTTGGCTGTTCCATCCCTCTCCTTCGGACTTTTCCCTATATATCCATCGGTTTTGTCGGCTCGGATTGTCAATGCCCCAATCCTCTCTTGTCTCTGTTCCTTTCCATTTCATCCTCTTTTCCATTTCCCTCCCACTGTTCTTGGCTCAGTCATATTCGTTCTACAGGGCAAGCTCGACCCTAGGATAATGCATGTTGTCTCCATACGTAGCTAGGCTCTGTTGAACATGAGTCCGAGCTTTACATGACTATTATGGCTAGGGTTCCTTATGAGGGTATTGGTAAAGCTTGCATCTGATGGCTGACTGATGCAATAGTGGAAATTTGGTTGAACATGACTAATTGTGTCGCATCGGTTTGGGGTTGGACCAACCAAATCAATTTGGTATAAACACAATATGCATTGTTATAGTCGTTTAGACCATATACAAACAAGATAAACGAGGAGCTCACGCGAATGTGATGTATCAAGAAAGGACGCAAATAAACTTGGTCAACCGTACGTCCAGTCCTCATCAATCTCTCGCTTGTCCTTCCATCCAACAAGTGAAGATGAATAAACTTTAATTTAACTCCATGTTTTTTTATTTATTGTAGGGTTTCGAGTAAGTTATATATTGGTTCTGGATTTGACCCGGCGATACGATAGCAAAAGTTCTTTAGTACATGACCTCTTTGATGTAGTAAACTTGTGTACTCTTCTTCACATATATGGGCGGTGGGTTGCCCTTTCCAAAGTCATTTTTCGAGTAAAGAAAAGCCCTTTGGGTAAGGTTGAAGAGGGCAAACATGCAAAAAGCAAAACCCTAGCTAGTTGGATTCATGGTCTTAGTATTTGGAAGAAAAGAGACAAAGAACCAAGAAAGCAAGCCATCCAAACCTACTAGAAACACATGCTGCCATGAAGTTAGGATTATATATGTATGGATGAAATGTCATAGGGTAGCTAGTCTGGCTTAGGCTGGTTCGAAACTGACTCAAGAAGCAAAGTATGTTTTTTGCTCGCCTTCTTGTTTAGGGTTTAGTGTTCTTTAAAGTAGGGTCATAATTGATGGTACTACCAAGTAAGAAAATAGAACTAACAAACAAATATAATATATTGTCACACTATTTTTTAAAAATTTCGACAAAAATATCGCTCAAGTTTGAAATAACTAATATAAAGATTATTTTGTTCCGTCTATTTTTATAGAGCTTTCACTCGTCTGATAATTAATTCGATGGTTCTGCGTTACTGGTGGTGAGCTGATATGCTAACGATGAACATGTTGAACAAAGAACTTGCTGGAGAGATGAATAAATTGACGGTTAAATACGCCAGTTGTTCCATACCCTTATTCCTTACTACTTTGGTGATGCATTCATCAAAAGTCAAAAGTCCAGTGACTGATCTGTTTATGAATTAGTGAGCAAGGTAAGTCTAGTGTCTGACCAATGGACCGATCAAAGGTTCGTTTAGGTATAACTTTATATATAATTCGATATGATTTCAATTACTAAATGTACAAATGGATTAAATCAAAACAAGTACGATTTCGATGATAAATATATGTTTATTTTTTTTATTTAATTCTGATTCCAAGATTCCCTTTAAATTTTTTTTATATAAAACCTGCTATGCCAATATCTAAACGATTGAACCATCAACCATGTCCACCCTAAAGCAACTAAACCTCAACCTTTTTCCCCTTCATCTAATGATATCATATTCCTAGCTAGCTAACTCATCAGTATTGGGTAGAATGAGGTGCATTGTTCCTGTTGAATTGGGACCTTCCTCCCCTCCTATACACATTTTCAATTTGGGAGAAGTTGAGTGCTTCAACCTGTGGCTGTTACCATCTCAATTTGTCATTCCCACTGAACTCAGAGTAGTGCAAAATAATATGGAATTGAAAATGAAGTGATTCCATATATATGCATGGTATGATGGCAATGCCTTTTTAGCTTTGTAAAAGGATTGGTGATAGGGCATGCAGACTAAGTGCTTTGTGGGTATTCTCTATCACCCAATATTTCTTCCCAAAGGAGGAAATGCTCATTAGGGAAATGTGTTTTTATTACCTGATTTTGTTACTATTGCTATACTCTTTTGCAGTTTTGGCTCAAGGATGCCAGTTTACCACTCCATGGATAAAGCTTAGGATTTGAAGAAAAAAAGTTATATATTCATTTGCTACTGTTCATAAGAGATTGAGAGGTTGCATAAGTACGTAACGATTGTGTATTCTTATTCGTCAGTGTATCTTGAAGTTTGCTTATACCGTACGATTCTGGGTGTTCGTAATGACGAACACTTATACAAATTTTAATAACCATCACTTCTAGGAAACTTGCTTGACTTTATTCTAGCGTTCTTGTCACCGGGAGAGTCATTTAGTTCCCTAGAGAACAAAGTACTTAATAAATCCCAGAAAGCAAACAAGAACCTAACAAGTAACAACCATGCATAGATTGTGAAATCACCACGCCGAATGAAACCGACGAGAGTTACCATTCAAATTGGATATACTAGAACAGTTAAAACAATTCATTACGATATCACGATAATTAATATCATACTAGATTCATCACTAGCATACACATGATTTAACAGGTACGATAGATATCGGTACACAGAAATTGGTGGTGGGGTAAAAAAGGAAGACCACCCACCAACCTTTCCACCAAGATCTCTTTTCTCTTCCCCCAATTTTCATGCCATGCCATTTGAACCCAGCAAGCCTTATCTCCTCTGGGTCTGATCAGGTTGGGAGAGACATTTTATATATTGGTGTGTGACACTGTGTGTTATAGTTTGTGCATGTTTGCCCCCAGAGATCCACTCAGAAGCTCAGAAACCCTAAAGGGTGAGTTAAAAAAGAAACAAAAGAGAAGAAAAGTGAAAGTGATTGCAGATTGCAGATTGCTTTCAAAAGGAATGAAGGGAAAGAAAAGTGGCAGTAAGTGAGTGAATCTCCAAACACCAAAAACTCTTCTTCTGACTCATATCTCGTTCCTTTTTCTTTTTTACTTGCTTCAAAGGAAGACCCCAAATTAATTATAGTTAATTTCATGGTGTTTTACTCTATTTTTTATGAGGCAATAAAAAATGTTACTGAAAAATTACAAAATTGTTTCATATCACATGGACCATGTAGTTGGACTGTACTATATGTCTGTCAAGCGCACTATGAGACCACTCCATAATCACCTCAGGATGATTTTTGGCCACAGAGATTGGAATTGCAGTGGTCACTTTGATTTCATGACGATTTCTCTAACTGCCTAGCTTTGTCTTCTAGAACTACTAACATAAAGGGTTGCAACCGAAGTTTGAAATAATTAGTGTAATAATGATTCTATCGATGCTAGGTTTGTCATTCTTTAATGACGAGAGATCATCTGCAAAAATTAAACATTTACATTCCTCTCGTTAAATCATATGTATCGCACATAGCGACTCAATTATGGAGTATGTGATTCAAGACATGCACGATCCGATCGTGATACACTTTGTGACTAGTGTTCTGAAATTTTATTCCCTAAACTTTGGACATCTATCAAACTAAGGGATCAATGTGAGGAACATGGAGCTTTGGAACAAGAAGGTTTATGGGTTATATATATATATATATATTCAAAACTCAAGGCTACCTAGCTAGCTAGATCTAGAGAAGGGTTTAGTTCATTGTGTGGAGCACATGAAAGATCAGAAGAGAAGAAAAAGGAGGGGTTGTAAATGCAATTGCAATGCAACTTTTGAGACAAATTGCACATGATGATACAAACTAGCTAGAAAGAGGATTGTTGGGCCACTTTTCCATTCATTTGACCATGCCAAACCAAAAAAACTCCTCACAATCGTACTATGGAGAAAATAGTTAATAATGGTTGGATATTTGTCTTCTTCTGCTGGAGTGGATCTTTTCCTAACATTGCTTTTGGTGTTATCAATTGATCTCATGTGATCATCATGTATTGGTGTGTTTGCTAGGATATATATTGACACCAAGGACACCATCAAAACAAAACCAAAAGAAAAAGAAGCATAAATGGATATATGAATTATAGAGAGTTAGATTATGCTAATATGTCAGATTGATTGTTATGATTCTTCGAACTTTCTTGTTCAATAAGTTACGAGTTTACCCGAGCAGGGTGATCGAGAGTTAACAATCTACTGATTGTGTGTGTAAAAGAGTCGAATTTCTGACCATTTTATAGTGTTGTCACTACTAGTTTGAATAATTCATGTCTTTTATGAGACTATATCATCAACCAAACATGGCTTCTTAGGACAACAAAAATATTCAATTATGATTCTTGTTGTTTGATGAGAAAGAGGGTGGTTTGTCACATGTGGCACAATGTGATGGGTCAATAATGGGTAGGGTTAGGGGATAATGGAGGGGACACATTGGATTCTTTACATTCATGGTTGGGCTCATCTCATCTCATCTTTATGCTGGCTAGAGAGAGAGAATGGGGAGGCAAGGCAACTGTTGGTTTGGCTCTACAAAAACCTTTAAAAAAAGCTAGAGATAGGGCACAGTTTTTCTCTATTTGTTTTGAGTGGTGTCTAAGTATGGGGATTCAATCAATCTTATTAGAGAGATCAGTTTGGGTAATTGAAATTAATAAGAGATCAATCAAATCACCAAAGATAAGAGGGCTACCAAAACATTTTTCCTGACTATATGTCGTTGTTCGTGATTATTCATTCACAACTTCGAACTATAAACTTTTAAGATAACTTTCACTTTCTTAACCATTTTGGTTATATTGTTATACTATCTAAGAAAGCATCATCCGTTGGTATATGGGATGAAGAAATATATATTTGGATTTCCTACTAATAGTTAGAGATACTAAGGCGAACCAATTCTTGATATTGGACCAGAAGTTTTAATAACCCAAAATGTTATAACATGAGACATTTTTTTTCTTTTGCCAGACATTTAGATATGAGTTATCTGTCTGCAATGGTAAAGGGTGTTGAGGTAAGTCACTCCCAAAATACATAGTTTGAAATCCCAACTTTCAAACGAATCCTCAATTACTTTGGATTATAAGTCACTCTCTAAGGCTGCAGTACGACCTTAATACTTGCTAAGAAATGATGGAGCAGTACGGCCAGTACTACAACATTTTTTCTATTAAATGTTTTCATTTCTCTGTTATGACTTCAAATGAATGCAATTTTCTTTCTCCCTTTCTTTTTGGTGTTTTGGCAAACAAGACCTATCAACATTATATAACACCATCCATGAATCGAATATCGAGTTTGATTTGCTTTCTGGGCTATATTGTGTCTGCAATGAATGCTATCTTTAGTCACTCGTTAGTTGTGCTTCACCATTAACAAAGAAGGATCGATCCGAGATCATGCATGTGTAAAAACAAAGGAATTATATCATGTCGATCAATTCAGTTTAAAGTTCAAGAAAAAAACGAGTTCTTTGTTGCTAAGTGGGAGTCTCAAACTTTTGTCAGCTCTTTCGATGATTGTAGGAGCAAGAGTCCATGTACGGATGAGGGTTTTTACTCATACCCTGACGACAGTTTTGTCACTGGAGTTGAGTTTATGAGCACTGGGTAGACTATTTGAGGTTTATGATTAGCTTGGGGCACAGAATTTAAAAGAGGTTGCATGTCCTCAAACTGAATTCTTTAATTGCTATCCAACTTGTTTTGTGTTATAAGTGCGACGAGGTGGGGAATTGAACTATAAGTCTCTATTATGGAGGCGTGATTACTTGATTAGTAGACCACATGGGCTTCTCTAACTACTATACGCCTTTTTAACACAGACCAACACGTCGCATCACGACACCTCTAGTACTACCTATGCCATTAGTTATATGGTCTGTAGCATACATATAAGGGAAATAATGTATGGGATCATATGTTCAACCCTAATAGGTGTTGCATAGCTATGTAGTTAATACTTGTTTTCTACCCTAGCTTGTTTTTGTTGCTTTGTTTTGTTCTTCGGTCAGTATTTGGTAAAGATATGGTGGACCTTTATGTTGGGAGTGTAAATGAAATTGATCTAGTGGGGTGGGTACTGGTAGCAACATCTCCACCTTCTTTCACTTGACAGAGGAGGGTAAATTTCTATGCAACATACATACGACTTTCAACTATTACAAAAATCAAATAATCTACATAGTCATCCAATTTATGATGACCAATTTCAACTTCGTTTGTTCAACTAAAAATCTCGATATTTCATAATTTTCTTTAAGTTATCTAACATACAAGATACAACACCTTCTTTTAGAATGGAGTAGAAGACTTATAAGTGATTCCACACTTACATTTTGAAGAGAATATCACCTCTACAATCATGATTGGAAAGATAAGAAGCCTCTCAATCAAATAGATGTTAATTGAGATTAGGGTTTCATGGTGGAACTACGGCTGTTTTTGAGTTTGACCATGTTATATATATGAGATAAAAAAAATCCTCAGTGGAGCTATCAAATTGGGTAAATTTTGTAGTTACAAGTGGAGGCCAAGGGGAAAGGGACATGTAATAGTAAATAGTTATGGCCATTCAATTCTTTTGTCCTGGTACTGTGAGCAATCATATCCCTTTTGATCCCTCTTGGTGCTGTAGGGTACCCTATAGAAAATATCCAATTCAGTCCCACCATTCAACATGGCTCCAAATAGTGATGTAATGGGCATCAAATGTAATCAAACAAACCATAAAATGTACCAATCAAATGACTCCGACTCAAATGGCTACTACTAATAGTCTTCTCATAATCAAATTGTATATTTGCCTATTCGTCCTCGACACTTATCCCGAGTCGTCATGTGGAGAGATAAACTTGTACCGAGTGCTTACGTCGTTGGTTTTTTTGCTCTCGTGTGTACTCACTCATTGGATCGATGTAGTGATATTATTTTTAAAAATCTCGTTCGTGTGCTCAATTCCACGACGCCCGCGAACATCCGTGAATGAGAGTTGACTATCCGATCATGTCATCAGCATGCGCGTTGATCATCCCGATGTGGACTTTATGAAACCAATCGTATTGGTATTGATCTTGCTATTTTCATCCTCGTATCAAAATTTTGTCATTATGGTGGTGAGTCGTTACACTCAAGTGGTCATTGACTCAATCTATGTTTAGATTTTGTAAGGACTGATGATACGAATTCGAGGAAGAGCGATCTATCATCAATCATCATCTATGTATACGAATTCGAGGAAGAGCGATCTATCATCAATCATCATCTATGTATACGAATTCGAGGAAGAGCGATCTATCATCAATCATCATCTATGTACAAAATCTAAATTTATACTTTGTACAATGAAGATCGATCCAACTCAGTAGTTGTACTCGTGACCCCATATCCAACTCAGTAGAAAAAAAGGAAGAAAAAAGTAAACAACACGGACGATGAAATTTGTCCAGAACTAGCACTAGAAGAGCAGAAGAAGAACAAAAACCACCACACTCTCACTCTGCAGTGTTTTTTCTGCTGTTTCGTTCGGTTTCCCTTTTCCTTCCTTTTTTTCTCCTCCGCAGACAAACGAAACGACGCACCTCTCCGCGCTGGCAAAAGATTCCCCCTCTTTTCTTTTCCCTGGAAAGAAAATTCAATTCAATTTTCTCGAGAAACAAACACTCCCTTCCATTCCTTCTCTCTTTCTCCGTTCTGGGCTTCTGGCTGCCATCTCCTTCAATCCAGCTCAATCACAGTCAAATCATGCTTCTTCTTCTTCTTCTTCAGTTCCTCTTCTCTCTCACCTAACCCACTATTTTTTTTTTTATCCTCTCTCTCTCTCTTCCTTCGTTTTCACTTAAACCTAAAGTATAAGCTAAAACCCACCCCACCAATTTCCCCCCTTTCCTTTCATTTACCCCTTTCTTTAATTCCAATTCTGGATTTTTTTTCTGGGGTGTTCGCCGATGGGGTGCGCCGGCTCCAAGCTGGACGATCTCCCGGCGGTGGCGCTCTGCCACCACCGGTGTACCTTCCTCAACGAAGCCATCGCCCAGCGGTTTCTGTTGGCGGAAGCTCATCTCGGGTACGTTTATTCGCTCCGGGGAGTCGCGGATTCCTTGCATCATTTCATGGAGCAGGATTTCGGCGGTGGGTTGGAGTCTCCGAAGCTCAATTTGCCTCCCAAGGGGAAAGGTGTGAGTGTCGAGGATGTTGGGAATTCGACGAAGAAGGTTAGTGGTGGCGGGGGAGGCGGCAGGGGTAAAGGTCATTCCCAATCTCACTCCGGTTCGCATCTTCATTTTATACCCGATTCGGACGAGGAGGAGGATGAGGACGACGATGATGATTCGGATTCGCATCTTCATCTCTCTGATCACTCGTCTCCCTTGCATAATCACGCCGGTGGTGGCGGCGGTGATGGTGGCGGTGGCAAGCATGTGAAGTTTATGAGTTCTGATTATAAGCCTATGCCTGTGGATCAAAGGCCTTTTCCCGCCGGCGGCGGTGGGTATCCGGGTGGCAGAGGCGGGTACCCGGAAGGAGGAGGCGGATACACGGAAGGTGGATTCGGGTATCCGGGAGGTGGAGACGGGTTTCCCGGTGGATATCCGGGCGGCGGCGGTGGATATCCGGGTAGCGGAGGTGGGTATCCGGGCGGCGGGGGCGGGTTTTTCCATATGAATTATATGAAGAAAAAGGGGACAGCTGCGGTGGTTTATCAGCAGAGGCCGGCGGCTGCGGAGACCGTTCGTTTCGGTGAATCTTCTTCGTCTTCTTCTTATTATTCGCAGCCTAGTAACAATTCTTCTTACCCTGTTGATAATTCGAGCGCTTATTCGTATTTCGGGTACCCGAATAATGGTGGTGGCAGTGGAATGGCTGGTTACTACGGCAATCCGCCTGCTCATGGATCTTCATCTCTGCCTCCCCAGGGTGCTTCCTCGTCGAAGTCGCCGCCAGCTCCGCCATCACCACCGAGATCTTCAGCTTGGGATTTCTTGAATCCGTTTGGGAGTGACGAGAAGTACTATCCATCTTACACTCCCAGCAGGGATTCCAGAGAAGTGAGGGAAGAAGAAGGGATTCCTGATTTGGAGGACGAGGATTATCAGCACGAAGTAGTTAAAGAAGTACACGGAGATCCCAAATATGTTGCTGAAAGTAAGGGCAGTGGTGGTGGTGGTCAGAGTAATTATGAGAAATCGGCGATGATGGATGATGCTGAGATGGAAGCTAAGCCTAGTGGTGGTGGTAGTGGTGAGGCAGAGGCGTCGCTCTACCAAACAAGGGCTAGTGGTGTGTCAATGGAGACTGATGGACCTGAGTATGAGGTGCACATAGTGGAAAAGAAGGTTGTTGATAAGGAGAAGCCCGATAAGAATGGCAATGGCGGCGGGTTTAAGGGTCGAGGAGGGTTGCGGGATGTGTCTCAAGTTGCTGTTGAGATCAAGATCCAGTTCGAGAGGGCTTCTGAGTATGGGAATGAAATAGCGAAGATGCTCGAAGTGGGGAAGCTCCCTTACCAGCGTAAACATGGTAGGTTGTGTAATCATACTTGTAGAGTTTACTTACTGACTGTAATTCTTTCTGTTGAACTTTCTGCTACATGTGTGGGAGTGTCTTTGTGCTATTAAATGATTTCGGCTGTCTGTTTTGATTGGAAGTTGGTTACTTTTGTGGGCAGTTTCAAAGAAGTTACAAGGTGTTACTCCATCATCATTATCGTTGTTGTCTTCACATCCACCTGCTTCCAATAGCTTGGAGGCTTCATCCTCGAACGATAATGCTGGTCCAGCTTTCCTGGAGATGGATGAAGATCTGGCCTTAAGATCAAAGAATCTTTCCTCTACCTTGCAAAAACTGTATCTTTGGGAGAAGAAGCTCTATACTGAAGTGAAAGTATGTTTGCTTATTCCTTGTGTCATTAGCTTGGTTGGCATAGAATTGTTCTGTAGGGGCTATCTGTCAGATTCTTCAAATGTCCTGCAAGCTGATCTCTTTATGCGGTGCGAGCTCATTTTCTTCTCTTCTTTTTCAGGCTGAGGAGAAAATGCGGGTAGTTCATGACAGGAAATGCCAGAAGCTGAAACTTTTGGATGAGAGGGGTGCGGAAGCTCACAAAATAGATGCTACACGAACGTTGATAAGGAGCCTGTCGACTAAAATAGGAATTGCGATTCAGGTTGTTGACAAGATCTCGGTCACGATAAACAAGATTAGAGATGAAGAGCTATGGCCGCAACTGAATGATTTGATTCTCGGGTATATTTACTTTCTCAGGGCCTCTTTCTGTGTGTTCCGTGCATGACTTGCGGAATTCAATCCGAACTCAAGTATATTTGTCCAGAAGATATGATAGTTCCATTCCTTCTTGCCTTGCGTGATGAATATATGCATTACAATCGTTATATATTTGTATTCAGGCCTGTTGATTTTTAGCACATTTCCGGTACAATTCCTTGCCATCTTGCTATCTAATTAGTTAGGTTGGTAGTTTTTAGGCTTACACTGTGCACTTAGCAGCGAGACCGAGCAAGCCTTACTTTTAATGCATCACTTTCCTCGCTCTATACTTGATTTCGAGAAGCAAAGGTTCCTTGGTAAGTATTCGATTCATGGGTTTCTAACCTCCATTTGCCATCTGCAGGTTGAGTAGAATGTGGAAAAACATGCTTGAGTGTCACGAAATTCAGTGCCAAGCAATAAAGGAAGCCAAAGGGTTTGGTCCTATTGGATCTGGTAACAAGCTCAGTGATGATCATCTCGAAGCTACAATGCAACTTGAGCATCAGCTGCTTAATTGGACTTCCAGTTTCACCAGTTGGGTCGGAGCTCAGAAGAGTTATGTAAAAGCCCTAAATAGTTGGCTTGTAAAATGCATCCTGTATGAACCAGAAGAAACGCCCGATGGCGTGGCTCCGTTTTCACCTGGGAGGATGGGTGCACCTCCCGTGTTTGTGATTTGTAATCAGTGGGCACAAGCTATTGATAGAATATCTGAGAAGGAAGTGGTTGATTCTATGCGCCTCTTTGCATCGACGGTGTTTAAATTGTGGGAGCAAGATAAGGAAGAGATGCGAAGCAGAATAATAACTAACAAGGATTTGGAAAGGAAAGTTAGGAACTTGGACAGAGAGGATCAGAAGATACAGAAGGAGATCCAAGCATTAGACAAGAAAATTGTATCGGTTTCTGGAGATGGCGGCGATGGTTTGTCTGTTACTGGAAATGTTGTGTATCAGAGTGATACTAGCAATGGCAGTCTGCAAGGTAGCTTACAAAGGATTTTCGAGGCTATGGAGAGGTTCACAGCAGAGTCTGTGAAATCTTATGAGGATCTTGTGCAACGTAGTGAAGAAGAAAGTAGAGCTGGAGAACATGCTGCTTCTTAATCATCACATGGTTCAACCACATACAGCTTTATGCAAACTTCACTTGAAGCAGAAGACTTCGCCACCTGGTCACGTGATTTCGTGGTGAGATATGTCTCGCCCCTTCTGCTGCTGAAACTCCTATGTGAAAGAAGATTCTGAAAAAGCTGCAGTTGTTCCATGTGGGCTCACCTAGGTTTGATGCTGTTTGAAGCTCAGAAGAATGGCAATTTGGAACAGATGGGGATCGGGCTGCTGTTCGGAAAACTGAGCTGGGCTATCAGACCTGGTCTGTAAGTGCCAATTCCTTCCTCTATTGGATCAGAATTGGCATAGGCCTTATAGATCCTGTAGGGCTATCATCACATCTGACACATCTCATCGAGCATTTACATGGCTGAGAAGGGTCATAAACAGGGTTCGCTCTGGGGAAAAAAGACAATGCTGAAGATGCAAATCTGAGCAAGAGCAGAACTAGGTTCAATTTTGAACTGAGGATATTTGGTTGAGTTATAGGATCAGTGGCCAGTCCCAGAATGGCGCAAGTCTTGGAAAATGCCCACAGATCAGATATATATGGTAAATAACTTAACTTTGATTTTCTTCTCGGACTTTTTTCGGAATATTTATTACATTAAATTCTGTATAGATCTTTTCTTCTCCCTGATATAGCTCTTCTCATAGCAAAGGGTCTCTGTGAGGCTCTAATTAGAGGTTCTTAACATCCATTATTTCGTGTTGCTCCTGCAATTCGAATCCTGTATCACCACTGAACTAGAGAGACTAGGAAGGTGAATGTACCATTGTAATCTTGTTGGGGATGGCAATCGAAGCAGAGAAACTAGATGATTTTTACATATCATTCATACATGTCTCTTCTATGCTATGAGAATGATTAGCTGTGTGGGTTGTGATTAGGACACAGTTTGTTTTCTACTAATCTTGTACTAATGTACTATTATTAGCTTGGAAGAGTTTTGCTTAGAGTGATTGCAACAATGATGACAAAATATCTTTCTGGCTTTGGGAACACAACAGCTCACAGTACTCTGATTTGGGGATGTAGCAAAGATAGGGCTAAACTATTTGTAATGATTATCTGTTGGCAATAACTGTGGGAAGTTGAAGGTGGTTTAACCTCTTTCAGCATAGGAGGGTTATGATGGTGTGAACTGAATCGAGTTTTGCAGGACTTTTTTTGTATGCCATTTGTGACAGCTGAAATGAAAATAACAGCTTTCCTTTGTTTGTTTTGGTTTGTGATAGGTCTAGGTAGGCCAGAGGATCTTGCACGCTTCTTCCTCTCTAATCTCTTATCTTTCCCAAACCTTGTTTGGGCCTTTGGGGAAATGACTGTAAAAGTGATGCTCATCCTGAATGGTTTTTTGTATGGTAGAGAGAGGGTGGGTTGATGTGGAAATTGTGGATGGTAACATGTCAATTTAGGTGAATGGTGTGTTTTAAAGGGTGTTTGTTGAAGATCTTTCGCCGTCCATTGTTGACCATATGTATTCGAGATTGTATAAGTTTCGTTTATTTGAGATCAGTTATATTTTCATTAAGATACAACACTGTATATCATATGAAAGATGTTTTCGTCCTGCTTTTATCAGTCCTTTTCGATAGTTGAAATATGGTTTTCTTGTGCTCATTGTGCGACGGTAATTGTGAGTAAAAAATGGGAAGAAACAACATTAGGAATATTATCTTCCACCAATTTGAAGACAATGGACCCTTAGAAATGTAAGGGTAATCATTTAGCAAATCATGTGTTGCATGCTCTCCAACTTAACACATTTTCTGTGCAAGTATAAGCAAGTTAAACGAGAGTAAGCGAGTCAATTAACATAAAACGAGCAAACATAGAAATTTTCACGAATTCATTAGCAACAAGATAGCAAAAATATAAATAGATATATCAAAGATTCAACTAGAATCATAACTCCTATTGAAATGACCCCAAATGCTTGAACATAATGTAAAATGACCTTTTAAGTATGAAACATAACTCCTTTCCCCCCTAGAATTCAACACTTTTTAGATACTTGTTCACTAAGGATTGGAAAGAATGATTGGTTCTCAAACAACTCTACTGATTCTCAGAACCTATACCTGAAAATTCCAAAATTCCAAATGATTGCATAAGTGGCGTTTGACTTTTGCAAAAGCTGGTTTGTGAAAATTCCAATTTCCAGACTGGTAAATTGCTATTTTTGTCTAGATGGCAAACACACTGGAATTTTTTTTTAAAGCAAAGACAAGTGTTTTAATAATTCTTAGAATGTTATGGTTCTTGGGGTTTAGTGGCTTTGTTCTTTACCTTAAATTAAGTTTTGATGTCTTCCTTTATGTGGGGAAAAGAAACCATATTTGACATGTTTCTTTCAATGTCGGATGGTAAAAAAGAGAAATCTATCATCACCTTCCTTCAACCTTGTGTTTTCCACCTTTTTTTTACACAAATCTTTCTGTTTTTGGCTCAATAATGGAATAGAAAGATCCTTGAGATGCCTTATTTCAACACAAATTGCTGTTTTATTTCCTCAATTCTATCAAGAACATATGCTTGTTGGATTCCATTGTTTATCAACATTTTCTCACTTCCGAATGATAAAAATAGGAAAACATAGGTGAGAAAATATAGATTTTTCATTGTAAATTTCATATAATTAGCATAGGAGTTGATACGAGACATGTACAGACATATAATCACTAAAAATGATCAAAATCGTTTGTCATCTAGATGCTATTTTTTTCATTATCTAATTCATCCAGAAGAGAGATTAGAGTTTAGACAATGACCTATAATGTGAAATCAGTGTAAATGATATTTATATTATCAAAGACAACAACTATAGTAGTATATGCAAACATTTTATGGGTGGTTGGACGCTTATGCATTGGCGAAGCTAGGTTATATTCAGGAGGGGTTATAGCCTCTCCTAAACTTTGGAATACATGTAAATTCACATGCAAAATTTGTACAAATTTAGGAAATGGACTAGTTTCTAAGGCCTTAGTCCTCCTCACCAATTATCACGATTCAAAGTCAGCTTTCTTCATTTAGATTTCTGGCTCCGCCACTGAACTTCTGTGATACATTTCTTTTATGTTGGGTCTACTGTTTATCCTAAAACTCTAATCATCAACTTTTAAAGTGTATACACCACATTTATTCAATTGATGATATAACATAGAATTTTACTTATACATTTATATTTATTATGAATATTACATCATATGAATCTCTAACATTATATCGAATACGTTTCAAAAGCACTTCTAGTATAATACTTGGTTTAGATACAAATTCATGTGTTTTTTATAATTGTATACATTTAAAAGATTACCCATCGTTTTGAAATTTGAAGCGAGTTAATACCAATTATGAGGTTGAATATCCAAATATGTGCCCATTTTATATGAAAATGAATTTGGAATTTAATTTTAATCAGTGCAATTGGGTCACTACTGTAAAAAAACAGATGAAAAAAATGGTAAAAAAATAACTGAAAGAAGGGGGAAAACAGCTGAATGGTCTGAAGGAAAGGAACAAAACAGAGAGCACAAAAATAAGAAGAGAAACTGTAGAAAGAAAGCCATTTTCCCCCCTTTCCCCCCTTTCTTCACCTTCTTCTTCCCTCTTCTTCTTCTTCTTCACTTTCCCTAATCTTTTTTCCATTTCCCTCACAACCCCTCTTCCCCAACTTCGCCAAAGCTTCCAACTTCATCGCCATCACCGGGAAAAAGAAGAAGCTTGAAAAAGAAAGAAAGGGACAATAATTACACACAGAAGGACTTCATCATGGGCTGCTGTGCTTCTTCCTTTCTAGCAGAAACCCACCCAGAAAAGGACCATCTTAACAAGCCCCAGGTCCTCCACCCTCCTCCTTCGTCGGCTGTCATCGATTCTCCCGCCGTCGCAGCCGGTGGCGGCGGCGGAGTTGGAGGAGGAGTCCCTTCTTTCTCGGAATTCTCCCTCTCCGACCTAAAAGCTGCCACCAACAACTTCAGCTCCGACAACATAGTCTCCGAGAGCGGGGAGAAGGCGCCCAATCTCGTCTACAAAGGCCGCCTCTCCAACCGGCGGTGGATCGCCGTGAAGAAGTTTACTAAGATGGCTTGGCCCGATCCTAAGCAATTTGCGGTACTCTTCTGTAGCAAAAGATTGTGCTCAAGTTTGTGTTAATGGTTGAGCGATTGTTATTATGAGCTGATTTTTTTTTGGTTTAATGTTTGTAGGAGGAAGCTTGGGGAGTTGGGAAGTTGAGGCATAAGAGGATGGCGAATTTGATTGGGTATTGCTGTGATGGGGATGAACGGCTGCTTGTTGCTGAGTATATGCCGAATGATACGCTTGCCAAACACTTGTTCCATTGTACGTGTTGCTTGCTTTCTCTTTGTTCCCCCCACCCCGATTCTGATTGATTGATGTTTTGATCACTGTCCATACTCCATTGTGTTTCCCAATGCTTGATAGCTCCTATGTTGCTGATGCATATAGTTTATGAGCTGCCAACTTGTGGAATGTTAGTTGAATGTTGATGCTCTCTTGCTTTTGATGGAAAATGTGCAAATGGAACGCTAGGATCAGTCTGCCTTCTGCTTTGAAGATGTGTTGAACTTACTAAGCATATTAGCTAAGCACTGTGATTGCCTGATGAGTAGGGAAACAGTGTCGATCGCTAAGAGGCAAAGGGTGTAGCTTTTTACAAAGCAATAATATAGAGGGAGTGAGTTAGTTGAATTAGATGCATATCTGGAATGGATCAACTTGAATATTTCACTTTTACAAAGTCTCCTATTGAGTTTCCTTTCATTCTTCGCAGGGGAAAATCAAACTATAGAATGGGCCATGCGATTAAGGGTTGCGCTCTACATAGCTGAAGCCCTAGACTATTGCAACTCCGAGGGTCGTCATTTGTACCATGATCTGAATGCCTACAGGGTACTCTTCGATGAGGTATTCATTTCTTTTCCTGAAACTTGAACGTCACCCTATTCCTGCAATCTCTCTTTCCTTTAGGTTTATGAGCTTGTTGTATGATGATTGGGTTTTATCATTTCCTTATATGGGTTTTGTAGGATGGAGATCCCCGCCTTTCCTGTTTCGGCTTGATGAAAAATAGTAGGGATGGGAAGAGTTATAGTACAAATCTGGCCTACACCCCTCCTGAGTATCTAAAGAATGGTAATAAAAGTCCTACAATTTCAGCAAATGCCCATTTTATATTGTTGTACTTCACTTTGAGATCTTCATCTGCATTCACTGTCTGAAAATTTCAGGAAGGGTAACTGCAGAAAGTGTTACTTACAGTTTCGGCACTGTCCTCCTTGATTTACTAAGTGGAAAGCACATTCCTCCAAGTCATGTAAGTGGCTTACATTTAAGTGTCTGTTGGGAAGTTTCATATGTTGCATATTCTCTTGCCCGTCATTACAAGGTTGCAGTTTACATGACCTCAAATTAGAACTTGCTACTCAATATGAGTGATTTGGTTGATTGTTTGTTTCATTAGCATTTAGCAAGCAACTCCCTGCAAAATTTCCTCCAGCATAACATAAGAAAGCTTTGGTGCATTCAAATTCTTAGTTCATATAGGAGTAACTGTGCACCTCCCGTACTTTTATACTTTCATGAATTTGATGGGTAAGAGTTTTATGATTCTACATGTGTCCAGGCTCTTGACATGATAAGAGGAAGAAACATAATTCTCTTGATGGATTCTCATTTGGAAGGGAACTTCTCTACAGAAGAAGCCACTGCAGTTGTTGGTCTTGCCTCTCAATGTTTACAGTATGAACCTAGGGAAAGGCCTAGCACAAAGGAACTTGTTGCGACACTTTCTCCTCTGCAGCCAAAGCCTGATGTAAGGGAGCTTATTCTTTTTAACTTTTTCACTTCAAATCAAATCATCTATGTTATTCTTGATTTTGTGCTTTACGGTGCTGCAATGAGCAGTTATTGATCTTATGCATGTCTCAACAATCAATATGGGCAAAGACAATATATCTGTTGATCCCATCTTAGGAAACTACTAGTCTGTCAATGGAAGAATCAGTTCTTGTTGTAGTACGACACATCACTCAGAAGTTAAGCAACCTATTAAGTAGTACCATTAATTTTCTGAATAAACCGTTATTCCTCCCTAGTGGCACAATAAGAAGTAAAAGATCTCAAACAATTTCATGTGATTTTTATGGAATCATGTTCATTCCCGTTGTAAGATCCAACAAAACCTTCTGTCTACAATTTTCTTTCGGAGACTGATACTTTTTCATTGAAGACTCTATTTAAACTTCATTGTACTACAAGTCTTTCTTTCCCGCTTCAAGTTGGATATTACTTGATTGTTAGTTCTTCAATATAGTCTCCAGTACATTGTGAAGGAAGCAAGTCATTTTCTTATGGTTTCTGTCCATGCTACTCAAGTTGACAAAACTGCTCATGTTTCCCTGATGTTGCAGGCTCCATCGTACGTGATTCTCGGAATACCCAAACACGAGGAGGCACCACCGACTCCACAGCGTCCTCTTTCACCCATGGGAGAGGCCTGTTCAAGAATGGACCTCACAGCAATTCACCAGATATTGGTAATGACGCACTACAAAGACGACGAGGGTACAAATGAGGTACTTAGCTTAGTCAGGAATATATAATCTCGCACATTGTCTTCTAGAGTGTATTGATCTTTTCAATCAATGACCCTTATGCCTCTTTGTGCTTCAGTTGTCATTTCAAGAGTGGACCCAACAAATGAGAGACATGCTGGAGTCTAGAAAGAGAGGAGACTTTGCATTCCGGGACAAAGATTTCAAAGCCGCCATCGATTGTTACTCTCAGGTTTTACCATCTCCAACTTTCCAAACCTGCATAGCTGCCCAATTAGATGTCTCCTAATTCCATTCTTTTCTGCTGCAGTTCATAGATGTAGGAACTATTGTTTCGCCCACTGTTTTTGCAAGACGTAGTCTTTGCTATCTGCTGTGCGATCAACCAGACGCTGCCCTTCGAGACGGAATGCAAGCGCAGTGCGTTTATCCAGATTGGCCTACGGCGTTCTACATTCAGTCCGTCGCACTGGCCAAGTTGAACATGCACACTGATGCAGCCGACATGCTGAATGAAGCTGCATCTCTAGAAGAAAAGAAGCATAGAGGAGGAGGGAAAGGTTCATGAGAAGAATAAGGAACTTGTGTATAAGCAACGGAAAGGGTAAAAAAGAAGATCCATCTCCAAGCGTGTTGTTGTAAAATGGCTAGCCGAGGATTGGATTTGTTGATTGATTATAAGAGAAAGTAGGGAGGGAGGGGAAAAGAAAGGGATTAGAATAGGAGAATACTTAATTGAATGGATTGGTCTGCAATTTGGCTCCCCCATTTTGATTGGGGTAGAGAAGAGGAATTAAGTGAGGTAGTTTGTCAATGTTGTAATTATAGATGAAAATCTGTTGCTTTGTACATGCCTGTTGTAGTTATGAATTATGATGGTATTATATCCTTGTGGAATTGATCATTTGACTAGTAATTTCAAGTGGAACTTTCCTTGGTATGCAGGGAAATGGATTGGTAACTAAGGATCTTTTCTTGTAGAAATGTTATAGTTGTAAGTTTACATTCGTTTTTGGACATTTGATTGCTTTTGGTCACACAAATTGTTGAAACCCACATCTTGGTTACAAGTGGTTCTTTTTCCCTTAAAGTGAAGCCCAAAATAACTCCTCTTCAGTTCTTGAATATCTGCAGTGGCCAGTGGCAGTGCTTCAAAAGGATGCCAAGAACTAGCAGAAACAAGTACAAGTAGAAATGGTCAAAGTGAAATCACAGTGGCAGTAGATTATGGTTCTTCTGGTTTAAAATGAAATCAAAAGTTTCTTGAAAATCATGCCTATTGCCTAACAACTTGCTTAAACGAGATTTTAAGATCAAGTCTGAATAGGTAATGTCAATGAGCTGGAAAATACTGGTTAGGAAGAGAACATTGAATAGACATGGCTGAGGTGGTTGTGTTTTTCCAGATCGAAATCATAGCCATATTTCCATTCAACTCATTGATATACATTGTATAATTTGATTCCTTGTGTCTCCTCTAACATATAGGTTAGGTGATGCATATGATAAAAATATCGTATTAAGTTGCATGCATTAACTTGATTGATGTACAAATGGAAGGCAAGATCCACCTAATCTGGGTTTCTCAACGTGGTTTCATTATTGGCTTTGGACGTGTGATGACTATTGATTACTAATTATCGGCAAAGGTTAATCTGTTTAATTTTTATCAGCTCTTAATTTTTACTTTACTATCTAAAATGATCCCATTAGCTGTTTTCACCGTCATGTTTCTCTTGTATGGACAAGGTAATTAAAGTAAGGAAGTGCAGGGTTATAGATAGAGCAATGAACAAAAAGAGACATAATTTGATAGGAACTTGGAGACCATGTATATTTATGGATGTCAGTATCAAAATTTTCTATACAACTTGTACATGTATTGTTTTGCTGATGTAACTACAGATTGTGGATATTGAGAATGGAGGCTCTCGTTTTGATCAAACGCCTGAAGAGGCTCTCAACTCCTTCCTCGAGATCTTGAATGCATGGCTGCAAGTTCTTTAGATGAACTTGAACCTCTTCACCAGAGCTGTTCATCTTCAAGGCGGCATCAACATCTGAGAATTCATTCTCGGTTGTCGCTACTGCTGCAACCCTTTTAAATAATGACCAGCTGCTTGGCTTGGAGCTTGTTTGAGAAATGAATGTCAACAAGCACTCTAAAACCTTAACAACAGCAGATTCAGCTTCCTTCAATGTGGAGACGGTCTCAACGTTGTTGGATGAAGTGGATTTCTTGCTATCCATACCCTTCAAGACCTTCTGGATTGCTTTGATTACATTCTTCCTAGATTTCAGGTATCTTCTGGTTTCTCCTTCTAAACCATCTTCTCTTCTGCGAATGGCGGATTGAAGCTCAGCGACTGACTCTTTCAGTTGGGACAAGGCATCCTTGGCTGTGTTGCACAAATCCAAGATCCTCAAAGATCCATCCAATAGCTCATTGAAGCAATTTTGGTCATTGATCAAGGCTTGTTGGGTTGTTGGAAGTTGGAGCAATTGGTCAACACAATCATACACATCCTGGAGACCATTTAGATTGTGGCCTATGGATAATGTAGATGTTGAAGCAGCTTGAGATTGTCTCAACCTGCAGACCTGCTCATCGATTTCTGAAACTAGAGGGTGTGATCCTGTAGGCAAACTGTTGGACCTAGCATGGAAAGAGAGAGCTGCCATTTTTTTCTGGTTTTCTTGGTGAGTATGAGAGTAAAGATGTGGGAAAGGTTTTGAAGTTCAACAAAAGAGTTGAGAGAGATGTTTTGCAATGCCTTTCTTGGCATCCAGAGTTTGTTTATATAGATGGTGGAGAAATGAGGCAGGAAATGGGACACAAAGAGACAGGAGGAATCAAAGCATTTCAAAATTTCCATGTGCACATGTGGTTTATGTATAGGATTTGTGATTTGGATCCACTGCTCTATCAGCATTGTGTCTGTCAACTGTCCCTTTCCTACCATTTAATCCAACTCATTGGCATCCATCACCAAGGTAGGCAAGATCCATGCATTCTGCTTCACCTACTACATCATTAAAAAATGGAGCTGTTTCTACCCAAAAATAAAAATGGAGCTGTCATCTCTCTAGTGCATTGAAAATTATGTGAAACAGCTTACTCGTGCATCACCTTCCTTGTTTGTCGTTTGATATCCAACCATAAATAGTCAATTGAGATACCAAGAAGGCAGCAGAAGGGAAACTTTATAAGGCGCCACTGAGGAATATGTAGATGCAATGCAACTCTCAAACTAGAACCACTAGATGCAGCAGGCTAAAACAAACAATAAGTCTGTCTCATCGTGTTTGAATCATCATTGTCATTTGATCTACAGACCAAAAACAAAAGAAGAACAGTTGCCTGTTGATGTTCATTGCTGGTTTCTCTGAGCTGGGAAAACCATAACCAAGTGGCAAGTAGAGATGAACTTGCTAGAGCAGATAGTCTGCATGCCTAACTGAGCAGACAACATTTCAAGCCAAAGTCTCTCGGTGATCCATTCATGTGAAGGATTTTGCAACCTGAAGCTTAAGGTATCGATCAGTGCATTCAATTCATCATTTCCAGAATCTCTCAACCTACAAAATCATGCCTATTGTATGGATTCATTAGAAAGTAGTTCTTCAATGGTCTACACGAGGGGTCTGGTAATTGACTAATTGTAAATGTTCCCTTATTGATTAAACGCTTATTAAATGTGTCCTTAATGGTATCAGTTTAAGCTTTAATCAAATGCATGGGATAACATATTGCAGTGTGGATGGGGGGCAAGATCCAGTTAGTTAGCTTCCAATCTTCCCACCACCTTGATCAATTAATATACTTAACGATAGCACGATGAATGCCTAATCGTATTCCCTATACTGTCATCTTCTGCATAATGCCAGTTCATAGCCACGAGCTAGCTCCTAGAACCATGCTAAAAGTTTGCTAAAACCTGATGCAGTATGGTATAAAATAATCATAATTTTGAACAGCATGCTGCATGGATTAACAGGGTTGTTTCACTAATGGAGGGCAAGATCCACTAATCTGGCTTCCTCCAACGTGTTACAGCCCTTTTATAAATGATGCAAATTGAAGGGAAAATCGTGTTAATGATCTTTTGACATTGTTAATTTGGGATTTATGAGCCTCCCCATGTGAATTCCCTTTAATAATTCACCAGCTTTCAAACATAGAGTTAGAGGTTAATCAAGATAGTTAAACTATCTGTAATGATGCCACTACTCATTTTAACTGTCATTTTCCTCTCATTTGCAGAAAGGTAAATAAATAGGACAATGACAAATATTAATCTGTTTAATGTTCACCAGCTCTTAATTTTAACTTAACTATCTGAAATGATCCCATAAGCTGTTTCCACTGTCATGCTTCTCTTGTATGGGAAAGGTAATTAAAATGGTCAGTAAGAAAGTGCAGGGTGGTAAGATGGAGCAATGAACTGAAAGATACATAATTTGCTACGAAGTTGGAGACCATGTATATTTATGGATTTTAGTATCAAAATTTTTCTATACAACTTGTACAAGTATTGTTTTGATGATGTAACTACAGATTGTGGATATTGAGAATGGAGGCTCTTGTTTTTATCAAACGCCTGAAGAGGCTCTCAACTCCTTCCTCGAGATCTTGAATGCATGGCTCCAAGTTCTTCAGTTGAACTTGGATCTCTTCACTAGAGTTGTTCATCTTCAAGGCGGCATCGACATCTGAAAACTCATTCTCTGTTGCTGCTACTGATGCAACCCTTTTAAATAATGACCAGCTGGTTGGCTTTGAGCTTGATTGAGAAATGAATGTCAACAAGCTCTCCAAAACGTCAACTACAGCAGATTCAGCTTCCTTCAACATGGAGACGGTCTCGACATTGTTGGATGAAGTAGATTTCTTGTTAACCATACCCTTCAAGACCTGCTGGATAGCTTTGACGACAGCCTTTCTAGATTTCAGGTATCTTCTGGTTTCTCCTTGCAGACCATCTTGCCTTCTGCGAATAGCGGATTGAAGCTCGGCGACTGACTCTTTCATTTGGGACAAGGCATCCTTGGCTGTGTTGCACAGATCCAAGATCCTCAAAGATCCATCCAATAGCTCATTGAAGCACTTTTGGTCATTGATCAAGGCTTGTTGGGTTGTTGGAAGTTGGAGCAATTGGTCTACACAATCATACACATCCTGAAGACCATTTAGATTCCGGCCTATGGATGACGATGATGTTGAAGCAGCCTGAGATTGTCTCAACCTGCAAACCTGCTCATCGATCTCAGAAACTAGAGGGTGTGATCTAGCAGGCAAACTGTTGGAGCGAGCATGGAAAGAAGCAGCTGCCATTTTTTCTGGTTTTCTTGGTGAATGATAAAGAAGATGTGAGGAAGTTTTTCTGAAGCTGGAATAGAAGGGTTGAGAGAGATGATTTGCAGTGCCTTCCCTGGCATCCAGAGTTTGTGTTATATAGATGGTGAGAGATATGAAGCAGGTCAAGAGACACCAAAGAGACAGGAAGAATCAAAGCATTTCAATTTCTCCATGTGCATATGTGGTTTATGCATATGATTTCTGAGATGGATCCACCACATTATCAGCAATTGTGTCTCCGAAATGTCCCTTGCCTGCCAAGTAATCCAACTCATTGGCCTCCTTGATTAATTCGACATATATAATAAGATCATTGACGATCAATGCATAGCAGATAGCTATGAATTGCAGCGTTGAGTCGTGAAAGGAGGCAAGATCCATGCATTCTGCTGTCATCACTTAATCATGGAAAATAGGGGCCATTTCATAAGACAATGCTGAAACAAGACACTCAAGAAGTCTGTCTCCGCGTGTTTGAATCGTCGCTCTCGTTTGATCTCACCAGACCAAGAACAGAAAACCCAGTTGCTGTTAAAGTTCATTGCTGGTTTCTTAGCTGGGAGAAGCCATAACAAGGTGGCGAGTAGAGATGGACTCTGCACGAGCAGATTTGCTCTGTGACTTGCTACTGCTGCAACCATTTTTAGCTTGGGAGCTAGTGACCAGCTTCTTGGCTTGGAGCTTTGGTTGAGAAATGAAAGGAGGGCAAGCACTGCAAAACCTCATCAACAACAGCAGATTCAGCTTCTTCAACATGGATACACAAGTAATGGACTATAATTGGTGTCTCGATATTTTGTTGGGCCTAAATTGGATACACAAATAATGGACTATAATTGGTGGGGTGCGCCAGGCCCATGCAGTAGTGCAACGCAAGGGCGACACGCGAGAAGGTCCCTGAAGCAAGCTCCAGTAGTGGGCTTTCTCCCCCTAAAAAAATTAATTTAATATCGTGTGGGCCATTGGCCCACGTATCAGATATTAAACTGATAAGAACAGATACTACACTTGATCTTAGCCAAAAGGCCGAGAAAGGTATGATTCATTGCATTAACAGAGCTTTCTTCTTATTCCAAGCCAACTGCTTTCTCAAGCTAGTTTAAACGATGTGGTATGAAAGAAGGCTCCACTTCACAGTGGTCAAAGTCGATAGAAAGGAGAAGTAAAGAACCATATCAATCATCAGATAGGGTTGTAAGCTTGTCTTCTTCACCAGTTTTCTGCTAATTGATTAGTCCTTGTTACATTCTAACTTCATCAGGTTCGTTCATGTTGGTTCTGTTCTGATCTCCGTTGTGGAAAACCACCCAAGATCAATGACTGAGTTCTTCGATCCAAGGGCGGATGGTAGTAGTATTTATCAGTAGTTCATCAGCAGTCTATAAGAAGACCATTTTCATTTCCTGTTAGCTGGCCTCTGACACTACCACCAACCTATTATGAGACAGGCTACAAGATGTTTGGGAACTCGGTAGTGACGGTTGATCTCGAGTCCTTGAACAAAAAACCACTGCCTTTGTTCATTTCTTGTTCATAAGCTGGGAAACCAACATGAAAGTGGCTAAGTAGAGAAGTAGATGGTGGGTGAATTTGCAAGTGTTGATGATGCATAGCTGTGCTAGCTCCAGCAGCAGACAACATAACCGACAGAGCCTGGTGCTCATCGTCCGCGTATGAAGGGTGTGCAAAGCCAGGGTCTAGAATCCATCTGCAGCAGGCAAGTGATCAACTAGAGCCCTTCCATTTTGAACATCCTGAATGCTTAATGGTGAAAGACCAGGAATGAAGACCCGACAACAGGTGGTTGCATTAGAGTTTAGACTATGATCTGATCAATAATGTATCAGATAACAAAGCTTGATTTAATTTCTACACACTAAACATAATTGCAGAGAAGGCATCATCATACACCTGATTAGCCCTAATTGTGTAAGGATAGGAATTCTCATCATTGAATGCACCAACGTCCAACAGTGTCCAAATTAACCCTCCCAAAGACATTGCTGAGATGGTTGGTAGGCTTACAGATCTTAGGAGCTTTACAATGTTTATTTTTGTGCTGTCACTGAACTCAATGACATTTCTTCAGATTCACAGCCAACTTGAATGCATCCCCTAATAACCAAAAACCACCTAGTGATGCACAAAATCTTTGTACGAAGCAAGAAATATGTTGGAGCAAATAAGTGATTCATAGTTCATATAATTTAAGTATGGTTCCAAGCAGGGTGAATGCTAGAACAACAAGGAAATCCAAAACAAGAAAATGTACAAGTTTTATTGCAGATGATTATACAAGATACCAGAACTCAAGCGTCAATCATTCTACAACGTGGCCTGCTCAAATCAATCGGCTCTTTTCCTTGTGGTCGTTGAGTACCGAGAGTAATTGGATCTACCGAGGCATCAGAATGTCCAAGATTGGCTTCCAGTTGCTTCATCTTCATCCGTGCCATGCTTTGCTCATTCTCTAGCCTCAGTCTCTCATTCTCAATCTTCAATCTATCAAACTCCATGTCTTTCTTACTTCTGTATCTCAACCACTTGAGGCGTTGCTTCTCGAGCTGTAAGGATTCAGCCATGATGCTGACTCGTTGCTCCTGTAGGTGAAACATCTGCTTCTTAACCCACTGGTTCCTGTCCCTAGATGTCACATTAGGGTCTCGAAACATGGCAGCCATTTCGACCTCAAAGCTATTGCCCTCTTCATTTCTTCTAGTCCTCTCAGCATTGATATCGACATTTTCATCTTCATTCTCCGAGTCATCATCTTCGCTTTCATCGTTCTCCTCATCCTCGTCAGAACCATCATTCTCTCTCCAGTGTCCCTTCACGGGTAATGAACATCCTTGGAGATCCACATCAGGGCAATTGGGAATCTTTTGTCCATTATGGTAAGCACAAATCTCCTGGTAGAACAACTGTTTCGAGCTCAGTATCTTCCTAACTTCATCCTTGGCCTTGGACGAAAGATGAGGCATCGATTCCATCAAGCCGGGGTTTTCCACAACTTGGCAACTTGTTCCCCTCCCAAGAATGTCATTCAACTTCTTGTACCTCTTGTTCAAATCATTGAACTTATCCTCACACTGCTGGGGCGAAACGTGACAGCCTTTACCGATCATGACCTTCGAAACAGTCTTCCACTTGCCTTTCTTCTGCAGAACCACAGATTTCCTCTTGTGGCTCTCGCCAGTTTCCGGACCATCATCGCCCACATAAGCAACAACAGCAATCAGAAGCCTCACCACATTATCGGTCCATTTCATCCGATGCCATGGAGATATCTTCGTACCCTTCGAGCTGTTGGCTGCCTGCCCATCTTCCATCAAGTTTGGATCATCATCTTCTTCACTAAGATCATCGTCATTTGCTTTCCCATAACTCGTCGGATGCCCTTTACGAGCCAGACCTATCGATTCCATTAGCCCCATCGATTGCCCATCGTTATCAATCCCACCAGTTAAGTTCACCTGGCCGTGGTGATGATGATGGATCGAGGGATTACCCATCTGGCTATGTTGATTTCGATGCATAGGAGGAGCTTCTAGGTCCAAGCTCCCCCCAATTGATCCTAACATAAACCTACCACCCATGCTTGAACCATCCATATCAATCTAAGCTCGATTCAATAAGAATGAAAGTCACAAAATTCCTAAGACACCCGCAAACAAAATTTCTCAGCATAACTTGGGTAGATCTCCCATTTCAAAACCTAGTGAGAAAGAACAGCAACAAAAGGCTTCCAAATCTCCACCATTCTCATATCTCTCTCCTTGACTCCTTCCATTCATGATCTTACATAACTACTCACAGTCTCAGAAAGGGAAACCCGAGAAACTCAAAGCAATGAACTTTCTCAAAAGGGTAAGTAAACACTAGATTCAATCCCTCAAACACCCTGCAAAAGCTCAAAAAAACTAATGGGGAAGAAATAACTTATTCGATCTTCCGGATTCTTGTGGTAGCAGAGGTCGCCTGGGAGAAGAAAACAAGGCTGCAGTCCCACAAAAGACAGGAAAGGGAAACAGAGTTGCTACAACCAAAGAACATGCGGGGAAAGAATGAAGCTTTTGGCTGTCTGAGGTTTGACTGTTGCCACCCACCAACCACGAACAGAGAGAAACAAGCATGTAAAGGAAGAATGCCAAAATTGCTATGAGGAAGCTGCAGGCAGTAATTAGAAACCGTATCGCGGGCTTAGTCTACAGGCCCGTTATGTAACCTTGCAGTAGGCCCAGACCAAAAACCACTAGCTCTGTAAATTATCTTAATGTCCATAAAAAACAAGTCATTCATATATGAACCAAATGGACCGAAACTTAAACACAATTGGACTGTAATTGATAGGGTGCGCCAGGCCCATGCAATAGTGCGACGCAAGGACGACACATGAGAAGGCCCCTGAAGCAAGCTCCAGTAGTGGGCTTCCTCCCCCTAAAAAAATTAATTTAATATCATGTGGGCCATTGGCCCACGTATCAGATATTAAACTGATAAGAACAGATACTACACTTGATCTTAGCCAAAAGGCCGAGAAAGGTATGAAAAGTTAAAGTCTATAGAGCTTCAATTTTATACCAAGTCCTTTGCTTTCCCAAGCTAGTTTCGACGATGTGGTATCTTCACAAAAGCCATTTCACAGTCTGAAGTAGAGAAAGCACAAGTAAAAATGATGGAAGTGAGATCAGAGAGGGAGTATATTATGGTTTACTCGTTAAAGATAAAGTCAGGCAATCCACTGGTGAACATGACTGCTTTTCCTCAGTGAGATTAGTATAAGATTAGCATAGGTGAGCAAAGAGGCATTTGCTGAGATGGGTTGTTCTTAAATGGAAACCATAACCACATTAACGGGTCTCATGCATTGGTATTTTTGCATAGATTAGATTAACATGGCTGCTTCTGGAGGCTAAGATCCAATATTTTGGTTTCAGAAACGTGTTTTGGGTACATCTGTAATGGAGAAAAACTGAAAAGCAAACGTTGGTACGGTTCGACTGAACCCTTTAACAGAAGAACATCCATTGTTGTTTCCAGTGGTCTTGAACAGTTGAAGCGTGTGGTCACTGATCTCTGACATGAACTGTTTTCTTTATTCAGTCTACCATGTGACTGACTTTGATCATTTTCATGGGTTATTCGTCGTAAAATGGAAGGTTAATGCAGCTAGACTTTGTTCAGTCAACCATCTGTAGCAGGTCGATAGATATGTATTACCAAAATTGCCTTCACGGCTGAAGGGATCTTATCATTCATGATCTTTTCTCGGATTGCAGATCCAATGTATATTACATCACACGAAGGGGTTAGCCATTTGATTGTTTCTTGTTAATTCCATTCATATTTCCTTCTGCAGCAGATTCTCTACACTAATCCAAGAATAAGATTCCATTATGACATTGTCACTGGCTGAGGTTGATTGATTCAATAATGCTTAGGCTGTAAGAAATACCATTTGGTCTCTGACTTTGAGTGTTAATCTAGGTTGGCCAACTGCAGAAATTTGCAGTTTATGCTTCTTTTGGAGCCAAGACAAGATTCTTGACGGCTCCTCTTCAGTTCTCGAATATCTGCAGTACTTCAAAAGGTTGCCTTGTTGTAACTGAAATTCAGCTTCCTAGTTTAATATCAGTGCTTACCTCGCAAGAAAATGAAGAACTAAGGATGAGTAGAAATGGTGAAGGTGAAAATCACAGTGCTATGGTTGTTCTATTTTAAATGACATCAAAGTTCGTCGAAAATCACGCCAAACAACCCACTCTTCCTACTTCCTGTTCGTAGGATCTGCAAGGAATGTTTGGGCAACATTTAGAAACTTGTAGTACATGTTTCCATTTAACTATTGATCCCTTCCACCATCACCATGTACATACTCTTTCCAAAAAATTGCAGTTTCCCTAACCACTAAAGGGAAATTCGTTAAGCTGAATAATTGAAAATCAAGCCAGCAAGCGTAGCCACTTAGCCGTCTGTTGGAACAATTGATCATGAGTCCATCACCATCTCATTCATTGCCATATTGAAAACTTTGATTCCTTATGTCTCCTCTCTTACAGATTAGTCTAGTGTTTATGATTAGTCCATTTGACATATTAACATAATTGCTGTACAAATGGAAGGCAAGATCCATCTAATATGGTTTCTCAACGTGTTCTCATTATTGCATTTGGACGTGTGGTGATTACTCATTTCTGAAATAATTAAGGTGGATTTGTCAGCCTTCCATGTGACAAATGATTCCTCAGCTTTCATAGCCTCTTGCTTACCTTAGCAATCTGAAATGATGGCAGTAGCTGTTTTTTTCACTGTCATGGACTCATGGTTCTCTCGTAGGCAAAGGGTAATTAAAATGGAAATGTAGGAAAGTGCAGGGTAATAGATTGAGAGCAATGAACAGAAAAAGACATAATTTTGCAGGAACTCGGAGACATAATTTACCAGGTGATGAAGTGGGTATAGAAATTACTAACAGCATGCTCTCGATTCGTCAATTTTGCCACAGCTTGGTGAGTCCACCATAAGATTCCAGAAGCAGAATTGTGAGTCTAGTCCACCCGCTCGTTGCTTTGATTGTTGCAGCAGCATTAGCCTTTTTCCCTTCTTATAAGGAATGCATGAATGACTCCATTCAGATTATATGAGCATTTATGCTTCTTGATGGCCATTCAGATTTGCTTACTAGTCCTTCCATTTATGTATGATCCAGTTCTCAGAGATGCAATTGTGGTGAGATTTGCAAGCGAGACTGCATGTAAAGGGCCATGCCTGAAGTTGGACTATTTGATGAAGCCATTCGAGGATTCCGAGTTCAGTGAAAAGATAAGAATGGCATATCGTGTGAAGCTGGAAGACGAACTATTCTTAGTTGGCTATCCCTAGTTCAATATCAATGGTAGTAGTTCAATCCTGTCTCCTCATCTTCCAAGAACAATTGATTGATACTAAGTTTTTTCAAAAAGAAAAGAAAAGAAAAAACTGATAAGAGTAGATACTACACTTGATCTTAGCCAAAAGGCCAAGAATGGTGGTTTCAACAGTTACCAGAGCTTTCACTTTATTCCAAGCCCTTTGCTTTCTTAAGTTGGTTTAAACTTTAAACGGATGATTAACCCATGAGTAGGAAATCCTGCTACCAGGGTGTGTTGTAGTATGTATAATGCATCAGTTTGTACTGTATGAGATCTCATTTGGGTATGGAGAGTTAATGCTTAGTTCTCAGGTTTGCTAGCTGCAGATAATTGCAGCGCAACTATGACCTTTTGGGAGGCGACCTCCCTTTGTCATTTTTCTTATCCTGTGCAGATGCTATTGCTAAGCTCCATACCCTGTTTACTCCTTTTCCATTGTAGTTCATCTGTTCCGTCTTTCTTCTCCATTTCCTTTTGATCCTAGGTTTAGTTTGTTGATTGTACAGCTCCCATTTTCTTCTGTAATAAACTCTCATCGCCCTTATATATAAAAAAATGGTTATGGATTTTTGGGAGCAAGACAAGATTCTTGGCAGCTCTCTCCAGTTCTTGTAGCTCAGAGGAATTTTCCCAGTTTAAAACCATTGCTTGTCTCACAAGAAACAGCATAACCAAGGACAAGTAGAAATGGTGAAAGCCAAATCTAGTGGCAGTAGATTATGGCTTGTTCTCGTTTAAATGATATCACAGATCGTGGAAAATAATGCCAACCAACCCACTCCTACATTACACCTGACTTTTGTAGACGAGATTAGTAGAGGATGAAGCTGACTAGGTAATGAGCTGGATAGTGCTGGTAAACATTGCATAGACATAGCTGGGATGGTTGTTTCGTGATCGAAATCATAGCCATATTTCCATCTCATTTCTTGATATATATATATACATTGTAAATTTTGATTCCTTGTGTCTCCTCTGACATATAAGTTTTAGACTAGTGTATATGATTAAAAACTCATACCACGCTGCTACTGCTGTACCAATGGAAGGCAAGATCCACCTAATATGGTTCATAATTGCATTTGGCAGTCTTCCATGTGATTTTGAGTCATGCTCATATTTAGCTTACCTATCTGAAAGTATCTTCTTCTCTTTTTTTTTCACTGCCATTTGTCTCCTGTATGCAAAAGGTAATTAAAATGGAGGGAAAGAAAGTGCAGGCTGGAAGATTGAGCAATGATCAGAAAGAGACTTTGGTATAGCAGGAACTTGGTGACCATGTATATTTATGGATTTGAGTATCAAAATTTTCTATACAATATGTACAAGTATTGTTTTGATGATGTAACTACAGATTGTGGATATTGAGAATTGAGGCTCTTGTTTTGATCAAACGCCTAAAGAGGCTCTCGACTCCTTCCTCGAGATCTTGAATGCATGGCTGTAGATTCTTCAGATGAGTCTGGACCTCTTCAACAGATTTGTTTGTCTTCAGAGAGGCATCGACGTCTGCAAATTCATACTCACTTGAAGCTGCTGCAACCCTTTTAAACAACGACCAGCTGCTTGGCTTTGAGCTTGTTTGAGAAATAAATGCCAGCAAGCACTCCAAAACCTCAACAACAGCAGATTCAGCTTCCTTCAACATTGATACTGTCTCAACGTTGTTTGATGAGGTGGACTTCTTGTTTCCCATAGCCTTCAAGACCTTTTGGATTGCTTTGATCACAGTCTTCCGTGATTTCAGGTACCTTCTGGTTTCTCCTTCCACGCCACCTTGCCTTCTGCGAATAGCGGATTGAAGTTCAGCCACAGACTCTTTCATCTGGGACAAGGCATCCTTGGCAGCGTTGCACAAATCCAAGATCCTCAGAGATCCATCCAATAGCTCATTGAAGCACATCTGGTCATTGATCAAGGCTTGTTGAGTTGTTGGCAGTTGGAACAACTGGTCAACACAATCATACACAGCTTGAAGGCTATTCAAGCTGTGGCCTATGGATGATGACGATGTGGAAGCAGCTTGAGATTGTCTCAACCTGCAAACTTGCTCATCTATTTCCGAGACCAGTGGGTGTGATCTAGCAGGCAAACTGTTGGAGCGAGCATGGAAAGAAGTTGCTGCCATTTTTTTTTTTTTTTTTTGGTTTTCTTGGTGAAGATGAGAAGATGTGGGGAAGGGTTTTGAATTGAAGAGAAGGTTGAGAGAGGTGATTTGCAATCCCTTCCTTGGCAACCAGAGTTTCTTTATATAGATGGTGAGAGGAGTGAGGCATAGGCTAAGGCCTAAGAGACACAAAGAGACAAGAGGAATCAAGGCCATCTTCTTTCCATGGGCTTGTGTGATATTATTCAGCTTGTGATTTCAACTATGAATCCTCCACTCTTACCGGCATTATGTCTCTGCAATGTCCCTTGCCTACCAAGTCACCCAACTCATTATTGATTCAGGGATGGAGTTCTAAACCACTGGATGAGTCATGGGGTGGCAAAGATCCATACTTTTCGCTTCTCCCATTTAAAATGTCAATTGCCCATCTCTCTTCTTTGTTAGCAGAGCCTGTTGTTCACTGTGTAAGCAGCATAGGGCACAAGGCATCTATAACAAGCTGCCACATTAGTTGTTCCTGAGGGACTGATGCAGAACAAGACAATCCAGGTATTTCTTTATTGTAGCTTTTGCATTTTACATGCAAAAAGAAAATCACAGCATGTAGTAGTTTATTATGGAGGAGACGTGGGGGCAGGCAGATGGAATCTCAACATTAATGGCTGTTGTGGATTGCAGATCCATTATTTTATTACAACACACGAGGAGGTTAGCAAAACACCACTCAATGAACGAGTAGTTTTGATTATAATACCAAAAAAAAAAAACAAATGTGAGACAGGATCCATATGAGATTAGCTTACTTTCCTATGCAATCGTGGGGGTTCATTGTACTGTAAGAGAGGTGCCATTTTTGCAGTGTTATTCAATATGATACGCTAGTTTTTGTTCTGCCTAAACTACGGCCCTCCAAATCTCATCATGGCAAGTAGCAATTCATGGAAAGTGAATATACTTTCAGAGGTGAGATGGGGATTTGTGTACTGGGTATCAGATATACAGATGAGTAATTGGATGTCTATACTGATCTAGAAGTATTGCAGCTCTCATTTGAATCATCTGCCTAAACAAGGAGTCAACAACTTCCTTAAGATCTTAAATGTATGACTGCAACTTCTTCAACTGAAATTGGACTTCCTCGTCAGTCTTCCAGGCGGCACAGCCAAAATTCATCTTCAGCTTCTACTGCAACCCTTTTCTGGTTTCTCATCAGCTTGGAAACTATTGACCAGCAGATTGACTCTGATGATTTTCCAGTGCTTGGTCCGAAAATGAACGAAAGTAGGGATTCCAACGCTGCAACTCTAACAGGTTCACCTTCTCTCAGCATTGTGACGATCTCACGATCAATCAGATGGTGAGGTGGAGAATTTCCTGGTTTCAGTAGTGCCCTTCAAGACCTTCTGGATTGTCTTTCTTCACAAGCTTCCTCGAATTCAGATACCTTCTGGTTTCTCCTTTCAAACCTCCCAAGTTGTTTTCTTTGGCTTCAAGCTCAGCAACAGATTTCATTCATCTGTGACCAAGCATCCTTGGCACCGCTGCATAAATCCAACGAGCCTCAAAGATCCATCCAGTAGCTCTTTGAAGGGATTCCTTGACATGAACCAAGCATTGTTATTTGTTGGACAATCACAGTTGCAGCAACTTGTACATGCAGTCATACAAATCCTGAAGGCCACTCAGCTTGTGGCTTATGGATGATTGCTGGTGCTGCTTCAGATTGTCAAAACCTGCAGAGTTGCTTCTGTACCTCGAAGGAGTGTTCTAGCAGACAGAATGTTGGAGTGAACATGGAAAGATACATTACATATTTACATTTCCTAATTGAAATTGATGATTAAGCACAAAACAACGATGAGTGTTCAGCTGAAACAAGGCATGATCCGTAGATTTGGGCTCCCTGCTGTCTTAAAATCTAAACAGAACCATGGTTTTGGCACCAAATCAAAATCAAAGGCTGGTTTTGTCCTGCTCCTTGTTTTCCTGCAGACCTGTTTTCATATTATAGATAGAGAAATCGACAACGTAAGAAAGTAAAGAACACAAAGACTAAGGGAGAATCTGTTTTACTATACTGGCTTCACTATCTACCTTCATTGCGATTCTTAGCTAAAAGATACCAAATTAAAAAAAAAAAAAAAAAAAAGGTGCATGCTTTCGTAACCAATCTGCTTGGCAACTTCCAAGACTGAAACACTATAATCCATACCAAATACAACACAGTTTCTCATTCACGAACATGTAAACTAAAACAGAAAGAATGTGTCCGTCGTCCACCCATATCTGCAATCCCTTCTCCTCGTTTGTATTTCTCCAATCTTCTTCGCGCCAGCAAGAAGCCGATTCCATTCAGCAAGACGACCATCTGGGAACCCCGCCATTATAGCTTCTGGCTCCTTGTAAACTTTATTAATGTAGTACTCAAAGAACTCAGTTTCCTCCTCCACGCTGGCATTCTCCCAGACTCGCCGCTCCGTTTTGCAATCTTCCTGTTCGACGGCCTTCATCTTCTTCGCGGGAGTCTCCACGGCTGGTGCCGAGTTTACGTCTTCAAAGAAGAAAAGACTCGCCAACGGCAGTGACAGAGTCGTGGAATCCTCGTCGGCGGCCGAGCTGGAATCGGAGGACGAATCTAATCCTACGACGTCGTAGTCATAGGTCTCAGCAGCTGGAACAAAATCAAAGGTGAAACCCTGCGTTTCTCCCGTCGAAACGGCGGGAGTTACGAATTTCGTTTCTTTCCCGCGTCCGAACAGAGACGCGACGAAGCTCGAACGGGTCGAAACGAGCTGCCTCACCTTCTTCAAGCAGTTGCGAATCCTCGACGCTTTCGACCTCGATTTCGACGAGACCGAGCAATCGGGAGTTGGGTCTTCTGTAGAAACGGATGGGTAGTTGGGGTTGATCCAGTACCGAAAAGACAAAGACATGATTGATGTTTTGCTTAGAGCTTTAGATCGGAACAAAAAGAAGTAGAAAAAACAGAGTCCTCTGCTTTTGGTGACGAGATGATTAGGTAGTGTGAGGGACTGAATTGTGGCTGTATATGTGTTTTCCTTGTCTAGTTTTTCGTTCCTTGGATTTCCTGGACTTGGTTGTATTTGTTAGTCTAGTAAATGAATTGCCGGATGTGGAAGTTTGTTGCTGCTACAATTAGTGTTCCGAAAGAATCTAAAGGTAGGTATGGATATGAATACGGGAAGGGAATGAAGGAAAGAAAGGAAGGAAAAGGGGATTTATGGGGAAGGGAGTAATGGCGGATTGAGAAGAAGAAGAAGAAGAAGAAGAAGAAGGTTTGACAGAAGGGAGTTCACAGTTTACTGATTTTAAGGAAGGAAAGGAAGGGAAGCGCGGGAAGATGGTTGTGTTAGGTTGAAGTTATGAGGTCATCTTTCCTTCCTTTTGCGATCCTCTAAATTAGGGAAGTCGATCGTTCGTTATTAGCGGAGAGGAGAGAAAGGAGGTTATGGGCCGAATAATAAAGGTATGGATGGGCCAATAGTATGAATTGGGCATTTGGGCTTGATGGCCCGTTAATGCAGAAACCACTATGGCCATGTATGATCACGTATGCACAAATGGTATCGGTAGATGGATCGGCCTGGATCTTTATCACACATTTGCGAGCAGTCATGCCCATACTCAAGCCCAAGCCCACTGTTTAAATAACCACTTATTTAGGTTTTTTATAAAGAGATGCATGATTAAGAAAATAAGGTCTTAAGCGATCTCTGTAATTTCCGGCCACTGTCTGCATATCGATTCCGATCCACTCTAGTAATTTCCGGCGAAGTCTGGTCAGAGTCGCCGTCGGATCCCGACGCTTCCTTTAGCAATTTTGCTCATTGCAACTTCAACAAACTCCTCGAGTGATAATTTGTGCTCTACTCTCTAACTGCGTCGTGATCCAAGCTAGTGTGCAATCAGGTTCGTTTCTTTTTTTAGTCTCAATTGATGAACGAAATCCTTAGGGATGGCTTCCATTTTTCAGCTGAGCTCTAGTCATTGCGATGCTCGGATAATGGACAAATCAGTTATGCGGATGCTTCAATTGCTGCTTGAGAATTGAATGTCAGTGAACTTAGGGATTTCCTTCGCTGGTTTCAGGGTAAGCGAGTTAGGTTTGATTTTGTTGTTAGAACTAGAAGAAAACGAACAGAGGAAGGAGAGGAACCATAATTAATGGAGTCCCAGTCCCAGACTCAGAATACTTCCTTGCACCGTCTTCAGAATGTGGAGAAGGTAATCAATTTCTCAGAAGGTTCTGATCTTTCTTTCAGTTTTTAATTGCTATGTCATGAAGTTTCCTCTGGGTTTAGATACATTCTCTTATGTTGCTAATTGGGGATTTTCCCAGACTGTTGTCAAGGTTTTGGAACTGGCTGGAGGAGTGATGGATGAACTGGCGAATCCCATGGGACCCAGGAAGGAATTCATCAATAACCATTGCCGCGAGTTCATGCAAATGATCAAGGTGTGTTGATTTCTGTTTCTGTCCAAGCATCTAGCTATTGATGATGATTACTTGCTATAGATAGTGTGTAGTAATTCATGGATTACTCGAGCGTAATTCAATCTTTTTGGCGTTTGAGGTCCATAAGAAATTTTGTTCTGATGTTGAGGAAGGTAGGATCTAAAGATAGTAGTACTCAGTAGTCCTGCTTAGTTTCTGATGAGATTCAACTTGGTGATGGATAATGGTGGGCAGGACATCCAGTTTACTTTGCGCAATGAAATCAAAAGCACGTGTGAGTACCGTCCTTTTGAGAAGTGTGACTACAGCTCGAGGATATCAAACGAAATCTGCTTCGACAAGTTGGAGTACCTTACTTCCCTTCTGAATGGCTTGGAAGAATCCATTGACCGGTATCATGCTGCTGATGCTGCTGCTGCAACCGCGATGTTCCCTCCGATTGATTCATGACAGTGATGCATCACCATTCTCCCCTTAGCTTACCAGCCAGCCTCGTGAGTGTTCGATTTCCATGTGTTCCGTTGCAGCCATTTGGACCATAGAGCACGTCGCAAAGTCTGAACTTCAGCCTCCACTCAAGCCAAGCGCACGTCGGCAAGCCAGATCTCCTTTTTCCTGGATAGGGTAGGGATTGGTTTACAAATTTGTAGTTAAAATGTCTGGCAGTAGCTCCGTTTCACACACTTGCTATTTGAACCCCCAATTCAGCTTGTATTAGTTGAGATGTTATTCTCCACATGTTGAAATGAGCTGTTGCTTGTGAGAGATCACATTTCCACTCATTTCGTGGTGTTTTCGGTCTTTCGGTCCTGAAAAGCCTTCAGAAAATGTTGAAACATGAGCATTTCTGCACTTCCAAGAAAGTGCTGCAACTGGATCTTATATGGAATGTACCCAATTTGCCTCGACAATTCCAGTTGTCAAAGATATTTAAACATTGATTTTGCCATTACAACAAAGAAGCTTGAGGTTATCTTTGTCAAATCAACTAGGTATAACAATTATACAAGGGTCCTGAATCCTAATGAGTAATGACCACATTCATGAACCGAAAGAACCAAATCTAAATGAAACCAGTATCAGGTAGAAAATCATAACCGGATATGATAGTACCAAAGGATGTACATTCTTGTCCTAGAACCAAGCTTCCTTCAACGACAATAAGAGGAGGCGGTGATCATCAATCAAGACAGCAATATTCAAGGATTTTGCCTATATTTGGTTCATGCACCAAATCATTACAGAAGGGAAGAAAACAAAAACCAGCCATCCGTGGGGGAGTTGAAAATTGCCTGGCGCCATTATTAGTGAATGAATTTGTTGCTGTTATCAGCCACACCTACTGACTGATTGAAGCAAAAATTGAGCTGGAAGGAGGGACAATGGGGACACAATGTTGGGATACTGTTGGATCCTAAATCCAAAATGCCCATATGCAGATAATTATGGTACCCAAAAAGGAAGATAACTTGCCATTTCCTCTCCATCTATATAAACTTGCTGCAGATGCCCGTGAAAGGGGATATCAGTTTCTCAATTCACCATCTTCTCTCTTGAACTCGCAAAAAGATATAAACTTTCCATCTTCTAATACTCACCCAAAGAAAACCCAAAAAAAAAAAAAATGGCAGCTCTCTCTTTACATGCCAGGTCCAACAGTTTCCCTGCAGAATCACACCCTCTGGTTTCAGAGATTGATGAGCAGGTCTGCAGATTGAGACAATCTCAAGCTGCTTCTACCTCATCATCCATTTCCCACAAGCTGAATGGCCTTCAGGATTTGTATGATATTGTTGACAAGTTGCTGCAGCTGTCAACAACTCAACAAGCCTTGGCCAATGACCAGAAATGCTTCAATGAGGTGTTGGATGGATCTTTGAGGCTCTTGGATTTGTGCAATGTAGCCAAGGATGCCTTGTCACAGATGAAAGAGTCTGTGGCTGAGCTTCAATCTGCTATTCGTAGAAGGCAAAGTGGTTTGGAAGGAGAAACCAGGAGATACCTGAAATCTAGAAGCATGGTGAAGAAAGCAATTCAGAAGGCCTTAAAGGGTATGGACAGCAAGAAGTCCGTTTCATCAAACAACATTGAGACAGTCGCCATGTTAAAGGAAGCTGAATCTGCTGTTGTTGAAGTTTTGGAGTGCTTGTTGTTGTTCATTTCTCAAACTAGCTCAAAGTCAAGCAGCTGGTCATTAGTTTCCAAGCTGATGACGAACCAGAAACCAGTTTGTCAAGAGAATGAGTTTGCAGATGTGGATGCCTCGCTTAAGATGAACAATTCTTCAGATGAAGTCCAAGTTCAGCTGAAAAGCTTGGAGCTTTGCATTCAAGATCTTGATGGAGGAGTTGAGTGTTTGTTTAGGCATCTGATCAAAACAAGAGCTTCCATTCTGAATGCTCATAATATGTGAAAAACATACTTGTATACAAATTACGTTACATATGTGGCACATTTTTGTACATTCTGATACTCAATACATAAAAAGAAACTGACACATGATCATTCCCTGGAAAAACGATGTCTCCATTTTGCTTCTTTCATGTCCAGTTTTAAGCCGCATGATTAGAGATAGTTGAGCTAATATACAAGGATCATTGACTCTAATAATTTTGACTATTGATGAAAACTTAGATGGAATTCACATGCAAGCATCAGGGCACCAAATAATGATCTGCTCAATAACACACGTTAACAGCTGTTACAAAATGTGGTGGCTTGTCCTGAGTTTTAGGGTTGATTGGATTAGATTATTAACATCTCCCATTTGGACAGGATGTGGTAAACGGCTTCTTATTGAATTGGGTTGTCCATGCTTTAAATGATGGATTTGCTTGTGTGGAAGAGGAAGCCATTGCCACAGATGAGAACTGTGTGATGAATGAAGCTGGTTGCTTGGCTGCAGACATGGCTGAGATAGAAAGTTTTAGCAAACGACAGGTTTACAGCAAAATGTAATATTCAGCAGGCAACTCATTTTGATTTGTGTTTGAGTGGAATAACATACACATTTGTCTCTCTCCCTACAACTTGAATTATCGGAAGGAACTGGTTCTTGACATATGATCAAAGTATTTATTGAACGAGTAACCTCAATCCCATATGTTGATTTTAGCATACAGTATGATTGCCTATTAGCCAAAGGATTATTTTCATTTGAGGGGATGCATAAGCCAATGACATAAGGTCCATGTTGATTTTAGTTATCCCGATGAATTGGTTCTCAACAAGTACAAAGTTAAAAGGATTTTATTCCAAGTTTGGTGCCAAAATCAGATTTACTAGTTTCTTTAAAGAACCATATCTCTCAGTTGATATTTATGCAATTGCCCCTTGCCTACCATTATCTCCAGCTCATTCCCTCAGGTTTACTTTAATCTTCCATGACCTCAATTGCACGAGTGGATTTGGATCTAACCAACTGTATATCTTCTCAGCAGTATTTAATGCAGTGTCTCCTGCCAACACAGCACTCCAACTCATTTTGCCAACTTAGTTTAATCCTGCTGCACGAGTGGGCTGTGTTTGGACTGATATGAAAAGGTCAAATATGGATGAAGCAGAAATGGGTTTTGGCGATTAGGATCTTTTCTAATCTAACCAAACAAATTTGATGTCCATCTTCTAATCCAATCAAAGTCAGTGATATTCTTTCTATTGGCACTTCAGGTTCCATCAGTTTGCAGCAGCATGGCTTGTAAATGGTAACAGTTTTCCCCACCATTGCAGTTTGACGAGGTTAGTATATAGATTCAAATGAAATGACCTTGTTAATCTTTCTCAGGAGGCAATTTTATCAAGTCACTTTAGATCTATTCCTATGGTTTTCCAATCTACCTGTGAAACATCACATGAAAATGACACAAGGTTTCTGACATGGCTGCTTCCCCACAGTAAGGCAAGATCCATATCCTTAGCTAATAGCTTCCCTGTTTCGTAGTGCATGAATTAAACTGTGTATCAGCAAGCTAAGCGTGCAAAAGATTCCATTGAGTCCCTCACCAAGGGACACACCAGCTCAGCTACCAATGCCTTGGAATCCTGACAGCTCACCTTTCATGAACGTTGACAATCTCGAGTTTACCAGCAATAGAGTCACAACAGCAAAAGTTCGAAACTTTTTCATCTGGGTAGTTGTAATTTTTTGCATTTCCAGATTAATTAGGCTCAACCAGTGTTTCGCCTTGTCGAAACTGAGATGGAAATGGAAGAAAGTAAACAGGACACAGAATGTACTTCACAAAGTTGTTTAGTATAATCTATTCATTCTGAATTTTTGTTCCAGAAATAATCCTTTCCAAGAAGATTCTACATATACAAGAGTACTAATTGTACATGTTCTATTGATCTAGTTGAAGATGTTAAGAAGGGAGACTCTAGTTTTGATCATCCTTCTATAGAGGCACTCAGTTCCTTCTTCAAGATATTCAATGCACATCTCCAAATCCTTCAGATCATTCTGAACTTTCTCATACTTGGTTGTATTGCTTCCCAAGATAGCTTCCAATGAGGCATCAACCAAAGTGAATTCATTTGTTTTCTTCTCCGCCTCTTGCTCATTGGCCACCTTTCTTTGATGCATCAGCTTGGAAACCAATGACCATCCACTTGATCTTCTTTGAGAAGAGATGAATGGAGCCAATGACTCAAACACGTCGCGAGTAATGGCTTCAACATCTCTCAACACTGCAACGATTTCAGGGCTTTCGTTGCTGCTCGACTCAACTCCCTTCAGATTCTTCAAGGCTTTCTGGACCGCCTTATTGGCTGCCTTTCTGGTGCTTATGTACTGCTTGACATCATTAAGATGTAGACCGCCTTGTACTCTTCTCCGGAGAACTGATTGAAGTTCAAGTACAGATTCCTTCATCAGAGACAAGGCATCCTTGGTAGTGTTGCAGAAGTCTAGAAGCCTTAGTGATCCATCCAACATCTGGTTCAAGAACTTCTGGTCCTGCACCAAGGCTTGTTGGTTAAGTGGCAACACCAACAGCTTCTCAACACAGTCTTGTAAATCCTGCAGACCCCTCAGCCCGTGGGATACTGATGATGAAGATGAAGAGGCAGATTGTGAGCTTCTCAATCTGTTGATGTTCTCTTCAACTTCTGAGACTAGAGGGTGTGGCCTCGTGGGCAAGCTGTTGGATCGAACGTGGAAAGATGTGGCTGCCATTGATGAGAACTCTGATGGTGTAGGATAGTATTGAAAGTTTGGAACTCTTGTGTTGGTTTAGAGTAGAAAATTGTGATGTACAAAACTCTGGTGTGGGATGGACTATATATGGTGGGAGATGGAAGAGAGACAGAAGGAATCTTCTCTTCATTGACTTGAGAAAATGTGAAGAGATGATCTGGATCTAAACAACTATATCAGCATTGTTTTCGCTGTGTCTCTTGTCGACTGGCTTGCACAGCTCATATACCAAGATAGTTTAATGCCTCCACGAGTGGGTTGTTTAGACATTATTTGAGAAAAGCCAGTGATAGAAAGCATCAAATACTTAGAGATCTGAATCTAGTTAACTATGTCAGCAATGTTTATGCAATGTCTCTTGCCTACTTGCTCGCCAACAAGATAGTTTAATCATCTTCTGCCTCGGTTTCTGTGAAACTTCCGATATTGCAGTAGATATGATTAATGATCGTCCATTATTACTCCTTAGGAAATATCAGTGATTTACTGATTGACTTTACTTTGTAACTGTTAGTCAGTATTTCAGCGGGCCTGAGAATAAGTTATCAGCTTTATGCACTACAGACATTTAAGGAGGTAAGTTACAAATTGGTGAAAGCTTAGTCATTCCACATGGAAGACTCAGAAATGGCCTAATAAGTTCAAGTTTTTGACCATGAACTGTATTATTATAGAGCAAGTGGATCCTGCTGCCAGCCCATTTGTACTGCAATTATCAGCAGCTAGCCCGGTCTGGCTGGATCAGGCACTCATGCAGGAAGCTACATGGCATTGTTCATATCTCTATGGTTGGCTATAAGAAATCTGCTAGCTAGGAAGCACACAACTAACGTATATCGCATTGGACTAACACTACAAAAACCCAAGTGGCCCTCTTACACTAAACTAATCAGAGAGGAAGCTCAAAGCTAATTTCATGGATCCTGTCTACTACTTGTTTTCATATTACACGTTCATGAGTTAACCACATGAATGCTAATTTCATGAATGCAACTAATTCAAATTAAATAGCTAACCCCCTCGTGTGATATGATATGAATATGGATCTGCAATCCATAATGACCATTAATTAATAATGACCTCCTTCTGACGAGGTTCCTTTTGCATTCCTCACGTCTCGTTCGCAATAACCACTGATTATATTAAAGGGTTCTGCTGATCTAAGAAGATAATGTTGAGGGAAGCCAAAAGTATGGATCTTTGCTAACCTTCAGAGCTATGCCTCAATCCATCCATGATGCATAATGAGGGCAATGAGCTGGATTACTTGGTGGGCAAGGGACATTTCAGAGACAGTATACTGTTGGGAATCTGTTGGCAGGGATTCAAATCCAGTATCATATGCATAGAAACCGCATATGCACATAGGAAAATGAAATGCTTTGATTCCTCTTGTCTCCCAATGGGTTCCTCTCAACCTGGTTCAGTTTCTCATTGTATATAAACAAGCTCTGTATGACATAGTAGAAGGCATTGCAAAGGATCTCTAACCATCTCTCTCATAGACACCAACAAAACCAAAAACAAGAAAAATGGCAGCTGTTTCTTTCCATGCTCGCTCCAACAGTTTTCCGGCTGCAAGGTCACACCCTCTAGTCTCAGAAATCGATGAGCAAGTTTGCAGATTGAGACAATCTCAAGCTGCTTCTACATCATCATCATCCATCGGCCACAACTTTATTAGCCTTCAACTTGTGTATGATTGTGTAGACCAGTTGTTCCAACTGTCCACAACCCAACAAGCATTGATCAATGACCAGAAGTGCTTCAACGAGCTATTGGACGGATCTTTGAGGCTTTTGGACTTGTGCAATGTAGCCAAGGATGCATTGTCCCAGATGAAAGAGTCTGTTGCTGAACTTCAATCAGCTATCCGTAGGAGGCAAGGAGGTTTGGAAGGTGAAACCAGAAGATACCTCAAGTCTAGGAAGGCTGTGGTCAAAGCAATCCAGAAGGTCCTGAAGGATGTGGATAGCAAGAAATCCACTTCACCCAACAACGTCGAGACCTTCTCCATGTTGAAAGAAGCTGAATCTGCTGTTGTGGAGGTTTTGGAGTGCTTGTTGACATTCATTTCTCAGTCGAGTCCGAAGCCAAGCAGCTGGTCATTTGTTTCCAAGATGAAAAGGGTTGCAGCAGCAAGCGACGAGAACGAATTTGCAGATGTGGATGCTGCTTTGAAGACTACCAAATCTGGTGAAGAGGTCCAAGTTCATCTGAAGAACTTGCAGCCATGCATTCAAGATCTCGAGGAAGGAGTTGAGTGCCTGTTTAGGCGTTTGATCAAAACAAGAGCCTCGATTCTCAACATCCACAATCTGTAAATTTACATCATCAAAATCAAACAAACTTGTACATGAATCAGCTGTATATAAAATTTTGATACTCAAATCCACAAGTATACATGGTCTCCTGAAACTTTGTGTCTCACTTTTAGTTCTCTTCTGCTCATTTCAATTACCTGTTGCAGTTTTGCACATAGAAGAAACATGAATGACAGTGAAAAACAGGTTCCGGGGGTCATTACAGATGGTCGAGAAAACAATATCTAGCTGGATTGACCATCAAGTTCATGAAATGTAAGCAAAAGCAATCTTCAATGAGAGGGCACTCACATGGAATTCTGGCAAAAGAAAACAACTAATGATGCCAGAGAATCAGAGAGTAAACACACCTTCAAGGCAACTGCAGAATGTGATGATCTGTCTGCTTTTAAGGGTTCAGTTGAATCATTAACACGTTTGGTTCCATTTTTCTCCATTGTAAGAGTGGCTAAAGCACGTTGATGAAACCACAACAACCATGTTAATCTACGCTTTTTATACCGATGAATGAGATGGCAATGTGCTTATGTTTTCGATCCGAGAACAACCATCTCAGCAATTGTCTGTGCAGTGTTATCTTTCTTACCTCCTGTTACTCTGTAAGCTCTGGTGTTGGAACAAAGCATACCACATCGTTTAAACCAGCTTGTGAAAGCAGTGGGCTTCGAATAAGAAGGAAGCTCTGTGGACTGAACAATTCATACCTTTCTCGGCCTTTTGGCTAAGATCAAGTGTAGTATCTGTTCTTATCAGTTTAATATCTGATGATACGTGGGCCAATGGCCCACACGATATTAAATTAATTTTTTTAGGGGGAGAGGCCCACTACTGGAGCTTGCCTCAGGGGCCTTCTCAAGTGTCGTCCTTGTGTTGCACTACTGCATGGACCTGGCGCACCCCACCAATTTTAAGTCCAATATGTTTTCTGACATTCTGTATTACAGGCCCATTAACAGACCGGCGAGCTGAAGGTATCTCCGCCTATTAAAGATTAGTTTCGAGTTTCGATTAGGGATAGCAATCAAACCCGAACCCATGGGTACCCACTCGACCCAACCCGGTCAACGAGGGTAAAATTTGTGTTGATGGGTTTTGGGTCGGGTTTGGATTTTAAACCCGTTCACTATTCATCAGGTTGGGTTTGGGTTTTGATAAACCCGACCCGTGGGTACCCGCCCACACATATAATTAATTTTATCGGTATATTTAATATTTTAAACAACTAACATGTTTAATTTTTTCTTTCTAATTGTGTAGAATGAAGTTTGTGTTATCGAGTGGAGAGTGAACAAACTTAATTGAAAGGGGGCGACATTAGCGGTAAGGCGTTGTCTACCTGTGCATCGCATCTGGCCGAGTCAGGATGTGGCTATGAAAGGGATCGTTGCAAGAGAAGGCACAACTGGTCGGAGGTTATTGCCGTCTCCCTGATGAGCCCAAGGCAGGGCGAAACCAGTTGGCATGCGTATGCAGAGAGGCTGGTCTTGAGGAATGAGTGCACCTCAAGACGCCGCACGGACTTCGGAAGTCCATGTCCGTGACAAGTGGTATCAGAGCCTGGTTAGGCTGAAGAGCCTAGTTCCTCTCTCAGTACGGCATAGGTCGTGTATGGGCCGACCCTATGCCCGAATGAGAGGCGGTCCTAGGTGAGCATATTAGGCGGTCCGGACGCAGATTCACATGTGTTGCGCCGTTGTGGAGGACCTCGACAGGCTGAAGATGCAGCGGCCGAGAATGCCGTTCAATCGAGGAACTAACGCTAGCGAGAGCGTAGGGTGAAGGTCGATTGAGGTACAAACGCCGGGAGTAGCGTAGGGTGAAGGTCGACTGAGGTACTAGCGCAGCAGAAGCAAAGAGTGAATGTTGATGTCGAGGGGGCGAAGCGATATGTGCGCGGGGCACAACAGGCTAGCGCGAGAACGCGACCGGAGCCTGTCCGTCAGAGGATGGTATCGTATGCGGATGCCCACAATTGGTTCGAGAGAGTTGCAATACATGCTGCGGAGAGAAGCATTCTTCACCAGCACGAGGACGTGCTGCATTATGAGTGGTGGAGAATGTCACGTCCCGAAATGTCATGACCGTGTTGATTGTCTGAAGAACGCTGCCATCTGGTTGTCTTGCCATGAGAAGGGTAAAGGGGGCGACATTAGCGATAAGGCGTTGTCTGCCTGTGCATCGCATCTGGCCGAGTCAGGATGTGGCTATGAAAGGGATCGTTGCAAGAGAAGGCACAACTGGTCGGAGGCTATTGCCGTCTCCCTGATGAGCCCAAGGCAGGGCGAAACCAGTTGGCATGCGTATGCAGAGAGGCTGGTCTTGAGGAATGAGTGCACCTCAAGACGCCGCACGGACTTCGGAAGTCTATGTCCGTGACAGTACCCATGGGTTTGGGTTGGGTTTGAGTTTTTCAAACCCAGTGGGTTTTACCTCGGGTTTTTTCACGGATAAACCCATGGGTTTGTGTTTGGCAAAACTCGACCCAACCCGACCCATTGTCATCCCTAGTTTCGACTATGGGCCCAATTAAATCATTCGAACTAGCCAGATTGGTAAATGCTACTACTGGTAGAACCTTGGAAATGCAGTATGTGACCTTTCAAAAATGAAACTAGCAATTTATAATGGCTGGAACCTGGGTTAGAAAGGAGGGATGATCCAAACACAATGGACAGTTGGGACACTTTGAACCTCTTGCAGTCTTCCTTCTGCATGGGTATTTCCTTTCATGACCTTATGAAGTATCCCGCCGGCTCTGCAAAGTTTTGGATGAGATCATCTGAACTTGCAGGATACACTTGCCCTCCATTCATACAGAAACTGTGTATTAACCTCATCCGTTTTACCAGAACATTTAGCAGGATTCAAGGAGGTCCTGCTCTTGGGGAATGAGCTGGCTTGTAAGAGATCCAATCATGGTCTACTGGTATACAACGCTGTTCTTAACTTAAGAATCTGATCATATTCAATGGAAGGACTCGTAGACAAATCTACATGGCCAGCAAGCTTGAATGCACATATCATTATAAGACTTCCTTTGCTAAACCTTTTCACATGAACGGAATTACCAGACTTGCTTCAAGTGTAGTCTTCTGATAACAGTTTGCGAAATGCAGTAGGTATAACTTCTGCTATTTTGATAGTTCATCTGGTCTTTTTTCCAGCTAAAAAGCTGACTAGCAATGACTTCTCACAACAATAGGTAGTGTCTTGCTTCGAGTGTCAGGATTGAGTTCGTTAATGAAGGCCGTTCCTTCATCTCCTCGAAACTGATTTCAGATCATGAACGAAAGCACGCCCTTCCTCCGGGGTGCCAAAGAAACAAACTGGGAACTTGGAAGAGAAAGCTGCAGACTTTGGTGTTGTCATCTCATTGACTATATATGGTTGGATGGTAAAAGGAGGCACAAGGAATCTTATTTCCTTTGCATATATATATAAATAAAATGAAGGAATGAACAAGATGGAAATGTGAGTGTGATTTGGATCTAAACAACAAGCCAACCCATCTCACCAATGTCTGTGCTTTGTCTCTTGGGTCTTGCCTACCACTTCTCTCCAACTCTCATTGGTTACAGAGTCAGATTTCAACGTCTGTCTCATGTGGAAGGCGATGCACGAGTGAGCTGTTTGACATCATTTTCAAGGCACTAGAAATATGATAGTCTTCATATTCTATTCTGCAGCAGGAGCAGCAGGATGCATGGATCTTGCCTAGCTCGATGATGGAGGCCAATGAGTTGGATTACTTGGTAGGCAAGGGACATTTCGTAGACACAATGCTGGTAATGTGGTGGATCGATTTGTGTTTGCACATGGGAGAAATAAGATGCTTTGATTCCTCTTGTCTCTCTGTTGTTCCTTCCTCCACCCTACCTCTTTTTCCTCGTCTTCTATATAAACTTGCAATAGGTTTCAAAGAAAGCATTGCAAATCATCTCCAGCCATATCTCTCTCAGAGTTTCATTTCTTCTCTCATATTCACCAAGATAACAAAAAAATGGCCGCTATTTCTTTCCATGCTCGCTCCAACAGTTTCCCTACAGCATCACACCCTCTAGTCTCAGAAATCGACGAGCAGGTTTGCAGGTTGAGACAATCTCAAACTGCTTCCACATCATCATCATCATCATCCATAGGCCACAACCTTAATGGCCTTCAGGTTGTGTATGATTGTGTTGAACAGTTGTTCCAACTGCCAACAACCCAACAAGCCTTGATCAATGACAAGAACTGCTTCAATGAGCTGTTGGATGGATCTTTGAGGCTTTTGGACTTGTGCAATGCTGCCAAAGATGCCTTGTCGCAAATGAAAGAGTCGGTTGCTGAGCTTCAATCTGCCATTCGTAGAAGGCAAGGAGGTTTGGAAGGTGAAACCAGAAGATACCTCAAGTCTAGGAAGGCTGTGATCAAAGCAATCCAGAAGGTCTTGAAGGGCACGGATAGCAGGAAATCCACTTCATCAAACAACGTTGAGACCGTCTCCACATTGAAGGAAGCTGAATCTGCTGTTGTTGAGGTTTTGGAGTGCTTGCTCTCGTTCATTTCTCAAACAAGCTCAAAACCAAGCAGCTGGTCATTTGTTTCCAAGCTGAAAAAGGTTTCTGCAGCATGCGAGAATGAATTTGCCGATATGGACGCCTCTTTGAAGACAAATAAATCTGGTGAAGAGGTTCAAACTCATCTGAAGAATCTGCAGCCATGCATTCAAGATCTTGAGGAAGGAGTTGAGAGTCTCTTCAGGCTTTTGATCAAAACAAGAGCCTCCATTCTCAATATCCACAATCTGTAGTTACATCATCAAAACAATACTTGTACAAGTTGTATAGAAAATTTTGACACTCAAATCCATAAATATACATGGTCTCCAAGTTCCTGCAAAATTATGTCTCTTTCTAACTGTCCAATTTAATTACCTTTTGCATACTCCAGAAAGATTACAGTAAAAACAGCTGCTGGGATAATTTCAGATTGCTAAGGTAAATAAGAGCTGATGAAAATTAAACAGTCATAATCACATGCACTAATGAAACCATGCACGTTGAGCAACCCATATTAGTGGATCTTGCCTTCCATTTGTGCAGCAATCAAGTTAAACTATACAGCTTGGTATGATTTTTTTATCATATACATTAGCCTAACCTACATGTCAGAGGAGACACAAGGAATCAAATTCTTCAATGTATGAGATGCCAATGTGGCTATTATTACTTCAATCTAAAAAACAACCCATTGCAGCAATGTCTATGCAATTGTCTCTAGCATACCAGAACCGTCCAGCTCATTACCTATCCAGCCTTAATCTTCGAATCTCGTTTCAGGAAAGTCATACGCAGTACAGGAGTCGGTTATGAGGCATGATTTCCAAGGAATTATAATTTCTTTTAAACCAGAATAACCATAATCTACTACCACTGTGGTTTTCACTTTCACCATTTCTACTTGTCCTAGGTTCTGCTATTTCTTGGCATCCTTTTGAAGCACTGCAGATATTCAAGAATTGAAGAGGATCTGTCAATAATCTTGTCCTGGATCCAAAAGAAGCATTGACCGATGGAGAACAGAAAACTTGGCTCCCAAACAGCCATAGTCGCACTGCAATTATCTGAGTATTATTGATTAACACTCCAAACCCCAATGGACTCTCTGCAGCTTAATCATGATTAAATTAGTTAACCTCCTCGAGTGCGAATGTCAAGAATGGTAGGTTATTATTGGATTACAGACTCCGCTGCAGTTTAGCTAATGTCAAGAATGGTATATTACAGAATAAATCTTGTAAGTACTGAGATTATAATAGCTACCACCCTCGTGTGGTATAATATAATATATGGGATCTGCAATCCAAAAATAATATCATAAATGATTGAGATTCCTTCTGCCTCCCCCATGTATCCTCTATAATAAACTACATTCGGTATTTTCTTTGTATATTGCATGTATGTACATAGAGCCACGTTTATGTAAACGCAAAGGCTACAATAAAGAATTACCAGACTTGCTTCAACTGCCCTCTTCTGATACAGAATGCAGTATGTATCTTCTGCTCTTGATACTTAGTCTGATTCTTTCACGAGCTTAGGAACTAACTAGCAATGACTTCTCACAGAGATTGGTAGTGTCCTGTTTCGATTGCCAGACTTGAGTTCGTTCATGAAGGCCGTTCCTTCATCTCCTCAAAATGGATTGTAGTTCATGAACGAAAGCATTCCCTTCATCTGGAGGATCAAAGAACGAACTGGTAATCGGAAATAATCACTGCTGTAGGAACTTGGAAGAGAAACTTGCAGGCTTTGGTGGTGGGCATCTCAATGACTATATATGGTTGGATGGCAAAGGAGACACAAGGAATCTTATTGCCTTCGCATATATTTAAGTCAATGAATGAATGGATGAGATGAAAATGCGAGTGTGATTTGAATCTAAACAACCAACCAACCCATCTTACCAATGTCTGTGCTTTGTCTCTTGAGTCTTGCCTACCACTACTCTCCAACTCTCATGGTTGTAGAGTCAGATCTCAACGCCTGTCTGCTACGGAAGGTGATGCACGAGTGAGCTGTTTGACATTGTTTTCAAGGCACTAGAAATATGATAGAGGCTCCACTATTCAATGATGCAGCAGGATGCGTGGATTTTGCCTACCTCGATGATGGAGGCCAACGAGTTGGATTACTTGGTAGGCAAGGGACATTTTGTAGACACAATGCTGGTAATGTGGTGGATCGATTTGTGTTTGCACATGGGAGAAATAAGATGCTCTGATTCCTCCTGTCTCTCTGTTGTTCCTTCCTCCACCTTCCTCTTTTTCCTCGTCCTCTATATAAACTTGCAATAGGTTTCAAAGAAAGCATTGCAAATCATCTCCAGCCATATCTCTCTCAGAGTTTCATTTCTTCTCTCATATTCACCAAGATAACCAAAAATGGCAGCTATTTCTTTCCATGCTCGCTCCAACAGTTTCCCTACAAGATCGCACCCTTTAGTCTCAGAAATCAATGAACAGGTTTGCAGGTTGAGACAATCTCAAACTGCTTCCACATCATCATCATCCATAGGCCAAAACCTTAATAGCCTTCAGGTTGTTTATGATTGTGTTGACCAGTTGTTCCAACTGCCAACAACCCAACAAGCCTTGATCAATGACCAGAAATGCTTCAATGAGCTGTTGGATGGATCTTTGGGGCTTTTGGACTTGTGCAATGCTGCCAAAGATGCCTTGTCAGAGATGAAAGAGTCAGTTTCTGAGCTTCAATCTGCCATTCGTAGAAGGCAAGGAGGTTTGGAAGGTGAAACCAGAAGATACCTCAAGTCTAGGAAGACAGTGATCAAAGCAATCCAGAAGGTCTTGAAGGGTATGGATAGCAGGAAATCCACTTCATCCAACAACGTTGAGACAGTCTCCACATTGAAGGAATCTGAATCTGCTGTTGTTGAGGTTTTGGAGTCCTTGATCTCATTCATTTCTGAAACAAGCTCAAAACCAAGCAGCTGGTCGTTTGTTTCCAAGATGAAAAAGGTTTCTGCAGCATGTGAGAATGAATTTGCCGACGTGGACGCCTCTTTGAAGACAAACAAATCTGGTGAAGAGGTCCAAACTCATCTGAAGAATCTGCAGCCATGCATTCAAGATCTCGAGGAAGGAGTCGAGAGCCTCTTTAGGCGTTTGATCAAGACAAGAGCCTCCATTCTCAATATCCACAATCTGTAGTTACATCATCAAAACAATACTTGTACAAATTGTAAAGAAAATTTTGATACTCAAATCATAAATATACATGGTCTCCAAGTTCCTGTGAAATTATGTCTCTTCTTTTCATTGCTTTATCTACCACCCTGCACTTTCTTACTGTCCATTTTAATTACCTTTTGCACACTCCAGAAAAACGATAGTGAAAAGAGCTCGTGCCATAAATTCAGATTGCTAAGGTAAATAAGAGATGATGAAAATTAAAAAGGAGTCATATCACATACACGACTGACAAAACCAGATTAATTATTGATGAAATGAGTAACCATCACACGTCCAAAGGCATTAATGAAACCACGTTGAGAAATCCATATTAAGTGGATCTTGCCTTCCATTTGTGCAGCAATCATGTTAACCAATACAGGTTGGTGCGATTTTTCTATCATACACATCAGCCATATGCTAGAGGAGACACAAGAATCAAATTCTTCAATGTATATATCAATGAATGAGATGCTAATGTGGTTATTATTTAAATCTAAAAAACAACCCACAACAGCCATGTCTATGCAATTGTCTCTCTAGCTTACCACCACTGTCCAGCTCATTACTTATCCAGCCTTAATCTTCGAATATCGTTTCAGGAAAGTCAGACGTAATGCAAGAGTAGGTTATTAGGCACAGACTAACCATAATCCACTGCCTCTGGTTTCACTTTCACCATTTCTGCTTGTCCTTGGTTCTTGGCATACTTTTGAAGGACTGCCAAAAATTAGGTTCACAACAAGCCGTAGTTGCATTGCCATTATCTGGGGATTATTGATGAACACTCCAAACCCAAATGGGTTCCCTGTAGCCACATCATAATTAGATTAATCAATTCAACCTCCACAAGTGCTAATGTCAAGAATGGTATATTACAGTAAATCTTTAAAATAGCTACCCCTCGTGCATTGCAACATAATATATTGGATATGCAATCCAAAAAATATCTTTATGATTGAGATTCCTTCTGCCTCCCCCGCGTATCATCCATAATAAACTACATACTGTATTTTCCTTTTTATATTGCATGTATGTAAATAGATCCACGTATATGTAAATGCAAAGGCTACAATAAACAAATGTTGGTTTGTTTTATTCTGCAGCAGGCATATAAAACAGTGTGGCAGCTTATTAAAGATGGCTTGTGCCCTAAGTTCCTAACAGAGGCTTCTGCTAAATATAGAAGAGAGTTGGGGAACAAACACTTTTAAAATGGGGGGAAGCGAAAAGTTTGGATCTTCGCCACCCTTCACGACTCATACACTGCTTTAGAGCTTCATGCCTTATCAATCAACACCCAATGAGTTGGGTGACTTGGTAGGCAAGAGAAGTAATATCATCACATATGCACATGGAAAAATAAGTGCTTTGATTCCTCTTGTCTGTTTGTGTCCCTTGGCCTGCCTCATTTCTCTCACCATCTATATAAGCAAACTCGGAATTCCAAGGAAGCCATTGCAAATCATCTCTCTCAACTCTTTCTTCAACTTCCAAACCCTTCCCAACATCTTTATTCTCGTATTTACGAAGAAAACCCGAAAAATGGCAACTGCTGCTTTCCATGCTCGCTCCAACAGTTTGCCTGCAAGATCACACCCTCTAGTTGCGGAGATCGATGAGCAGGTTTGCAGGTTGAGACAATCTCAAGCTGCCTCCACATCATCATCATCCATAGGCCACAACCTGAATAGCCTTCAGGTTGTGTATGATTGTGTTGACCAGCTGTTCCAACTGCCAACAACTCAACAAGCCTTGATCAATGACCAGAAGACCTTCAATGAGCTACTGGATGGGTCTTTGAGGCTCTTGGACTTGTGTAACACTGCCAAGGATGCCTTGTCGCAAATGAACGAGTCCGTTGCTGAACTTCAATCCGCCATCCGTAGAAGGCAAGGTGGTCTGGAAGGAGAAACCAAAAGATACCTCAATTCCAGAAACACTGTGAGGAAAGCAATCCAGAAGGTCTTGAAGGGTATGAACAGCAAGAAATGCACTTCATCAAACAACGTTGAGGCAATCTCTATGTTGGAGGAAGCTGAGTTTTCTGTTGTTGAGGTTTTGGAGTCCTTGCTCTCATTCATTTCTCAATCAAGCTCCAAGCCAAGCAGCTGGTCAATTGTTTCGAAGCTGAAGAGGGTTGCGGCAGCCTCAAGTACTGAGAATGAATTTGCAGAAGTGGAAGCATCTTTGAAGACAAACAAATCTGGAGAAGAGGTTCAAGTTCATCTAAAGAATTTGCAGCCATGCATTCAAGACCTTGAAGAAGGAGTTGAGTGCCTCTTTAGGCGTGTCATTAAAACAAGAGCCTCAATTCTCAATATCCACAATCTGTAGTATCAAAGCCACACTTGTACATGATGATTTGATCATCTCTGTAAACAAAATAGATACTCAATACACAAGTATACAAGTTCTCCTGGAAATTTCTGTCCCACTTACTTTATTGCTGTATCTTCTAGCGCGCAGTACATGCCCTTCTGTTCATTTCAGTTGCTGCATTTCCGAATCCAGTTGTGCGGCAAACCAAGTCGCATCAGACAATGAGTCGAACTGAGAGAAGGATATGCATGAAAGAACTCAATGGAGAGACATAGACCTGCCCTGTCGTAGATGCAACCGTAGTGGTCGTTATAGATCAACTTGCAAGGCTAGAACAATTTTAGGTTGCTGATCTTTCACAAAATAGACCAATGAATGAGCATACAGTTTACATAGAGGTTGCTAACTGTGGCTGGAGTGCAAAGATTGCCGCCACGAGGTATGGTGATGTGTTTATAGACACCGGACTACTGTAACAAATCCTTTAACTGGAAGAACACATATTTCGTCTAATCCGGAGATGGTAGACAATTGCTTTGAACTGATTTTTTTCACCTTCTGCAACGATCTCTTTCATTATTCTCCATAGTCCATATCAAATTCCAGTACATGGGAAAAAGAAAATAAAAACTGAAGCAGATGTCTTTTATAATCCCAAACATTTTCTGTAATTTCACTTGTAAAGCTGCCTGAACCTCTTGCAGGCTTCCAAAACATTCCCTCTGTGACCAAAGGCACTCACCCTGACAAAACCTTCACCACCAGGGCCAAAGCCACTACCAGGTGTGGTTACTACATGGGTCTTCTCCAGAATCTCGGCAAACACATCCCATGAGCTCCGGCCAGGGAAGTGAACCCACACGTATGGGGCATTCCTCCCACCATAGACCTTAAACCCGAGTGAGTTGAAGGTATCCACTATAATCTCGGTGTTCCCTTTGTAGAAGCCAATTACTTCGTGCATTGCCTGTGAGGGATATGGAGTTCAGCTATATCTGTGGAGTGTGCATTTGCAAGAAAAACTTGTGGGGAAAAAACACAAGGAACTGAAGAACACGAGAATAATGAGAGGGAACCTTGAGGCCTTCTGGTGACAGGCAAGCCAGGCCGCCAACCTGCGCAACTGTGGAAGCACCGTTGAAGCAAGTGCAGACAACTCGATTGAAGTCCCTGGCAACAGGAAACCCATCAGAGAAAAGAAGCTCCTTTGGAACAACAGTCCAACCTAGCCGAACTCCAGTGAACCCAGCATACTTGCTGAAAGATGAAGTCTCAATTGCTACCTGAGATCAAACAGAACCTGGAGCATGAGCTATAACACCATGAAGGAGCCATAACAAACCAAGGGAAAAACAACATCCCAAAGGTCCAAGAAAGCAAGGTACAAAAGCAGGAAGAAAGACTGAAAATTTGCATTAGTTAGCCTGCCCAACAAAACAGCAACTGAAACACGACAAAGAATCAACTGAACCTTTACCTCTCTCGCCCCGGGAATTTCAAATATGGACCTAGGATTGTCATCAGACATATACAAAGCATATGCCGAATCATAGACAATAATTGACCCATTATCCTTGGCAAACTGTACTAAGCCGGTCAGTTGCTCCCTTGTTGCAGCAGCTCCAGTGGGGTTGTTAGGGGAACAGAAAAATATGATGTCTGTTCGAGGGGACTTAGATAAATCAGGAAAGAAGCCGTTCTCTGGAGTGCAATCCATGTATTCAATGTTGGCATACTTCTCCACATCCGTTTGGAATTGCCCAGTCTGACCCATTATGACACTAGAGTCAACATAAGCCTGCGAAACGTGGAAACTAAGAAATTAGAGAAAGGCTACAACAGTCTTAGACTCTTAGTGTTATTACAGGGCCATTATTTTTTCTTGACATGATATTACATATTATGTGGGTTCTGTTTGTGTTATAGCAAGTTTAAAGTGAAGTGAAAGATGATTGATATTTTCCAAAAAGTTTTCTTTTCACAAGAAGCAACAAGTGAATTTACCGGATATGATGGATCTTGCACTGCCATTGTGACATTAGAGCCAAAAACAACCTGTCAAATGATGGAGGCAAGAGAAATCTTTACACAGGCATGAAAATATAATGAGAAAATATATTGAGTTGTGCATAAACAAACCTGAAGACGTGATATGTCACATTTGGCGCCATCAGAGACAAATATATCATCATCATCAATACCAAGATGAGCATAGAAAGTTGACCGAATCGCAGCTCTCAATGACTACATAGAGCAACATGACAGGTTAATTGGTTGAGAACCAAACACCTCAATATACAGAAAGTGAAAAGGTGAGCCTGAAATGGGTTAGAATTGCTTTAGTTAACATTAAGTCGGTCCCAGGGGATTAGTAGCTGCAGAAATGGAGTTTAAGATCTAAAGATAACATTGTCAACAGCAGATAGACAGATAGCTCGGAATTACAATACTCAATTATGTTCATCAGAAGTATGTTAAGTGTTAACAAAATTGGGTCGTGTAGAGTAACAATGGCCCTTCTGCTTAGGTATTTTTTAAAGAGACAATAGTTGACTATTAATTGTTTAAGGAATGCAAAGAAAATGAAGCTTTACAGTGGATCAAGGCTGCCAAATTTCTGTGAATTAACTGAATGAGAAAACTGGTTCCTTAAGAGCAACATACTTTTTCCCCTTGCTCAGCCCCATAGCCGCTGTAACCTTCAAGAGTAGACAATGCTTGACATTTCTGAAAAATGTAATTTAGATGATAAGTACTCGACAAAAATGAGCCAACAGCAGTGGTCAAAGCTTGCTGAGTTCGGTAATGCGGGCTTGTGACCCAAGTGGGAGCATTAAGGTGCTGGGACAGTGGTCAAAGCACCTCAAACATCATTTACGAAAAAAATATTTTATGTATGTATACGTAGTAAAAAACATCACAGCTATACTATTACTATTAAGAACCACATAACAAAGATCGCTGGGACTCAATACTAGCAGTAGTGCTTGTGTAACAGGAAGGGCAGTACCTTCGACATTGAAGATGTTATCACATCTGGAATGGGCTCAGTGGTGTCTCCTATTCCAAGGCTGATCACTTGGGCATCAGGGTATTTTTCCTTATGGGCATTCCTTCTCCTCGCAACCTGTTTTGGAGCAGACAATGAATTGACATGGATTACATCAAGGTCCAAATATCTTAAACAACATAATAAAATAAACAAAACAACGTTATGCTAGTCAGTAACAAATTCTATAACTAGCAATAATACATAAAAAAGAAAAAAATTATTCATCTCCATACCCTGGACGACAAGATCTTTCCTGGTTTAGCCAGCAGTCATTTTGCACAATATCTTAAGACGAGACTAAAGTAACTCAACTTAAACAGGTATGGATAAAAGAACACGGAGCAATTAAGGATGAAGCTGGCGCACAAGTTTCAGCAAATGATTTGCAGCTGGAGGGCGCAAGTGAATTAAACAAGGGAAAGGCTAGTATAAGTAAACACACAATTAAAAAGCGCACTAAGCACTGGAAGATGCTTGTATCTAGTAGGCGAATGCAATCAATAGATTCAGACGAAATTTCAATTAGCGCGATGGAGCAAGGACTTGAGCATATATCTTCTCAGCAGAAGGCATTCTGCAGTTACATCATACATGAAGTCACTTTCTAACACAATCAAATCATAAACTCTATTCAATACTTTCGAAATAATGGCATAAGCGTCTTCAGGGAAGACTATTTGCATACCTCGGGAAACAAGTAACCAGCTTGAAGCTTCCCCATGTTGGCATTGCGAGCGACATTGGTTTTATAAGCTTCACAACAGCACAAACAAACACAGACCCAGTATTTTATCACTACATTTGCATAATGTCAAAAAAGAGGGGGAAAAGAAGGGAGAAGACAAGGACCAGTCTGAGTCTTCGCTTCCTGAGGAGTCGCAACACACCTGCAAATCCCGAAGTTTTGCGGCGGAAGCGAAACGTTCTGGTTCCTGCAACGACAAAGAGGAATCGAAAAAACATGAGAGAAAAGGAAAAGGGAAGATGAAGCATCGTCTTTCATAATAGGATATAAGAAAAGCGGGGATACCTGGAGGCGGAGGAGTTGAAGGCAGAGAGAGGGGCGACGAAAGGCGATGAAGAAGAGAGAGAGGCATTGAAATGGTACTGGTGGAGCGGCATCTTTGCGGCCGGGGAGGGAAAATGACGAACTTCAAATTAGAAGGAAGGATTGAGGAGCTGCTGCAGCTGGAACCGATGCCGGACTTCAATGGAAGCAAGAGAAGAGAGAGCCTGTCCGAAAGCACCAGCAAATGAGAGAGCAGTTCCCGTCTGTATTCAGCAATCGCTTTGTTCAATGCCTTGCCCGAAGAAAATCTGAAACCCTAGCCTAGAAATCGACTGAGATGAAGGAAATTCGGGGAATATGATCTCTTCACTGTTTTCCCGCGGAAAGCCGTTTCTCAAACCAAACCACTGTAACAGCAAGGCTTGGGCCTGATGTTCAGTAGGCTCAGGGGAGAGCCCAAAACAACCTTTGGCCCAAGAATAGTACTTACAGCATCCGCTCCCCTTACAGCCTAATCTTCTATCTATCTACAAAATATTATAGGGATATATATAGCCTTATAGGCATAATATGCCCCTCTTCTATGTCGTTTTATCAAACATGTCCCTTTACTATTTTTTACATCAAACATGGCCTTGTACTTTGAAAAAATTATCAAAATGCACTTATAAGAGGTTTCTCAAAAAAGGCTTCAGAGATTCAAATTTACCTTTCCTTCACGCAGCCACGTCATCACCTACTTCCCCAAATCACAACCGCATAATTAACCACACATGAAGTTAAAAAAAAAAAAGAAGAAAAAAGCAACCCCTTTACCCTTCTATCCTTCTCATTTCCAAACTGCCGGCACCACAACTATTGAATCGTTTGCCTAAATGAAAATTCTGCTTATCAATAAAAGTTCAATAATCTTACCCTTATTTCTCCTATATCACATTCTCCATTTTTATTTATTTTGCCGTCTTTTTGGGTTTGTGATGGTTTTTTGTTTGCAAGTTGGGGAAAACTTCAAAGGGAGGATTCAACTGATGTGAATTGATTTTGTGAATGAAATCAAATTAAGTTTAGTTACCTTTTACTGAACTATAATTAATTCTTAAATTATTTAAAATTACTACAATTTAAACGCTTAATATAAATCTAAGTGCACCTGCAATGTTATTATTGGTAAGATCCACCACACATCAGACGTTTCTTGAACATATATGATCATAATGTTTATAATGATTGTAAATTTAATATATACATTATTTTTATATATCCATTGTTCAAGATGTATGGTGTTTCATGGTATATAATATAAATGCTCTATTAATTATGTATATATATTTATAACGTTGCATGTATTGATAGTGCTGGGGCGCACTATAAACTATCACCCCATATTTAAAGATAAAATCAAGAGATGAACCCTCGATCATTTGTTTCGTTTCTATAGAAGTGATGTAGGTTTGTGTTTTAGTTAGATGTTATTCAAGATATTTTGAATTTAGACCTCTAAATTCAAGATCAATGATATTACCACTGAATCATGCCTTTTTTTTCCGCAACCCTCGACCATTTGTCGAGTACCTTCATTGGAATAATATAAATAATCTTGTTGAGACATCTTTGATCGTTCCAGGGAGTGAAGTATGTTGTGGTTGATTCTACGATGGTCAAAGAGAAGCCGATTTGAGGCTGGAAGTGGAATGAGCATGCTCAAAATTTTGCAGCAGGACTCTCTCTCTTTCTTCCTGAAACAAAAACTACCACATCGGTAGTGAAATGGGGAAGGGAGTCGATACCAATGGTATAAAATAAGGAAACGAGATTCGGATTAAAACCATGATCCTTCAGGCAGTAAACGGGGCGTGATGAGTGGGTTGGGCTCGCAAAATTATGCGAGATGGGTGTCCAGTCCGAAGCCTGGTTACGACAATTTGGGCACCCCAATTTGTACCTATCTGATCCCCATTGTCTTACCAAAGCTTGAATTAAAAAAAGGCCCAATAGCCCAATTGTAAATGCTTGAATCGAAAGTGAGGCCCAAAAGCCCAGTTGTGGCACTTTTGCTGCCCTTCAGTAGTTATTGTAGTTTCTGCAGTTTCTATTGTGAAGGAAACACTTCATATAATAAAGAACTCTGTACTTATTCTGCAGTTTCTATTGAAGGAAACAATGTGTCTGCTGAAATAGTTAAGTAAAGGGTTCTGATAATGGAGAAGAGAGATGGGGCAATGAACATTTTAAAAAAAAGTATGGATCTTTGCCTACCTTCATGACTCATCCCACTGCCTTGATCAAGCAATTGTGACAAAGCCAATGAGTTGGGAGCTATTGGTGGGCAAGGAAACATTGCAGAGACAACACTGTTGGGATAGTGTTGGATCTGGAATCCAAGATCATATGGATAAATTATGGTTGCACATGGAGATAATAAAAGATGCTTTAATTCCTCTTGTCTCTCAGCTGTTGCATCCTCCACCTGCCTCTTTCTATATAAACTTGCAATAGCTGCCTGCCAGAGAAGGCATTCCAAATCATCTCCATCCTATCTTTTCTCAATCCTTACTCTCATATTCACCAACAAAACCAAAAATGGCAGTTGTTTCTTTCCATGCTCGCTCCAACAGTTTGCCTACAAGATCACACCCTCTAGTCTCGGAAATTGATGAGCAAGTTTGCAGGTTGAGGCAATCTCAAGCTGCTTCTACATCATCATCATCATCATCGTCCATTGGCCACAACTTGAATAGCCTTCAGGTTGTGTATGATTGCATTGACCAGTTGTTCCAACTGCCAACAACCCAACAAGCCTTGATCAATGACCAGAAATGCTTCAATGAGCTGTTGGATGGATCTTTGAGGCTTTTGGACTTGTGCAATGCAGCCAAAGATGCTTTGTCTCAGATGAAAGAGTCTGTTGCTGAACTTCAATCTGCCATTCGTAGAAGGCAAGGAGGTTCTGAAGGCGAAACCAGAAGATACCTCAAGTCTAGGAAGACTGTAATCAAAGCCATCCAAAAGGTCTTGAAGGGTATGGATAGCGAGAAATCCACTTCACCCAACAACGTTGAGACCGTCTCCACGTTGAAGGAAGCTGAATCTGCTGTTGTTGAGGTTTTGGAGTGCTTGCTTGCATTCATTTCTCAAACAAGCTCAAAACCAAGCAGCTGGTCATTTGTTTCCAAGCTGAAAAAGGTTTCTGCAGCATGCGAGAACGAATTTTCCGATGTGGATGCCTCTTTGAAGACAAACAAATCTGGTGAAGAGGTCCAAACTCATCTGAAGAATCTGCAGCCATGCATTCATGATCTCGAGGAAGGAGTTGAGTGCCTCTTCAGGCGTTTGATCAAAACAAGAACCTCAATTCTCAATATCCACAATCTGTAGTTACATCATCAAAACAGTACCAAGTTGTACAGAAAATTTTGATACTCAAAAGTCAAATCTATCAATATACATGGTCCCCAAGTTCCTGGAAATTTATGTCTCTTTCGATTCATTGCCTCTGCTACCAACCTGCACTTTCTGCCCACTTTAATTACCATCTGCTGGTAGGATGAAAAATAACAGTGAAAGCAGTTTCTGGGATCATTTCAGATAATTAAGGTAAATAAGATCTGATGAAGATTAATGAGGAATCATAATCACATGGAAGACTGACCAAACCAGATAAATTATTGCAGAAATGAGTAATCATCACACGTCCAAAGGCAATAATGAACACGTTGAAAAACCATATTAGGTGGATCTTGCCTTCTATTGGTACAACAATCATGCTAATCTATGCAGCTTGGTATGAATTTTCAATCATATACACTAATCTAAACCCTATATGTCAGATGGAGGAGACAAAAGGAATCAAATTTTACAATGTATGTATCAGTGAATGAGGTGGAAATGTGGTATGAGTTTGATCTAAAAACAAGCCATCTCAGCATGTCTATGCAATTATCCAGCTCATTACATCTCCAGCTTTAATCTTCCAATCTAGTTTAAGGGAGGTCAGAACTCAGATGTAATGCTGGAGTAGGTTGTCTGGCATAACTTTCAAGGAACAGTGATTTCACTTAAACCAGAAAAACCATAATCTACTACCACAGTGATTTCACTCACCATTTCAACTTGTCCTTGGTTCTGCTATTTCTTGTGAGGTAAGCAATGATTGTAAACCTGGAAGCTAAAGGTCCTTCAGTTGCAAGAAAGCATCCTTTTGAAGCACTGTGCAACAGATAGAAGCACTGAAGAGAGATGTCAAGTGTCTTGTCTTGGCCACAAAAGAAACATAAACTGATGGAGAAGAGTAAACTTGGCTTCCAGAAAACCAGATTTTGCACTGCAATTATCTGCAGCTAGCTAACCCTGGGAGTGAGTTATTGGATGAACACCCCAAAACTCAGTTGGGCTCTCTCTCCTTTACAGCCGAATCATGATTAACTTAATAACATCCACGAGTTCTAAATGGTTTATTACATAATGGAAAGCAGACAATGCTCTCACTGAATGAGTCTGAAATGGCAGCCATGTTGAGAGAAGATGAATCGGTCAGGTGTTACAGCGTTAGACTCTCCCTGCTGCCAATTCATTTATAGAAGATAAAGCACTGTGAATTCATCAAAATTCAAGAAGCTGGTCGTGTGTTTCCAAGCTGATAGGAAACCAGAAAAGGGTTGCAGCAGTATCTTAAGGTGAATTTAGCTATGCCTCCTTGAAGACTAATGTGAAAGAATCACTGAAATACCGTTCATTGAGTGGTTAATTTTGTGATTTGCGGGTTGTCAAACCGGTTTATGCCAGTGTGCCGGTTTAGTATAGTGGAATGGTTCGACCGGTGGTACATACCGGTTTGTGCCGGTTCATACCGGTTAATATTACCCATAATTTACAAATACTCATTTAAACACGACATTTAACGTAAATACCTAAATATTTGTACTTGAATCCAACAAATAACATCAACATTTAACTTTTTAACACATAAAACAAATAATAAATGACTTTTTATCAATTAAATTCACTAAGATAAGATCATTTTACTTGGAAATTCATATATAGATCATGCCGGTCATACCGGGAGTGTCATGCCGGTTTTATGACCGGTACAGGTTGAACCAGGTTCAACCAGTAGCACGCCGGCCGGCATGACAACCATGGATCATGTGCCCAACTTCTGGGGTTGGTTGCCAAACTTTGAGGGGCATTTCGTAATTTATCCAAATGCGACGTCCATGCCCTTTTGCCTCCTTTTAAAATCTTAGGGTTTTAGGGTTTTAACCAAACGGTTCGTTCCCGCCGTCACCTCGCTCTTCCAGTCTTCCTTCCCTGCCGGGCACCGGCTGCCGCCGCGTCAAGTCTCCGATCGTTTGCTGCTCTGGTTGCCCGTCATTTCCACTTGCCGCAATCACGAGGACCGTTCGCCTTGCTTCATCTCCTTGAAGTACCTGCTTCACTGGACTCCTGTATCTACTACTCTTCTTGTCAGTGATTGTTTTGGTTTTGCCTGTGGGCTTTTTCGATTCAACTGAAAAAACCCAGATACTCAACTCCCTCACTGCACCATACGAAGAAACTCTTTTGGTTCAGAAACTATACATTTGCAAAGTTGGGGAACTGAATTTAGCTAAAGATGCCACGAACAACCACGGTGGAGTGCCCCGGCTGCCCTCCGATTCGAGCCCTAACCTTCGACGCTCTAGGTCTCATCAAAGGTTGTGATACTTGCTGCCCTGCTGGCTGCTGCTGTTAAATTCTGAGAGGCTACGAATTGAATTTGTTAAAAACTGGATACTGATTGCTTTTGGGTTCGTTTTCCTTATCTCAGTCACTGAGTCTCGAGGCAATAGCGGAATTCCTCAGGTGGTGGAAAGATGGGGGGATGCCGATTCCTCAAAACGTGTGCTTGCTGCCTCCATTGATGATCGTGCAAACGACCCAGTATGTTGTGAATGAGCTTCTCGCCTGGCGTTTTTTCAAGTTCAGATTTTTAGTAGCTTCAATTCTTTTGTTGGGTTTGTTGCAATTATCATCTCTTGTACCTTTGACTGTTCAATTTTCATTCCATTCCCTGCAGATATTGGCTGTCGCAAGGAAAAATAGCACGGTTAGTTACTTTATTTTTGCTGATTGGGTTTGAGGATGAAGTATTTTCACTGGTTCTATACTTACCCTAGCTTCATATGTAACAGATTGAAATTTCTAATCCTCTTAATGGGGACATTTTTGTGTCAATATCCAATATTGGCGATGGTGATGCTCACCCTGAAGATGATGATAATGATATTGCTGGTTTGCATTTATTCAAGAAGAGCAGATCGGTGGGGTACGTCAGCTTAGAGATAAATAGTGCCATTTCAATGTTGAGTCATGTGTACAGTCATAAGCAACTATCATGATATTATTATGCTCACTGTTGGTTTAATAACTTGTCATATAGATCATGCTCTTTGCTTACATGTACAACCAAAGGCAATGCAAGTTTGAGGTCAGTCGACATTACACCTGCAGGGAACACTAACAATGATGGTGCCTCTAATTCGTGGAAAGTTTGTGCTGCTGGTAATATCTTATGTGCTAAAGTCCACGGAAGTGAAAAACATGCTTTATTTGGAGGGTAAGTGCATTCGCTGTTTGATTATCCGTCTTTTGGCTTGTATTTCTCAAAATCTTGAAGAAACTAAGTTTTCCTTTAAATTCAGGAAAGGTGTTGAAGTAAATTTGTGGGATCTTGAGAGCTCTACTAAGATTTGGTCGGCAAAACCTGTGAGTTACATGCATACCCTTTCTCTAATTGCAGGTTATTGAGAAAGGCCTGTGTTTATTTACTCATTACCAAATGTGTTTATTCATTAATTACACATATAAATCGTTCTACCTCTTTACAGCCTCCCAAAAACAGCCTTGGCATCTTTACTCCAACATGGTTTACGTCTGCAACATTCCTGACAGGGGATGATCACCGGAAGTTTGTGGCTGGCACCAATAGTCACCAGGTGAGCTTAAATTACAGTTGTTACTTCTTTCTGGAACAATTTGTAACATTAAGATTAGTGTCACAGCACTCTTTTGGATGGATTCGATGTTCAGTCCACGTGACTACTTGTTATGGTTGGCATGTGTCCTGTGGTGAAGTGATTTTTCCGTTTTCTTTTTCTTGTCCAAGGATGCTCCTCTAGATCATGATCATGCAATATGTGGTTTTACTGTGTGTTACGATATGTCCATCCAGGATTGATATTGTGATAACTTTTACTGTCATCTAAGATACCGTTTATTAAACAGGTTCGTGTATATGATGCTTCTGCTCAACGCCGACCTGTGATATCTTTTGATTTTCGGGAGACCCCTATTAAATCAGTAGCTGAAGATCATGATGGTTATACTATTTATGTGGGAAACGGCTCTGGTGACCTTGCTTCTTTTGACACCCGCACAGGTAAATTAATACGTGGGGTTGATTAATCTCTGGTGATACTTTGGGTGTTTGAAACCATTACTTGGACTACCTCTGTTGCTACTTTAGTTTAATCCCTTTCTGGAATTATTTCTCTGCAGGAAAATTATTAGGTTGCTTTCTGGGGAAGTGTTCAGGAAGCATAAGATCCATAGCCCGACATCCAGATCATCCGGTGATAGCATCATGTGGTGAGTGATAAAGGATTGTGGCATATTAGCAACTGAAACTTTTGATTCGGTGAAGCGATCAAGTTTTTCTGAATTGGTTCTCCCATCATTCCGTGTGCATTGAGTTTCTTTTACTTAACTGCTTTTGCCCTTTTTAGGTCTGGACAGCTACTTACGTTTGTGGGATGTGAAGACAAGAGAACTTCTTTCAGCTGTATGTTTCCCCTCCCGCAGCCCCCTGCCTTTTATTATTAGATCCATTTTGCTTTAACTACTGCACAATTTCTATTTGCTTTCACATAAGAATTGGGAGCATGTTATCATGAATATAATCGTTTCAGTCCTGACTAATTTTGTCTAATAAATTATTGTTGCATGACGCAGACTTTCCTGAAGCAGCATCTCACATGTGTCGTCTTCGATTCCAATTTTTCTGACAAAGGTCAGTAACCATTCTTTAGTTTGGATAGTGTATGCCAGGAGAATTAGCATTAGTATTTGCCTGGAAATGTCCTTTCTGCCTCTGTTGAGCTTGGAAGATAGAAGTCTTAGGCCATAGTTGGTGGGTTTCTTTTTCCGGTGTCAAAAGAAACAAATTAGGATTACCTTGAGGCTTCATTCAACTCGTGTGTTTTTTCCTTGTGAGTGGAATTTTTTGTGTTTAGTTTCATCTAGAAACTTTATTCTGTTATAAGCTCTGTTAGCGAAAGCATGATCATTTAGGGCTGGAGAAGATTAAGTTTTGTTAAGTGAGCATAGAGCTTGATCATGGAGAAGTTTGAGTGTGACGTCCGTCGTGTCTCAAAGCATCCATGCAACTTTTCAATTTAGAGGTTTTGAAGTTCTGATAGCTAGGTAATGAGTTGGCTAATTGAGAATACTCTACATAATACGTTTCACAAGCAGAAGTAGCGCCTGATGCACAGAACACAGGTGAGATCCCGGGAGAAGATGAGCAAGAAGCATTGAAGCCTGCAAAGAGGAAGAAGTCGTCTGAAGAAATGAAAGGCAAAAAGAAGTCGTCGAGAGACTATGGAAGCAAGAAATCAAAGAAAAAGAGCCGTCAGATTGAGAGTGAGGAGTGATGATATGTAATAAACAGTGTTCGATATCCAACACATGAATCTAAAGTCTTTGCTACCAAGTTTAAAAATACCCTTGAACTGAATTTTGTATTTCCTTGTAATGTGTTCTCTCTTCTTTCATTACCACTTCCCGAGCATCACTGTGATTCTACTTTCTTTCCCTTGTGGTTGTCAGTAAGTCGAAGTGTTCCGAATTTGTTATCATATGGAGCAGGCCGATCGTTGAGGCACAAATGCAAGGATCATGCCTGTTTTTGCTCAACACTCATGGTAGTTTTATGCTCAAATCTTCAATTGATCAATGAAGCCACTATGGTCAGCTAATGGTAGTTTTTTGCTACCACTATGGTCAGCTAATGGTGTTGTTGGCTTGTTAACGAACGAATCATTGAAGACGGTGTGTTGGAAGAGTTGGATTTATGTAGCAGTGCGCCACAGATGGATCGTCACACGTGAAGGGAATCTACTGCAAAACCTCAGCCTTTTGTTAGAAGGTATCTGAACAGTCCCTGTAAGCTTGTGAAGAAAGCAACCTGAAAGTCTTGAAGGGTGCAACAGACAGCAGAAAATCCTCGTCGAATGATCCTGAGATTGTCACCATGTTCATGGAAGCTGAATCTGTCACTGCTGCGTTGTCTAAATCCTTTTTTCTGTTCATTTGAGTCGAGCATAGCAAAATCATCGAAGCCAACCAGCTGGTCAATAGTTCCCAAGCTGACGAGAAACCAGAAAAGGATTGCAGACTTGCAGTAGTATCTGAGAAATTAATTTGGCTATGATTCCTTTATAAATAATGAGGGATGTCCAAGTTCAGTTGAAGAAGTGGCAGCTCTGCACTGAAGATGTCGATGAGAGCTGAGCTGCAAACTCTTAACATGTCCATATATGAAAAATCATTACTTGTAGATTAGTATACATCTGTAAACCTGACACCTTGCAGTTACACTACACAGACAAAGATCTTCCCTTTATAAATTTTGCATCCCTCCCTTGTGTTAGTTTATTTCTTTCCTCCCAAGACCGAAAAATCTCCATTGCACCTGCGGAAGTACACTTCACCCGCCATGAATTGCTGCTTGGCATTGTTCATATTCGATGGTGAGATTTGACGAGCCTGTAGCTTAGGCAGCACAAGTGTAGCGTATCATATTGATCGACACTGCAACCGCAACTCAAATCCTGCTCTGCCAGTAGCGTGTTTCAAGTTACTCCTTTGTGTGTAGAGAATCCTGCACTCTCACTCGTTCGTCGAAGCAGAAAGGGACGTCAGAAACCAGCGATCCCACGTTCAATGCACTGAAAGTTACGATGGCTTCTCTTCTCCATTATCAGAATTGGCCAATTCAGTGTATCTTGCCCATCTATCAGCACTGCAATCGCGTTGATTCGGTGTTGTTACTGCCTCAGCTTCACATAACTTTTAGCAGGCTTTGAGCAGGTGGGGATGAACTAACTGGCTTGTCGGAGATTCGATCACGCTCTATTGATCTGCAAGCGATCTCGGTGGAAGCTACGAAGTTGGCCAAGAAGAAGCAAATGGAGGTCGGACATGGTTGATTTACTTCAGCTGCGTTTGAGCTTCCTGATGGGTTTTTTTATACCACATCGTTTAAACTAGCATGTAAGAGCAAAGGGCTTGCAATAAATTACGAGTTCTGTAGACTCAACAATTCATACCTTTCTCGGCCTTTTGGCTAAGATCAAGTGTAGTATCTGTTCTTATCAGTTTAATATCTGATACGTGGGCCAATGGCCCACACGATATTAAATTAATTTTTTTAGGGGGAGAAAGCCCACTACTGGAGCTTGCTTCAGGGGCCTTCTCGCGTGTCGCCCTTGCGTTGCACTACTGCATGGGCCTGGCGCACCCCACCAATTACAGTCCAATTAAATTAAGTTATATCCATCTTGCTTGGGCCAAAAAGCCCATGATCTAAAGGCCAGGTTACATTTTATTATAGAAATCATAATATGTAGATGTGTAGTTTAACTCTTCATTTGTTACAATTTTTCAAGGACGTTTCGACGGATACATAATTAAGGCTAATTACTTCTAAGCTAGACCATTAATTAATTACAAGTTCAAGAGAGTAGCCAAAGGGGTCAAATTCTGATGTAGCCAAGGGCTGATCAAGCAAAAAGGGTCCTGGCTCCAATCCCCAATTGTACTGCTCAGCTTGCTCGGCACTTGAAGCTCCGGCAACTTGCAATGGTTCATCACCTTTCCCTCCGCCGCCGGCGGCGGCGGGAACTGCTGCAGCAACGTACAAGAAGCTGAAACGACGTCGGCAGCAGACGTCGTCACCGTTCTGTAGTTCTCGCTCCCGCCATCGTCACAATAACCACCATCGTAGTTGGTGGCAATATCAGCAGCTTCCGTCTTCATCATAAAGGCCACGTGTCGGTTCGCAACGTCGGGAGGCCCAGGGTTCTGGTATTGAAATAGGCCGTCCTGGAGCGGGCCGGACGCTGTGGCCCATGGGTCTGGCGACATGGACATGGTGGTGGTATTTAGTGAAGGGGATGATGGTGATGATAATGGATCGAGGTTACTGTTCATGAAGGAATGTTGTTGCTGTAGTTGTTGGTGTTCTTCCATTGCTGCCCTCTGTTCCAAGACTCTCAGAGAAGTTGCCTTCCTATAGATCTTGCACAAGACAATGTCCTGTGAAATAGTTTAGAACATGTGTAAGTTGGGGCTGGAAATTTGCCATTTTCTTGAGGTAGCTTTTGACAAGCAACCACCTATATGATTTTGACTTCTTTGCAACTAGTAAGAGTTCACGCTACTACTAGAAATAGAAAATCAACAAAAATATCTAAACAAATCGTCACGTCAACCTCATGATTCTCAATAATAACACCACGATTTTCAATAATAACGCTAGGAGAGTAAATAATTTAAAACATGTGTAAGCTGTCTGAAAATTGTCATTTTGTTGACGTAGTGTTATACAGGTTAAGCACATGTTATGATTTCGACATCCTTGGCACATCATACACACGAGTTCACACAACTAGATGGTAATAGAGTATATAAATAAACCGTCAGTTCTACGCAGATTGACCTCTTGGTTCTCAATAATAATGTACAAAAAGTGCTTTCTCCCCCCCTCCCCCCCCCCCCCCCCCCCCCCCCTCCTTTCGTGTTTGATATCCTCTGACATAGAATCATATGTACTCTTACTTCACTATAACGCATATCATGAACACAACTGAACAAGACAAGACATGAAAGTAGAGGTTGTAATGATTTTCATCCCGAAAGGTGTTCTTTTTTTGTTCGAAACACACAAGGACCATTGAGAAAAGACATTATTTCTGCTCAAAACATACTCAGTGATGGACCCGAAAATTCCTCGACATGTGCGTCGTCGTCCAATAGAACTGTAACAGTTTCAATTATCGAAACTGTTTGTCGGATGTCTCGAATTCAAATAATTTTGTACTAACAAAATCTAAGTTCCTCATAAAAATTTCGGACGAAAAGGCAGAGAGAGAGAGGGGGGGATCAGTCTCACACCTTGGGAAGAGCTGAAGAGTCAGGGAGGCGGTACTCGTTCATGACCCAATCGGTCTTGGTTCCTCGTGGAGCTCTGCCCTGGTAGAAAACCAGAGTCTTCCTCAGCCCAATCTGCCGCTTGGGCTCCGACAGCCGCCATATCTTCCGGTCCGAGCCGGTCGCTTTCCAGAACCCTTTCTCCGTCGTCCGGTTCGGCCGGCCGATGCTCCCTCCGTGCTTCCTGTCCCTCGGCACGTAGAAATACCACTCCCTCTCCCCGTCCGTCTTCGCCAATCCTACCAAATCAAAAACCGAACATCAGTTTCACGGCTCCGAAATCGGGGTTTTTAATTAGCACATCGGAAAACAGGGGAAATGGAAGAAAACACGTACTGGGAAGCTCCCTGGGCTCGTAGCGGTAGATGTTGAGGTAGCCGATGACGTCGAGGCTGATGAGCTTCTTACCGAAGATCACGTTCTTGAGGTAGAATTCGACCAGCTCTTCCTCCGTCGGGTGGAATCGGAACCCGGGCAGGCCGAATCGTTGATGTTCTGAGCTGATTTCATGAGTGTCAGCCATGGATTATGATGAGAAAAACAGAGTATATTTGCTTGTCAGTAGTAGTGGAGTTTACTGTACAATGTATAATGGAGAATGTGAGGAATGATTCCGTTGTGTTCTCTTGTTGGTTGTGCATGGAACAAAAGGGACAAGCTTGGCGCAAAATTTATATTGGGGTGTCAGAGTTCTGTGGATTTTTTTCCCTCTTGTGGGAAGAGAGAAGAGACTAACTATTGGGATTGAATTGAATGACCAAGTCTTGTGAGGAGATTGTGTGGTGGTGGTGGGGTTAGAGGTATCAACAAGGTTGGGTTTGATTGAGTTAAAAGTTAATCAGGTTGTGAGCTAATCAAGTTAAGAGTTTTCTGTTTTGGAATAATAAGATTAATTAGGTTAACGGTTATGTGTTAATTAGGATAGGGTTTGCGGGGTAATGGTCGATTACGTTAAGTGTTACTCATGATATGATGTAAGGGGTTTGAGAGTGGCATTTGATCCCCCCCACCCCCACACCAACTCAAGTGACAGATATGTTATTCGGAATCAATTTTGCAAGTTTATCGAGTTATTCTCAGGTTTGAGCGGTTCTTGATACCTAAAGGTGTGACACTTTTAGATAGGATCTTCTTTCATGAGTTAATCCAATTACTTATCCATAAGTGATTGACTTGCAAATGAAGGGGATGATCGAGTTGCAAACGAAATAGCCATTCCAGCTCACAAACTTTATGGTCCAGGTCCAAGCGCTGGAGAGGTGTTCAGAAGGGATCGCTCGCGGCGCACACATTTTTTGGATACTTAGAGGGTATTCGATGTGTCCGTCAATTTGCCTTCGAGTAGAGATAATTCAACTACGTGCCCAGCTGGTTATGAACTAGTCTGATTGATTGGTTGCAAGCTATCACGAGTCATCAACCACACGATCGAGTCAAAATTGCGAGCGGGTCAGTCGGATCAACCCGGATTTAAGAAAAACTTGGAATCGTAGGTAACAAATAGAAAGAAAGACATTAAGAAATTGCAAAAAGATGATGATTGATGATGATGGTTCATGAGAAAGAATTTCAGAGTAGCAAGACAAAGGAAGGAAGGTGAAGTTGCCTGAAAGTGGAACCCACACGGTTTTAGAGCAAACACAGAGGAAAAGAAGATGAAGATGGGTCAGATTGTAATGGAATGGAAATTGACAGGTCTTTTTTTTGGCCCAATCGATTGACTTGTTTTTTTCCAAGTTTGTGTGGATTCTAGGGTTTTTACTTTGAAACATGCACAAGGAGAAATGGGCTGGTGCAATTCAGATTCCATGGTCTTGTGAAAATGGTTGAATTGGTCCTCTGTCCACATGTTCACTATAGCCCAAATGCAAACAAGATAATGTGATTCCTCCATAGGTTTAGAATTCATTCCCTTCAAATCAGTCAAAAACGAGTTTCTACGTAGAAACGTTTAGTTGATCTAGAAGCGTAAAATCGTAAGTTTTGAAGTTTTAAAGCGGAGTTCTTAACTACATAAGTTATAAAAACTTATATTTTGTGTAGAAGCGTTTTAGTGATCTGAAAACGTAAAATCGTAAGTTTGTAAGTTTTAAAACGCATTTTGACTACATTGTTACAATAAAGTGGTTTAAACATGAGAAGCAAAAAATTAACCAAGAATGTTTGAATACTATGTTCAATAGTTTGGCAAAACCTTACAAGAGGGGGAAAAAAGCAATATAAAACCACAACTTTGGAACATTCCTCTATTTGGTAGCCACAAGGTTAGTTCGCGATGGAATATCAAATCTTGTATTACCTCCATTGTTGGTTGCATGCGTGAGAAATCAAGAGCAAAATGCACAACAAGAAAATAAACAGGCTTTTGAGCGTCGTCGATTTGTTGTTCGAACGAATCCCTTATTGATACTTATCGCGTCTCTGGATCTTCATATTAGCTTTTACTCTTTCATTTTATCCCCCTTCTATTTATACACTTATCTATGTACTATTTTGATAGGTTAATTCGATTACAATCTTGGTTTTATTTAATCAATTGTGAAAAAACAAACAAACAATGGCCTTAGATTATATGTCTTCTTAAGTTCTGTGTTTAACCATACATCTTCTAGTAGTTCTATGCCTGCCGCCACAGAAGAAAGAATAAAAATCAAAAACTGAATCACTAATATGAATATTATTCAACATAATTTGTTAATGAAAGACTGATGGAGATCAACTAAAACAAAGATGAACAATTGATTAACAGTAATTAATCACGATTAGCTAGCTGTCTCCTTGACCGTCTGCATGTATTGCTGTGTTCCCCTGAACAAGAGTTAATGAGAAACCATGCGTAAGCACTGCCGTAATTCACGAATTCCCTTTTTCTTACTTCTTCTTTGAACAATATTTAGCAACTAGTAATTAATTAACAATTTGCAGTAGTGGGATTATTACCGAACGCACTTGAACTAGGAATTTGAGCTAATTAGTCATAATAAAATAATGATATTTTAATGTCAAGGTGGGTCCTTTGGGTAAGATTACGAGACCCAAGCCCAATTATAGAACCGGCCCAGACTTCTTCTCGTTGTTGTCTGTAGGGCTGTTAATGAGCCGAGCCGGATCAAGCTTTGCTTTGTTCAAGTTTGGTTCATTTATAAACGAGCCAAACTCGAGCTCCGCTCATTTATGAACGAGCTGAGTCGAGCCGAACACGAGCCATCTCATTTATTGAATTTTGGCTCACCATTAAGATCAAAATTTTGGCGCAAGCTCAACTCTAAGATAATTTATGAATTAAATACCCTAATATTTATATGTTATATATGATACATGTGATTAACTGATTTTCATGTCATATAGTAGACATATTTGCTCACATACTCTAATTATTAAACATCAAATGAGGTGTGATATACAATTTAATAAATATATGCATCATTAACAAACCAACTCATAAGATAGGACCAATTTTCTCATAAGCCGTAATCAAGTTGGCTACCTAGTTACAATGTTGAGACATCTCATGAGCTCAAAACGAGATAGTTCATGAGTCGAACTAAACAAGCCACCTAATCGAGCTAGTTCACGAGCCTCGCGAGCCGAACAATGTTGATCTCAAGCTCGGCTCGTTAATAAACGAATCGAGCTTTTATTAAATCGGACGAGCTTTTATCGAGTTCGAAACCGAGCCGTTTGCGAATAGTTTGGTTCGTTAACAACCTTAGTTGTCTGAGAACCATTACTACATATTGGCCTGAGCGAAGTCTCCCAATTACGAAGACCAGAACGAGTCTTTCTCTTTCCCAATACTTCCATATTTGGAAAATTGAAGTTCGCAAATGTCTGAATACCATGTGTTTAATATTGGTAGATTGTTGGGATTCAACTTAAAACCTTTCGATTGTCGAAAACTATAATACTATGTCAAGAATCAGTTGGTTCTAATAATTCGAGTTATTGTTCGATTATAAATGGTGTACCGTTAACTAACAAATAACATACATGTTTTACCAAATTACTCGAAATCTATTGCATCGATGCTCGATTGGTGCAAGACTCAGATAGTAAATCAAAACTATGCTCGTTTTGCTAGTTATTCATGGATATCTATGGATAATAATTATTTATTTATATTATTTCATCCAATCTAATGTGTTACTATTTTTTTTATATATAAGGGTGATATAGGTTTAAAATTTTGTGATTAAGGTACTACTGAACGGATTCGAACCTGGCACCTCCAGGTTTTATGCTAGTGGTATTATCACTAGGCCACACCCTTGTTCGTTCTAATGTGTTACTATTTGTGTATATAATTACATTATACCAGTGGAAAGTTACATTTATAAATTATAAGTCATCATTCTTAATTAAGTGCAATAATAATAATAAAGAAGAAGAATTTATATAGAGATAACGTTGTGGTTCAGTACAAATGCGAATATTCTTAAAGAGTGACGATTTACAGGAAAATATATCTCTAGATCCATAATCGTGGGTGGGTTCGGATTGAATAGTAGGAAAATCATGTCCACCCATTGCTAATAATATAAAGTTTCGAATTTTATCCATACTACCGATCGAATAATTGATTTGGTTCGACTTCTACCCCTATTCAATCGAGTCGGTATCGATGGGATATCAGTTATTCTCGCCACCATGCTAAAATATGTCAAGAAAATAGAGCCTGGAATAAGGAACCGCCGACCATATCCGAAAGTAGTTTGTTAAGGCGTCACTTGCGTTATCAAGTGGAATAATGACCTTTCGTTGTCGACAAGTGAACCATGCATGCAAAGTTAAAACTTTTCTGAGTTTTTTTTTTATACAAAAGATAAACATATTGATTGATAGAAAGATCATAGATTACACTCTGGATCTAATCCAGGAACACAAAGATCAAAGATACGACACGAGGTCTGAGACAAAGAAAGGGTATTCCGATCTACAAGATGTGCTACCTTATCCGACCTACAAATTGAACATGAAAATTAGCCAACATACGAATAACTTCCTCAATAACGACCCCAACATGACTATCCCGTACATCCTTGAAGTTTGTCTTGTCAATAACCATCTTAGCATCACCTTCAAATCGAGAACCCGGGTGAATCCACAGTTCTTACACCACTGAATAGCTTTCCAGAGGTCCATCGTATCAACCCAAAATAGGGTTGTCAATATCCTGAAAGGATACCCCTCTCGTTAGGACAACATTCATGCATGAAAAACTATTGGGTCAAGCCCAGCGATTTTGGTGGCCTGCATGAAATTAGGCCGATGTTAAAGCCCAATTCGGCTGGGTTTCTAATTATAGCCGAATATTAAACCGGCCATTTATATCTTTTTTCTTTTACATCCCATCCCAAATCCCAACCCGCCTATGACACATTTTGCAGCAAGCTAGTTATTGGTGGGCCCAACCGTTGGAAAGGGCAAAGAAAGAATGCAAACAAAGGGGCGTATTGTCAGGAACAAGTTGATGAGATATGAGAGGAGTATTGAAGTGATGGCAAAACCTTACATCCTCTTTTACTTCTCTTGTGGATAACTAGCTAGCTACTCTCACATCAAATGATCAGACTATAGTTTTCATTTGGAAACAACTTAATAGACATTTCCATGGCTAGGATATTCAATCCGGTCAGGGTTTCGGGTGACTTCCTCCCAGGGCTTTCTACGATCATTGAATCGAGTGTAACCCCATTGTTATCGCACGTATCATATGGTTATCGAGTGTCGAAGGGGGTGGTCTACCTTAGGGGTTAGCACCCAGCTGACCCGATTCCTTGCTTCTACGAAGTTACTTCTTCTGGCCTCTTCCAAAAAACTGGTTTACTCGATTTTGAATACTACTGCTATTTGTAGTGACATTTTATTGCAACACGAGTCCGATTAAGTCTATCCACATATAAAGGTTAATGCTTGAAACTTTGTAAAACATTCATGAAGTTGATATAGATATAGTTTTGACAAATGGGTTCACAAGCTGCATGATTATAGTAAGGGTGAAAATTATCAAGCCAGCCACAGAACTCGAATATTCTACATTCAGTGTGACAACATAATCGTATCTAGTTGTTGCATATTTCTTATACGAAAACCTATTGGCAAATGCAACAGATGGTTGTGCTTGAAAATTGTGAAGAAACGTATTACTCCACTAAAATTTGTATCCATCCTAAGTTCGTATATTTCGCTATCGAGTTCTTAACTTCTCCCGTTACCAATTTCAATTCGAACTAGACCACGATGATCACATGCATGTGGACCCAACTGAAAGCCATGGTGAAGGTAAGAAAGATCAACAACCAGAAGTTCACTTGGACTTCTCCTCTCAAGGCAAAAGAGAGAGTGATGGGAGGGGACAATGTTACATGATAGTGCAATTGCTCACCAAATTTGGGGTCTGAATTTCATTATCTACATTTCCAAAAACAAGTTTGGCTCGTACAATGGGGTTGCCAATTAAACAAGTGTTTCTTTCTGCCCTAAAGACAATTGTTCCCAAAGTTCCAACCCTTTTTGTTTGTGGGGTTAACACAAGCATTATATGCCCTCCCACCAAAAGGAAAATGGTCCCTATTCTTTTCATTTTAGGTTTTTTTAACCTTGTAAAAGAAGAGAAAGTGTGGTGCAGGCTTCTAGTTGTACAAGGCACTGCATATTTTCTCTGGAACCTTTGCCCCATTTGTGGCTAAGGTAAGGGACCATGAAGCTCAAGAGAGAGAGAGAGAGAGAGTGCTTACAAGCTCTTACATTACATACAGCACAGAGCAGCAGCAAAGCTAATGGCTAGTTGATAAGAAGAGTCACATTGCTCCAAAACTCCCTCCTGCAAAACATGCCCAAGTTGGGTGCTTCTTTTTGGCTCTCTCATAACCCACCATGGGTTTGCTTTGTTCTTACATGCATTGTACTTCTTGGACCAATGTCATCTCATGATAGTAGAGGAAGAGATAGAAGAAGTAAGGTCAATTGCATATGAAGAGGATCACTTCGATTCAAAACCGAAGTCTATAATAACTAATATTAATAGTTATCCATTTCGTCTCTTGAAGGTTTTCTGATAGAACTGTTAACATGTCAACTCAACCAAATTTTAATGATGATGATATGACCAAACTATTTCCGCTCAACATAGCGAATTCCAACCCAACTTTATGAAGAACGCCCTTAGCCGTTAGCGGCTCCATTTTGTCCACGACGATAACTATGTATTGTCCACGTTTTTTCTTTTTATCAAATTGGCATGCTCATCTAGATACTTTGTATAAAAAAAGTTGATGATAATAGGAGGTGTGACCATTATATATCAATTTCACAATTTAGCGTTCAAATTGTTAGTGAATACAAATTATAGCAGCTCTTAATGTAGACGGCCGATAAAAGAAACCCGGATTAATCCAACCCTCCCCACTCCTAGTAGGAGTTTTACAAAGTTAAATTAGACCAATGAAAATCTACCACATTGTGATTTCCATCTTGGATGGATAATACATGTTAGTACCATCAAACATTATATAACTTCCAACAAATTAGGGATAAGACATGCATGAAACCCCACTTGACCACCATTGTTTTTTCTTTTGGTTTCCAACTTCCAAGTATTGGGGGCAAACCTCATTAACCATATTTCCCAAATGGAGGGAGGCCCAGAAGAAGCTTTGAGTGGTAGAAGATACATAGTGGAGATGGGTGATGATGGATAACCCTTCAAGTATGGCAAATTCTGAAAACCCAGACTTGATTTGTATCCCTCTTTTTTCTGCTAGGTAAGGTCATCACCATGATGAGTCTCCCAGCCCCTCCTTTTCCTTCTTTTATCACCAGACCATTCATCATTCTCTCTCTCTCTCTCTCTCTGCCCTTTGCACAGTGCTTTTTACAGGGAAAGCACAGATACAAAACTGCCTCAAGTAGTCAAGGGTAATCTCTCCCCAGGCCAGCTACAGTTGAATAAAAAAAAAGGACCTGCCAGTGCCATAGCCATGGCGATGCCCATTGTCCCTGCAAATGAGCTGTAACAGTACCACCAGGGCAGGCTGATCAAAATATCAGCAGAACCCCAAAAAAAACCCAGGCTGCCCTTTCTGCCATACATTCACCAAAGAGGTAAAATGACCAATGCCTCGTTCTCACCACTAGTAGCTTATAATTATTTACCACTAATGTTCTCTCCAAGCTTTGCACCAATCAAATAACGGTTCCTGCCTTCCTGGCACTATAGCAGAAACAAAGAAATAAAGGCAAAGGGACAAAGGAGTTTTAGGTTATGGCTTTTTCTTTCATGCATCCTATATTATATTATTATATTATAATAAATAATAACAATTAACAATAATGTTTTGTACATATTGATACTCCCAAAAGGATCTTTCCAATTACAAAAGAAAGCTTAACCTGAGGTCAACAACATATCATTGTAGTTAACCAAAATCCCTATTCTTCCATCATTAGCCATACATATACTAAAATGAAAAGACACAAAGCCCCCACCTTTTCGTCTAGCCAAGTCATTCAATCAAAGTTCAAAACCAACACCATCATACCCATTATGGGTGGTCTCTCAACTCCGACCCCAAAAAATCAGACTAGAAAGCAAAAGAGAGAAAAAGGCCTAACCCCACCTTTTACCCTAACTATTCATTTCTTTCCATCCATTCCTTCCCCTACCTGTCCTTCCTTTTGCATTCATAGAACTATCTCGGTCTGCTGCAGAGTAGTATGAGTGGTGGTAGTAGCTGCAGCAGTAGTAGAAGTAGTAGCATTGAACCCCCCCTGTTGTTGCTGTTGTGGTGGTTGCTGCTGCTGCTGCTCAACTTCCCACTTAGCCTTGGCAATGACTCCATCTTTCACTGGAACGTACTCCTACTCGAAAAAAAAGGAAACAGTGGTATCATCAACAAGGTAACAAAACAACTCCCACATGCTAATAAAATGGGAAAATATCAGAAAGGATGATTCATCACCAAGGTGGAAAATTGGTAAAGATCCTTTATGGAACCACCCATACTGTCTTTTCCATATATGTATGCATAATAATGTACATCATTCAATTTCCTCACCTCAAGCTTCTGAACAAGCTCCTTGGCATTAGGAGCTGAGACAAATATGTTCCTCTGTGATGGCTTGATGAAGCCATCATCCACAGCTTTGTCGATGAAGATCAGTAGGTTGTTGTAGTAGCCATCCACATTTAGTAAACCCACCTGCAGCCACAGGTTACCTTTCTTTGTTTAGATACAAAAAATACAAACAAACAAAAAAAAGAAGGTTAATATGGGAAGAAACAAGGGGAAAGGTCAAGGCTTTACTGGCTTATCATGGATTCCAAGCTGAGCCCAAGTGATTACTTCCAGCAACTCTTCCAGGGTCCCATACCCACCTGATTATCATTATGCCAAAGAACAAAGGAGACCACCATTGATTACAAACGGGAACAAAAAGGGGGGAATTTTGTGCATATAATAATCTGTTGAAGAGAACAGTGTGAAGGGGAGATATAATAATGGATGAGGGAAGACCTGGTAGGGCAATGAAGCAATCAGATTGGCGGGCCATTTCTGCTTTCCTTTGATGCATGTCGGCTACTGGCCTCACCTCACCAACTGTTTCACCAGTGATCTGTTTGGCTCCACCATTTTTGAATCAAAAAGTACAAAAAATCACAACTCCAAGCAAAAAATCACATGAAAAGGTTTATTTTTTCCAGCTCAGAACCCAAATCCCAAACGAAAAATCTCACCTCCTTGCACATCAAGGTCCTGGGTATGATCCTGTTACAACACAAAACCACCACAGTCAGAAGAAGGAAAAAAATTCTCAGAGGCCAAACCACAAACACCTCATGAGCATAAACAAAAAACAAAAAAAAAAAATCCATTACCCAAGAACGCTGCCGCCGCCGTGGTGCACAGCTCGAGACACCAGCCCCATCAGCCCAATACTCCCGCCGCCATATACGAGATCCAACTTCCTCGCCACCTTCATCCATCAACCCAACAAAAAAAAAAAAAAAATCAGAATACTCTCAACACTAAATTACCAAAAATAGAAACGAAACCCAGAACGGAAACGAAGCTAAACCCATAAACCCTTCTTTTTTTTTTCAAAAAAAAAGAAATTACCAGCTCCTGAGCAAGATCAATGGCTGCATCCTTGTAGCAGTTCCTGTTCCCACTACTGCTCCCGCAGAAAACACAGACCCTCTTGAACCGCGATTTCACCACCTCCCCACTGTCATCATTATTCCCATTGCTGTTACTCCCAGCCGCCGCCGCCGCCGATTCTCCCATGTTCATTCTTTCCAAGGTGTATGAAATCGTTTTTTTTTCTTCTATTCCTTCCCCCTTATTATACCTCGTTTGGCAAACCGCGTGGTTGGATAGGAGTGAAAAGTGGAGGAGGAAGCAGTAGAATAGTGAGTGACACAGACTGCTTCAGCAGCGCTACGCTGAACGCTCTCTATTTATAGACTGGCCAAACAGGGCGCTACGGAGGAAGAATACGAACGAATGAGAAGGAAGAGAGAAGGATAAGTTTGTTTATATGGCGACGGAGTGGAGTGGGGAGTGAGACAAAAAAAGGCAAGAGCAAGACAGAGAGAAGGAAAATTTTGGAAGGGGGAAGGGGATGGGAGTGGTGGATCCCCGTCCGTCGATTTTTACACGTGGCGAGAGATGAGTGACGGAGATCATCGAGGTTTTCGTGTTGCTGGCTGTGACTGTGAGAAAGAAAGAGACTGCCCACGTTTAATTTATTTTTATTTATTTATTAGTACCCGGTTCATAAAGAAAACAAAACAATTATAATAATAATATAAAAAATCTTTGTGTGGTTGCCAATGGTTGTTAAACCGGTAGGTTGCCGACCGGTATAATCAGGTTGAACCACAACTTATAAGATTGATTTTAGGATGCTAAATAAAATGATGTCGTTTTGATGAACTTAGTACAGACGTCATCATCGTTACACCCCATTCTTTTCGGGTTGCTTGGTTTCCGCCTTTGGCCAGGACTCTGTATTGCCTGTGAAACATTTCTCGGGATTGAACCAATGCGCACAAAAGGTCGTAGCAAGTTCCATACTCTTGCTACAAAAGCTGCAATTGATAAACATGTGGGTGGCGTCCTCCTCGCTGTAGGCACACAAAAAACATCTGCTTGGGAGGCTCCAACCTCTCTTCTTCAAGGAATCGTGAGCGAGTATTGTCTTTGGATGTACGATCCACATAAAAATGGGGATCTTAACATCTTGACCATATGCGAAATCTATTAAATCTTTATCTATATTAGTATCTATCTCTATCTATCGTCCTTTTTCAAACTAATAACTCGATAAGAACCGAGCGATCCTACATTCATATTAACTCTTCTCTAAACAAAACTCTCTCTACCATTATCATCTTCATCCAATTCCAACTCCAAGACCCATTTGGCTCCCTCATTGAAAATGCCATTATGATAACGTGGTGTGGTTTTAGCATTCATTATCTTATTGCATTTTGCAAGATGGCAAAATCACCAAAAATGGAAGGCTGCTGAAATGGGATTGTGAGATGGATCTCTATGCTCTTCCTTTCTTCATTTGGAAAAACGTATTAACAATTTAACAGACTTCGACAAGGCCTCTCTTGCTGCGGTTCAGCCCGTAATGTCAACAGTCACCTTTAATTAAATTCTCAATTCCTTTTTTTTCCCTCAGCAATTAAATTCTCAATTTAAAGATACCCAAATAGAGAAAGTTAGCCCAATTTCTTTGGAATCTTTTTTTTAATCGCTATGGTTGGGCCGCCCTACCTATTAGCTGGGCCTGAGGCCTTTTTGGTCTGTCTCTTTTGTCTATACCTGTAAGCAACCCGATCCTCGGGATTTAATAAGCTTAACAAACTATTTAATTAGCATGCTAAAATTTATTAGCTCTTGTCGGTACAATGCATGCGTCACATATGTATGAACACGTGTCTGAATTCTGATGAAAGAACAATATTTCTCATGCATTCAATTTTTTTCCCATCAAAATATCACTCGCGTTGATCAATCGTTGATATAGTTGTATTTACCGAGAGATAACAATTTGTTAGGATCGATTTGGATTTCATGCATGGACTCTCAACTTGCTACCTCACTACTCCCTTCTCGATTACTAACACAATAGATGCACATGAATTCACCATGATGATTAAAAGATCACCTCTTCGAGTACGAACTTAAGCATGCGAAGTAAATGCTCAACGAGGAGGGTTGGATTCTAAGTTTGAAAAAGATTGTAATATTGACGGTCATGTAGGACAAATTTAATGTAATTTTGATGGTTATGAAATAAAGTTGTAAAAATTAGTAATGAGTAAAAAAAAGAAAAAAAAATTATACATGAAAGAAATATTTATTAGTAAACGGAGTGATCAAACTTGACCATAGTAGCACATCTTACTTCTAGCTAGTGAGGGTTTCTGTATCAATAATGATTGCGCCGTCGCATCTCTCCCTCTCTTTCCACATTAAATCACGTTATTAATTGGCACCTAATGCTGCCGTCTTATCAGCAAAACCAAGTCTGAATTGTGATGGCTATCTCTTTGACATGGCATGCTAGTAATCGCTAGTCTCTCGAGTCAAAATACCAATGATCTTCAAAATTTAAGTTTTACATCTTTGGATAATATATTGATGAGTTGCGATCAAATGTTATATCGTCGTATTAAATTCATGTTACTAGTTAAAATTTAAAATTTGATGTCTAAAAGCTAATTTTAGAGTTGTACACGTAGTGTACACTCATTTATATGAATGCGCACGGTAGGAGCGACTGTTGAAAAACAATTAATTATAACTTTTTAAACTTTGTTTAGTTATTCTCCGAATTGTTAACAAGCTAGCTAAACGAATTATTCTTTCACAAGCTTCCCCCAGCAACTATGTTCTTAAATGAAATATTTGTAATGAACAACGGTGACTACTATTGTTTGTATTGTCTCTACGGACAACGATACTCAACAATGATGTATATATCAACTCGTGTACTCCGTAATCCGAGTGATATGACTGTTGGATGCATACTTGTCGAACTTTGACAAATTAGAATCGTCAAATATTATTATTTCACATGCTTCCCCGATCTTGACTAATGCAACTATGTTCTTAAATGAAATGTGTCTAATGAACAACAATGACTACTCTTTTTTTTGCACTATCTCTACGGACTACGATTCTCAACAATGATGTATCTACTGGTGTACTCCTTGAGTACATAGTACTCCAACTGATAAGACTGTTGGGTGTATACTTACTGAGCTTTGACAAATCAGAATCGTTAATTATTATTACTTTGTTAAAGTTAATCTTCAGGTTTGGTTTTAGATAATCAAAGTTCTGGAGTTTATCTATTTTAAATGCTAGGAACTCATGGTATAGCATTATCCTGATTTAATCGGGACTTCCCAAGCCGATCGGTCAGAAACTTTTTCTTATTATGTGCTCAAAACGATTTCTTGGCAGGCTGATCTCTAATTAAGGTTAGAGAGAGCCTTTTTAGAGGGTGGGGTTTTTCGAGAAGGGAAGAAAAGCCTATGCATGATGATATGATGAGATTTCAGAGATATGATGATCAGTCTGCAACTTCTCGTTATTAGCAAATGGGGTTTTTGGTGGTTAGAAGTTAAAGTTACACTATATCCTCTTTTGCATTGAAATACTTCTACATTGTCATCTAAAGTTAATGGTTGTTTTACACAATATCGAAGTCGAAAGATGTCATAATATTTCAATTAGTACGAACAACTCGGAATGCATTTTTTTAAGTGACTCAAGATGTTGAAAGATGTCCATATATAGATATCAAATTTTTTTTTTACAAACTCACTCAAATGGAAAGTTAACTTACGAGTTTACAAATTGCGGTCTATATATCATGTGCTTTAAGACGGTTTAATATCAGGAGTTGTGAGAATTTAGAGACGTGATCTCAAGAACAAATAAGTTTTGATATTATGCATAAACCAACTGACCCCAATAACTCGAATATTCGGAATTACAGAAAATCTCCGTAATGGGTCAAAACCAGCTATCTCAATATTTGTAGTCATACATGGAGAGATCTTTCCAAAAATCCATTAATTATTGATTCATCTACTTAAATAGAACAAAACATGAAACCCAAAAACCCATAAGAAGAACAAAAAATAATAACTCTTCCTCCATTTTATAAACCCAATATTCACAACTTTTTATTGGTTTTGTCTGACAAAATAAAAAAGAGAGAGAAAAAAGCAACAACGTTATATTTCTATAAAATAACACGTTTTCTTATTTCTTTTCTTCAGCTTCATTTCCAGGTGGAATCATCACAAGGCGAGCAAGGCTCCTGGGCTATATCAGTAATCTGAAGCCCAGTATCGTAAACCATCCCGGGCCTCCAATCACCTGGAAGAACGGCCTTCTGGGCCCAAACCCACTTTCCGTCGAACCCGCCCGTCACTGCGAACCTGAACTGCAGCGGACCCTCGGGGACTCGGCCAGTATCCCAGACCGCACCGTGGTTCCGGCTCAGGAAGGCCCATTTCGATGACCCGAATCGGGCCACATCAACCCCAACGATCTCGGTCTGACCGCCCTGGTACAGAACCTTGACCGCCAAGTAAACCGGCTTCCGGCTCGACTCCTCCACCCTCACCGCCAGGTTCTTGGCCCTAAACTCACATGGCACCCTGGAAGAAAGAAAAAATGTGAAACCGTATCAAAGGTTATTATATCACAAATAATTGATGTATAATATTTTGTACTAAACCGTAGTTTAATAACCATAATTCAACAGTTTCTTATCTTTAAAGCTACATATCATATTTTGTGTCCAGTATTCGATATTTCCTATCCTACCGATTTATACATTAGGGAGAACAACGAAGTTAGAATTTTAATTTGACCGTTGGTGGGCATTTAATGGTGGTTTCTGGCTCGAGCCTGTTTCCTGTCTGCTATAATATTACACAGAAAATAGTCCTCAAATTACACAGCACCATTGTCGGTGGACCTGATTTGCATATTATGATATGTCAATTTGTGTTTATATATATACCTTTTGTATTCGACATCGGCGGTCCCGAGTTTGAGAACGTCGGAGGCTTTGCCCTCGCTGGCCATGGCCATGAAAGCTCTGCTGCTGAGGACGAAATCGGTGCTGTTGCTGAGGTCGGTCACCATGACTGTGGTTCCCCTGCTGCTGCAGAGCCCTGGGGTTTTGCATCGAATCTGTTGCAGAAATCAACCCCAAAACGTTTCAGGCTACTTAATACGCAAAGAAGGAAGCTTTTTTTTTTTTTTTTTTGGAGTTTGGGGTGAGTAAGAGAATAGAGAGATTATTATACCTGGAAACAAGCGCCGCAGCCAGCTCCATTTCTGTAGATAGAAGGAGCAGCAGCTGCGAGTTGTCCTGTGTTGAACCCGATCGCCATTGATCCATACCCGCAAGCACCATCTGCGGGAAAACAAATGAAAAGATTACTACCCATCATTGATCTCCGCAAGAATTCATCTGGGTCGTATCCAAAACTTCATTTCGATCAACGAAAAGGGAAATAAAAGATTGAGAAGAAGCGAAGGAGAAAAAACAGGGGAGGGAGGAGAACATAAGAAAAACAGGGGATTCATTTACTTGAAAGCGCGGATGCTTTGGAGAAGTAGGCGACTTTGGTCGAGTGGAGGCAGCGGTCGCAGGCGGTTGCGGAAGAGACAAGCGAGATCAGTAGAAAGGGGACTAATGACAATGGCGACGGCATGTTTGGTTTTCTGTTTTCTTGCTGTGGGGAGAATTATTTTCTAAGGCAATAGAGAAGAACTGAAGAAGTCAAGTTGTGATGAGGGAAATGGATGGCAGAGGAATTTGGTTTTTATAGAGAAGAAGGTTATAACACGTAAGGTAAGGGAATGCGTTGGAGAGAGAGAGAGAGGTTAAGCATAGATTTCAGCAAGCAAAAGAACAATCAGTTTGTTAATTGTTTAACAGTTGATCTTCTCAAGTTCAAATTAAAAATCTTACATTAACATTTTCTATTGGTCTTGTAAGGTAAAGCACCTTCACTGAAAGTTAAATCCTCACGGATTCATCATATAATAGTATCCAAGAGTTGCTCGATTTGTAAGCATAAATTTTAATTCGTGTCATGGAATAAATAACAATAAGTTATAGGTTAAGCTTACGCCATCAAAAAAGAATTTTCATTTCACTCGGTCAATTTTACAATCAATAATCCTTTCCATTATCACGAGAGTAAGAAAGGATACTCCTTTTTTTTTTTTTTTATAGATTGTTCCATTGGTTAGCTGCCTTATCAGCTACAAATCAACGACTAATCAATCAATGGGCTCTATCCAATATTACTGAAGATATTTACCCGATCCCAACATTATCCAAACATAATCCAATCGAGAGAATTCCATTTCATAGATTATGCTTAATTGTTTATCCCACAAGCATATACCCAATTTATGCATATATATATTTGTATAATACAACCCCATCCATCATCCCTGTGATGGGAGGATGTTCGAAAAAATTCAAATTTACAAGTCGTTTCATTGATGAGTTAACAAGTCGATCAGAACCCATTACCAATCCGTCAATCCACCATCAAATCCATCAATCTTACTCGACAAATCCAATTTAACCAAAAAAATACATGTATCAATTTCTAATACCCGAACAAGTTTACCTCATTAACTTATACTAATCGTATATCACAATGTAGTTACCATAACTGAATAACTAAAGTTAATCCAACAAGAATGTGGCAGAAACGCGGCGATAGGATGTAAAGAAGAAAGGAGGAAAGCGGTGGTGGGGAGAGGAGATATATTATTACCCAGCAGTCTTCAACAGTAGCACTTTCACCGACTCTGTTTTCTCGACTTATGAGAGCAGACAAATTGCAGGAAAGCAGAGAACCAGTCGACCAGGCTGGCCATATATAATTCCAACACGCGTAAATTAGTCGACACTTTTACACTCACTCCCACTTTTACCAGTAGTAGTTTATTGTTCTTGGGGTGACTAAGTCGGTAAGCTTTTAATATTTTAGTTTTTGGGGGCACTAGGATTTGTGGATTGTTCATAGGGTGGAGAATCTTGATTGTACCGTTTTTTGTTTTTTTTTCAGTCTTACCAAGGTGAGATTTAGATTTGTTCTCGGTACTTACAAACACCATCATTCGAGCTACAATAACCTTTTTACCAGTTGGATCCATTCTTCTTTTGGAGATGACAGGACAAAGTTAATGGTGATGTTACATTGTGGGTTTTGGCTTTGGTGATTTTGTTACGTAATTGTTGGCGATTTATTAGTATCGTTGCTACGATAATTGTTGTTAAATATGGACTTTGATAAAAAGAACTGCTAATCTGGAGGTCTGATCTGGTGGTAGAAGTTATTGTGAGATAGTGACTTAGTAGAGATATGTTCACGAATTTGAAACCATTATACGTTTTTGCCGGTTTATTATAGTTCATTCTAACAATGTAATTTGTCTGCTCTGGTGGTCCGATCCGATTCTTATAACAAGAGGGAAAAATCACGATTTGCAAAAGCACACTGAAAAATGTACCAAAAAAGTTAGCGATATATGATATTTTAGTTGTAAACTCTTGGTTCAATCAATAGCGTAGTACGAGACTACTAGTGTAATATTGTTGCTAAAATAAAATAAAATAATATATTCAACTAGCATTATCCCGGATTCCCGGTTAATAACACACCAAAATCGTCCAACATTTTCAGAAATTGCCAAAATAGGTGAATAAAACCGGCTGATGGCATATTATTAATATTTATGTACCATACTCAATTTTTACGATCATACCGGCAATAAGGTATGGCCGTATGGGTAATGCGTTAGCAATCCTTGGGGGGGGGGGAAAAACAGAGTAAAGCCCAATAGCCCCAACGGGCTTAAATTTGATCTTTTGAAACGGGCTAGAGTTGGAACGGAACAATCTAATTAGGTCCACATATAAATACCAAAATTTTAAAAACCGATTGTTCCACCAGAAAGGCGAAACTCCAAAAGCCCTAGAAAAGAGTACCCACCACGATCGCGCGTTTGGCCGGATCCTTCCATCCACCGGCCGTCGATCGATCGATCGATCCATCCCATTCCCATGGCTTCCTCCGATGTTGACGAAAAGTATCCTCCGCTGACTTACTACCCCGACAGATACTGCGAGACCTGCCGGAGACTCGACAAGACGGAGATGAAACCAAAGCCCGACGACGAAGAGTATCTATTGGATGACGAAACTTTCTGCGACGAAACCCTAAGGCTACATGTCATCAACTACAGGAGGACCCAGTATACGAGGAGTGTAAGTTTTTAAGTTTTAAATCCCGATATATTACTACATTGATCTAGATGATTTTTTTTTATCGCGTTCCAAATCGTTAATTGATCGCGCGCATGAATGGACGCATGCAGTATTTCGATATTGATTGCCCTCCAAATTATGGCGGCATTGGTGGGCAACCACACCCGGGAAAGCATTATGCGAACGACAAGTATTTTCAAGATACGGTTCAGGACTGTGCTAGGTTCGCGGTGCAGAAATGTAATGAAGAAACCAAGGTATGAATATGATGATGATGATGATGATGACACAGCAACAAACAGAGTAACACAAAACCCCTGCCATCGAAAAATGAAGGATTTTTGAACAGATAGGTTTGTTTGCGAATATTGTTGCAGGTGAAGGGGATTGATTTGGAGTTGGTGAAGGTTGAGAATGTTACTGCTGAAGGTCCTAATTGGAAGAGATTTTACATGACTCTCGCCTGCCGCAATCGGGTTAATGGTAAGCGGAAAGGGATCTCTGAAGAAGCTGGTGGTGGGGATACTACTAGTGATGACTGTGTGGTTCAGAGCTACAAAGTTGTGGTTTCCTGTTGCTATTGGAAAACGGAGCTGAAGAAGATGCTGCTCTTCAACGACCCAAATGGGAAACGTACGTATATCCACTACTTGTGTCATTTGCATCAGTATGATCTTTATTACTACCGCGTATGTGTTGATCGGCTCAATACTCGAAAGTCCGTTTGTGTTGAATGCTATGTCTAACTGTAGTTGGTTTTGCAACTTGGTCGATTGACATGCACTTCGTTCACGACTATTCTCTGTGTAAGTTGGTACTTGAACTTAGGGTTGTCAGTCGGTCGGTTTAGGTTTAACCGAAAATCGATTTCTCGGTTATCGATTAAATCGAGACACTGACTGTGGCTTCCGGCCACCAACCGTCCAGGAGCATCGGTTAGCCGCAGACCGACCAATCGATTTTCGGTTTCGGCTCGGTTTAACTGGACAACCGCGAAATGAAGGTCGATTTGGCTGTAAACGCCGGTCTGACCGCTAACCGACCGACCAGAAAAAAAAAATAATAATAATAATAACTCACCACCACAACGAAATCGAGGGTATCAAAATAGCATATGCTTCATCTCTCTCTTTCCCCATCTTTTCATGGCTTCCTATGCTTCGTCTCTCTCTTTCCCCCTCTTTCTTCCTTTTCATACCTAATCAACAGCCCTTCTCTCCCTATCTCTCTCATCTCCTTATTTCTCTCTCCACCATAACCACTACTACTCCCATAAAATTAAGATGAAAGGAAGAAAGCCAAGAGGCGGCGGGCGACGAGGTGGAGGCGGCGACGAGGGTGGCTGGTGGAGGCGGCGACGAGCGCGCGGTTGGGCGGCGGCGAGGGTTGGAACGCGGGCGGCGGCGGGGGTTGTCTGCGCTCTGCTGCGCTGCGTCGCCTGCGCGAGAAGGGGGAAGGGGTTGGTGGACAGCGAAGGCCGAAGGAGAGGGTCTAGGGTTTGGGGGTTGTTGTGGGTCGTTTTGGAGTAAAGGGGAGATGTCGATTAGCCGGTTAACCGCCGGTTTCCAACCTCGGTTAGTCGGCTAGCCGAACCTCTTCCCCTCTTCTCCGACAACCGACCGACGATAAAATGACACGATTTTCGGTTAGCCGAAACCGGTCGATTCGGTTGAAACCGTTCGGTTAACTGCTAACCGAAAACCGTTCTGCCACCACTACTTGAACTTGACCCATGCATATATAGGGTAATAGGGATAGTGTAAATGAAATGGATAGTATTTTCTGTAAGATCTGTAGTAAGTGGTCTTTCTCGAGCACTTCTACTATGCTATATAGTATTGGTGCTTTAATGTACAACTTGAAATTGTACCATAACATTAAATGTACAAGTTTAGGTTATACCATAAAGGAATTTGTATCATAATATTATGGTACAATTTTACAACTTGAAGATGTACCATCACATAATGTACAAGTTTAAGTTGTACCATAAAAGAATTTGTACAAAAAGTATAGGTACAATATGAAGTTGTACCATAACATTAAAGATACAATTTCAAGTTGTACCATAAAGGTAAAATTCTATAGCACCAATACTATATAGCATTGTAAAATTCCTCAGTCTTTCTCGTCATTTATGTGGTGTTGTGCATTTCGTGTGTCGGAATTGTCAATAAGAAGTATAACTTGATGTCCATGTTCCTGTACTTTTACACCTCTGATCTTTTGTTTTGTTTGTTTGTTTGGCTAATATATGCTCATGGTTGGTTTTGTATACATGGAAATAGTGTTAACAATGTTGTCAATTTGTTTTTTAATAAAAGTTGCCTATCCCTCTTTATAGATTTGTGGGAGCCGGCGGATCCGTTTTGCGACCGAGTTAGCCAGCCATATTATGGGGACGAAGTTGCTCTAGCTGGTGATGGTTCATTGATGGTAGTCCGATCTTCGGAGAATAAAGCTTAGAGATAGGAGGAAGATCAAGTACCTAGTAGTGGTAGTAGTTTAATATGTTTATTGTGTGTGGAACACATTTGATATATATTTTAGGGTAAATACAATTTAGGGTTAATGCCTTGACCCGAACTATGCACCCTACTTCTTTGCTCTGTCGGAAGCGGGTTTTGACCGGCAAATTCGACGGTCAACTCAATTGACCGTTAGTCAAGCACCATGTCACTTGCCACGTCATCGAACCCGAAATAAAAAATTTGAATTTAGAACCAAATCCAAAATTTTTATTATAGAGTTCAGAAACTAAATGCTAAGAAACTAAGACCTTAGTCACTAATACACCAAGGATCCATTGACGTTTACTTGCACATATATAAGATTGTTGTACAAACCAAGCTTAAAATCATCTAAAAAATACATGAATTGTCATAATTACTTGATAATAAAACCCAAATATGTTACTCGATAAAAGAAATCAACCAAATAATGAAATAAGTGAGGAGAAATTGCACTAATATATTGGAGTAATTCACACAATACATATTTCCACAAATGAAATGAATCCTTTAACAAAGAAGCAAAGTAAAGTTAATTGGTTGAAGTCACCTTTGATTATCAACTTTGATTTATATCACCGTTGATTTTTATTTTATTTTGTTGTCATCCCTACAGGTGGCATGCATCTCTCCATTTGGCAAATAAAACTACACGTGCAAATATTCATGCACACATGACAAATGAAAAAGTGACGGATGTTTGTACAATCAAACTAAATAATTTGTATTTACCCATCTGCTGGAATTAGAATCACATCTGATTTCTGTTGTCGTTATTCCCGCCCAAGTTTATACTTATCTCACTCTTGGCCTAATTATGTTTGCTACCTCCTTTCGTTCTCAAATATAGGCTAGCATTCTCAAAACCAAATTGTACGTCTTCAACCAAGACAACAGCCATGAATTGTTTTCTCCAATCAATTCTAGCTTAGCTTCTCCACCTGCCATAAACTTCTATAGGCGATTTTATAGAGCTTTGCCACCAGTTAGCCGTGCTTAGCAAACCAGGTTTCTTTGTTTTTGGATGAAGGGCAAACCTAGCTAGTTTCTTTTATCCCACTTCATTTCCATTTTAATGTTGACCAACCGCCTACTTGACTACTTCATTCTTCTCCCTTTTCACCAGAATGGGTTGTGACGTTGAGCTGCTTTAGCTTCTCCAATGGCAGCAGAAACTGATGGCGGCGGCGGTTTGGCGTCTTAGACCAATGACCCCGCTACGAATTCAGGGAAGAAGAGTATCAGGCGTGTCTGTTTGTTGATGCTGAAACGGAGGGGATAAGGGGGTTGTGGATCTGTTCGTTGATGCTGACATGCGGCGGCGGAACAGGGAAGACAAAACACAAACGGGGAAGCAAGGGAAAACGAATGGGAGTGATCGAACGGGTGAACGGAAACGGTCTTAGTAGGCCGATTAAGACCCATTATTGGAGATTGCGAACAAATAGTCTTTGTTGACAGGCCCAGGCCCAGGCCCAATACCGACGCAAATCGGAGGAGAGCAAAGTCATGCGTACACATGGGCTGCGGTCAGTTTGATAAAACGCACAGCATAATAAGTGGAGGGTAGAATGTCGAGAATACCTTCCGGAAAGTGCTCTGGAGTCTGGAAATTCAAAATCATGAAAGTTGGACCCATGAATATGCTTTATATATTTTGTAGATAGATTTTTACGATCACACCGGCAACAATGTATGGCTAATGCGTTAGCAATCATTGGGTGGAAAAACAGAGTAAAGCCCAATAGGCCCAATGGTCTTAAATTTGATCTTTTGAAACGGGCAAGAGTTGGAACGGACCAATCTAATTAGGTCCACATATAAATACCAAAATTTTAAAAAGCCGATTGTTCCACCAGATGGTGAAAATCGAAAAACCCTAGAAAGAGTACCCACCACGATCGCGTGTTTGGCCGGATCCTTCCATCCACCGGCCGACCATCCATCGATCGATCTCATGGCTTCCTCCGATGTTGACGAAAAGTATCCTCCGCTGACTTACTACCCCGACAGATACTGCGAGACCTGCCGGAGACTCGACAAGACGGAGATGAAACCACAGCCCGACGACCAAGAGTATGTATTTGATTACGAAACTTTCCGTGACGACGAAACCCTAAGGCTACATGTCGTCAACTACAGGAGGACCCAGTATACGAGGAGTGTAAGTTTTTAAGTTTTAAAACCCGATATTTTACTACATTGATCTAGATGATTTTTTTTTTTTATCGCGATCCCAAATCGTTAATTGATCGTGCCTGAATGGACGCACGCAGTATTTCGATATTGATTGCCCTCCAAATTACGGCGGCGTTGGTGGGCAGCCACACCCTGGAAAGCATTATGCGAACGACGACAGATTTCAAGAGACGGTTAAGGAATGTGCTAGGTTCGGGGTGCAGAAATGTAACGAAGAAACCAAGGTATATGAATATATGATGATGCTGATGACACATCAAATTTGCTCCAGATAGCTAGGTTCGTTGATGATGAGAGACGAGTGTTTGTTTGTTTGCTTGCGAATATTATTGCAGGTGAAGGGGATTGATTTGGAGTTGGTGGAGGTTGAGAATGTTACTGCTGAAGGCTGTGGTTGGATGAGATTCTACATGACTCTCGCCTGCCGCAATCGGGTTCATGGCAAGCGGAAATGGATCTCTGAAGCAGCAGCTGGCCGTGATGAATGCGTGACGCAGAGCTACAAAGTTGTGGTTTCCTGTTGCTATTGGAAAACGGAGCTGAAGAAGATGCTGCTCTTCAACGACCCAAATGGGAATCGTATGTCAAAGTTGGCAGTATATTGCAATAGTAGTAACAATGAATGTTGTCAATTCGTGTTTTTTTACTGAAAGAATGCCTGATCTCCTCCCTCTTTATAGATTTGTGGGAGCCGGCGGATCCTTTTTGCGACCGAGTCAGCCGGCCATATTACGGCGACGAAGTTGCTCTAGCTGGCGATGGTTCATTGATGGTAGTCCGATCTTCGGAGAATAAAGCTCAGGAATAGGAGGAAGATCAAGTACCTAGTAGTGGTAGTAGTTTAATTATGTTTAAGTACGTAGTATGTTTGTTTATGGCATTGCATTTTATCATGTTGGGATAAAGTGGACACCTAAAAATGATCTTTCATGTTGGTAGTCTTCTCCATCATCCTTGTCCCTTGTAGTAGTGTCGGGCAATGCAGTCAAAATCACGATTCTATGTAGATCAGTATTTTGATCGCCTAAAAGGGTTGGAGGACTTCTCTTGTACTTTAATTAAACAAATTTTGTTTGCCTTGTGAAAGACTTCTTGTATTGGAAAACCACCATTCCACTAACCTTGTCTTGAACAGATCCTTTAATCTTGTAAAAAAAGTTCCATCAGATTTGTTTTTTTTTTTTTAAAGTAGTTTGAATATTATTAATTAAAACGGTAAAGTGCTATTACAGTCCCTCTCTAGAGTGTTGAGAATGAAAATTGGGGGTTTCCCCACCCAAATTTTAGTCTCTTCCCATCTGCAATTTGCCCTTGCCATTTCATGCGCTGCGACATTTCCTCCTCTACCCCAGAATCGCCATCGAACATCTCCTCTTTCCGAGCACCTCCCTTTAATCTCCTTCACTATAACCCCCAGCTCCGTCTCAATGTCTCCTCGCCGATCCAGCTTCTGAATCAGAGATTGGCAGTCCGACTCAATTAGGGTTGGCTGGCAGGCGTGGATATGCAGCAGATCGAGAGCCCAGAGAAGAGCCTGAGCTTCCGCCATCTCTGGTTCCCAGTCTACGCGCGTCCGCTGCACCGCTGCTAGAATCAATCTTCCTTCACCATCTCGCACCACCAAACCCAGCCCCGTTCCTCCCTCTTTTGTCTTGGTTGCATCAACATTTGCCTTCAGGTGGTCCTTCTCGGGTTTCTCCCATCTTGCCTCTTGACGGGGAGCTCTTGCTGGGCTTGCAGATTTCACACCCGACCGGAATTCTTCCAGGTAAGCTTCCGCCCTTGCCATGACTTCACTTTCCTCTTGCTTAGGATTTTTGAAAAGCTGATTGTTTCGTTCCTTCCATAAGAACCATAGTGCCATAACCATCGAACATAATTCATCATCCGAGACTTTATCAATTAGGTCACATAGCCATTCCTCACTAGACTTCTCCTCCCCTTCTGAAAAGAGGGTCCCCAATGAGCTTGGTCGCCAGATTCTCCCTGACAAGTCATTAAGTTAACGGTAGTCAACAGTTCTGTTTGCCATGTCATCAAAATTTTAACAGAGTTAATGGAATTTGTTGGCTGGCGACTAACGGTGAAATGATTCGTAAAGGTAGTGGCGAATAAGAATGAAAAGTAATTCGGGTGGCAAACGTAAAATTTTTATATAATTTGAGTAACAAAACGTGTAATTTAACCCAAAAATACGATTGGTCTTCATATTAGCGATATTTATAAATAGTAAAATAATTATTTTCCATTTTTCTTCTTAAACTTGTGTTCTATTGTCTTTGTAAAGTGTGCATATATATACAAAAAGAGATAAAAAAAACTTTTTCATTTGCTAAAAATGGGGGAACAGATGGCGATTATCGCCATTTATAGGGACAACGACATAAATCGGGGATCCATTGGAGCTGCACCTTCCCCAAATTTGCCTGCTTCCCAAATTTGTCGCATGCGTTGGACTCAGTCTAACAACTTCTCTTATCTCTTGACACTATTTGGCAACATCATAAGCGGGAAATCGGGAACCTGTCACTCATTCTTAATTGTTGCCGCCTCCAACCTCATCACCTTTAATTGTCACCTTTGGAGACGATAAGCAAGAGAAGAACCCGAGGCTATGCACCAATGTCGATGGACACGATACAAGCTGACGACCATCACGAGAAGAAGTAGAATCAACAACTTCCCACGGCTTCATCAAGGAAACCAGGTCCTCCATGAAAATCCCATCACGGGCAATCTAATGGGCGCATCATGGGGCGGGACAGGTTGACCCAGATAGAATGTGTGATTGAGTCTAGCTAGTTGAAATATGAAGTTTAACTAGTTGAAGAAAAGTCAAAATAGGAGAAATATGAATAGGTATTGTAAGAAATTCAGATATAATGGGTTAAGAACAAGGCGGGATAGGGAAGGTCGGGTTAGAAGTAGATATCCAGGCCTTGACTCCATGCTACTGTAGGTCGGTTAATACTCGCCCCATCATGAGTCAGGTCGAGTAATACCCGACGCGATGGGTTCAAATTGTCATCCCTAGTGTTTCTAGCCTCTAAGTCTTCTCTTCTGCCTTTTAATTTCTTAAAACAACACTACAACTGAAACCCTTTCCCCTCGAATCATCGATTTATTTCCATCGTTTCGTATAAAATATCAAAGTCACCTAACACAAAAAATAACAAAAATACACCAACCACAAAAAAATAAAATCGACGTTGATCCATATATAGTGCTTTTGATTGGGCCAAGGGAAGAAAATTTGCTCATTGCTCCACCATGGCGCAAATCCGTTTCCCTTCTGGTTTTCTCTGTGGAAAAATAAAGAGACAGGGACTACTACTGAGTACTGACACTGCTACCATTACAAGGAATGAAATTTCCCATTTGCAAAGTGGCACACATATAACTTCCAACAGTCTTGTTTATATCAACCTGTCGTTGGAGAATTTTGAGGAATTTGTCCCCCCGCGCACCAAAAATGCAACATTCCATCATCCTTTTTTCCAAGGAATCCACTGCTCCAACTCGATTCAGACACGATTCTGTTTCTGTTGGTATAAGATTTATTATTAAACTTCTTTCAACAACTCGAGTTATTGAAACTAGCTGATTTTCTACATGATTTTTGTTTGAGAGGATGCTTGACAAGTTCCAAAGCTTCCAAAGTAATTCAAAAACATGTATTTAGCATGGATGTTGTCGCTTGCAATATTCAATGATTGTCTATAGCAAAACACATAATCCAATACGTGTAAATCTGATTTGCTCCGAATTGTAGCAAACCTCCCATCACATTAAGTCCATGATTAATAAAAAAACATTGAGGATAATCAATGACCCATTAGTCGTCAAGGCATGATGGGAGGTTTGCTACGATTCGGAGCGAAAGGGGAAATGTCTTTTTTTGGGGGGGGGGGGGGGGGGGGGGGGGGGGGGGGGGCGTGGGGGGGGGAGGTCGCCGGTTGCCGGAGGAGGAGGAGAAAGAGCGTTGGCAGCTATAGGATTTGTTTGGTTTTGATTTTGATTTTAAATAGAGAAGGATAGTAAAACAATTTACATATTAATTCTAGGACGATCTTTGATGATTCGGTAATGTTTAATCGGGAAGAATTCAGAGTCTTTGAACCATCATCTTCCCTCCAGCAATGGATCGATGGGGCTAGCAAGGTCCATAATCCATTAGTACCATAGCATGTCAATTTGGAGTCCTCGTATTTTATTATCAGTTCCCTTTCACATTCAACGGATATATGAATCCATCATATAAAAAGAAAACAAAAAATACAGATAACCAACCCTCCTAAGTCCTTATTGTATTTTAATTATCATAAAAGAAAAAAATTAAAATATCACAGAGAAAAGACTATTTCTTCTTTGCTTCCTTTTTTCCTTAATCACACTGCTAATTATATTTTAATTATCTGCACACTGCAAACTAATTCTTAACTGCCAGCCTCCAATTAAGAAGAAGATGGCACAACAGAGCGTGATGTACGTGCTTATGATGATTACATGCAATAGACATCATCTTCGTGACGCCGTTGATGATGTCATCAGTTATTCATTTCCCTACAAAAGTCCCAATTCATTTCTCATTCCCATATCTTCTTCTTCTTCTTCTTTCATCAGCAATGGCTGAAGTTTACCCAATTCACAGCTTTTCTCCCAACACAAGTAACAGTCTTGAAGAAGATGGTGAATCTCATCCACATGTCATCACCATTAGTTCAGAGGACACCACCACTAATACCAACACAATTGAGGCATGGCTGCCCATTACAGAATCCAGAAAGGGAAATCTCTGGACTTGTGTCTTCCATTTGATCTCCTCTGGAATTGGAGTCCAAGCTCTCTTGCTCCCTGTTGCATTTGCTTCCCTTGGATGGTAATGGTTTCTTCCTGTACTGTTTACTGCTTCTGTTTTCTGTCTGGTACATGTTCTTTGGCAAGAACTTCAACTTGGGTTTCCTTCTGATTTATGAAAAGAACCCAATATCAGCATGAAGTAATGATCTTTTCTTTCTTCTGGTGCAGGCTCTAGTGGTAGTAGACTAGTAGTACTTGTTCCATAGTAGGTGGGAGAAAGGGAAATTTGACCTATTATACTTTGTCCCATATGTGCATCTTGCCAATATTTAAGTAACTAAAAGGTTGAAAAAATCAAAGATTCCAATGCCTCCAAACAAACAATAAAGACACATTCCAAATTGGCAGAACCACCATTTGACTGGGAAGAAGTAACACATTTTCTTCAATTCTTGTCATATGATCTGGTGCAATATGGTTTCAAAGTCAGAAACTTTGAACCAAGAAAGTCAATGGGTAGTAAGTACTAAGTAGTAACTAGTAATTTGACAGTTTTTGGTGTTCAATGGGTGCAGGGCATGGGGAATCATATCCCTGTCACTGGGTTTCACTTGGCAGCTCTACACCATCTGGGTTCTTGTCCAGCTCCACGAATCGGTTCCAGGGACTCGTTACAGCAGATTCCTCCAGCTTGCAATGGCTGCATTTGGTTAGTTCTTACTCTATCCCTCCCATTTTCAACCAATTTTGGTCATTTATCTAAAATGACCATCTTGGTTACACTACAGGTCCAAGGGTGGGGAAATTGCTGGCACTATTTCCAGTGATGTACCTATCAGGAGCAACCTGTGTGGTGCTGATCATCAATGGGGGTAAAGCCATGGAGCTTTTCTTCAATGTGGTCACAGGGACTACTAGTAGCTCCGCGTTGACCGTGGTAGAATGGTTCCTGGTGTTCACAGCCATGGCTATACTGATGGCTCAGGCTCCAAACCTCAATTCCGTTGCTGGGTTCTCGCTGGTTGCAGCCATCACAGGAATTGCCTACTGCACGTTACTGTGGGCACTTCCCGTCGCGAAAGGCAGGATTCCTAATGCTGATTATGGATCATCATCATCATCATCAAGTGAATCTGGCATGGGGAGAATGAGTGATGTGCTGAATGGAATTGGGATCATCATGCTCTCATTCAGAGGCCACAATCTTGTTCTTGAAATCCAGGTAGGAAAGATCAATCCTTTTTCAGTTTACAGAACTTCTCTGGCTGATTTCAGCCAATTAACAAGATTATGAAACTGAAAACAAGGTTTTTGTGGTTTTTTTATGGCAGGGGACATTGCCTTCAGGACAAATGATTCAGTCTAGGAAGACAATGTGGAGAGCTGTGGTGATTTCATATGCAATTGTGATGGTCATCTTGTTCCCTCTAGCAATTGCAGGGTTCTGGGCTTATGGAAACAAGGTAAGTTTCATGTTAAAGTGACTAAAGAACCATCAAACCTCATGATTCAGTCAGTCACCAATTTTAGCCATCATCTAACCTGGAAAATTTCTTACCAGGTGCCTTCCAGTGGAGGAATGCTGAAGGCATTCTTACTGTTCCACGGCTCGAGAACTTCAGAGCCACTGAGAGGCCTCGTCTACCTGCTACTTCTAATCAACTGCCTGACCTCATACCCGATCTACGCTATGCCGGTTTTCGACAACCTGGAGCTCAGGTTCGTCTCCATGAAGAACAAGCCATGCTCGAGGCTCGTTCGAGTCTGTCTGAGGCTGTTCTTCGGAGGGCTGACGTTCTTCATCGCAGTGGCTTTCCCGTTCTTGCCTAGCCTGGCTCTAGTCATTGGAGCCGTGGCGCTGCCTGTCACCCTGGCTTATCCTTGCCTGATGTGGATTGCAATGAAGAAGAAGCAGAAGAAGGAATCCGCACCCAACACGGATTGTGAAAGCGGTGCCGTTTGGAGTTGGAATTTGTTGCTGGGTAGTTTGGGGATGGCTTTGTGCGTTCTTTTGGTGGTTGCAGCTGTTTGGAGCTTGGCTAAAAATGGCCTCCATGCCAATTTTTTCAAACCAGAATGAGACTATAATTTGTAGAGTAGAAATATCAATAATGCAACTTAGTAGTGATAGGTAGGTCAATTAGCCTTTTGGAGGAAATGGAAAACTAACCACTCCATTTAGGGTTTTTTTCTTGGTAAATGGTAATTCATATGCAAATAGAAAGAGCGACGAGTTTAGTGTACACCCCTCCTGTTTTCTGTAGTATAGTATGGGTCAAACTTCAAAATTAGACTCTAAATCGTCAAATTTTGAATTTTAATGGTCGGTATTTGATTAATATCATGATGCAGTATCGAATTATGATACAATATTATTTTATTGGTCTCAACGGCTCATACATTTTCTGTGCATTTTTTTCCATTGTCTTTTGCCATTATAAAAAATATATACATTACAATATTGTATCAAATTTAGACTATTGTATCCATTTCTACTCATAAATTCTTCATATAATCCTCATTAAATTTATTTTTAACAAGCAATATTTAGAAATACTAAACATACCTAGGCTTCTTGCTCTTAATTGGGAAGGTCGGGTCTCACATGTCTAGGCTTATTTCTCTTAATTGGGAAGTTCAAGTCTCACATGTCTATCGGGAGGGTAATATCGTGGTTGATTACCTGGCTTCCACGGGACACGATCTCTCTGTGGGTGTTCATTTTTGTGAACCGCCTAACACGAGACTCAATTATTGATTGTACTACGATTTAATCGGGAGTCAATCCTCCCATTTGGTTAATACACAAGGTTTAGAGCGTCCCCCTTCACGCTGTTTTTCAAAAAAAAAATTACTGAACATTACCAATCAATCATGAATAGTTTTCTCCCTAAATCCTCATGTTTTCTGTCAAATGTAATTCAATTCTATGATGTGGGCTTGTTGTACTCAACAGGGCCCAAAGATAGATCCATGTGAAAACAAAAGCCCACAGCCCATTTTTAATAATGACCGGTGCCCATATTCATCTCCTCCAGTTCCAGTAGACGGTGGTGGGAGTGTGATTGCTATTTGCTAGTCAGGGTCGTGGACGAGCAATGACGGCGAAGATTTCTGACCTTCCCGCCGGCGCTAACCCCAAAACCACCTCCAGTTCAAGAGCCCTCCAACAGCACCTCTTCTCCCTGCTCAGCCGCTGCAAGCATCTCCAGTGTCTTACTCAGCTCCACACCCAGATCGTAATCAACGCCTACACCCAGAAAAGCTTCATTCTCGCGAAGCTTCTCTCCTCCTACTTAGATTCCGGCCGCCTCCTCTCCGCCGTCCGTGTTTTCGGAGACTTGGAAGCCCCGAGTACCACAGTATGGAATCAAGTCATCAGAGGTCACGCTCGGAGCGAAACGCCGTACAACTCTGTCCGACTCTTCGATCAAATGGTTGCCAGGGGAGCCGAGCCAGATGGGTTCACGTATTCCTTGGTCTTCAGCGCCTGCGCCAAGTCTGGGTCCTTGACAGAAGGCGAGCAGCTTCACGGGAGGGCTTTGTCGACTGGGCATTGCTCGAACAACGTGTTTGTGAATACCAGCTTGGTCAATATGTACGCCACGGCGAGCGGTGGATCCCGAATGGACTGCGCCCGTCAGGTGTTCGACGAAATGGGTGAAAGAAATGTCACCACTTGGACCACCCTGATCGCTGGGTACCTGCGGGGCGGGGATTTTGATTCAGCCAACCAGGTGTTCGATGAAATGCCTGAGAGAAACGTTGTCGCCTGGACCGCTATGATTGCTGCCCACGCACGAAGTGGCAAGTGCAAGAAAGCTTTGTGCCTGTTCAATGAGATGAGGAACGCTGGGGTCGAACCGGACCAGGTGGCTCTGGTGGCGGCATTGTCAGCTTGTGCTGAACTCGGGGATTTGGAGCAGGGGAAGTGGATTCACTCCTACGTTACAGCGTCGTACAGTGCTCGAAACAAGCCGGTACTCGTGTCTCTGAACAACTCACTCATCCATATGTATGCTAGCTGCGGCATGATTGAGCAAGCTTACGAGGTGTTTCGTTGGATGCCGGAGAGGACGATCGTGTCTTGGACTAGCTTAATCGTTGCATTCGCCAAATCCGGCTACGCGGAAGAGGCCCTGGCTGTGTTCCATCATATGCAAACTCTGGAAGCCAGAGAAGCAAAGCCTGATGGAATAACATTTCTTGGAGTTCTCTGTGCTTGCAGCCGTGGTGGATTCGTTGACGAAGGTCGCCGATTCTTCAAGGAAATGAGCTCTATCTGGGGTGTTAGCCCTAGGATTGAACATTATGGATGCGTGGTTGATTTGTGCAGCCGTGCTGGACTCCTGGATGAAGCAACCGAGCTGATCAAGACCATGCCAATGAAGCCAAATGAGGCCATATGGGGTGCTGTTCTTGGTGGCTGCAGAATACACAGGAAAGCCGAACTCGCTTCCGATGTGGCTCGAAAGCTGGTTGGCGAGCTTGATCCGAATCGAGCTGCTGGCTATCTCTTGCTGTTGGCTCATGTCTATGCAACTGATGATAGATGGCAAGATGTTGCCACCGTGAAGCAAAAGTTGGTCGAGATTGGCGCCAGGAAGCCTGCTGGCCGTAGTTGGATTGAAGTGTAGGGTTGTTTAGTCAATACTATTAGTGTAATATTGTTCCAATGGAGGGACGTGCAGACGAATTAGCAGTAGGGTGAGCTACTGTCAGTCAACATCCTGCACACCTCGTTTCATAAGTTTATCCTCCTTGTCAATGCCACGTGGATCAATAGGAACTAACGTCACCCATGTCGCACTTTTAATATATAGCAAGCACAAGGACCATCCTTACTAGCTCTGAGTTATTCCATCAAGAATCAAATGGCTATGACTCCACCTAATCATAAGATACTATCACGAGTTCATCTCCAACAAGAATCACAACCATCCAATTCTCAGATCGAACAACCAAGAACGCGTAACGACATCTTCACACTCATCGTTATAAGGAGAATAATTTCAACAATCCATTTCTCTGAAACCCCCAAAACCAAATTGCAATTTACACCAACCAACAAGCTATAACCCCAAAAAATATATGCAATAGCAATGTAGCATTACCAAGACACATCATATACACATGTTCATCAACCATAGAAGCAAGCGTCGGTCAAGTTATGGGATTTCCCGAGATTATTCCCACGGAGGGTGAGCCGGCACCGGACCTTGGTGTAGAACTTGGACGTCACCAGCCTCCCCAGAATGTAGGCTCTGGACCGGACGGTGAAGGTCAGGTTGAGAGGGACGGCGACTCTGCCCATGTCGGTGAAGGCATTAGACAGCACCGGCACACCGCCGTACATCGGGACTTGGCGCGCGTTGACGACGGTGACCACCGTGCGGCCGCTCTTCCTCGGCTGAGAAAACTTCTTCATCTATTGGAAAATTTCCCCCCAGTCACGGAGAGCAAAATTGTCATTAGCAAGGGAGGATTTATGAGGTACATTTGTTGTGGACGATAAGGAAAATGTTACTAAGAAGGTTAGAATGTTCATATTGTGTTTGATATGGACACATATGTGAAAAATCAATCATGTCTAATAAGTACAGACACAATCATTAATACGAATGTAAGTATTCGTTACACTCTATCTAGTATCTAATACGAGATACTTTTACTGTTGAAAATTTTCAATTTTATGCAATCGTGACTTGGGGGTCGTTGGATGGAGTAGAACGAATTTTTTTTGGCAAAACTGTCTTGTTTTATAAAACAGTCATTATAACGAGTAAATTCAAATTGCATTTCCCACTCCAAACAACTATAATTGCCTCGAAACTGTCAATTTCAAATTTTTCGTGGTAAATTATTATGTGGTTGCATTATTGTGGATGACATGAAGCTCAAATCAAACTAGAAAAGGGCATATGGTCATTGCACAATGAATTTTCGAGTAATTACGAATGTAGGATTCGTAACACTCTAGCTAATACTAGACAACTATACCATTAACATTTTCAATCACATGCAATTGCGCTTGCAACACGATTTGTGAGTCGTCGGATCAGGCACTGGACGTCCCTTGGTCGTTGAATGAAGGTGGTGACAATTTTATACATAAAATATCATTCTGTCCACCCAACGACCATGAGCGTTCAACGGCTTATCCGAAGACCGCCCGAATTGGCAATTCTAACTTGAACAACCTTTGTGGAATTTTCCCAAGATTGGGATGGAATAATTCTGTGGTTGCATTATTGTGGATGGCATGAAGCTCAATTACACATTAGGGTGTCCCAACAAAAGCAAACTACCTACCCACCCACCATTTTCATCTACCTTCCCAAAACTCATGGCTTCAACAGAATCAATCAACAAAACCAGAATTGGCAAATGCCAATGACCAGAAACAAAGCTTCACAGGAGAGTAGGACACCAAAAGCTTCTATCTTTGTGGGTCATATATGCATGAATTTAACCCTACAGACAATAATAAAATGGGCGGCCACCACCCCACCAAACAGGGCTGCCCCTCCAAAGGTCAAGTAGCCCGAACTCAATAGCATGGAACGATGCATGTGTATTATTACCATCTTAATCTGTCCCGTGATGACAATTTGAACCCGTTCCATCGGGTATTACCTTACTAACTCATACTGAGGCGGGTAATACCCGACCACAATAGCATGGGGCGAGACATGGGTATTACTACCACCCTAACCTGTCTACTCTCTTTCTTGACCGATTCTAACCATGATTTGTCTCTACGTATTAATCTCTCTTATTTTGACTTATCGTAATTCATATTCACACCCAATAATACTTTAGACAAGTGCAAGACTTCCGCTTTTAACTAATTGAACTCCATTAATGTAATTATTATCTCTAATTTTTTTTATTTATGAACTATTTTCTTTTTTATACAATAAAAAATGAATATTTTCTTTAAATGACATAAAAATTGATTAACGTGTCTCCAATCTACACTCACACCGGTATTACCTATCCTGACTCGCGTTAAATGGGAGAGCAAACATCCGCCCCATTACTAGCAAGTAGCAATCACCCCATTGCCCCACTTCCATATGCCCATCACTCTCTGTGTCTAGACTCTAGACCCAAAGAAGTTCCCTTTGACCCTCTGAACCCAAGGCTTTGGACCAACCTAACCTTGCCCATGGCAGCTTGTTCTTTTGGGTAATTAGTAATTACTGATTACTGATTAGTCAAATAAACAGTCACAATTAGCAGAAAGATTCCATCTTTTCTTGCACTTTACCTGGCCAGAGGCGAGCTCGAGCTGGAAGTAATGGAGCTCGAGCGGGGTGGAGGTGACGTGTACGGCGAAGAAGGTGGCTGGGTTCCTGTAGTGGATCCTGACCGTTGAGTTCAACGAGAGCATGTCTGTTGGCACCCCTGTTCCGTCATTCCCTGCCTGTACATTAAAATTCTCGAACACCATGCTCTGCATTTCACACACACAGAGTAAAGAAAAAGGAAGAACCGTAATTATTAATTACTCCATAATCACGACCTTTAAGATAATCGCTCTTTATTGGTTGTTAATTAGGGCCTTAATCCACGAGATTGCATTACCAAGATTGCTCAGAAAGCGAAAAGAGACCAACTTTCTTCAACCCTTTCGTTTCCAAAGTTGCAGCATTGATTAAACAGCATTAACCCAGTTACCAAAACAGAGCATTTCCATTCCCCAATGAAGAAACGAGTAACTCGCCCAGTTGACTCAGTTAACTGAAAAGCTTCGAACTTCGAAGGGAAAAAAAAGGAGGGACGGTTTACCTTGACGGAAATTTTGGGAGCGTACGACTTGCTGGCGCCCCAGAGGATTAGGCAAAACAGAGTGAAGAGCAGGAAGAAGAAACAGAGCCAGAGGATGTAGACCCGGATGGAATTGTGCCGGCTCGAGTCGAACCCACGATCGCCTACGGCGGCGAACTCGTCGTTTTCGTTGTCGAACTCATCGTCGTCGAGGCCGGTGCGGCGGTGGTTGTTGAGCTGGACGTGCTTCAAGGCGGAGAGGCTGCGGGGATTTTTCAAGGAGGCGGAGAATCGGGAAGTGGAGGACTCGCGGGAGTGGTGGATTGGGGAGCAGTGGTAGAAATGGTGGGGCGGGGATCCGGCGGGGCTGGAGCCGCCGTCGTAGGACATCTTCTCTACGTCGTGGTTGGACGGGCTCTGGACGTAGTACACCGGCCGGCGGGGCGGAGAGCAGCGCGGCGGCCACGTCGCGTCCACGCTCGTCCCTCCCGAATCGGTCTTGGTGTGCATTTTTAAATTGAAAGCTTTTGTTCTTTATTTTGGAGGAAGGTTTTTGAATTCTGGGTGAGTTTTGGTAACTTTGAGCCGTGGGAGAGGAAACAGGGGAGGAAAGGAAAACAGAGTGATTGAAGAGAGAGAGAGAGAGAGAGAGACTGGATGGGATTTTCTCCTCTGAGAAAGGAAGGAAAGAGCAAACGGCCAGAGACACTGAGAGGGGAGAGAGAGAAGGGAGGTCACGCAGCTACGGTAAAGCTGACGTGGGAAACTAATGTCAAGTAGGATAGCAATGGGTCGGGTTGGGGCGGGTTTTGTCAAACACAAACTCATGGGTTTATCTGCCAAAAAAACTTGGGATAAAACTCGTTGGGTTTGAAAAACTCAAACCCAACCCAACCTGCTGGGTATCCGCGGGTTCATGGGTACCCGTGGGTTTTTGTGGAAAAAATTTACAATAACAAGTTTCTTTCAAAATAAAAGTTTAACATCAATTTTCTCATACAAATTAATCATACAAAAAAACACCAATCTAGAGCATACAAGCAAACCGCAAATGATCAATACAAATTGTTCAAAATTAAAGATAAACATCTATAAACAAAAGATTAATTGAAAGCTTCTTCCTCGTCAACTAAGTTTCTTCACTCTCCACTTCATAATATCAACTTCATTCTAAACAATTAGAAAGAACAAATTATACATGTCTCCACAAACATAAAGAATATTAATTGTTTAAGGAACATATATTATTTAGAATATTAAATATACCGGGAAAGTAATAATATGTGTGTGGGCGGGTACCCATGGGTCGGGTTTATCTAAACCCAAACCCAACCCAACTCGGTGAATAGTGTAGCGGGTTTAAACCCGAATCCGGCCCAAAACCCGTCAACACGAATTTTACCCGCGTTGACCGGGTTGGGTCGGGTGGGTACCCGTGGGTTCGGGTTTTGTTGCCATCCCTAATGTCAAGGGTGGGGACTGGGGACTATTAAGTCGAATGAATCTATGTTTCTCATGTGGGCTAACGTATTATCGATTTATGTATCCTAATAAACATTCTCATCAATTTTTTCGACCTCTGATCCAAACTATACATTAAAGTAATGACATCGGCCAAACCCGTTATTTGACCGTTATGTTGAACGGTCAAACATATTGACTAACGATTCTTCAGTTATTATTTCTCCTTCACTCCTTCACGAATGGTGAAACTTCTGCACTCATTCAGCATCACAAACTTCTCCATCTTTTCAGTTAATTTGAAAAAGCACTGTGACATAAAAAAAAAGCACTGTTATGGATACCTCCGAAGCTTAGGTTTTTCATATGAAAGTGGTAAAAATGCAATTGCAACATGAGCTAGGCTGTTTGAACGTAAATATGTGCCTAATCCTTCGTGCCCACTGTGTGAGAAACATGATGAGACGATCCTGCATTGCTTGTTCTTTTGTCCCAAGGCATATGAGACTTGGACTCGGTTTGGCCTATTGAACGTACTACCGGCGGCTGACTCAACCTTTGCGGGCTGGTTCTTCAGTCTTCATGAACGATTGATAGCTGAACATGTTTCAAAGATTGTGTGTTCGTTGTGGAATATCTGGATTGCTCGGAATGATATGGTCTTTGAGGGAAGGGCATTCTCCCCGCCCGCTGTGGCAATTTTAGCTGATCGTGATGTCCGAAACGTACAGGAAGCTAGGATCTCTCCCTCAGCTTCCACACCCTCCACGTCAGCTAGTCTGCCTTCTCAGTCTGGGGGTTCTCGGTCGTCTACCTTATCACCGTCTGGTCCTTTTTGTAAGGTTGTGCATTGTGATGGTTCCTTTGTGTCTGATGCACAGGTGGCGGCTTATGGGATTGCTATTGCTAATTCCCACGGCCAGATTCTCGACGGAAGGACTGAGAGATTCTTTTGTTCTTCTCCGATACAAGCGGAAGTTGTTGCAATTCTTAATGCAGTTATCTTGGCAGCCCAGGATCCAGTTCCAACGTGTATCAGGTCAGACTGTCAACGGCTGACGATTGCGTTGAGACAGGATCCGAGCCTTTGGCCTTGGCAGTGTCGGGCAACCCTTGCCCGTGTGGTTTCCATTCTCTGCGTTTCTCCTTGGATTTCGGTTGAGTTTGTCCCTCATCGATTCAATGTGTTGGCTGATTGGATCGCAAGAAACATTCGGCTTGATCTCCTTCCTCCGGAATGGACTATCATTGCCGACCTTGTGGCTCCATTATTGTAATGGTATCTCTTCCCATTTGGTTTGGAATGAATGATGTTTGATGTCAAAAAACTTACATTCACTATGACGTTTTTGTTGTAGCATGTTGATCATCCATTAAAAAGGAAAAGAAAAACATCCAAAGAAATCAACAAAAATTAGAGAAACCACAGAATTTGACGACCTACGGTGTAGCATTCCGAGCACCCGCAACCGCCGGGATTACAGAAACGAAAAGCACGAAGATGAATTCAACTCCGAAAAGGCTAAGCCAGATACACATCGTCAACAATTCGTGTTTCCAAATCCGCCAGATCTTGCATTGGGAATTCTCTCTAAACACAACCACTCTCGAATCCCGCCTCCTTCCTTCCTCCATCATCAGTTCCGCCGCCGTTCCCTCCGCCACTTCTTCTTCTACCCTCGCCAGCCTCCCGAGCTGCGGGCGGCGGCGGAGGGAGGAGACAGCTTCTCGTAGATCAAGTTCAGTAGCTCCGGGTCAAGATCTGCCCATGGTCTCCTTCCCGATTCTCTAACCATTTTCTCTCGCTCACCTCGCAGGGATTAAAATTCGGTTGACTATATAGCCTAAATGTGCCTATGTACTTGGGCTCTGAATTTTCCATATTCTTGTTACAAGGAGAAGACTCCTATGGGATTAGGAATTCCTGTGAAGAACGGCGCGGGACGGATGAGTTTACAGTCGCGAAAAGGATGAGTCGAGGTTTCCGAGTAATTTTGAACATATTGGATGGATTGCAGAGAGGGAGAAATTCGGGACTTAAAACGTGTTTTTGATTTGTAGAAGTTGGTTTTTATAGTAGATTGTTTATGTGGGATTCGATTCATTTATTATCGAGTCAAGTTTGAGTTAAATTTTGTTATCCGTGCGGGTGTTACCCGACCTAATTCGCGCTTAGTGCAGGGCAAGAATGAGAAGTGAGGTACGTACCCATCCTCGCGCCCGCCCCATTGCCATCACTAGGTCCAACCATCTTTTTAGCATTAGCAAAAAGGACGACCATATCAACAAAGGGGTCGATCGTTTTGGCATAGACATATATCACCCTAAGAGATCAAGCAATCCATTCTCTATGTATTTCCAACCCTCTGAAACCTAAGATATTATAGATGAACACGATTATAGGTTACCCAGAACTCAAAAGAGTTATGATGATGATATTGTAGGATGGCAAAACTAATGAGCCCTAGAGGGGTCTCAATTGGTTCAGAATGGCGCAATCAATTTCAATCAACCAAGAGATTGATCAAGAACGAACATAATTCAAAACAAGCTCGATTGAACTGGTTTGAACTTGTATTTGATGGAAACAAAAGTGAAAGGGTAAACTCACACATGGGAGAATGCGCAATTGTTATAACAAAGCTTTCTATGCAATCGAGTGGGGCTGCTCGATTGGTAAGCAGGGTTCGGCAAGTTTTGGAACTCTAACAAAGTAAACACAACTGAAAAATAAACCTAATTCAACTTGAAAACTAATTTAACACGCAATCCTTGTGGTACACGGATTCCTGCCTTACAACTCAAGAAATCAAACAGTCCTCCATAACATCTTTGGAAGAAACCGTGGCGGGACGAGTCAGTTTTATAAATCGACCCTAATCAGTAAGCGCCCTGTCCGTACGTGTCTGACCCAGTTTCTTCCTCAGTACCTAAAAATAAAATAGGTAGGCCGATGGTGATGAACATACCCGCAAAGAAAAGGGAAATAAGAACGACGTTCATCAATTTGTCCCATGCTCCCGTTGTGCTTGTGCAGTTTGCACTCTGTGTAACGAGAACCACTCTTGAATTCAGCCTTCTCCCTTCCTCCATTGATTCCTCCGGCAGATCCATGCCGCCGTCCCCTTCTTCCTTCCTTCTCCTCTCCACTCCGGCGAGCCGCCATCTCCCTCCTCCTCCGCCGCCGCCGCCGTGTCCCTCCGCAGCTAGCTCCCAGTTCACCACCACGCACGTTCCCCCCTCCTTCCTTCCTCTCTCCACGATTCGGAGTTCATTGTACTGCTGTCCCGGCGGCGCCGGAACCGGAGCCAGATGATTCGCTGCCAGCATCCTCCACTCGCGGCCGCGGAGGCCCAGAATCAGAACGTCTCCCCTTTCGAACAGGCAGAGGAATTTGCCCTCCCTGAACCCAATCGCCACGCATCTGTACCCGAGCCGAGTGTAGTTACAGAGGTGGTGATTCTTCCAGGCAGAGTCCCCGCGGCGGTACGTGCTGAACCTCTCTTCGACGACGAGGATGGTCCAATCGCGAGGGCCCGTGGGATCGCTCGAGAAAGCGGCGTTAATCCGCGGTGCCGGCGGGAGGACGGGGATGGCGGCCGGACGGGAGGGGAGTTTTATGTAGTTCCGCGGCCAGGGAAGCAGGGGATTGAAGCAACTGAAGATCTGACCGTTGCATGAACGCCGTAAAAGCAGCCACCCGCTATTCGGCCAGCTGTAGGCGATCGAAGCGGTTTGTAATTCGTCGCGAATCTTGTCCGGGGTGGCCGCGTCGATGGTCGGGCAGACTAGGAGATGCCCGGGGCCGGGGCGGTAAGGATGATGGTCCGGCGGCGGCGGTGGCAGGGGAATGGAGCGGTGTAATTGGCGCCAGGGTTTGCACACCGATCCGAATCCTGAGATTCGGAATGCGGCGACAGGAGGCAGCTTCTCGTAGATCAAGTTCAATAGCTCCGGGCAAAGATCAGCCCATGGTCTCCTTCTTGATTCTCTAAACATTCTGTCGATCGCCTCGCAGCTATATGAGCCTCTGTTTTTTTGTGTAAGCTCTGCATGTTCTCTTATAGGATTATAATTAGGAGTTTCTGTGGGTTATTCGGATTAGGATTTGGCGACGGTCAGCAGTGGCGTGTATTTGATTGAGCTGATATTTGTGAAGCAAATTATAATCACACTGTGAGATTGTGAATTCCAAATAAAATAGATAGTAGTGATTGGAAATTCCTTATAAGATAAGGCTTACACCAGCACAGCTCAGTTCAACAAACCCATACAACGATTACAGAATTAGCAACCGCTACAAATGTCACAGAACAAAAGTTCAATCTTTACCATCTTAAAAGTACTTCTCTGAATAACACAAAAAGAAATACCCAACACACTCTGTCCTCATTCTCTCATGCCCTCATCTTCCTCCTCATCACTCTCATCAAGCAGCACAAGATCAGCAAGCAGCTCCTCCAGCGGAGCTGCAGCATCATCAGCCATTGAGCCGGCATCCGACTCCTCCTGGTACTCCTTGTTACGGTACAGCGACAGATTGAACCGCAGCTCGGGGTTCTCCTCGATATCCCTTTGGAACTGCTCGTAATCCGACCTCTCCTTCTCTTCGTCGACCCTGGCTCTGTCGTCGACTTCCATCTCCAGGTGCTTGAGCTTGTACTTCCTAGGCTTCCCTCGTTTCCTCAGCCGCGCCTCTTCGTAGCTCTTCTTTATCAGGACCACCTCTGGCAACACGAGATTCTTGTACTTCTCCAGCTCGCTATCGTTGCTATTTGCAGCATAGAGGTCGTAGCCGAGGGCATGGTCGCCTGGGTTCAGAAGATGTCCAAGGTGAGTCCTCACGAAGAAGATGTTGTCGTTGCGGCCGAAATCGGACACTCGAGCCACCTGGGCATCGGCCAATAGGTACCTGACCCCACCGATTTTAGCCTCCATTGGTGGCGAGGGGATTTCGATATCCAACACAATGTACTCCACTAGCTGCCTACTGGTCAGCAACGACTTGAAACCATGCCTCCAATACTGATCAGAGTCCAGATGGCAGTGCCTCAATGTGAAAGGATCGAGCAGTGCAATGCTGTTGGTCACCTTGGTGCAGACAACAAGAGGCCCAATGTTGCCCAAACTGGAAGACAGCCTCTGAGGCAAGCAAATCAAATCCTCACGACAAACCGGGCTGATCTGGACCGAGAAAGTGTACTTGTAGTTGTAATTACTGCTCTTGACATCGTGAGAAACCAGCTGCTTATCATCACGGCTCTTGGTCGGGACAACGCTCCCCAGAAATTCCAGGAACTTCACAGCATGGCTACGGTTCCCAAAGAAAAAGTCGATACCTTGATCCATCTGCTTGATCTTTATAGCCTTCACAGCAGCATCGTGCTTCAGTATCAGCTGCTCGAGGTAGAAGAACGTCCGACGATGAGAAACATGCTGACGAAGCTGCACCGAAGCAACCCACTGGTCAGGGTTGGCCGCCACTCTCGAGCAAGACTCACACATGTGGTCCTGCTGAACATACTCAACAACATAAGCTTGCTCGAGGACCGCACCATTGAGGACCTCCTTCTGGATCGTCACCCGGACCTTGATCCGTTTGGAGTGTGGCTCGGTCCAGACAAACTCAGCGTGGATCAGCCTCACCTTGTTGAGATTCTTCAGCCGCTTGACGCAGAATGTGAGGAGCTCTTTCGACTCCCACTGAGCTTTGAGCCAGGTCTTGGGTGGCTGCAGGTAGCAGTCGCATTCCGGGCAGTGGGAGATCACCACATGCTTCTGTAAACCCTCGGTAATATCCACCTCCGATCGAAGGCACCTCACGCACATGTTGGCCGCGTTTGGCTGCATTTTGATGCCGCATCTGCAGCAGAGCACTGTACCAATCGTCTGCTGGACATTGAACATCCCTTTATCTTCATCCATCGCGGACGATCCTCTGCTCAAAACACAACGGAAACAAGCACACACGCTCAACGCTTAATTCTCCAACCTCAATTAAACCCTAAAACACAGTAAGTTGCAGAAAATGAAAAATCGTCTCCTCCCTCAATCAAAACCCTCTAAAACCGTATCAGCGATGAAACCCAATCGAGGGATTTCATCACGCCATGAGACTCAGAAAAAACTTCAATCGTTCCGCAGATTAATTGAAATAGCATAACGGGGAAACAAGGAAATCGAACATGAAAGCATACCGAGTCCGAATCCGTGGAACAGAATCAGATAAAGCAAAAAAGACCAAGTTTCACGCACCTTGAAGCTTGAATCGGCGTCAGAGGAAAATCAATAAGGAAGCGGCGCGGGGGAGCGAGACGCCGGAGGTTGTGGCGGCGGCGGGAAAAGGGAGAAGGGCGAAGGAGGGAGCAACTAAAAGGCTTAGAAGTTCTGCTTCGTAGGTTTTTATTTCCCGGGTTTGAACTGTACCCGCCGACTTAGGAATTGGGCACCGATAGTGTGAAACGGGGCACCGACTTTACCAGGCCCACGGAGAAAGAGCCCGTTAAGTTTAAAGGGCCCAACACGTAAATCCAACCCGCGTCGAGATTTCTCTACTTCTCATTGGTTATGGGCTTATGGCCTATGGCCGGTTATTAGGGTTTGGTAGGAAACTCTATAGCACAAGATCTACATCACAAGTATGTTAGTTAAGTCAATGTATATTATATGTTGATGGCGAGACCGGGTAGCTCAATTAGTTCGATATTGTCTGTTTTTTGTCAAGACTGCACGAATTTACGTTTGGGTATATACTCTGCAAAAGGTCTCGTACTAATTTTGTAGGTCGGGATTTTACATCAAATCCTTTTACCGGGTGTTAATTTACCACTACATGCGAAAAACATAAAATGATGAACATCTTCGTAATATTACTCACAATTCACAAAGGACAGTTGTACATTCTTCGATGAACGAAGTAATGGTCGCGTATGAAGATCATAGGAGGGGGAAAAAAAGAGAATTGAGGATGAACCTATGTAACAGTTTTTATGGTAGCTGAACTCCCAAAGCAATTTTTTGTTCAAAAAACTATGACCTCCAAAAATGAACCTTAAGCATTGCTAGCAACTAGTCCATCAACAACTATTGATTTAACTTTTATTATGAACTATGAATATCCATTTTTCTTATCGATATTAGCAGGCTTTTATGAACTAATTATCAGTTTTTTCCTTGGTTGGCCACAGGAATGTTAATTGGGAATAGTGAAGATTGACAACCACATTGATTATCGGCACATCCGCATATAGAATATTCAGGAATCATGCACGTATTTCCACATAGATCCTGGCAATCAGCATCCATTTTGCAGTGGTCAAAAATGTTACTTGTTAGAAGACCTCTTGCCTCTGCTCTTCCAAATCTCGATACTTCTCCATCTGCGGGAACAAAAAAATTAACGTACTTTCGATGTTAAGAAGATGATTGAAATCAAAGTATTGTAAGAAAAAATCGTTCAGAAGAAAGAAATGAGAGGATATTGATAGCGAAGGTTATTACAGTGAGCAACGATGAAGAGAACAAGCAAGAAAGAGACAAGTTTGGAGGTTGACTTCTCCATTTTTAAATATTTCCGAGTTTCTTAGATGAGTTTGAATATTGAGAATTGTCTGTAAATTTGTTTTTGCTTTGTCAGGGTATGAGATGGTTTTTATGATAAAACTCTCAATCTATTTATAAAGCCGAGAAAGGAGAAGATGTGAATGCGTTTCTTATTTCTCGAAGTTATTTTTCTTTAGGTTTAGCCCAACATTTAACACTAACTTAGGGAAGTTTTCTTCTAATTTATTGAGTGTAAACGTTCAGCATTAGCAAATGTATGAATGAAAACAACATTTGCCGCCCTTCAAATTCTTAATTGCTATTCGTCGCCCTAAAATTTGAAAAAAATCGCCCTAAATCACATTAAATTGACACATATACCCCTAATTTCAAACCCAAACTAAACCTATCAAACGATCCATCCCCAAACCCGACTCTCAAAATCTCGGGCAAAAAAGTCGTCATCCACCCCGGAACTGGTATCCGCCGCCGACCAAAGAACTGTTCCCGTCGTGTTGTCCTGTTGCCGGATTCGCTCCTCGTCGCCGCTACCGCCGCCAGGAGTCGCTCCCCGTCACCGTTGCTACCGCCAGAATCGCTCCCCGCAACCGCTGCTTTGCATGGTTGCTGTCGACCAGGAGGAAGAAGGAGGGCGAAGAAGAATGATTAATAAACAATTAGGCCCATTGAGAATCATATGATTTAATAAACAACTCTTCTTTGAGAGCTTCTTTGCTTTGTTTCAGAGGATTCGTTAGCCAATTATATTCTGCAGCCAATATTTTGTTTACTAATTCTATGTGTTTGTCTGTTTTTGGTGGGGGTTGAAGGACTCATGCTATACATAAGTTGTTGGTGATTATAATTAAATAAATTGTGATTCATTTGGTAAACTAATATGTGATCATCTTCTGCTCTTCTTCTTTCTTCATATAGTGATAACGTCTATGATTATGCCTCTGATGAGGTGGCCGGCTCCGGCAACTAGTGGGTGTATTTGTTTGTTTTAGGGTTTAATTGTTTGAAAAACAAACAAAATAAACTAGGGATATTAAAATAAATTTAATATAATTAGGGCGACGAATAAGGATTTTTAGGGCGACGAATAGCAATTCCCTTCAAATTTTAGGTTATTCTTAACTTTCGTGCCTGTATCCGTCAGTTGATTATAATTAGTTTTTTTTGTCAAAATAGTTGGGTACGGCGGCCGGAGAAGGAAGTTGAAGAGGAATGCTGGAAGGAGAGTGAAGGGTTAGGAGTTTAGAAGGATTAGGATTTTATTAGGGATGTAATGGTCATTTTTTGCGTAATTATGAGCAGCAAATAATAATAGAGAAGGTGGAAAAAACAACTTTTTTTTATTGGAACGATAACTCAACAGTGAACAACCACTAAATCTGAATGAAATACAACAACATCTTCCTTCATCAACAGTAAACCTAATTGTTGTATTTTCATTTTTTAACTAAACTAGTTTTTTTTATTCCCAGGACATGAGATAGCACAGGCATGCCACATGTACATATTTTCTCTATACAAAAACATGGATTCTCAGGGCACTCATCGCACTTGCCGTCGCACGAGGTTTCGTAATCTCCATGGCATGTCTTATACGCCTCCACCGCTCCATCTGTATGAAAAACAATCTCGTAAATTCATTAAAGATGGGCGTGAGACGAAAAGAGAAAAAGAGATTTGAGCGAGGAACTGATTAGATTACGTAAAGGAAGAAAGACATGAGTTTGATGGTTGTCGTCTTTATTTAGCACCATTTGGCATTTTCCATTCTTCTCCTTGTGAAAATTTTGGCTACTCCTTTAACACCAACAAAACTAGGATTTGCTTTCCTAAATTAATATTTGTGCTATAGCATATCCATTCCTTTATTTTGGAAAAATTATTAATCACAACATTAAACAAAACAAACAAAAAAACAATATTCACGCCACGTTATCCTCTTGGCTTATAAATACATAGAGTAGAAATTTGGGAACGGCTACAGTGCTAATTGTACAATAGTTAGCACCGTCCTAACCAAGGGGAAAACTACTACTAGTTTGAATTAGTAGTGATTTAGCTTAGATGTTGTATTGATTTTATAATAATCCGTAGTGATTCTTGATAGTTATCACGGTGCTAACCCCTATAAGAGTTAGCACCTAATCCCATCCCTAGCAATTTGTATGCTTTACTGTTTCAAATCTAACCATTGAACGAAATGCCTTTATGAACTGGATGGATTTTACCCTTACATAGAAATAATCATAATTCTGTGCAATTTACTTGTATTCCAAATAATCTAAAAACTTGTTAGGGCAGCTAGAGGTTTTTAAAAAAAAAAATTGATTACCTAATGATTAGTTTAAATTATGAATACAGACAAATCATCTAATGAACGTGTTTCATATCATTTGGCTAATTGAGATCATTCTTTTGAGTTTTATTCAAAATTCCTAGAATTAATATTATGTACACATAATACTATCAACAAACATGACAAATCGGAACAAATCGAATCAAGTGAGTTACATTACTATTAATGTGAAAAGTGATAAAGCCCTAAATATATTTCAATCATCTTCTCATACTAGTCATCAGATCTTTCATACTAGTCTAAATAATAAGATGTATACTTTTCATAATGCAAAAACGTTGTCTTCTCATACTAAACATCGAATCTTTCCATAAATTTTTTGATCACATCTTCTCAAATCTAACGATTAAGATTGATTTTGCAATAACAAAAGGTTTGGATACATGATCTTATTTGACTTACTAACATATTCAAACTAACATGTCATTACTAGTGAAGCCCAAGTTAATTAAGTACACTTCAAACCCAGCGATTGTGGCCAAAATGAATTCAGTTTTTCATTATTAATAAATGATTTCACCATTAACAAAAAATATAAAATGAGTTCAGTTTTTCATTTAAGTCCTAAAGATTTTTCTTAATGGATAAAAATAAAATAAAAAACTCCCTACTTATTTCTTTGGTGAAATTCCCGATTTATTTCAATTGGATTGAAACCTAAAACCGCTAGGAAACTGCTAGTAAACCAAAACCTACATGACTAGACACATCAACACAAGTACACAACACAAAAGTGGTTCGATCTTTAAACAATTTCCAGTTCCTTCAAACCAAAAATGAACATCTTCCTTAACAGTTTTGGTAAATCATTATCCATAGCGATTTTTATATTCATTTTAAGGGAAAAAAAACGAGTCTTCAATTATGTGATTAATAGTTCAATTAACCGTGGTTTTTAAACCACTCCTACTTCCTAGCAAGTGAATCGACTTGCTAGTTGCTCTACTTGCTACATGATGCAAGGGCCAAGAGCAAAAAAAGCTATTGATTTCTCAATCTCATTCACTGTTCATCACTGATCACCCGCCAACAGAAATTAACAGTAAATCAAGACATAATCCCCTTCTCATGAGAACTCAATAGTTAATGATGATCAGTCAAAAGATGGCCTATTTGGCCAAAGATCAGGAGGGGGCACTAATTACTAATTAGGGGGATTAATGATGCTCTAATCTTAGTTCCACGACTTTTCCCTTTTAATTTACTTAATTACCTAGCAGCTCAAAGGCAGAGCATTGCCATTACTCTGGCAGCAGAATTCAGCAGCACCACCGCAAAATTCATCATCCTGAAGAAACTCCCCGAAGTCCAACACATCCCAATCCGGATTCGGTGACACCAGCACCTCAGCTGCTAGCAACAATGTGGGTGTTGAAGCAGAGTCGTCACCTGAGGTAGTAGCAGGGACACAGTGGGTGGAAGAAGAAGAAGTAGCAACAATGGCGGGAGCGGGGACACAGTGGTCGGAAGAAGTAGTAGCAGTGGCGGCAGTGGGGACAGAGTAGTAAGGGAAAAAAGAAGAAGCACTAATGATCTTGAAATCGGGGATTGCGGCGGCATCGGAAACAGAGTGATCGGAGAAGGAAGTGGTAGTAGCAGTAGTAAGAGCTGCCGGCGGCCCAATTTCCATCTTCTCGTCTTCCCTGTAGCCATCCTCGTCAATTTCAACAAGGAACACCCTGGGCGGCTCCGCAAGCTTCCTTTTCTTGTAATTAGCGGTTTCCTTCTTCCGAATTCGGCAGAGCGCATGGCTTTTGAACGACGCGCCGTCGAGCCCCAGCCACGGAAGCGGCTGATCCAAGCTGTACTCGTGCATAATCCACGTTACCTGATCGTCATACCCTCCGCCGCCGCCATAGTTAGGCTGCTGCTGATTCTTCTTCTTCTTCTTGTTGTTCTTCCTCTTGTAGCAGAGCCTCTTCATGACCCACGAAATCCGGCCGTCGGAAGAGGTGGACGCGTTGCTGGACTCCTCGTGCCAAGACCCGCCGCAGGAACCCACGCTCCGGTCTAATCGGATGGCATTCAGATTCTTCTTCTTTAGAGGCGTCAAGAAGTATAGATCCTCTGCTTCGTCGTCTCCAAAATAGCGAAAACCAGAGCAAGCTCCGCCGCCGCGGAATCTCGTCCAAATCTCCCACGGCTCCTCGCCGCCGTAGAGATCGCAGTCGAAAACGTGCTTGTCGGAAGGAAGCGGCATCCCCGTTAGCTTGCCGAGCAAGTAACCGATTACCAATTCCTGATCGGTCGGCAGAAATCGCAACCCTATTACCTCGGGTCGCATTCTGAGCGAATTAGGGCAAGCAGTAATCGCTATCTGACTATCTTTCTTCTTTCTACCCTTATTCCGTCGGAGCTAATTAAAGAATTCGTGAACGCAAATTACCTAAATAGAGCATCGCCACCGCCGTCGACCGGAGAGAAAGCCGCCGTGAATTTCTCTCGGTTGCGATTCAGGGGAGCGAGCAAGCAACGAGATCCCCGTCTTATAGAATTAGGGCAAGCAGGGAAGGAAGCCAGCACCGACTGTCAGGTTTTTCAGGTTTATTTATTTATTTGAGATAGTAATTAATTAATACATTAGAGTGACGCATAAGCTTAAGATAAAAACTTAAAAGGCTTTTTTTTTCAGAGTAATGAAAATATAGATAGAATGTAAACAAAGAAAATATATCCATAAATCCTCATAGACCAATACATGAGTATCCGCCTTACAAATTCGAAGGAAACTAACTCAAGAAGAGATACAACACTTACTCGTAGTGTTGCTGCATCGGTTGGGCTTTTGTGCTACTTGGATCAACTGGATTCGATAGTGTATTTCTACTCCTTCATTCTCTGTTACGATGAACGAGAAATCGACATAATTTTTTTTAAGTCAACCAAAGAGTTGCGACATGACGATCTCTATTCCCTCTTCTGTTCGCGTCTAGAGTATGGAGGGGCATCGTGGGCATGGAGTGGATCTCTAGAAATTGGCATTTTACTTTAGTAAGAATATTTTGTCATTGACTGGAAAGATATGGATGCTCGACTGGAGGGGTCGGGCCATCAAGGTGCATGATAAATATCTGGAGTTATCGACATTGAGTGCAAAGTCGAAGTCGGATATTTTAAGTTTTAGGTAACTTGTTACTTCTGGTTAATGTAAGCGATTTTTTCGACAAAAAATAATGCATTAAAATGACTAAAATCACCGAGACACCAACTACAATTTATTGATTTTATTAACTAAATATTATAGATTATATAGCACCGGCGGTCACGTTGACGGGAATGGGCCCGCCGGCGGCGTCAGGGCGCATACACATGCATATATTACTGACACACCGACAATGAATAAATCCGGGGATGTCGTGGCACCCAGTTTTGCAAATCTTGAAGCACTCTTTATCTTTTGTGCAACTAAGATCTGCCTCTACTCCAAATCTTGTCATTTCTCCATCTGTCAAAAAAATTAAAAAAAATAAAAATTCATAATATATGGTTGATGCTGAGTCAAAAGTTTGAAACATAAGTATTTGGATGTGGTCAATTATTTTTCTTTTTCTTAAGAATGTAGGAACAGGAGAAGAGATTCGAGAAGATGATTACGTACATTGAGCGACGACGACGAAGAGAACAAGTCACATAGAGATGAGTTTGACGGATGATTTCTCCATCTCGATATTTGTACGCTAATACTGCTGCGTTGATGATGAGCAAAAGAATAATTTGTTCTGTTGAGGTACTTGGATGATTTTTTTTTATGTTCAAGCTCTACCTCTATTTATAAGCCAAGATGACAGGGGTGTGGTGTGTAATTTGTTATTTTGTTATTATCTTGCCCAAAATAAATGGTTGAAAAAATGGTAACCCCAATCTGTGAATCTTAAGTTAGGAAAGTTCATTAATTAATTCATTAAGTTCAAAAGATTTTTTTAATGATATTAGTATATTACTTCTATTGTGTAAAAAATAATGTTATTGTTGTATATTTCATCATCTTTTAATCATTTATACCAATTTCATGATGACAGAGAGGGAGTAGCCAAAAGCTATACTAGCAATTTTTCTACTCAAATAACCCTTTTATGAGTTTACTTCCATGATTTATAGTAAATCCAAGTAAATCTTACTTAGAATTTATTGGGGGGGTTGGGGGGGGGGGTTCACCTTTCCGGTAGACCATGGAGTTGGTCTGGACTCCAGGACGACCATATTGACAAATCAGGTCGACCAAAACATTGGTTAAGTCGATTGTTTTGTCAATCGGAGTCAACCATACGATCAATCAGATTGACTACTTCTCTTTCTCTAAATATATATTAGAGATTATTTATGCAAAGGTTTAAGTAGTATTTTGATTGGTAATTTGGGTGGAAACACTGAATACTCGAGAAACTAGAATCATGAACATAATAACGATGATAACAAAGAAGCATGAATATAAATTATAGATCTGGAGTTAGATTTATCTATTAACATACAAAAAGGTTATTCGTTCACATCAAATTTGAAAATTGAATAATATTTTTCCTAAAGTAATTTGTTCAAAGTGATAGTCCCAATATTAGAACCTTTAAGTTAGGAAAGTTTATCAATTCATTCTTTTAAGTGTCAAAATTTATTTCCTTAAACGATATGGCCAGCTTCAACATTTATCTTTCTTCCCCATTGAACGATTTCTTCCTCCTACATTGTTCTCCAGCTCTTTTTCTCCAAACAAACAAAACTTGTGAATTCCTGGCTTTGCCTAAGGGTAGCCTTACAGCTTCTAGAAGTGGAAAATAAAACATAGGCTTTCATTCATCTCCATTCCTATTCTTCCTTGCTTCATCAAGGCCACCAAACTAAACTGTTGAAATTCTCAGCTTCATGATCAGCTGCTGCAGATTACCTCCACAGCAAGCTTCCTTTTCCCAGCTGAGCAATTCCCTTTGCTGCTGAACTTTTGTGCCGATACTTGGATCTTGCACTCGTTTCTCTTCGCACATTCCTGCAATGAAGACAGGCGAAAAAGGAAGAAGAAGAAAAAGACTTTCTTTAAATCACACTACAGACAACCGTTTCAAACGAGATTATGGTCATGTTCTGCTTGCTTCCTCACCTTTTCCACAGCTGAAACGGAGTTGGGATCGTGGCAATCTCCCGTCTGGTACGATCCACAGGCCCCCCTCGGAGTTCCAAAGCTGGCGAATTTCACCTTCGAGATGTGGGTACCTTCAGGGCACTTGAGATGAAGGGTGGCGGAGGAGTAATCCTCGCTGGCGGAGGCACATACTCCCGAGGTTCTTCGTCTTGAGAACTTGATCTTTGTGGGGTCTCCACCTCGCTCTTCGAAGATCACCAGAGTGTTGCCAGACGGCATGAACCATGAGCGAGGGACGTGGTACCTTATCACCCAAGAAACAACATGGTTTACCAGGTCAAGAGCTTGAAGATCTGTACATTCCAAAGAAACAGGTTCAAAAATTACTGTTTGGTTAGTTCTTTTACCATCTTTGTGTGGGTTTCCCGCATCCGGTGAGACACTTATCTGGCATGAATTTGCCCCTGTAATCACATTGTTCAACACATTTGCCATTTTTAGGACTTTTCCTGGGCCAGTATCTGCCTATTTCTTCTCCATTCAACCATGCAAGACCTTTCCCCATGTACAGCATGTCCAGTCCTACAGGCTCATCTCCAGTTGGTGGATCCACAATAGTCTGTCGAATATATCAAGTTTTTCATAGGTGAAAAAATGGCTTTACCAACGTACTGTATGATGTTCATTTCCTGGGGAAAAAAAAGGGGATTCAAGTCAACTAGATGATTACCTTGTACCAGATCAAAGGCTGCATTTTTGGCACATTTGCTGTTGCAACCCAATTTACACGGTTCATACCTCCTTGTGTGTAGATAGCAAGCTTTTCTCCTTCAAGACCAATCTGCCAGAAGAGAGGTAGAAGAATATAACCCTTCTCCATCTAAACTTAAAGCAGAAGCTTTCCTCAAGAGCGGGGAAATGTACCTTGTAAGTCCAAGTGTTCTTTGACAAGTCTAATGGTCCATTGTTAAGCCCCTTGATCACAACGCTGGTAAGTCCAGCTGGGATCCATTCGTATCTAGGCCCAGCAGTCTAACAGCAGAAGGAAATTAGGAATGCTGAATAGAGAACAACCATGTTCGACAAAATAACCAATACTGCAAGAATCTCTTACCGGCAAGCCAACAGTAATGCCCAGCAGAGAAATTTCGTTCTTCCCTGCCTTGAGAGTTATGGGTTTCTTAAACTTGAAAGGGAAAACTGTGCCATTGCCAGATGCGCTACCTGAAAATCGGATCAAAGTTATTCTCAATCGAGGAGGTTAGAAACAAGAGTAGAATTGCTTCTGAAGAAACCCAAAGAAAAGAAACCTTGAAGTTGCCCATTGACAAAGACATGGATAGCATGCCCCTTTGAGTCGATCATTAGAACTGGAGACCGTCCTTGCTTTAAGAACACTTCATCTTCACCGACAGTAATGCTGCCAAGAATGATAACAATAATAAGTTGTAAGTGGTGGGTTTATGTTACTTGCAAAACAAGAAAACAGTAGAGCCTAGACTCTGATTGAGGGCAACAACCAACCTTGTTGTGTACCAGAGGTAATCACTGGCATCTTTTGTAACATTGACGTGATCCTCCAAGCTGCTTTTGACAAGGTCAGCTTCTCCCCAAATGCCGGCTTTCTCTACAAATACTTCCCAGTTCAGGGTTTTGGAGTCTTTCTTTGATGACTGTACTGAGGGCTTCAAGTCCTCCGGAACCATTTTAACTACAGAAGCCTGTGATGTTACCTGTTCAAAAAAAAAAAAAAAAAAAAAAATTATGAGTTATATGTGGAAGTCTCACAAGAGTCGCTTCTCTAAGATGCACTATGTGGTTACATATCATAATGATGTACCTTTGCAGAATTGTATACTTCTGTCTTGCAGTCAGGAAGAATGCTGACTGACCAAGCCGGTAAGTGGTATGAAGCATTCCTGAATGTGACAGTCACGTCATTTTTATCATCTGTGTTAGCTAGAAAGGCAGCACAACCCCCCGATGCATCAGCATAAACATCAGCCTGAAATAGGAAACGGTTCAGGAAGTCGCCCAAATGCCATGAATTGTCACAAAGCATAAACGATTTTCCATTTATACCAGGCTAAGATGCAGAAGTTACCTCTTGAGAAGGGCCTAGGGAGATGTTGACCGGGTTGCTGGTTAGCAACAAGTTCTCACATAGCTTTATAGCTCTGTGGAGTTCTTTAAGGTGTCCCCATTTCGGAAGATTAGGTAAACCTTATCAACCACAAGAACACCGGCATGATACTTGTATTAGACTACAGGTGCCATTAGGTATGTGTATTCAGTGTGCATAGCTACAAATGCAAAGAGAAAAGGTAGCATATTGGTCACTCACCGTACTCGTCAACTGGGGCTTCATAGTCATAGCTGGTGGTAATAAATGGTCCACCAGCAGTGCGACCAAAATTTGTTCCTCCATGATACTGAAAATCATAGAGTAACTGGTTTAAACAACTGAGCAACAATATCATATACAACTAGGTAGCAAGATGGATAATAAGAAGCTACCATGTAGTAATTATTCACAGTGCCGCCTTTCTGGAAGAATCGAGCAACAGCAAAAGCAACATCTTCAGCTGGCCTGTGAGGATTAGGGGCCCCAAACAACTGAAACCTGGAAATAGTAACTTATTATTAGGAAATCACCCATGCAAAATGTTGAGTATAATTAAGAGTCATGATGAACTTTTGAAACTAGAACAATGGCCAGATCATGACTTTCAGGAGCTAACTGACAACATGGTTAAACAAAGAGTATCAGTTATTACCATCCAGGCCAATTCTCGGTCCAAATCTTCGGTCTGTGTGGAGCAGTAGGTTTAAATGTATCGCAGTAAAACCCATTACAGGTATCAATCTGCATGATAAAAAGCAAAGAAACAAGTAAAATAAAGAGAAAAGGAAGAAGCAGCATAGCATATACATGCTTGCAAATATTAGCCGAAATGAAACTAATTACTGTGTGTCATGGAATAACAATCCTAGCAACTCAAATGAAAACTCTAAGTTTCAGCTAATTACAGAACATCTAAAACATACTTAGGATGCCAAATCTATAAACCTCACCACAGGGTCAGGAGCATCATACTGCTGGCACATTATCCAGGGAACGCCAGTATCTTGAGCAACGGCCATTTTAGCTGCCCACTGGGCATATCTCGTCCCACCTTCTCCGTAGCCTTGCTCATAATATCCATATTCATTTTCCACCTGCAATTGGAAAGAAACCAACTTCCGGCCATGATCAACTGTGAATGACGAATAATTACTCATCTTCAATGATAGACTGATAGGTATATACTTGCCTGGGACAAGATGATAGGACCTCCCTGAGAAGCAAAAAGCTTCTCTTTCTTCATGAGATCCACAATGTAGGTCATGAATCTCTGCATATAAAACTGGAGACACCAAGCAAGTAAACCAGACCATTAAAAGACAATCACTTTAACTCCCAAACTTGAGATAGAACTGATCTGCATAAATTAGGCATCCAAGAGAATCATTTCAAATACCTTAAAGTTCTCATTATCTGTTCTGAACACAGTTCCAGGTATGTAGTGCAACCAAACAGGTACACCTCTACACGAATTAAAAATGGGAGAGAAGGTAAACAGAAACAAAAACCAAATAAAGTAGATTGATTGCTGTAATTGGATTTGGAAAGGTTCATTGGTAATAGATAAGCATACCCATAATTCCATTCAGCTGCAACAAAAGGTCCAATACGAAGAATACAGTACATTCCAGCCTGCTGAACAGTCTTCACGAACTTGACCAGGTCAAATCTGCCTTCAAAATTGTACTACATTACCCAAAACAAGCAAACCGTCAACAGAGCCAAAACAGAGCAAACTTTCCCAGTTCCAACGGATCGATTATAACGATAAGAAACCAAAGGAGGTAGCTTCATTTCATTTTCACCCTACTCACAACTGAAGGAGCAATCTCATGGCCATTCCAAAACACATACGTCTCAATCACATCCACCCCTCCTTCCTTCGCTGTCTGCACTAAGCCCGGCCACATCTGCCACACCGACACACGTTACTCAGAACAATAACTCCAAACATCAAAAAAGAAGAGAAAGAATCCGTCTTTCAGGCATTTCATCAAACGGGTCCCGCGCGAAAAGGGGAAATTACCGCGGGAACACTGCGCGGGTAATGAATGGAAGCAGAGATGAGGAGCTTCCGCTGGCCGTCGACGATGAGAGAGCGGGCATCGTACGTCACGTTCCCCGCCGAACCCAGTTCGAAGAAGAGCAATAAGAAGAAGAGGAGGCAGCAGGAGGAGGAGGAGTAGAAAAGCTTCCCCATTTTGCGAACTTGGGCGAGTGCGAGAGTGAGAAGAAACGAGCTTTGAAGCGTTGATAAAGCTCCCGACTTGGGGCGGCAAATCAGAGTAAATATACTAAAATAATGGAGCTGCAGGCAGTGAGGTGTATCAGATCTTAGGACATGTGAAGGAACCCAGAGCAAGGGCGACAGGACAAAACATCAAACGTTTGCGGGGGTGCAGGCATTAAATACCAATGGCGGAAGAAAGCAGCAGAGAGTTGAATTGAATCCAACTGTTTGCCAGCCCATTAAAAAATGGATGAGCTTCCGGGAGGAGGAGGACAATGGCGGAGGTGGGCCCACTGCAGTGGAAAGCTCCAAACTTTTTTTTTTCTTTTTCATTTCTTTGGGGTGTAGGTGTAGCCATTCTTTGACAGTGAAGAAGAAGAGGAAGACAAAGGAGATGGCGGCAGCTTTTGACCCTTTACCTGAATTTTGGTTTACAGAGATCGCTACGTCAAAAGTTTTTCCATAACAGAGTGCATCATCTTTCTAAACTTGACGGGTGGAGTTGTTGGGGTGAGAATATTGATCAAATTTGTAAATAACTAGGGGTTTGGAAGTTGTGATTGTTAAATAGATGTATTGTTGAGAATGCATGATATTGTACATGTATTGTCGAATTTGATGCATTGTAGAATACAACGTTTGGTATATGTGATTGTGTATGTCGCATCAACTAAAAGCTGAGACAAAACAATTTCAACTCAACTATCTCAACAATCACAACTAAAAGTTGAGATATAACAATCACTCAAAATGAGTGATAGTTTCTGTCACATCACATAAACAATCCATGTATTGTTTCTGCTAAAAAACAAAAAAACGATGCATTGTAAACAATACATGCATAATAACAATCTCAACAAAACTATCACAACTTCCAAACGACACCTAAATGCACTGGTCTATTATTGGTTAGTTAAAATTAAATGATAATTTAGCTTATGAGTTTTAGCGGGGGCAACCATTGATGATGATGGTGATGAGAGAGAGTTAGACGAGAGCAGTTTGATTCAATCGTTTGTATGAAAGGGTGTGAAATTGTCCCGAAGAAAATTTGTAACAATCGCACTTCAATAATGAAAGACATTTTAGCACCGAGAATCATACCAATATTGCATTCAGGCTGGTTTGGTGCGGTTTAAATGTCAAATAAGTTTTTTTTCTTCTCACATGAATAAAAACTAGTCCACATAATATTATTCGAAATATGATTCAATTCAAGCATAAATTTAATCTATGTAACATTGCATCAATAAACGACACAATCCTTGGATATGTTTTAAGAAAGGATAATTTCACGTGAGATTGAAGTCTTCCAGAGCGGCTTTTCTTCTTTAAATATTGTGGGGGATTTATACCACAAATCAGGGGCAAGATTTGATCTTCACCTGGGAATCCTATCTTGATTTATTTATACTTTCATAATAATAATTGCATGCATGCACCATTTTTTCATTTATTTATCGTGCGTCAAACTGCATGTGTTTGTTTTTTTTTTTTTCAGCAGATTTTTTTTTAATAAGTTCAGCAGATAATTTTAATATCAAATCATCAAACCGAATCTCTAAAAACCTGCAGGTTTCAACCATGTGTGTTTGGGTCTTGGGTACACTTGGATTGGACCTTGACGAATGGGATAATGAGTTTGAGCCCATCAGAAATGGTGGGCCTGGACCATAATCCCAATTCCCATGGGTCATCCCTCGTCCACACCCGTCCATTATACCAAATATATCAAAATTAAACATTACACGACTGACATCGGCTAAATTACACGTTTGGTCATTCGAATTATACAAATCTTTTACGTATGCCACTCGAATTACTTTTCTTTCTTATTCGCCACTAACTTTACGAATCATTTCACCATTAGTCACCAACCGTTATACTCCGTTAAATTTGTCCTATGTGGCAGTCAACTGTAAAGTTTGACCGTTAACTTAATGACGTGGAAATTAGAAATAAAAATATAAAACTAATTTATTTGTCCACCTCATCATTCCCTTACTTTGTGTATAGTATCATATTCATTATTTTATAAAAATAAAATAAATTACAAAAATTAATTTAGTGGCGATTTGCTAGAGCAGGACGGGAGCGGATTTGCTGCAGTGGCCAGTGGAGGAGATTGAGAGCTTGAGGCTGAGGAATTACTGTTTTGAGGACATTTTGGATGGGCACACGAGCCTTCCCCTGAGTATACTGAAGCAGTTCATGAACAGAGCATGCGTGGCAGAGGCAGCAATGGTCAATTGGTCATAAAGAAGGCCAACACGTATTTACCATTTGATTCTCCCTTCGGGATATCACAATCCATGTGCAATCCAAGAACCACCGAGCCCAGCGTCATCAAGACGACGACCTTCATGGTGTAGTGGTTGAACAACTGCTTCACTATAAGGAAAGCGAAGACGCCGGTGAATGCCAGCTGCGAAGAGCCGATGAGGGAATTCACCGAGACCGGGAGGGATTTTGAACCTGTTCAAACACCGTCAGAGACGGGATTTCAATCCGCCTGACGAGCATAACCCAGAACAAATAGTAAATTTTAGTTATAGAGGATTCCGACCTTCTTCCTCCTTCCCTTCCTCGGCGGCGACGAACATCCTTCTTATTCCTCCTGAAGCTCGACCGCAGCAGAGATTGTGGCGATGGACGGATCAGAACCCGGCAGAAGCAGAGGGTGTAGGCGTGCGGCGGAGGACGGTTGAGGTGGGCGGCTCAATTCCTTCTTCCTCCTAAGGCTGGGCGTTGGTGCATGATGGATTGGTTGGCGGTGGGTGATTGAGGACGATGATTTGCGGCGGTGAAGTTGGGGGAGGGGAGGGTAGTACGATGGGGATGGGTGGGTTTTCGTTGTAAGGGGTTAAAAATGTCTTTTTAGTAGGGTTTATGGCGAATGATGATGTGGAATGATGAAGTGGAAAAATAAATTAGTTTTTTATTTTTATTTCTAATTTCCACGTCATTAAGTTAACGGTCAAACTTTATAGTTGACTGCCACATAGGACAAATTTAACGGAGTATAACGGCCGGTGACTAACGGTGAAATGATTCGTAAAGTTAGTGGCGAATAAGAAAGAAAAGTAATTCGGGTGGCAAACGTGAAAGATTTGTATAATTCGAGTGACCAAACGTGTAATTTAGCCGACTGACATCCGATTACTTGGTTTGATCTATCAATTTTTTTTAAAAAAAAAAGTTCTTCTGGATGTTGTCTATATTGCTTTTAGATCTTTTTCGTCACTTTTTTGGTGTTTGAATAGTTTACAGAACTGCAAATTTAGTCGAAGCATTCTTTCATTGCTAGTCGCGGTTTGTGTATACGGACTACCGTGTGATGTTCTTTCCAATTCTGTAATGGTATTGCTCGCCCATGCTGTATGAACTTATCTTGATTGGAAAAAAAAAAGGATAATCACTCACGAATGGCCCAGTTAGATAAAAATGTAACAGACAGAATTTGGATTAAAGATGACTCGTTCAACTTCTAGACTTCATTAGCACAATGACAATCAGACCCAAAAGAGAAAGAACAAGCAAAAGAAACATGAAAGAAAATGAATTTGCAAACTATACCTAAGCAAACCACAAAAGGAAGAAAGAAAAATCAGAAACCTCAATCCGAGATACCGAGAGTAATCTAAATGATCATGACAAATAATTTTTCTCTTTGGAACTTCATGGCTTCATGTTCTTGGCCCTGCCGCATAGGAGAGAGTCCTCGGGCATTTTGTACTCGTCCCTCAACGAGTTCGAAGTGGTGAAGACTCTTAGATAGAATTGCTCTCCAAGGTATTGTCTCTGCCAATACTCCGACCTCACGTTCCACATTCCTACGTTGTCGAGTGCCACGAAGATGGCCGTCCATGACCTCGGATAGACCTACAACCACATCACCAATAACAACCACATCAAGAATATTAATGAGTATATGTAGAAAAGCCACAATTTTACTAAGATCTCTTCCAAGAACTCTAGTTAATAATGAGTTATACGTAGAAGAGTAAACAATTTTCTTAATAAGGTATGTAATTAGTCACACTCACTTGTACAGTGTATCGTGAGACGGCATCGTTGAGGTTGTACCCCTTCCTGCTTTCCGGCTTCCAGGTCTCCAAGTCCATCCTGACCCAAACCAAAATTCAGAGACTTGGCAATGTCGGCCAAACACCCAGAAACAAAAATCTGAAGCACAAAACGATAAGCAAAAAGATCCAATTTTCACAATCAAAACTCACCCTGCAACCCAGAAGGAGTGACCATTGATATGATAAGTCTGGACGATCTTCTCACGATTCTGAAACACAATCTCCACAAACGTCCTGTAATCGGTTTCCATCACCGACGCATTCAAGTGAAGCTTCCTCGGCTGGGCGGGAGGCGCATAAGGAATGCTGCCGACCTGAAACACTCCAGGAATGTTGAAGTGATCGGCCAGCTTCAACGGAGTATCAGGATGAACAAACGAAACTCCATTGATCCCATATCTCTGCTTCCGATCCACCTGAGCCGCCGCGCTCTCCAGAATGATCGTCCTCGTAATGTTCACTTGACCGTAGTGGTACGAGCCCTGTGGGTTCGGCCTCGCTGCACTCGCCGTCGAATTCGTCCTGACAACCACCACAAAACCAATCAAATGACGAACGTGAAGGTTCAAACTCGAGACCTCACTGATAAAATGTATATATTACCTGATGGAAAGGGCCTGTTTGATGGACCAACTGATCTTCTTGGGCGAATTCGGGATGGGACCGGAGGCAGGTCCATCAGAGTTTTCGTAGTGTAGAGTCGCGGTGGAAGTGAGTACCTTCTTGACAAAACGAGTCGACACGACGATCCTGTAGTCCTTCGCCGGCTGATCTGCTGTCACGAGAACCGACATCGACTGTCCGACGTGGACGTCCAGCGAGGAATACACCGTTTGGACTGTGTGGGTTCCTTCCACCTCAACCAGTTTCAGGTCGTGCCCCTGAATCCTGAAATTCAACGAGCTCTGCACCCCGACGTTTGTGATCCTCAACCTGTACGTCTTTCCTGAAAAAACAGAGAAATCGAAAGTAAAATTAATCGATCGATACTATCGAATAAGAAGTTGTTACGGATTAACATTTTGTTACTTACCAGATTGGAAGGTGAAAGTGGGAGGGGAACGAGGTCCGTGCCCATTGATCAGAACGGCATGAGGGAGACCAATCTTGTGACCTCTATCAAGCTTGGCACGCAGAGCCTTGTGGTCGGTTCTGTACCAGTCTCCGACGAGAACATTGATGTCGTCGGCGGGCGGGGAGAATGGCACGGGGATCATCGGCCTGCTGAGGACATTGATGGCGCCGAACCCACCGGCGGCCTTGTGGAAGCCGAGGGAAGGGAAGTAGTAATACGTTCCGATTTGATCTTTAGCCTGAAGCTTGTACGTGTAGTTTTGGCCTGGTGGGATCGGGCAAGTCGTGCCGTAGACTCCGTCCACGTACGAGTTCTTCCTGTTCTGAATCCCGCTCCTGGGGAAAAACAGAGTCAAAGTGAAACAGAGTCAGATGAAAATCAAACGAAATTCAGTTTCTTCCGCCCCTGTTTTTATGGAGATACGATTAGTCGATTACTAACCAGGAGATTAGGAAAGGTTCGTCTAGGTGGTTGTGGACGTTGATGATGAGATTGTCGTTGGTGACGGCTTGAATCGTCGGACCTGGGAATTCGCCATTAATCAAAATCCCCTGTACAAGCACAGAAAGATCAAAACAAAATTAAGAAAATTCGGGTAACCGCAATGATATCCGGCTGTGAAGAAAAAACAATTCTGGACCGGACCCATTGGAGAAAATGAGGTGAAGAAAAATGGGTTACCCGTTGTTTGACGCCGAGAGGCTGGATTTGGCCGTAGGTGACAGTCCAGTCGAAGTTCCTGATGGGATTTCCGGCGCTGACGAAAACGGCGGCGGAACAGAGCAAGACCACGGCGGCGGAAAGTAGGAGAACCTGGCACCTTATGGTTCTCATTGCTATTGATCGAGGGAGGATTCACGAGTCCTTGCCTCCTTCTTTCCTATAACCTTGTTGGGCTATAGAGAAGAAGGAAGTGAGAATGGGGAATTGAAAGAAGTTTGAAGGATTGAGAAGACTGCGGTGATGGTGAAAGTGAATTTTTCTCGGTGGGGTTTTTGGTTTTTGGAGTAACTGATCGGAGTTTGGTATTTAATATGAGGAAATTATGGAAACAAGGTGAAGGATCTTAGAAAGAGTTTGAGAGTGGGTATTTTGATTTTCTTTTCTTTTATAATGTTGGAGAGAAAACAAAAATCAAGATAAAATTGAATAGTTAGAGCATGAAAAGGATTGTTCGTCAGATGTAATCTTTGTCTAATATTTGGATTATTGTTGTTGGACGAAATTTGGGGTTTTATGAGTTAATGAGAAATAATTTATGGTTTGGGTTACAATATAAAATTTAGGGCCTATAGAACCTACAAAATCTATGTTGTAACACTCGTGATACCGATAGTATTAGAGTGGTATGATTCGTATTAGGGATGATAAGATACAAGATTTTGTAAGTTTTGCAAATCTCGATTTTTTACAATATTTCCCCCCTAAGTATCAATCTATGTATCGTGGTAGAATAAAATTAAACTACTATATGTAAAAATTTGATGCCAGAAAAATTATATTCGTCTTATAAAACATAACTCGGAGTGGTCATTAAATAAATTACGAGGTTTCGTGTATCCCAGAACTAGCTGTCTTCCCCGCACAACCAGCTAAACCTAACCAAACGGCGAATTATGATCCCCGTGACCACTAACGGCGACGCACGGTGGCTCCGTGTGCCTCCGGCCACTTTCCAGTACATCCAACGGTTTTCGTTCAATCAACTTCACCACTTCCAACTCATTATTCTCATCCAACGGCCCTGAATCAATTTCCTATTCTACATGAAAAACTGCTGGAATTATAAGCGTTCCACAGAGAATAAATAAAGTAAAATGACATGAAACAATTTTTTGTCGGATAATTAATCAAAGTTCGTATAAGTCATACTCATAGCAGGAAATCTCGATTCCCACTGTGTGTTAATTATCTTAATTTAATTATTTATTAGGGTTAATCGTGTTCTTAATCATCATTTTGAGAAGAGTGTTTCCATTAACTGGAACTCTCAAGAAACCGCCGGAGCTTGGGAGGCCGATTTGTTGTAATTTTCCTGTCTGGTATTGAGATTTTCTTTTTCTTCTACGTTTCAATGTCCAGTAATAATCGCCTCTTTTCGGATTACTGCAATGAACAGAGTATCGTTTGGGGAATATTTTAAATTGAAGCCAACTAGTTAAGCTCTTCTGGGTACTGGATTTAGGAACGGCCATGGCCGATGAGGCAAGTCGAGGTGGGTATCTTAGCACTTATGTACGTTTTATGTAAGCATCGGTCATGTTGAATTATAATTTTCGTGCCGGTGAGATTCAAAGCGAATCATATGTAATTAGATAATTTGCATTTAATACTTTGATTTTCACGTGAGAAAATTGAAGAAATATATTATATAAATGACAAGGGACTAGGGAGTGAATTTATTTTGTAAATGGAGGTTCGCTTCAAGTTATTATTTGGAGGGATCAAGATAGTATAATTATGTGTGAAAGTTAGAGAGAATTTGGATAGAAATATCAAGATGGGAGCGAAGGTAAGACATGTTTCGTTCCACGCTACTTGCGTGATGAACAATACCCATTCGGAACTGATCGTGGTAAGTCAGCTTGCACGGATCCATCCAAAAATTGACATCCAGACATTTTTTTTATTTTTCGTGCTCAACTATCGCCAGAAATATCCGATAAATTGGAACGATACAGAAAAAATTAGCATTGTTCTGCGCACGGAGATGTCATGCATGAATCGAGCTCTAATCAACCCCTTTGAGTTGGGCACTGGCGGGCCTAAATCTTCATATAGTTTCTTGGGCCGAAGTCTGTTGAGCCAAGTATGTAGAGGTCCAACTGTCCAAGGCTCGCATGAAAAACCAGGACTTTCCTTAAAGAGTTTGGTTTCTTAGCACCTAATTGAGACAAAACACCTAATATACCATTGTTTTTCGTTAGCTTTTCTATTACTCTGTTTTTATTATGCATTATATTTTAGGAATTTAAATATATATTTATTTTGATTAATTCTATTTATTTTAATAGCGAGATTATTTTATGGAGTAGATATATTTTATGAATTCTAAACAGATAATCTAAATTTCCTATATTCGATCTTTGCGTATCATTCTAATAACCAATACCTTCTAAATATAATTCTCTTTGTAAGTATCTAATTTTTATTTCTATGTATTCTATACTTATTAAATTTATCAGGATTAGTTCTTGACTTAAAGTCGTAAGAGGTTGTTAATCATGATTTTTAAAACAAAGTTAGTTAATTATTATTTTAATTATATATATTTTCTATTACCATTATATGTTCTAATCATGTTACTCGATATAAATAATTTGAGTATCTAACATTTAAATTTTTTGTATCGCTTTGGTGACTTCTAATTTCATAGGATAATTCTCCTTGTAATTCACTTATTTGTTGTCGTATGTGTTCTATATTTGTTAGATTTATTGCCTTTATTTCTCCACCTATCATCATAATTTTAATTTTGTATGGATGAAGATTTATTATCAATAATTTTACGTTTTATTTTTTTTCTAAAATACTAATGATATTGGTTATAAATTCTGTTTTATGAATAACTTCGATAAGTGTTTCTGAAATCCCATAAGTATATTGTTCAACTTGGATTTCTGTTGCAAAACTAGAAAGTTCTTTTGTAATAATAGAAACAGATTCGGAAGAGTTAAAATCTATTGAATCTAAACCTTCTATAAACTTAGTTATGTGATAATTATAATCCATTTTAAATTATATTTTCTTTTCTAAATTTATTATTAATTCTTTTATTTCACTTTCTTCTTGGTTTTGTTGAATTATTGGAGTGTTTCTAATCTCGGTGGTTTCATCTTTTTGTTTATTGTTCTTAGATCTCGAGTTATACTGGAATGGGGAGGTTCAATTCTTACGGTTATAAATAGTACTTCCAAATTTATAAGAGGTTTGAATTTTTTTTCTATTGTTATGACTTCCTTATCCTTAAAACCTAAGGTGCAACGGTTGTTTGTTAGAGCATAATTAATTTGATAGGTTACTAAAAATGGTTTAATATTTTCTTTCATGAAAATCTCTAGCTTAAGTTCGTATTTATAGTTATGGATGAATCCAGGTTTCCGTTTGATAAACTTAATCCTTGTTGGAGGTTAATATCAAATTTTATAACTCCAAGTCCTAAGTTTCCTAATCCTTTGGCTATTATGCTTTCATCAAGGTTTACTAGTCTATCATCCCTTATTTCTAAATCTATTGTAGCATTTATGCCCATTTTCATTGTTATTTTTTAGAATAATTTGTATTGTGCTAATATGAATATAACTTATCTTTCTTCGTTCTTCTTTGAATTTTCTATTCTTGATTCTTTTATCATTACAACCATATTTTCCTACCTGATTTATTGTTTGGGAGCAACATAATTCTATTCTAGCTTCTTTCTTAATTTTTTCCTCGTTACAAGCTTGTTTATGCCATTCATATAGGGTTAGTATCCTGCCTACTATAGTAATAGGTACTTCTTCCTTGTCTAAAGCTTCTTTGAAAGCTCTTTCTACCTTAATTGCCACATTATGTGGAAGTTTTGCATAAAACAATTTATCTAGTTATTTTCTCATTTGAGGTATTACTTCATAATAATATTGTCTAAATTTACAAATAAATGGTTCTAAATAACACATATTGCACATTCGTAAGTTCGTTAAAATGCAAGATCGCCTGTGCACTAAGGGTAGTATTAGTTTTAGTTTCTTGTGGAAATCTTCCTAGGAATTCGAATGTTAATGCTCGTACTTTATCATGGGTTTTAATAGCATTGTCTCCATATAATAAATTTTTCCCTCGGATATCTAGGGTGCTTGGATAATGGTACACTGCACCTGTGGTTTTAATTTTTATGTATAAGGAAATTGAATATTTCAATGGGTTGAAGTTTTCTAAGTTCTTCTTTGGTTTGTATTAATATTCCCGTTCGATTTTTCCAATCTTCTAAATCTTTTAATGGGTTACTACTACAATCCAAGTCTAATATATCGAGTTGTTGAAGATAGTGTTTGAGTATTTTGGGATGTATGAGTGTGGTATTTTACTCCATCCTTCCTTTACTAGGAGTGTAAGAATTTTTGTATAAAAAGTCTTTGTAAGAGAATTGTCCATTAGAAAAGTTTTCATAATTACGCTTTTTAGAGGTTTCCGCTTCTTCTGTTTTTACATAATTTGTATAAGGATTTTCATCGCTACTATAATCATAAACTATATTTTTATTCATTTTCAATATTATCTTCTGGTTCTGAATCTATGCTTATAGCTGCTAGTAAATCATTTGGTTTATTAATTTGTTATTCAATGGTTGTCATAAAAGATTGTAGGGTGCTATGATTGTAAGCGAATTGGGTGTATTCAATTTATTGTTTCTTAAATATTCTTCCAAGTCTTTAGTGGTAACACATCATTTATCATCTAATTTTATTGTTATTTCTTGAAGTTTAATAATTATTTCCTTTAGATCTACTTCTGATAAAATAATACCGTTAGCGTTTTCACTAGATTCGGCTACCATTTTATTTTTATCTCATATTTTGTAAAATTTTTATTAACCATATATTTTACTAATTCTAAATCAGAGTACAATTCTTTTTGTTTTTCTTTACATTGACATTCTAAAATTTTCCTTTAATATTTATTATTTTCTTAAATTATATTTATCACATATTTATGATAGTCATCTATTATTTTTACTAATTTTTCGATTTTATTTGAAAGATTTTCTGTTGTCATATTGGATTCATCAATTTACAATGTTTTCCTTTTTTTCTTTATTAACCTTTTTTGTCTTTTTTCCCTTAGGTGTTGTATCACCTAACGTGACAAGAGGTTTTTTTCCCCCTTCCCAAAAATTTCATTCTCCCTCCCTAGTGGGCAATAGCACCAATTTTAGTAATCTTCATCCAATACTATAACTGCATGATGATTCCAAATAGTAGCATTCACTGAAAAGAGTGACACAGATGCTATTTCTTGCCAGCTGAATTGAAAGAGCCCACAAATTTCCTTCCATATTAAGTACTTCCACACCACCACCTCAGTTTTCACAGCTTTCCATCCAATTCCTTTTCCTACTACATCAGAGAGAGAGAGAGAGAGAGAGAGAGAGAGAGAAGGGTTTAAGGAAAAACGCTAGAAATGGAGATCACAAGAAGCTTTGTGCTTTCACTTGCTGGCATTGGTATAATGGTGATGATGATGATGACGATCTCGGCCGAAGCAACAATGCCTGCTGTGTTTGTGCTGGGAGACTCCACAGTTGATGTTGGTACCAACAATTTCCTGACGGGAAGCGTCGACAGAGCTGATTTCCCTCACAATGGGATCGACTTCCCTGGCTCCAAGGCTACTGGCAGGTTCAGCAATGGCTACAACATTGCTGACTTTCTTGGTTTGTGTTTGTGCCCTCCTTTTGGTTCATTCTACATTCTGCAAATTATATCTGTTCAATTAAAAAGATTACGAATGTTTCCATCAGCTAAGCAGCTGGGATTGGAAATGAGTCCACCACCTTTCTTCTCGCTTGGGAATGGCACAGCTCCTCTGAAGAACTCGAGCTTCAAAGGTGTGAACTTTGCATCCGGAGGGTCTGGCATTCTTGACACCACTGGACTTAGCCCGGTACATTAATCTCAATCCACGATTTAATCGTAACTGTAACGAGTTTCGAGTTATTGGGATGTAATTGGTTGTTTTTCCACTTGACTCGTGATGAATGTCTTCCACAACAGGATGGAGTGAAGATGGTTGTCCCGTTGAGCGAGCAGGTTCAGCAACTGGGCTCCATCTCCTCGAGGCTCGCCAGCTTCAAAGGTGCTGAAACCGCGGCAGACTACCTCGCGACCTCGGTGTTCATCATCAGCATCGGAAGCAATGACATGTTCCACTATGACCATGACAACAGCAGCAGCAGCAGCAGCAGCTCGACAAAGGAACAGTTCATCTCTCAACTGACAGCCACATACCAGAAACATTTGAGGGTAAGTACGAAATTGGTGAATCAATTCAATGCCCCATCTGACACCATTGCTTTCAACTGATATATTGGAACATTTGTTACTTACCAATCTGGATGTGTTATGGATTCTGCAGACAATGCTTGGGTTTGGAGTGAGGAAGATTGGGATCATTTCCACGGGACCAGTTGGCTGCTGCCCATCTCAGAGGAGATTCAACCAGACATCAGGCTGCTTGGAGCCCTTGAACGAGTTGGCCGTTTCCTTCAATGCCAAGGTCAAAACCATGATGGCACAACTCAGCTCGGAATTCGATGGGATGCAATACTCGATCGGGGATACCTACTCGATGACCATGAATTTGATCAAGAGCCCTGCATCATACGGTAACACAACTATACAAAACCAGAACACTCTGTTTATAAATGAATAAATAACTTGTTTGCCAAGAAAGACATATATATATATATACTTGTGACACAATCTTTCTTTTGCTGGTTCTGAAGTGTGAAACCTTTTTTGCCTTTTTTTTTTCTCTTCTCTCCAAGGATTCAAGAACATAAATACAGCATGCTGTGGACTCGGGAAGCTGAATGCGGATTTCTTCTGCACACCTGATGCCAACGTTTGCACGAACCGGGACGAGATGCTGTTCTGGGACATGTTCCACCCTTCTCAGGCTGCATCAAAGCTTGCTGCTTCGGACCTCTACTATGGCGGCCAACCTTTTGTGACCCCCATCAACTTCAAGCAGTTGGCTGCCGCCTTCTAAATGATCCCATTTCTTTCTCTCTGATGTTTCTTTTGTCTATCATTTCATTCGCAGCATTTCATTGTTTTGCTTCCTGAACAAGAAAATCTAATAATAATCTAAGATCAATATTCTTCACATTCTCTTTTTCAATATTTGGAAGCGCGGGGAAAACTCAGACTGATGTTTCGAGGTTATCGAGCAATTCGTTTCTCATTTTTCTCCTCTTAGATTCCTCATAATATAGCAGTCAGCACACGATCAGTGCGATTCAAACCACAGAAAAAGAATGTATCACAAACCATCCGTTACGGTTTGACCTAAACATTGTGGGGTTCGAATATAGAAACCGAAAGGGAAATAGGGTAGAAACTAGAAAGAACCGGGGTTCTTTTGGTACGGGTTTCTTGTTCGCGCGGATGAGAAACCGGTGTGGTTAAAGCACTCCGGACCTCGATTGAGCCGAACTGCACTGAAACCAATATGTTGCAGTCAGGAACACCAGCTGAATACACCAAAGTTTATTCCGATTTGGGTGCAGATCCGCTCTAATCCGGTTTAGTAAGGTTCAACCTGACCGGTTTGCCACCCTACTAAATAGCAATCCTTAGCTAAAAGGAAGCCAACCTGTGTATTTGGCCAGTATCTTCCAAAGTAGTTCTTTAGTTTTCCATGACACCAAACAACCTGAGAGCGGCTGAGCCAAGCCCATGCTTATGCTATTACAAGAAGGTACTGACAAACATGGCAAGCCGATTTTTCCTTAGTTTCCAAAGCGTGCCTGAGAACAATGCGCCTTATGAAACGGTCAGCTCCGGAAGCTTCACTGAACATGGACAGTAGAGCCTTCCTTCTCGTAGGAATGTCAATGTCATTTCGCCTTTCGGCCTCCAACAGTATAATTATAAGTACCCTCCATACCCATTTACCAGAAAGATATCAACAAAACACAGAGCTTCTGAAGCAGAAGAGGAAGTTCAATGGAGAATTTTGAAGCTGTTGTTCTGATTGTTCTAGCATGCGTTGGTGTGTTTGGTACGAACTCGGCTATGGCTGCTGCAGCAGCAGCAGCAGCCTCGCCTCCTGCCATCTTTATCTTGGGGGACTCGACGGTTGACGTTGGAACAAACAACTTCTTGCCTGGAAGCAATGCCAGGGCAGATTTTCCTCGCAATGGGGTTGACTTCCTTTACTCCAGGCCAACTGGAAGGTTCAGCAATGGATTCAACACTGCTGATCAGCTCGGTACGTACCCTTCCCCTGATCGAGCACCAACATTAATCACGGAAACATTCTTTTTTATCATGTGTTGGTAGTAAGACTGTGTTATCTGCAGCTGTATTGATGGGACACAACAGAAGCCCAGACCCTTTCTTTCTGCTCAGGAAGAAACCAAGAGGCTTCACCAAGTCTAAGTTCAGAGGTGTCAACTTCGCTTCAGGAGGTTCAGGAATTTTCGACCTCACAGTACAAACTGCGGTAAGAAGAAAAAAAAATTTGCATCTATTCTTCCAACACTTCCCTGACACTGCAGAAGACTCAGGTTTTTTCAGTTATGAATAATTTAGTTCCTTCTCGTTGCAGGTCAGCTTTGTCAACTCTTCTGATGAGCTGAACAATTCATCCAGCAGCTCGCCCATTAGCAAAAAGAACGGTGTCTCGTTGTCTGAGCAAATACATCAACTTTCATACGTCTATCATAAAATTCTTGCTGTAAGGAAGCAGAAAGGAACCAGAGATCTTTTCTCCAAATCCTTGTTCTTTATCAGCATTGGAGCCAATGACCTCTTTGTGCATTACCATTCAAAGAGCAAGCAACCAAAGGAGAAGTTCATAGCTTCTCTGGTCCAAGCGTATGAGAAGCACTTAAGGGTAAGCAACAATAATCCTGGCAAAACCTCCAATAAACTGTGTTAGAGAGTAAGAAATGTATAAACTTTATATGTAAAAACATGCAGAACCTACTGCAACTTGGAGCAAGGAAGTTTGGGATTGCTACTGTTGCACCCATCGGCTGCTGTCCGTCTCAAAGGCTCTTCAATCAGACCCTCGGTTGTTTGGAGGAGTTGAACGATCTTGCACTGGCTTTCCATCCCAGAGTTGCTCAGCTCATGTATAAGCTCAGCTCAGAATATCATGACATGAAGTTTTCAATTGGGAATACATTTCTAATCACCATCAATGTCATCAACCACCCTAATCGATTCGGTAAGTGAGAATTACATGCATCAATGAAAATTCTTCAGCAGTTTTTTCTCTTAACAACTAACTCTATGCAAATTCCTCTTTGCGGGGGAAAAAAAACCAGGATTTAAAGATGGGCGAGGAGCATGTTGTGGACAAGGAGCACTGAATGCACAAACACCATGCACTCCAACTGCTAATCTTTGCCCTATACGCGATGATTACTTGTTCTGGGACTTATTGCATCCTACACAGAAAGCTGCACAGCTGGCTGCTGTAACTCTCTATTCCGGCCCACCGTTCTTTGTCGCACCAATCAACTTCAAGCAGTTGGCTGAAGCTTGATTGACCCAACAAAGTACTCATCACTTATCAGATGGCTCAATAAAAAAAAATAGAGCAGACATGCTTTTCCTGCTTTCCCATTGCATTTATGTTCCAAAGCAAAGCTCTTTCCACTTCTTCTTCATTGTATATCTCTAGGAGCCAATTCTCTTTACTTTTAGAGTTCGAGCTATTAGCCATGGTGGCTGATGATTAGAGGCATGCCAAGTTAAAATAGCTGGTCATAATTTGACATCATTCTGTTGAACAACTTCCAAAGGTCGAGTGATATGAGAAACATGTTACAGGCGTTAGCACAAATTCACTAAATCTGTGATTTTCAGCAGATGGAACGAAGTCGAATGAAGTAGCAAGAAGAAGTAGTCGATCTACTGTCATAGCCATGCTTCATATACAGTATACATGCCTTTTCTTAGAAAGTATACAGGCTTGCTTTATTCTCTATAATCAGATGCTTAAGTATCCTTAGTTAAATAATATCTCTAAGCAGTGGTAACACTTACAAATCTGATGGCTCCGTAGACAATATTTTATTATACAAGTCTTCAGTAGCAGGCATACCATTAGCCGCCAGGTCATCCAGTGGATCCAACTGCATTTCGCCTTTGGAACTGCTCTCATTGAGGAATTCGTCCTTGTTCCTCAGCATCTTTCTCCAGTGTTCCGGCTCTTTGAACAATCTCAATACCTGCTCAGAATGAGTTCCATACAATTGAGTTCTTAGGTAAATGGAATGCAGAAAGCGAAGAAAAAAATCAAAGAAAATAGAAGGGAGAGAACCTACCATTTTCATGGATGGTCTCCTAGGAGAAGAATGAATGAGGCAGAGCCGAGCAAGAAACGTTACTATTTCCATCTCTTCCTTGTTGTAATCTCCATTTAGGTGAGGATCAATTAATCGGTCACATAAGCCAGAACTCAACAGAGATCTTGCCTGTGAATTCTAAAATTCAGAAAACCAAGATAGCTAAAGAGAAAATAATAGAGAACTTCGAGATGAAGGAAGAAGCTTCCTTTCTGAAAGTTGATTACCCATAATACCAAGCTTTCGCTGTTCGCCTGGTTTGTTTGAATGGCTTCTTTCCCAGTGATGAGTTCCAGAAGCACAACTCCATAAGAGTACACATCTACTTTCTCATCAACCTTCCCAAACATCACATACTCGGGAGCCAAGTAGCCAAATGTCCCAACAATACTACACGGCTTTCTGTTTTCTGGGATCTGGTCAAGCTTGAGCAGTCTTATTGCTGCCCCAAAATCTGAGAGCTGCATAACAACAACAAAAAAAAAATCTCATCTAGGCATCCAGAAAATATGTGCAAATTAATCTTACGGAAGTGATTTCACAAGTAACTTACTTGAGGCTGCATATTCTCAGAAAGTAGAATATTGGATGACTTCACATCTCGATGAACTATGGGAGGGGTAAAAGAACAATGAAGGTACTCAAGCGCTTTGGCCACTCCAATCGCAACCCCCATTCGCTCTTTCCAGTCGAGTTGTCTCAAATTTTGTTTGAGACTTCCCTTCAACAGATTATAGACCACTGCATGGATCTCCTTACCATCACAGAAACCAATTATCTGCACTATGTTCTCGTGCCTTAACCCGGATAAAACCTCCACCTCACGGAGAAGATCCTCTAAATCCTTGCTCTTCAGGACTTTGATAGCTACAGCCTGACCATTACCCCCTAGTGTGGCCTGATACACCTTACTATTACCACCTGTTCCAATCAACCGCTGGGTGCTAAAACCATCAGCAGCAAAGTTGAGCTCTTGCCATCTGAAACGTCTTATGGACCGTGTGGCTTGTAAGCATGCCAGCCTGTCGAGAATCTTCTTCTGTGGCACCTCAAACGTCGTTTTGGAAACTGGTTTATCCTGCGAGGAGGATGGTGCAGTGAAAGACTTTTGCAACTGGCGGTGCGCCCCAGCTTTTGGCTGGTGAAAGTAACTGTTTTCAGATGGAGATGGTCTAAGAACTGGAGAAGTGGATCCCTGTTGAGAGGTTCCCTGGCTTTGGAATATTACCTTCCCGGCATTGTTCATTACCAGGAGGTTGCAGGTGGGTGGCAGCCTTCTTAAGCAAGCCTTGACTACCGACTCGTTAGGCCTGGGGGAAAAGCAGAAAACTGTGGTATCAGAAGATGGAGATGAGGCTTCGAAAGTTGTTGGAGTGGTTAGTAACATACCATGGAAGGCTGCAACCAAGAATGAGGATTGTGGCAGAGTTGACTCGTACTTGATTACTTAATCCTGAAATGTAGGTTTCTCCAGGACATTCCTTAACAAGGAAATCAACCTTGATGGAGAAAAACAAAGATGAACAAAAATCAATGGTTCAATTCATCAACAAATCATTTGCATCTCTCTTTTCTCCAGTTGCAAACTCAGAATTTTAATTACCTGTTTAGACTTGCAGAGATCTGCATGCATGTGGAAAGTATTTGGATCAAAACTACTAGATACATGTTGAACATGAACAGCTAATACAATATCTCCAGGATCCACAAAAGTACGAAGAACCCGCAGCAGCATTTCTCTGCTGTGAGTATCCGATTTCAACCCAACCACAATTTTCTTCTGCTTCGATGCCTTTGCTCTCAGCAGAGAGAAAATTTTATGTTCAATGCTGGATCTCCCAATCATCATAAACAAAGAAATTTCCTCATACTCAAGTAAACACTTCTCTGTCAAACAGGTTCCCTTAGCTCTTCCAGGTTCTGTTCTTCCTCTCCAGTATACTTAGTGGCAACGGATTAGGAGTAGGTTTGTGAAGTTATTTGATTCCTGAGAGAGAAAGGTCAACATCATACATACAACACAAGAGAATATAAAAAGTTAGATATTTATTGCCTGCAAAGGGATGACTTACCTTGAATACAATCTTGTTTGTTCTTTTATGTCATGGTGTTTACTGGTGCAGTTTTTTATTGCGATCAGGTCAACCTCAACTCTTCAAGTCATGCATAACATGATTGCAGTTCTGAGAAATTCAGAGCAGTTTATGAACTTTCTTACAAACTAAACTTTGTTTTACAATGAATAAATGACTGGAATTTCCATATCTTACCAGGAAACAAATTCCACAATAAATGCAGCAATCACCATCCTCCTATCTACCATGATTAGACCAATAGGCTCAGCCAGAGAAAACAACAGAAGCTGTTAATGGTCCATATTTTTAACAATGTGTCAACTAAAAGGACCAGCCTTCTACTGGACCAGCGAGAGTGAACATCACCTCACTGCTACATAAATGGGCAAAAGACAAAAGGTATTAAGAACCAGAAAAGGAACCAACCAAGCTAATTCTTTGAGCAAGCTCAATCTCGAAGCTGTCAACTATACATGGTTGAAAACCCGCCATGCATCACTTTGCTGACGCTTGGTTGGATCTTTTGTGAATGGACATCTGCGTGTCCACGTGATTGAATGAACTCAACTGTCGGCTCAAGTGAAAAACCAGTTGCAGGACAAAGGTTGGCCTTATAATAAATGACGAATTGAACATGATGGGCACCAGAATGAACAAGTTGGGTGACCGATATAGATGCAGAAACAAAGAGCATCCAAAGGTGCTTAAAGTTGAGCAAAGCAACTTCAATATCCCCAGCTAACAATGTCTTGTCACTAATGCAAAATCACATCCATAACTAATACTTCGCATGGGAAGTGGGAACATAGTATTTCAATCACCGACAATCCAACCTCTCCCAATCACTAAGAATTGAGAACTGAGCTGACTTCAGCCACCATTTTCACCAATGGAAGGAGATTACAGTCAGAACTTGGAGCACATTACGGATCAGTCATACTAACAAGAACTCTTTCTCAAAACTGGACAGTGAAAACCTGAGATTCTACTGCATCAAACTGACAGTCAGAATCCAACAACTCATCAATTCATCATTAAAGGCATAAAAGAACCGATTCACCATGCTCAACCAACAATGCGTTATGGAAACACAAGAGCCCGACATGTGCATAGCATAGCACAACCGAATTGGAGACATCGTACAGTCGAGATGTAAATTACAAAACTCAACACTACACATAAGAATGAATCTCATCTGACAGCGGTTCACCATGCATGAATTTCACAAAGCACAGCACTAGACATGGAAACATACATAGTTTCTAAAGTTAGAATGACCTAGCCTCACTGGTTCTCGTACCGCCGAAAACACGAGCACAACATATACCGAAATCGATTCACATCAATCAGTCCGTTCCTTGTGTTCTATACTTGAATTGCTGAGTATGATCACACCAACTACAATGAGGAATGCACCAGCAAACCACTGGAATGGAAAAAGAAAACAAGCAACCCAATGTGGTTAGGCAAACAAAAAAGATCCCACTTTAGCTCTCAGCCTACAGAAAAAAAGCAATTAATTGATCAGGGGGGTCGTGTCAGTTAATGAATTATGCCCTATACTTTACCTTACTGGACAAGCTTTCATTGAACAGGAAGGACCCAGCAAGGCCAGAGGAGATGAAATTGGTGGCGAAGTTCGTAACAGTAGCTTGTAGGGACGAGAGAGCCTTGAGGCTATTAACATAACAACCCCACATCGTGACATTAAACACCACCACCAGGCCGTATCGAATAATCTGCAGCAAGTGGGAGAAAAGTGAAAACACTAGGCCATAGATTAAACTGCCACATATATGAAAGTGAAAAACAATTGGGGAGGAAAGTTTAATTGCACGGAGACCTGCAAAACTAGTACTGATAACATCCGGGAGATCAGGGAAAAGGGGATATTCGATCTGGTTGTACGTTTTAACAGTGTAGCTCAGTGGGGGGAAAGGGGGAGAAGAGAATAAGAATAATTACGTAGAAAGAGAAGAACTTGGCGGCAATGGCGGCAATGGCGGCAAAGGCGGCGTTGAGGCCGGCGAATACAGCAAAGGCGTAACCTTTTCCCTTCCTGCCGGCGACACCCATTGATCAAAACAGATCAAGAAGTCGTCTGCGCTCGAAATGTTTGATTGCAGAAAAGACGCAGAGACTGAAACCAGTAGCACTTGCTGAGTGAGAGAGGAGGATGAAGACAGCTGCAACGACGCCGTTTACTTTGGTAGTGCAACTGGAAGCGCCAACTGGATGGGACTTTGGGGTACCTGGCTAATTGGTCGCTGATGAACTGGTCACTAAAAATTTCCAAAAATACCAAACTACTAACTAGTCAACTCCTAATATTAACCAGAGAACTTAAATAGTTCACAAAGCAAAGCAAAATTTTGATATGAACCAACACGTCTAAATTTAATTCCAACTTATTCGAACTTCTAAAGTTTGAAAATTAGTGACGTTATCTTGTCATCAATGATCTATATCGACTCGTTTCAATCCAAAAAATTTCATTTTGCTATATGAATGTGAGAATATGCAGTTTATAAATCTTAAACTAGACCCAAATCCAACATATATCAACAATTTGGATGAGCTCAAAGCTATGGCTATTGATTAATTAACCCTTAAACCCGGAAGGATCATTTAGAAATCTTAAACGATAATTCAACCAACAGATACAGACTTCTAGTCCAATGATACTGAAATTAATTTCGTCCGGTGAATTCCTACCTGTTTCAATCCTCCATTAAAACCAGAAAACTGACCATCAGTTTTAGACCAGCAGTCGAATTGAGCCTCCTGCAGAAAGGATAGGGGAGAAATTTATTGTTCTGGGATGAAGACGAAGAAGAAGACTGGTTACACAACCACCATTTTGTTTCCCAGTACACACTGACACAGCAAAAGCTTCCCCCACCACCATCCCATTTTATTGAAGGGCTGCAACATTATAGCTAGGAACTAGTAACAATGAACACTCAGCATAGGTCAAAAGATTCAATCACATTCTGAAATTTCTAACCAAGAACTGAAGAACACCACTCTACTGTCCTCAGCAGCAGTTTTATTATGCAAATGCCATTTACACCATACATCAGTTACTTAACCACATAAGCAGATCCTCCCCTCACCATCATTTCAGCTATACCGCTAGCTTTTCGCACCTTTCTTTCAACATACAAGAAGGAAGGCTCCTTGCCGCAGTAAAGCCAGAATGAAACGGAGTCATGCCCACTTCTAGATTTGTGACCAGGGCAGAGGCTCACTCGCTGTTAATCTGCAATGCAAATTAAAAGTTCAGAGTCGTATATTGTTCCGTCTCTTGTATGATGCTGTGTGAGAAGGGATCTTGTTATGAACCATAATCCTAAGCTGGAAGCAAAAGGGGTTTGGAAAGACCAGAATGGCTAAGTGGATGGCAAGCCTAAGCCGAGAGGCAGACCTGATTGAGAGGGTTGTCTGGAGACTTCTTCCACATCTTCCAAATCATGTCCTTGTATTGATTGTGAGTTAGTCCTGGCTTCTCTTCCTTCAGCTTTGGGAGTTCAGCTTCTTCAAAAGCCTATTGCAGGTTGAAAGCAAAGATGGAACAGAATCAACAGATGACAAGAATGAAAAACAATATATATGAACCTCAATAGGCAGGCAGATTTACAATAAAAAAGTAAAGGTGCAAGGATGGTGAATTGAACACAGAACAGTAAACAAAGAAGCCTAAGTTACAGGAAATTTGCTGAATGCTTTACCCCCAAACATGACACCAAACAAGGAATGCACAAAGAAACACAAGAACCAGCATCCTAAACTATCCATCTGAAAGAAACCGAAACAAGCATCGGGCTAGCAGAAGAAGTCTTGTCACAACGATTTGTAACTAACGAGAAAAGCAACTAACTAACATGAATTGCCTCGCTCGTCACCGTTTGTCATTCGTCCAAGAAATCCAAACAGTTCCAGGGCAGATAAAAGACCGACAAATCAATGACAAAGATTCTACAAGTTTTTATAAGAACCGACAAACCTAGGAGCTATGGAAAACAAAGAAAGTACAATGTTGATATAAAATGCATCATCATTCGTAAATAATAAATCAGGAGAAGCAATTGCATCATAATTGAGCAGGCCAGTATGAAATAACAATGTGAGCAACAAAGGTTACAGTAACATTTCTAGCAAGTGAGAGAGCACTCCAACTAGGACCGAATGTTATCAGGACTAAACAGCATGCTAGCTATTCGATGATGCCCTCAATGCTCAGGATACTCTCCAGTTGATCATCCACCAAGGACTGATCAATAACCTCAAACACGGCATCCACACCTTACCCAATTGGAGTCCAGTGGCATTCGCAAGTAATGTACTGGGCAAGCATTCAGGGCCAGATATACATCCGAAAACTTCCCCATCTAAACGAAAGGTCACCCTTCTCATTCTTACCTGAACACCAACCCCCCCTTTGGCCAACCAAAAGAAACAAAACAAAACTTCCACCTTTCACTATCAGCTCCTCCATCATGAGCTTCACTATTCCAGCTCATAATCACAGTGATCAAATCCACCTCGATCGCAGCAACCATTACCCTAAGCTTATCAGGTCATGATCCTCATAATTCTCCAATTCAATACTACCCAATTGCACAATCATTCTCTTCTCACTCCAATAACAAAAGAAGAAGAATAAACACACCTTAAACGAAGCTTTGAGTCTCCTCTCGGGATGGCGATCAACGGGCAAGCTCTCCGCAACAGTCAAGTGAGCAATAGCATCCTCCACGGTCCTCGCATCAATAATCGAATCATCGCGATTCGTGTTTTCGACCAGCACCAGCCTCTCGTACTCTTCCTCCTCCGCGGTCCTCGTCTGCTTCTTCTTCGCCTCTTCGGACTTCTTCTCCAGCGCCGCCTGCTCCTGCTCCCTCCTCCTCCTCAGCTCCGCCTCCGTCACCTTGGGAACCGGAATCGAGACACGCGTCGCCTTCTTGTCCACCTTCTTGAGCGACTTCTCCAGCTCCTTCTCCTCCAGCTCCGCCAGCCGCTTCGCCTCCGCCTTGCGCGCCGCGGCCTCCGCGCGCTTCTCTTCTTCCTCCTCCCGCTTCTTGGCCGCGCGGGACTTCGGGCCCTCCGCTTCCTTCCAATACTTCTCCTCCTTCTCCCGCGCCTCCCGCTGCTTCTTCTCGCTCTCCGTCGCGTTCTTCCGCGCCCTGGCCTCCTCGGCCTTGCTGTTCACCCCCATCTTCTTCGGCATGGTCCCGCGATTCCGATTGGATTCAGAGCGATGCCTGAATCTTGGCCGCCGATTACTAAACGAATCGGCAAGATTTCGTCGGGGATTGAATTTGTTGGGGAAGGCTTCAGAATTTTGAGAACGTCGTCAATCAGGAAAACAAACGTACGAGAAGGAAGAGGGATTTTATCGTCGGCGTCATTCGTCGCCGATTTCTGTGGGCCCATTGAAAGAACGGGCCTGGTGGTCTGGTGGAGCAGGTTAGTTTGGATTGACTTTCGTCTGTCTATGTTGGGCTTGGTTTGGCGTACAGTAAACAATTGGGCTTTCTCAACTACACTCCTTTATTGTTTTCTTTTTATTTGTTTTTTAGTGTACATTAAACCGTACCGTACCGGCGGTTCAACCACGAAATACCAGTATCGGAGGCTAAACCGATATGCGACATTTACCGGTATAACGGTTGAACTACTGTTAAACCACGATTTTACCATAAAATACCCTACCGCTGACTTTCCCTATACGGTCTCCGGTACGGTTTCATGGACCATGGTTTTTTTACATGGTTTTCTTTTTATTTGTCAAAAAATAATATTATTTTCTTTTAATCTTTTTTATGATAAGAAACACGGATTTTCCCACATTAGTTCTTAAAAACAAATCCCAAAAATATTATAGAAATTCCCATTACACTTATGTTTTTTTGGCTAAAATCGCACTGGTTAGACGCAATCTCTATTTTCATCGCGGAAGAAAACTACAATCTACCCTAGGTCGCAGTAGTGAACCGTGAGGAAGGATAACTGGAGCAAAACGTTGCTGGACCGCGGCGTGAAGGTCGTCATCATCGCTACGGAGCCACCGACAAACTGGTATTTTCTTTAGGTATCAATCAAACCGAATCCTCTTAAGTACAATGTTATAAATGAATCAAAATGATAAATAAAATAAACAAGTAATGTCGAATGTACTCGTGCATTTTGATGCCGCTCTGATCAGTACATGTTGATTCAATTCAAATCCAAACCGAATCGAACTATGCCCACACCAATTAATACTACCCATAACAATTACTTGATAAATAGGGAATAACTTCGTATTGTACTATTGAGTACCCCATGTGCCAAAGTTTGCCTAATAGTGTCATTAGTCAAGCTGCTTATCCCAACCTAAGCCTAGTCAGTAGTTACACCATCCTAATCTAAATTCCCCACCTACCTTCCAGAAGCCCATCGCTCATAATCGAAATTATTATATGCTTCATTTGGACAAGAATGACAAGTAATTAGCAAAATAAAGTGTTACTACTTAATTATGATATCTTCTTGTATATAGACGTGTTGACACTAATCATTTTTCTCCAAATAGAAAAAAAGAATATTACTAAAAATAAACAGTGGCCAGCCTGTTGATTATAGTTTTTTTTAGAAAATGGGACGTTAGAAGGGCGCCTCTGCATGTTCTACTTAAATTAAACGATTTTGGGCAATGCCCATAGAGTCATACAAAATTCAGAACGATAAACAAGGATCGTTGATCCTAAAAACATGGAAACCTATGCTTACAAGGTGGCCCTTATTGGCCAAGTAGTCTGCTGCCTTGTTGCATTCTCTATAAGTGTGGGAAATCTTAACTTCCCAGCTTTACTGAATTAGTCCCCTCAACTGTTGGACTAGGTTGAAATACTTATGGTCCCTCTGATCTGGTGACGTGAGTATATTGATAGCAGTGGTATAATCCAAATAAAGAAGAACCTTGTGAAAGCCTTCCCTCCACGCCACCTGGAGGCCACGAATCGCCGCTTTGATCTCGACCCTGGTAAATAGTACAAATGCCCAGATTTCGACAAAAGCTCCAACACACCTTCCTGTCCAGTCTCGGATCAAACCTCCCGCTGCTGCAAGCGAATCCGACTGCTTAACTGACCCGTCGGCGTGAATGCTCAGCCACTCCATCGTGGGTGGACTCCATACGAGCTGCTGGGAAGTCTTTGTATGGGGTTGCACATGGGTCGCCTTGTTATTCATTTGAGTAGTGCGGATAGTATTCGTCCAACAGTTAATCCAATGCGCCAGCACATGATTTTCTTGATTCAAGTTGTGGAAAGTCCTTTCATTACGCGTTTCCAGATGATTATAGGTAATTAAGAAGGGCGGGCATCATTAGCCCTCCCACGCATATGGAGTCAAAATTATGAGCAATTTTTTAGGCAAAGCATCTAGTGCTTCTTCATTTTTGTTTACTAATCCATAATTTAGTGTCGAATTCCCCACCGCCAAATGAAAATCTACTAGCAACTACGAAAACGCATCATGAGTCACTGTAAATATTAAAAATATTTATTATATATATATTTATATATAAATTTTACATCGGAACCACGTTAAATGAAATCCTAGCTACGGCTGTTTGTATTCATTCCTCCATGTGAGGGTTAATCCTACCTCAACAGCTTTCGATTATGCTATGGCAGAGCCTTGAACCAGCCGACCTATAACCCCTGTGGGCTGTGGCTGGCTGCAATGTACATACTTGTCCTTCTCCTTCCTTCCTACAAACTCAGCTTTGTCGTCATGTGGTGCTCTGCCTCTCCCTCTGCCACTCTCTGTCTCGACTCTGTTTCCTGCTCTTTTCACCCCATTCTCAGCAACAAATCATTCAAAAAGCTGTGACAGCAAAACACGCCATATAACAGAAGCCCTTTTTACCTCTCAATCGTTTTCAATGTTTTCTCCGTTACGTTCCTTTCCCCCCGCCGCGCTGGTGCTTCCCATCACTTGGGTTCCATTGTCGCTGGGATGTCTCCCGCTGCTGGAATTCAACTGTTTGTGGATCACAGAACAAACGGGTTACATTATTGTGTTAGTTACTACGTTCTAATTTCAATCTCAAGTAAGACAACAGATTAAGTTAAGATTTCGGATCTTGACGATGATTCTACACCAGCAAAAAAAACAGAGCATAATTCTAGTCAGCGCGAACCTCCGGCGAAGAACGAAGAGGCCGACTGCATCAGCGCTTGTAGTATCACAGAAATGGTAAATCGTGTGCCCTGGCTTTTGGGTAGTAGACGTAACCGTATCCAACTGAGATCTCGCAACAAGAAGCCTTTCCCTAGGCTGGGATGGAGAATCTCTTGTCTTTTTTCGGGTCATAGCTTTATCAAAATCAACCGTCGTCACTTACAAGTATACGGCAATGTAGATCGACGGTCAAGATTCTCATGCTGCCCCATTTGCAGATACTTATAGATACGATCTCACAATAAGAAAATATAAAATTTTGATTATTGATTGTAAACATCTCAATATTGATTGATGTGTCTTCTCCACCAGCAAGATGACCAGCTTCAATATTTTAATATGGAGGAGGGTTGGATACTTTGGATTGGATATCTTGTCTTGAAAAGGGGTTGGGGAAGAATTTTCAGTTAACCCATTGAAAATATTTTTATTTTTTTTGGCTATCTTTTACAATAGCAACAACCATAGTGGTTTGGGATTTAAGGAGATTTTTTTGAGAATTTGAATATAATCCTCATGTATATTTTCTCGAATAATTTCTCTTGTTTTTCGGTATGTTTGGTATTTCAATCAACGAGAAATGAAATATTTCCTATTACAATCGGATTATGCAAGATTATCTATCATATGGTCACAATTGACAAAGAGTCTCGTGACGTGCCATTCCTACCGTTCCATATCCGCCTATAAGTGTTACTAACAACTACCTCACAAGTCATCGAGAGATAAGGGGTTATAAAGGACCACATTGGAAAAGAGTCGTGAGATTAATTAATAAAGTCACTTCCTTAATGCGTTTCGTCCTATGATGGCTTTATATTCAAAGTTTATGGCTAATCTTACGAGATCTTCTTACACTCTCATAATTATGATGCACTGTGGTCGCAACAAATCATCTATATAGGTTATATCTGAACAACATTTTATTCGTGACAAACCTGGAGTATGAATTTTTATTTTATTTTTATAAAGGTGAAATACATTTAGGAATACAGTCAAGAATTCAAAAAAGCTGCAGATCCAAGAGAGGAAGAGCAGCGAGAAACCAAAAAAAAAAGGGGAAGAGGGAGACTCCAATGCCAAACAGCAAGCTAACAACAAAACCCAAGCCCAACAGAAAGTTAATCAAGCAAAAAACATCACTCAACCAGAGGCGACAGGGGCCACACAAGCAGCAAAACACAGATCAGCGAGGAAGATCTACAGCGCCAGCACCCTCTCCCTGCTTGAAAGCATCAGGTTCTGGTCGGTATTTGGGAGGAGGCGAGATTTCAGATTACAATACCAGAAGTTAGCCTCCACCCTATCAACCTTCTCTCCTGCAATCAACCAATCGACAATTGGCCTTGCGATTCTGATGCAAACAACGTTTGGCAGCTCTTTGTGCCCTCTGAAAATCCTGGAATTTCTCTCAAGCCACATACACCAGCAGTAGGCATGGAGAAAGACGCTAGAGCACCACTCCTTGGCATTGTTAGGATGTCTATCCCGCCAGTTCTTGATCGTAGAGGAGATGTCCAAGTTTCCCGTATTGATCTGAACAAAAGCACTCATCATTCTCCAAACGTCTGTAGAGGAGATGTCCAAGTTTCCCGTATTGATCTGAACAAAAGCACTCATCATTCTCCAAACGTCTTTAGCGAAGCATGAAAATTTTAGAAACAAGTCAAATTTTCAAATCATCTTGATTTTGAAAAATCCTTAAATTATGTTTTGGAAATTAAAAAAAAATGAATATTCATAAACATATGATTTTCACCACCACACTATTCCATAAAAAAAAAAGTACGAGTTCCCAAACTAATTAATTCAAAGTGGGTGGAACAAGTAGATAAGGATTGATGAAATTTTTTGGCAAACTTCAAACTAGAGGAAGGCCAAGAAGATACTTCTTTTCTTTTCATACTAATCATCCTAGTTTTTAACATTTTCTTTACCTTAACACCAGCAGTTTAATTAATGCGCACTGAAAATTTTGAGGATATGATGAGTCAGTCAACTCAAGTCAGACCTCTTAATTGCACTTAAGAAAGCCCAAATCAAGCCCTTCGTAACCCGAGTCCATTCATCACTAACCTGAGACCGTTCCCTTCCTATCCCTCCCCCTCTCCCGCCGTAGTAGTACTAACAATTTGGTCCGGAACTGTTTGGTTTTACCCGAAACCGGACCGTATAATCCGGATCGGGATCGGATTGGGACCGAATAGCAAACAATCCAATTTCATATTCGGGCTTAGATTTGAGGTAAAAAAAACCCGGATAAAGACCGGATAAGAGACCCCAACACTCAAATCCCCACAAGCTCAATATAAAATCAAAATCAAATTGGGACCGGACCTGGTCAAGACCAGACCGGATCAAAACCGGAGTGTATACAATCCAATCTTTGGTACTTATATTCCTGAAAAGACCGGACTGAGATCGGATCAATTTGGTCCAATTTAACCGGACCGAAACGTATAGCCACCCCTACGCCGCAGCCACATCAGCACTTCCTCCGCCACGTGGCCCAATATATAATAATAAATTAAAGCCGAAGAAGAAAGAGAAAAAGCGGGAAGATAAAAAAAAAAAGGGGAGGGAAGGTGGTGGGGGGCCCACAAGAAAAAGGAAGACTGTCGGGGCTGCGATTCGAAGCCCTCTTGTTACGGAAAAGACAGCCTGCCCCGAGGCAGTAAAATGAAAATAAAAATTCAGTGGCTAAAAAAAGGAAACGAGAAGTAGCCTATTCTCTCTCTGCAAATCCCAAATCCGAGAGTTGCAGGAGGAGAAGAAGAGAAGAGAGCATTCCCTTTCCTTTTCTTCTTCTTCTTCTTCGTTTCCCTTTTCCCGATTCAGTAGACAATGTGAGAATGTGCTGCGGCTGAGGTTTAACAGATACAGATAGAGAGGTTTGTTCGTTTGGGGTACTTTTCCCCCCCGGTTTATTTAAGCTCGCCGGAGATCGATGGCGAGCATGTCATCGGACGAGAGCGAGGAGAGATGCGGAAGCTACAGCTTGAGCGCGGACGTCAGCGAGTCGGAGAGCTGCAGCAGCTTCTCCTGCCGCAGGTTCGACGGCGTCGAGGGTGCTTCCAGCTCCGTGACCCCGTCTCCTCGCGGCGGCGGAGCAAATTTCTGCTTCCCGGCAGCGGGGTTGATGCTGCCTGTCATCGGCGGCGTGGGTAAGGATCTGGGTTGGGACGGGAAAGCTCAGAAGCGGGGCGATGGCGATTTGTCTGGTACATTTTTGAAACCACAAATCTTATCCTCGCCTTCTAATTTTCTTTTGGTTGAGAAGATTTCAGTTTTCCGAGATTCGAGTTTCTTTCCAGAACTATTATTAGGTTAAGAGGAGTAATGGGGGATCTGATTTGTGACTCTGGTAAATACTTGTGTGCAGAGGTTGAAATGATGATGGAGAGATTCGCAAAGCTGCTATTGGGGGAGGACATGTCTGGGAGTGGGAAAGGAGTCTGCACCGCACTCGCCATTTCAAACGCCATTACCAATCTCTCTGGTTCGCCACTCTCCAATCTCTCTACTTCTTAGTTCTTACCCAGTTCTTCTACTTTTTCGGCGTTTTCTAAAGATGGGTTGTTTCTTGCGATCAGCTACTGTGTTCGGCGAGCTATGGAGGCTAGAGCCACTGGCGACACAGAAGAAATCAATGTGGCGGAGAGAAATGGAGTGGCTGCTCTGCGTGAGCGATTCCATAGTCGAGCTCGTGCCTTCGATTCAGAAGTTCCCCGGCGGGGGCACATACGAGATCATGGCAAGTCGGCCTCGGTCCGATCTGTACATGAACCTCCCGGCATTGAAGAAGCTCGATGCAATGTTGATCGGGATGCTCGAGGAGTTCAGAGAGACGGAGTTCTGGTACGTCGATCGAGGGATCGTTGTGGCGGAGGAGCGAGACGAGTATGGTTTGTATCCGCCTGGTTTCTCCGGTGGTCGGCCTTCGATTCGGCAGGAAGAGAAGTGGTGGCTGCCTTGTCCGAAAGTGCCTCCAAATGGGCTTTCGGAAGAGGCGAGGAAGAAGTTGCAGCAGTTTAGGGATTGCACTAATCAGATACTGAAGGCTGCCATGGCGATCAATAGCAGTGTGCTTGCTGAGATGGAAATTCCTTCTGCATACTTGGAGACATTACCAAAGGTAGTTGGCCAAAGTTTCTTCCTTCTATTGTTCTTTATGCTCATGCTCATGCTCTATTGGTTTTGAACATCAATTTTGGTTTTAAATAGAGTGGCAGAGCTTGCTTGGGTGACGTCATTTACCGGTACATAACGGCTGAGCACTTCTCGCCGGAAGCTCTTCTCGACCACCTGGATGTCACGACGGAGCATCTCGCCACTGAAATTGCCAACAAGATCGAAGCGGCATTGCATGTTTGGAAGAGGAAGGTCCAGAAGAAGCACAACAAAGGTCTTCCGAGAGGTCAGAAGCATCATCCATCTATTTTGGTCGATGTCTCCAAGGCTCGAATCCAAGATCATAGGCGTTCAACGTTAGGAAGCAAGGTGAAGGGTCTGGTTGTTGCTAATGGCGAAAATAAGCATTGCTTGGCTCAAAGGGCAGAGACCTTATTGCTCTGCTTGCACCTACGTTTTCCGGGTCTCCCACAGACTGCCCTAGACATGAACAAGATTCAGTACAACAAGGTATATTCAGCTTCCATCCACCTTAATCTTCTTGAAATGATTCATGGATATCTATACTCTCGATTATTGAAAGCGGTTTGCCACTTCTCTTTCATTGCAGGATGTTGGGCAGTCGATTCTGGAAAGCTATTCGAGAGTGATGGAGAGCTTAGCATTCAACATCATGGCGAGGATCGACGATGTTGTTTTTGTGGACGATGCCACAAAGCAATGTGTTGCAGAAGAAGCTGCAGCTGCTTCCGTCTTCAACAGAGGCGGTTTAGGTGGACTCCCCATTCAGAAGCGGATGTCACCTAGCCCCTTCTCGATCCAGCACAGCCCTTTTACTTCTCCATTTGCCACCCCGACTTTCTGCTCGTCGACCCCACTGGGTGGCAGCCCAGAAAGGCAACTGCAGGTGTTGAACAGAAGCAATCCAGAGGATCGGAAGCTAGGGAAGCCATTCCCATTGGAGTATGACAAGATTTGGACTTACACTGGCAACCTGAGTGCACGGAGAGTTTCTTCTGGAGATGCCCCGGAGAGAGATTGACAACTTGCAAAGTATTCGAAGATTCTGCCGAATCACTCTCCTCGTGATGCCTCGATAATAGTTTATAGTAGAAGAATGGATAGATGGGTAGTAGAATTGGTGGTAGCATCTAACCTTGTATATGTTTTAGCAATAGAAGAACCTTGTTAAAATTTTGGTTATGTCCCTTTTCCTTATCAACTTCTAGTTGAGGAAATAGGTTTACTCATGTCTATCTCTGTTGACTTGTAAGTTATAACTCTATCCTACCTTAATTGAGCCTTTCTCATGCCAATTTGGAAAGTGTCTCCCCTGTTCTTAAAGCCTAAAATTCACAAGCAGTCAAAGCATATTCAAGCACCAAACTTCGACATAGAAATATCGAAACATTCTTGTTTCTATTTGCCAGCAGAATGCTCACAGGTCTGTACAGATTTATTACGAGAAAGTAGGTTACAGATAAATAACTACAGAAGGATATAATCTATCATGGAAGAAATAAACAAATCTTGAAAAGAACCATAGCCAAGAAATCAAACGATCCCAAGCTTGTATACAATGCCTGTTTCTGCTGTACAAAACATGTAGCATGACAGGCAGCGACTCGGATTAACTCCGGAAGATTCAGCTTTTGAAAGAGAAGGTCAATCGATCAATGAAATGAGGATCATAAAGACCATACTGAGAAGAGACTTCTTCAGCTCCAAAGTTTGCAATTACGGTATACATACACTACCATCGACGAGAAGCCCAGTTCTTTGAGGGCAATGTCAGACTTATAAGAAGCCCAGTTCTTTGAGGGCAATGTCAGACTTATAAGTGTCAATTGATTCAGAGGAAGTGGTCATTATAGGAAAGTTACCGGTCGTAGATACTCATTGGTCTTAACTATCAAACAGGTTGCCATGAATCCACCAGGACAGTAAAGGGGATCATCAACTTCACAGGGACAACCCTTCTGCTTGCTTTTCAAGATCCACCTGTTTCAACAGTCAAATGAGAATTGATACGATAATCTGGGGACTCCTTCAAGAGACACCATAAACTAAACCCGGAAAATCATATCAATTCATGCATAAGGTAGTAACGGCCACAAGCTGGAAACAGAAACCATCTCTTCAAGTTGTATCGACTATCAAACATACTACTCCAACAATCAAGCAAAGCCGAAAGAGAGGAAACAACGAATACAGATGCAGAAACATCCAGCTACAAACACTTACTTCTGAAGGAGGTGAAAGTAGCCGTCCAGGAGGCTGCCAGAAGATCTTGTAGTACTCGGGATAATTCACCAACGGCCCTATACTACCAGTGTCCAACTCAAAAACACCTATATCACCAGCAACCCACATCCCATCTTCCTCACCCAGTCCACCAATCTCCCTCCCGTAATAGAAATCGTCCACAAAGAATATACAATTCCCCTTGCAGCCATAGAGATCAGAAGACGAGGCAGCAAATGCCGAGACAGAGTCATCACCAATGAACAACACTGTATCTCCCAAGCTTCCCAACTCCACCCAAGTCTTCTCCTCTCCATCCAACCTATAAACCTTGAACCTCACCTTTCTCTCCCTCATATACTGTGCAAGATGCCCCATGAACTCCTCCCCAATGTCGAAATTCTCTTCCCCCGTATCAATGCTCAGATACATATCAACCAACAACAACTGATCCTTCGACGACTGAACCAAATACTTCTTGTCCCCGCCAAACACAGGATTCGCGACAAGAGTCAAGTCGGTGTCTTTACTCACGCTCACAACTTTGCCCGTGTTATCAACTGCCAATAACTTCCCTTTATGAACAATCACATTATCATAAGGCGAACCCGTTTCTCCTGTAATCGTCCATTTCCTATCAGCGCTACTGAAAATCGCTAACTTCCCGGACAGATGAGTGGTGAGCAGAACGAACTCACTTGTTTCTCTTTGGGAATCAGGATCCAACCACATCATCGCCACCTTCTCCATATACTGATCCCCAGCATCGGTAAACGAAGACGAATTGGGCATGTAACCAATGTGACGCAAGACGTACTCCTGACCTAATTCCTTCACGAAAACCTCCCTCAAGTCCAGCAGTCTAGGGAAATTCTCGGGGAGAGATTTCAGAGGATACCTCGAAAGGGGATTCAAGAGGCGCTTTCTACCAGGGATGTCCTCCTCGATCTTCACCAGCCGCCCGCCGAGATGGCGCGAATCGGGCAGCCCGATGAGGTAAACGGTCCTCTTCGACAGGTAGAATCCGATGGAGGTCTTGACGAAATCGTCGCTGGGGAGGATTTGGAATGCTCTGGATAGACGGCAACCCCACGGGGAGGCGGAGGATCGCCAGGAGTTGCAGACGGAGCGGAATCGGAGGAGTTCGGTGGCAGTATCAAGGCGTTTGCTGATTCTCTCAAGGAGATCGCTCGGCAACTGAGACCAGTCCGCCATTGCTGAAAAAGGGAAGAAAAAAGCTCGAGCTTTTGAAAGACCGAACAAATTCTTTTTTTCATCTTCTCTCGTTAAATCCAGTAATATTTCGAGGTTAATAAAAAATCACCCTGTCCTATAGTCTGGATTTGCTGGGCCTAAAAGCCCAAAACTCTCGGCCCATCGTTTCCATAGTCGCGCTTCTGCTTCTTCTTCGTCGTCTTTGGTCTTTCCCTCTCTGGCGGTTCTGCAAAGCTTCTTCTTCCCCTTCTCGCGTTCCCCTTTTGGCTGGTACTTGTTTGCTGCTCTCTGTAGATTCTGGAAGTTTCTAATGGATACCAGGAAGAAGAATGAAGCGCAGAGCAAAGCTACGAAGAAGTTCCCGGCTGGAGTTCTTGGAGCGAACGCTATGATCGAAGGAGCTTCGAGCTTCATTGGTAACATAGTTGAGAAAGGTATTTCGGAAAACGAGTTTACCAAGCCTTTGCGGCCGATTCCGCCGCCTAGCCCCACCGTTCTGCCATTCCCTGTCGCCCGCCACCGTGCGCATGGGCCGGTAAGCGCATAACTCTCTGCTGTTTACGGTCCTTTGTTTCGTAGTTTAAGAAGAATTGGAAGATGAACTGAAGGTGTGAGGTTTTTGAATTTGACAGTACTGGAATGCTATGACCAGCAAGAAGGGAGGGAATGGGAAAGGTACTGGTGATGAAGGTGAAGAAGAAGAAGAGGAGGAGGATAATGATCCTACTGATTATGACCCAATTTCGGCTTTAGCCAATCCGGTAGAGAGGAAGGAGAAGAAGGGTTTGGATGTTAGTCGTTGGAAAGAGCTTGCGCGTGAGAGTTCTTCGGAGGAGGGTAAGGTGCAAGAGAATAGATTGCGCCAAAAGAGTACCAAAAAGCTGAAGAAGGATGGAAAAGGAGGTGGAAATGTTAATAGCAAGTCCGCTGTAGGTAATGAGGTTCCAATGGAAGTGGACTTGGTGCCCGATAGGAGTTTGTCGGTTCGCCAAACTGAAGTGGACGAGCCTTCCTTGTCTGGTGAAGTTGATTTCACAGTAGAGAAGCCTCTGAGAGTGAAGAAGACAAATCCTGTGATTTCGGAAAAGCCGAGGAAGCAGGAGCAAGGAACTTCAAATGGAGCTCCTAGTTCTCTATTGAATGGTAGTGGAGTTGCGCAAAGGTCTATGTCGCTTGAGAGTGAGATTGATGTGGAAAATCGTGCTCGGTTACAGAATATGTCATCTGAAGAGATTGCAGAAGCACAGGCTGAGATAATGGAGAAGATGAATCCGTCACTGCTGAACTTACTGAAAAAGAGAGGTCAACAAAAATTGAAGCAGCAGAATGTTTCAAAATTAGATGTGGCGATGAAAAGTCAACCTGCTAATGGTTCATCAATCAAAGATTCAAGTGCTCATTCACGTGTAGCAAATGATCGTCCTAATGTGATAAAAAATCATAACCTGAATGATAAAAATCCTGAAACACCTGGCACTACGTCATGGAATGCTTGGAGTGACAGAGTGGAGGCTGCTAGGGGAGTAAGATTTTCTTATGAGGGGAATGTCATCCCTGAAGATTTTGAGACTGGTAAATCTGACTGTTGTATCTCTTTTTCTATGTTTATTAGGCTTCCTTCAAATGCAGGTTAAGTATTAGGCTTAGTGATGCTTAATGGAAGTAATGCCTGCCATTAAGTATTACTGACTGCTTTAGTTATGTTTGGTATGCTGTAGATCAAAGGCCAACCAATTACTACTATCTACATGTTTACCATGATTAGAGGCTACAAAGTGTTGGCTCATTGCATGCTTTTGCTGAATTGGAGTTAGTCACTAAGTATTTTCTTCCTTTTTGTGCGGAGTTTCATTTTGCTTAAATTACCAAAATGTTAGGTATGCAATACAAATGTCTTCTTCTTTGGAAAGAGGAATTTTAAATTTGCTAAAGCATGGGGTGGTGTTTGCTCTATTATTCTTTGATTCATACAAGTATGTGCCTCACACTTTAGGGTCATTGTTCGCATAGGAGAGACAGTTTTTATTTTTAACAGGCCTGCTTCATTTTGTAGGTAACATACCCAATGATGCTGGCCTAGCTGATAGTTTAGCAGAACGTGACTACCTACGAACCGATGGGGACCCTGGAGCTGCTGGTTACTCGATTAAAGAAGCTGTGCAATTGACGAGAAGTGTGGTTAGTTAAAATAATGTGTACTCCCGTATGTTCTGTTATTAAATAGAATAGTATCTCAGTCTCAGGCGACAGAGTTGATTCAAAAGGGGGAAAAAGAGGGGGAAAAAGAGAGAAACAGAGGTAACATTGGGTGTTTCTTATTTCCTCCTTCACACATCTTAACCCTGTATGCATTTTCTTGATCGTTTCAGATACCAGGACAACGTGGCCTTGCATTGAATCTCCTTGCATCTGTGCTTAATAAAGCAATACATAATATTAGACAGAAGGAGGTTGGGAGTACTGCAAGCAGTGCTGAGCAAGTAGACAAGTTGACTGTTGATTGGGAGGCTATTTGGGCTTATGCTCTTGGCCCTGAACCTGAGCTTGTCTTCGCTTTAAGGTGAGTGAGATGCTCACATTGTTCTAGTTTGGGATTTCTGAATCACCTGGATTTTTATAATATGTATACGTTCATCCTACTGCTGGCTATCATTGTGATGATGCATCTGACTTGGTGCTTCTGTGACTCTGTAGAATTTGTCTGGATGACAACCATAGTTCAGTGGTTTTAGCATGCGCAAGAGTTATTCAGTGTGTGCTGAGTTATGACTTGAATGAGAGTTTCTTCCAGACGTCAGAGGTAAAGTTACATTGCAATTCTCTTCCCTTCAAGATCTGTTCATCGTTTACTTGATTTCAATCCCTGGTCTTTCAGAAAATAGGAACTTATGACAAGAATCTCTTCACTGCCCCTGTATTTCGAAGCAAACCAGAGATCGATGGTGGTTGCCTTCATGGTGGTTTTTGGAAGTATAGTACAAAACCTTCTAATCTTAAAGCTTATGCTGAGGGAATGATGGACGATGGAAATGAAGAGGAACCGACCCTTAAGGATGATATCTTTGTTGCTGGCCAAGACGTAGCAGCTGGTTTGGTTAGGATGGATATTATTCCTAGGATGCGATACCTTTTGGAGGTAGTATATCTATCACACTCGTTCGTGTTTTGAGTCTCAAATTGGGGGCTACATACATATAACTCCATGTCGATAACTTTGATTCAGGCCAATCCTACAGATGCTTTGGAAGAATGCATAATGTCTATAGTCGTTGCATTAGCAAGGCATTCTCCAACATGTGCAGCGATCATTATGAACTGCCAAGGTCTTGTTAGGACCGTTGTTGAAAGATTTGGGATGGATAGCAATATGGATATTCGTCCTTCAAAGATAAAGTCAATTAGGCTTATGAAGGTAAGCAGTGATGGTACTTTCTAGCTTGTCATCGAATGCAAATATATAATATCTCTTTATTTTTTAAATACAGGTGTTAGCTCAATCAGAAAAGAAAAACTGTATACACTTCATGAATGATGGGTCTTTCTCTGCTATGACACGATACCTTTATTGGTACACTTCCTCCCTTGATGAATGGGTGAAGTCAGGCAAGGAGAATTGTGGTCTTTCATCTGCTTTGAAGGTTGAACAGCTGCAGTTTTGGAAAGTGTGCATCAATTATGGGTTTTGTATATCGGATTTCCCCGATATCTTTCCAGCCCTGTGTTTCTGGTTGAATCCACCTAATTTCGAGAAACTTGTGGAGAAAAATGTTGTCTGTGAATTTGCTTCCATTTCAAAGGAGGCATACCTTGTCTTGGAAGCTCTGGCTAGAAAACTCCCGAACTTTTATTCCCAGAAACAGCAGCCGCCCAGTGGAAGCTCAGATGAGCATGAATCTTGGTCATGGAACTATGTCACTCCAGTTGTTGATTTAGCATTAAAATGGATGAAATCGAAATCTGATCCATGCATTTCTGAACTCATTGAGTCCGCGAAAGGAATGAAGGTCGAGATTGATTTCCAGGATTCATCATTGAGTTCTTTGCTGTCTGTGTACTCTGCTGTCATGCATATGCTTTGTACTTTACTTCTTAGAGTGAAACCAGACAACACCAGAATTCCGGAAGATAATATCCGACATGTACCCTGGCTTCCAGAGTTTGTTCCTAAGGTTGGACTTGAACTCATACAAAATGGGTTCTTGGGACAAGAAGAGAATTTTGGAGGTATTAGCTCTTTCGTAGCGGAACTTTGTAGATTGAGACAACAGAACCAAGAAATATCATTAGCTTCTGTGTCTTGTCTAAATGCCATACTACTACTTGTACGTTCCATTGATGCCTTGATCCAGTCAGCCAAGAGCAGGATCGATCAACCCACCTCCCAAGGATACAGCTCCTCAAGAGAAGGAAAATTGCTGGAAGAAGGAATGTTGAAGACATCTATGGTTGAGCTAAGATATCTGCTTGATACATTTACTAAGTTTGTTGCTCAAGAATGGGAGCTTGTGCAATCGGTCGAGGTATTTGGTAGAGGAGGAACTGCCCCTGGAGTGGGACTTGGATGGGGTGCCTCTGGTGGAGGATTTTGGTCATTGGCTGTTCTTTTGGCTCAGGCTGATGCAAAATTGTTAATCGACTTGCTCGAAGTCGTATCCAGCTTAGGTTTGGCGGCAGATAGAGAAATGACATCCACAGCTCACAGAATTAATTATGTGCTAAGAGTATGCTTAACTGTTGGACCTAGAGATACAGACACTGCAGAAAAGGCGATCGATACTTTACTCCAAGTACAAGTTCTTAAATATCTTAATGTCTGTACTCAGCGTTCGTTTCAGTCAAACCAGGGAGGAACACACTCTTTGTTGTGGCAATATACTGAAGAGGAGTATCAGCGTTTCAGCAAGACACTATCTTCTCACTTTAGAAGCAGATGGTTATCTGAAAAGAAGAAATCCAAACCTCTAGATGGAAATAAGTCAAGTAGTAAAAGAGCTTCTTTGGAGACCATTCATGAAGAGGACATCGGTACATCGACTTCATTTACCATTGAGTGGGCTCGCCAGAGACTGCCTCTTCCAATGCATTGGTTTTTTAGTCCAATCTCTGAGAAGAAAGAGTCCACCAATGATGCGCTAGAAGTCGTCAAGTCCGGCCTCTTCTTTCTTCTCAGCTTAGAAGCAATGTGTAGTCTTCTACCTAATGATGCCAAGTGTCCTGTTCGAGACACACCTTTGGTCTGGAAGTTGCATTCTTTGTCAGCTGCATTACTTTTCCGAATGGATGTGCTGGACGATGACAGGAGTAAAGACATTTTCGAAGTCTTGCAGAATCTTTATGGTCAGGTTCTTGATGAAAGTAGGAAGGAAACTCACGTGGAATCTCTGAGGTTCAAAACAGAGATTGCTGATATCTATACCACGTTTCTGGAAGCTCTTGTGGACAAATTTGCTTCCGACTCTTATGGTGATATAATTTTTGGTAGACAGATTGCTATGTATCTACATCGTTGCACAGAAACTCCTGTCAGACTTGCTGCCTGGACTGTACTCAGCAATGCTCGTGTTCTTGAGATTCTGCCACCATTGGACAAGTGTGTTGGAAAGCCAGAAGGCTACCTTGAACCTGTCGAGGTAAAGTCTGTTAAGTTATCATCTGATTAACTGTCCATTTCTCATTTTATTGCGTCAAGTGTTCTGTTGTAATCTGCCTTGGTTCTTCTGCTGCAGAACAATGAAGCTGTTCTTCAAGGTTATGTGAAGTCGTGGGTTTCTGGTGCTCTAGACCGATCTATAACCAGGGGATCAATGGCGTTTGCTCTGGTTCTTCACCATCTTTCATCTCTTATCTTCCTACCTTGTGCCGAGGATCGTATAGTTCTGAGGAACAAGCTTGCTCAGTCTCTCATCCGTGACTATTCGCAGAAACCAAAACACGAGGTAAGACAGAAATTAATTATTGAAGTTTGTAATCACTAGTAGAACAGTCATCAATCTTTTTCAGATTTTGTATCCAAGTAGTACATACTGGCATGGGATTCAAACCAAACTCGGAGTCGTAGCTCCGCCCATCCAACTTCATTATTAAATCAAAGTTCCATGACCGATTTGTCAGTGACCCTATAGGTTTCTTGCACTTCTTTGTCATTTGAGTCTCACATTTACCCGTAAGATTTCCCTCGATTTGCTGATTTATGTAGCAGCTAAAAGAGAAGCCTGTTCTTATGCTCCCGAGTCCTGATAACAAACACTCATCTTTGTAAACCGATGTTTTCCATCGTCTCTTGTGCACAGGCTATGATGTTGGAGCTGATACAGTACAACTTCCCATCAACATCTCCCTCATCAGTGAGACCGGACGATGATCAGAACGAGGAGCACAGCCGAATTGCGAAGAGATTCGAGGTGCTTGCAGAAGCTTGTGATTCAAACTCCTCTCTGCTCTCTGAAGTGGAGAAGCTGAAGTCTGCTCTTGCTAAGAAACGGATCATGCCTTCCAGCTAGTTGTCCTCAAGACACAAGCTCAGTCCTTCCTGATAACAGAAAGTTTTACACTATGTTTGGGAATGGGTGTAAATGGAAGGGGGTGCAAGTTTGGAGGGGTAAACACAAGTTCCAAGGTGTTTACCCCCGTTTGGTTATTTTGTAACAGTAGGGGGGTGCAAAACGTGAGCGTAAATTCACTGTTTCGGCTTACCCCCCAAATTGGGGTGCAAGGGAAGGAAGGAAGGGGGAAGGGGGAGGAGGGGAATTATGAATTTTTAATTAGATTATAATTACATAATAATTAATATTATTAATTTTTTCTTATATCTATATTAGTGTAGAAGTTGTTTGGGGTTGACCGTTTGACTCAGAGAGCAAGTTTGTCAATGTTCGCCTCGTCAAATCGATATCTCTTAGTTGACCCGAATTTGCATTGAAAATTAGAGATAAGAAGCGTTTGTTGAAAAGATAGAGAGGAACAGTTTAGTTAACTCGATTTACTTTAATAAGTAGTTAAAACTTACAGATTCGAACGTGTTTGACTAAGTTTGACCATATTCAATTTAACGTTAGGCACGAGAACCCCGTTAGGATGACTAGTTACGAGTTGGATTTCGAGTTTCGAGGTTGCTCGACCAATGATTATTATTGTTGTTATAAATAATTATATTTGAGCATTATTATATAATAATTAATTTTATTAAAATTAATTTTATTTATTTTTATTATTATATATTGAATTTTCATGTTATTATTTTGTGATAATATTTTATAAATTGATAAATTTATTTTATAATAATATAATTACTTACTTTTTACTCTATTTGCACCCCCCTACTTTTTCATCCAAACAACAATTTACCCCTCCACTTACACCCTCCACCAAGTTGCACCCCCCAACAATTTACCCCTCAACTTGTACCCCCCTCGAACTTGCACCCCCCTTGTTGCCAAACATAGTGATAAAGGTATTCATCTCAATGCAAAGAGAAAACAGTCACTGATGATGCACCTTTTTAATCTGAAGTAAATTGCCTTTTTATCTTGAAACCCATTTTTAGTAGTAACATGTCTCTGTGTGGTCCGTCTGGTATGGATTAGAGTAGGCCTATTCATTCTCACATGATTTGGGGGGAAAACATGCGAAATAATTAAATTTTTTCTATGGCGAAAAGGGAGAGAATAGCATGACTAGTGAAACAGTCAGCATCAATCGAGATGATAGTTCTATAAATGATGTCAGTACGAGCGACCCTAAAAACTTAAAGAAGTATAAACGACAATCCAACCACATCAACACGAACGAAACGACTTGCCGCCACAACTAGAGGGGCAGCTTGTGACTGAATAACGTGAAGAAAGTAGAGCCATCATTCTGGGACCCGTTTTTGTTTTTTCACAGTGACCCAAAGATTAAAGTATTAGCCCGTAGGGTCAAAGAAGATTTTGGGAAAACGACGGTATGATTTATTTTCAGTACATCTGGAGTGGGTCCTAAGCAAATCCAAGGAGAATCATGTTCATGTAGATTTTTTTTTTCTGTTTAGTAACAATTTAAACCTCTATCAGATCTCGGTTGAATTCGGTTCGACTTAATTCGAACTTCAAAACGACCTTCAGAAAGTCTACTGGTCTGACTCTTAAAAGGGAGAAAAAGATAGGGGGACGAGAGGAAGAGGAACGGAGAAAGGGAGATGATGGATGGGTTACATAGGTTAGGTAGATTTATTTTTTGGAAAATAAGTTTTTAATAGATACATGTAAGATAAATTCCATTTCAATTTTTAATAGAAAACGTCTAAAACGGCTCAAACCGGCTGAACTTCAATCAAACCATTAAACGTCAACCCTTTATTTGACCTATTCAATTACTTAAACCGGTTTGATAATCTTGGTAACAACTAACAACTAGTTTAGGACAAAATCATGTACATGGCCCAAACTCTATAGTTCTCGAGTGAAATTATAAACCCACCAACCAACCCATAAAAAACGTGAAATTGCATGTCCTTCATTGCCAAGTGGATCGCTTTCTACTCATCACAGCTTAAAATATTGGCACTCGTAAATCATCACACGTCTCTCTGCAATTATAAGAAGTGTCACATCCTCTCAAAGTAGTGAGTAAAAACTAGAGAGAGAAAAAAGATGAGGGAACTGAAACTAGAACATGAGCTAGATGAAGAAGAGGCAGCAGCTGGAGTCGAGATATGGAGCTACGTCTTCGGCTTCACCAGGATGGCGGTGGTCAAGTGCGCCGTCGAGCTCGGCATAGCCGACGCCATCGAGAACCACGGACCAGACTCCACGCTATCACTGGGCCAACTCTCGTCCGCACTGAACTGCGACGAACCCTCCCTGTCGCGGATCATGCGTTTCCTGACCCACCACCGCATCTTCGAGGAGAAGCTCGACCCCGACGGCGGTACGGTGGTGGTGGGGTACTCCCAGACGCCCCTCTCCCGTCGCCTGATCAGGCGACGGAAGGGGGACAGCAACAGCATGGCGGACTTCCTCCTGCTGGAGGGCAGTCGCGTCATGCTGGAGCCGTGGCTGTTCCTGAGCTCACGAGTCCGGGACGGTTCCGCCGCCCCGGCTTTCGAGCAGGCCCACGGCGGAGAGGATGTGTGGAAGTTTGCTGAGGACAATCCCGGTCATGGCAAGCTCATAGATGATGCCATGGCCTGCAATGCCAGGCTGGCCGTGCCGGCCATCGTCCATGGCTGCCCTGGCTTGCTCGATGGGGTGGAGACCATGGTGGATGTTGGAGGAGGGAACGGGACGGCTCTGAGGTTGTTTGTTGAATCTTGTCCTTGGATTCATGGGATCAACTTCGATCTCCCTCATGTTGTCGCTGTGGCGCCGGAATCTAAAGGTGTGACGCATGTTGGTGGTGACATGTTTCAGAGCGTTCCAAAAGCTGATGTTGCCTTCCTCATGGTTAGTATCCACTACATAGTCAATCGGGTTACGCATTAATCTTATTTTTAGTCGATTCAACTCGAATCTACGGGTACTCAAAATCCGATCCGATTCGGTCAGATCGGATAAAATTTAGGGTTGGATGGATTATGGGCCGGGTGAGGGTTTTGCACGCTTATAAAATTCACGAGTTGAGCTGGTTTATGTTTTACCAAAATCCAACTCGCTTTTCACCCGACCTGCAGTCATAAAGCAAAATTACGTCATTTTGGATATAACCGGAATGATATGAATAATTTATGGATGTTATTAGTCTTTATGGCAATGTAAACCTAAGCGCATGTATAATTTATATGGACGTTAATAGTATTTATGAAGATAGATTTGTAGGGAAAGTTTTTGTAACATTACAATATGGCTACACATGCTGGGTTGGATTGCAAAAACCCGACCCAATGCGCGACCCATTATTATCTCTAGTTGTAATCTTTTAATTTTCATGTTGGATTAGGATTAGGCCGTGTGAAGAAGATCTGGAGAAGGTGCTACATATAGTCTATGCTCCTTCATTAGGCGACACCCCTCTTTTAACAATTCTGGATCCGCCACTAGTGCTACATATATCTTCTCAATTTCTATAACTTGTATCTACTCAAGTATAATGAGATGATCTCTCATATCTGTGAATTAACTAACACACATCGTATTAATGAACCAAAATCTGTGTTTTTTTTTTTTTTACTTTCTTTCATTGTCGGTTTCTCAGTTACAACAAGACCACCCTTTTCGGACATATTCGTGACTTGATCAGTCTTTTTTCTTTCTTCTTCTGCAGCAAGTTCTCCATGACTGGAACGATGAAGACTGCATCAAGATACTGAAGAATTGCAGGGAAGCCATCTCAGAGAAGAAGGGCAGAGTGATCATAGCAGAAGCTGTGGTGGATCAGGAGAGAGACGGGAAGCTGGAGCACGTTCGTCTGATGCTCGACATGGTGATGATGGCTCATACCAACAGCGGCAAAGAGAGGACGTTGAAGGAATGGGAGTGTGTTCTTCATCAGGCCGGGTTCAGCAGAGTCACTGTGACACCCATCGATGCGGTTCAATCAGTCATTCAAGCCTTCCCCTGAATCTGAAATCAATGTGTAAAATCAAGTGTGCTTTGTTTGTCATGGCGTTTTCCTTGTTGTTTGTTGTTGGTGCTTTCATCTCATGGATGTTTTTCATCTTCTTCTACCCGCGCGCTCTGTAATCTACTTGCTTGGTTGTTGTTTTTCAGATTCACGGTATGATCCGACAAAGTTAACTCTACTTGTTTAGATAAGGTTTGAGACATCTGATGTCTGTGAATAAGCGTGAGCATCTGTCGATTCGATAAAAGATGAGATCAAAATCAAAGGAAATCAAGGACCAAAATAGGATCGAAAAGTATGTTTTTTGTTCATTTGGTTTGATTTGGTCCATTCCAAATTCAATTTATGTTCACTTTTCCTTAGTAATTAAGATTTTAAGTTGTAAAATCGAAACCGATTGAAAATATACTCGATCTGATTCGGTAAGATGTGGACGAGATACGATTGAGTTCGTGTAGATCAAATCGTTACCCACCCTTAGTCATAATTAAAGGAGGAGGCAATCAACGGATGAAAGGATAGCTTCCAATTTATGCCACATTGTGTAATTCAGGAACTAGTAAGGTTGGCTCCAAACCAAGGAGCTAAAATGCTAAAAAAGTCAAATTTGACTTTTTGTAGCTCCAACCCACAAATGAATTAGCTGCTAAATATGGGTAAGTGGATTTGAGGAGTCAAATTTAGCTCGCATTATGAATAAAATAGTAAAATTCCCGCTACAGGTAGCAGATAAGTGCGGGTGCAGATAGGTGCGGGTGTGGGACATATTTTTCTTCTTCTTTTGTTCTCCATTTGTGATTGGTTGGTGATCCTCCTATTTGAATGAGAAATAAATGGTGTAGTAATGAAGCAACATGAAATACAAACTACCGAAACATGAAATACAAACTACCAAGCAACATGAAGTAAACAGTAACAAATTAACAACTAATTTTATGAAATTATTTTTTGTCGTGGAATTAAAAAAAATACATAGGAAATTTTGTTTTCAAAAGTAACAACGAACTATAAAAAAAATTAAAGTGAAATATAAGAATTAGTGGCCAAATAAGTATGCTTAATTATTGAAATAAATTTAGTTTTTTGTAGGTGGAGTGAAAAATATACCCTCAGAGAATTTGCACTATTGAGGGGTTAAAATCATACTAGTTATCATATTTCTCTAATTTATTATAAATTTAACATTTAAATCATACTAGCTATCATCTAACACCACCACAATTTTATATTGTGAAAACCACAGTTCCCATTTTTTAAGGATTGCAATGTATTACAATAATTAAATAACTGATTAATGGAAAGTTAATTCATTAATCGGCCGCCAAAAACTAATTGAGTGACCAAACATTTAATTTAACCGTATTACTAAATTGTAAGTACAATTCATAAACCACGTAATCGATAAAGTAAATTTGGGAAGAAGTTTTATAAACTACTTATACTCGTTTTGATTCTTCTATTCGGTATCTTTCAACCACCTCATATATGATTTATCCAATTACAGTTTTAAGTATAAAATATTATACAACTGACTTAATTATTCTGTACGACCTAGCTGATATACTAATTTTAGAGAGTGGTTGGAGATTAAAATAGTCTAAACATGGAGTGAATGAAAATGAAACAACGAAAATGATAGCAATAATGCGGATCACATGTATAGACAGTATAGTCACCCACCCATGACCCAACAATGGAAGCTGAGCTGCCATGCAAATAGGGTTGCAAATGAACCGAGCTGCTCGCGAGCGGCTCGGCGTTCGACTCGAGAAAAATTCGTTGGAAATTCGGCTCGTTAATAAATGAGCCGAACACGAGCTCACCTTTGTTCAGCTCGTGAAGCTCGCAAGCTAGCTCGACTCGTTGGCTTGTTGAGCTAAACTCGTGAGATGGCTCGTTTAGACCTCATGAGATGTCTTAACATGTGGTTAGAGAACCAACTCGATTACCAACTTATGGACGAATCAATCTATATCTTATGATTTTAATTTATATGGTTGTTAATTTATATATCTCACCATATATAAAGTTTTGCACGTTGAGTATGTGAACAAATATATCTTATTTTCTACTTTAAAAAGAAGGGTTAATACCACTGAAAATACCATCCTTTAGTGAAAGTGTCATTTATATTATGTACTTTCAATAAACACAAAAATATTCCAACGTATTAGGGGTTTGTGTCATTTGTGTTATGCACATTTTTATTGACCGTTAGAATTGACGGTTGACCTGACGGTGGTCAACTTATGTTTGACTATTGCTTATGTGGCGCTTAGGTGTCACCCGCATATGTGCCACGTAAGAAATTACCATCTGCTTCCCCGTCGTCATGCCCATCTGCTTCTTCCGTCGATCACCAACGCCGCTCTGACGACGGAGGCAGGGAGCTCGTCTTCTTCCTTCTCGATTAGCGGTCGTTTCTGATCTTCCACTTGCACAGGCAAGTCGGGATCTGGGCGACGCGAGAGAGCTCGTCTAAATCCCTCTTCTCCTCCACTTATATCTCCTTCTCCATCTCACCACCCAATCGCAATCAAACCGCCATCGTAATCTCCGCCGGCAAGATCCGAAGCGGGATGTCATTAAGATAAAATATAGGGATTTGCACTTTGCAGCGGCTGAAAGGGGAATGGACGCATGAGATTTGCGAGGTGGTAGGGGGAATGGACGCTAACCATTTGCAGTTCTGTCTGGGTGGTGGAATCGGAGATTTGCGAGCCTACACCACCTAGAAATCCCCATTTTCATTCCACGATCTCATCAATCGATTCCCTCACTTTTCCCTCCAATTCTTGAAGCGTCGCGGGCCTTCCAACGGTTGACCAGCTAGAAATTCTCATAGGGATTGATTTCCATACAAACCCAATCCTAATTAACCAAACCCCTTAGATGATGAAAGATTCTAGGTCTTGATTCCCTTACCAATAAGCCCTCCTTGGGAAGAGATGGGAAGCTTCTGGTTGCTGCCTCTATCTCAAGCGGAAGGAAGAGCTTGACCATTCTTATTCCGTTGACGGCGGCGACTTTGACCAGATTGAGGAGGAGGGCATAGCGCGGAGGCAGGCTGAGCGAGGAGAGAAGGGGGAAAGATGACTAGTCTTGAGGACGACGGCGATGATGGCTTAATCTAAGAGAAAGCTGTTGTAGCCACAAGCAGAAAGCAGAGGGACGGAGCAGAGCGGCGAGGAGAGATGGAGCAGAGGAGGCGATGGGTGGCGCCGGGAAGAGGAATCATCCAGATTCTTTTTTATTAAATAATATTTTTAATAAATTTTCCATCTCAGCTGCCCCTTTATGTGCTGACTGTGTTTTATGTTAATTTCTAACAGAAAATTTAACGGAAGAGACGATTTGGTATACAAATGACATATCGAAAACTATGTAATATAAGTGGCACTTTCGCTAAAGGTTGGTATTTCCAGTGGTATTAGCCCTAAAAAGAAATTATGCATCATAGATTGCTTCGATACAATGAAATAACATGATTTGGAGTAGTTAAAATTTATTAACTAAACGATATATGATACCAACAAAGTATAAAGTATAAGATGAGATTAACTAACAAAATAAATCATATGTATCATGCTATACAAAATGAAGTACCAAATAAAAGCTAAAATTTTAATAAACAAGCTAGCTCGAACTCGACTCGGCTCGGCTCGTTAATAAACGAGCTGACCTCGAGCTCGACTCGTTTATTAACAAGCCGAGCTCAAATTGGAGTAAAACTCGACTCGGCTCCCTACATGCAAAAACCAATTTTCTTATTGGGCTAATACCAGCACATTGTCACAGTAACTAAAATACCACAACCAATAGAATTAACCACAAATGTAACACATTTCTCTGCCTTTTTTGTGTCTTTTGGTGACCAGGAAAGGGCTACCAATGAGATCAGCCGACACCCGAGTCCAATGAAGATTTCCCTTAATCTCCCTGAAAAGGACTTTGTAGGGAAGCTAAACTAGTTAACAAAATCATCTACAGATGCACTGGGAAAAGCTGGCGATTAGGATATTTTCTGCTGCACTCGTGATTAAATCGTTTCATATATTGCGAGACAACAAGCACTATTCAAATTACACGATAATAAGGATCATTGGCAAAGTTTCGCGTGGATCAGAGGTTCGCTTTCGTTGAGCGGACACCGTAATTAACCTGGTTTTTTAGGCTGGTTCGCGCTCTTTTTTGTTGGCCGCGATTGATATTGGATCCCTCCCCATATCTCCAACAAATCATCATTACCTATAGATTGCTATGCATTTTTATGGTGCTATGTATTTTTATTTACCCACGTGTTACAGTAATTTCCTGTTGTACCTAAACACGTTTGTATAGTCACATTTCACCAACCACGCCCTTAGTTAAGATTTAGCTCAACAAACCGGTATATATAAACCACAACCAAAACACACACAAACATACGTAGCTACTAGCTAAGCTAGCCAGATCTCTCTTTGTAAAAACGGTTCGATTCGAGATGGGCTCGATCGCTCAAGCTGCCGACGACGGTTCGAGACCGGCGAGAGATCGACAGCAAGAGGCGGAGGAGGAGGAGGAGGAATTGGAGGCGGGAATCGAGATATGGAGCTACGTGTTCGGTTTCACGAGGATGGCGGTTGTGAAGTGCGCGGTGGAGCTCGGCATCGCTGACGCCATCGAGGCCCACAAGGAAGATTCCCCTCTGACGCTGGCCCAGCTCGCCATGGGCTTGGGCTGTGATCCGGCCCACCTGTCCCGAATCATGCGGTTCTTGGTCCACGACCGTGTTTTCCGGGAAGAGCCCGCCGGCGGGGAAGATGTTGGGTATTCGCTGACGCCTCTCTCCCGCCGGCTTCTTGCCCGACAGGATGGTAAGTTAAGTTCTGCTAACTAATATAATTAGGAAAGGTGGTGGCAGAGCAAAGCGAGTATCTCAATATTTATATACTCAGTCTTTTAGCAAGCTTTGTTTAGGTTGAAAATTTATTATGGAACGTAGGTGGGGACATATCGATAATTTGTTGGAGAAAAAATTAGAATTATTAATTTTTTTATTGAAAAGTCAAGAAACAAACTTTAACATGATAAATATAGTTAAATTATTTGAGAATTTGAGGTTCTCTTCGAGAATTTATTATAATTTATAGTCAAAATATGAGATAATACAATTAAATTTTTAGATAATTTGACCAAAATTGAATGTAATTTAGACAAATTTAAGTAAAAAAAATTGGGCGAATCAAGATGGATCGGATCGACAATAATACTCGTGTTCATCCTTCCCATCTACGAGGCAGATAATGCACTAATACACTCTAAAATAGATCAAACAAGTCAGATACAACCTCTGAAGTCATTTTTTTTATAATGGTAATGTAAAGTTATTAATTAGTAAAATAAATAAGAAAAATTAGTCAGATCGAAATTTGTCATCGCTAAATGTAATGTTCCAATGAGGCAATGACAATACATGCATGTAGGCAAGTCCATGGCCGATCTCCTCCTCCTGGAAAGCACGCCGGTGATGCTCGCACCGTGGCACTACCTCAGCGCCACCGTCCGATCACCACCGCCGGGCGAGAAGCCGAAGCCGCCGCCGTTCGAGCAAGCTCACGGGAAATCCCTCTTCGAATACACGGAAGCGAATCCAGGCCACAGCAAGCTGTTCGACGGTGCGATGTCCTGCATCGCGAGGTCGACCCTGCCGGCGATAATCCGAGGCTGCCCCGAGCTGATGGACGGGGTCGGAACCGTGGTGGACGTCGGCGGCGGTGAAGGAACCGCCGTGAGTTTGCTGGTGAAGGGGTTTCCTTCGATCACCAAAGGGATTAACTTCGACCTCCCCCATGTCGTCTCTGTGGCGATTGAGTCTCCGGGCGTGGAGCATGTCGGCGGCGACATGTTTGACAGTGTTCCGAAAGCCGACGCTGTGTTCATCATGGTTAGTATTTATTTTATGTCAGTTAATTAGTCTCAATAATTCGAGTGGTCGAAATGGTTTAATTATGATTTTATATATTAACGACGTATTACACGTCCCTTCAAATAAAAGCCCACTCAAGGGTGTAAGCCTTGTCCTAAATACTCATTAACCCGGCCTGATCAGACCCGATCCGGAGGGTTGGGCTGAGTTAATTTGTCTATATGGTCATTTTAGAGTCCGTTCATCTTTAGACCATGTAAGAATCAGATAGAGTCGGATCAACTTAGGGTTGGGTGACTTTTGGCCCTATAATAACCCATAACAACAATTAGTGATTTGAAATTTAGCGTACCAAAAAATTGGACCTGTTTGAAAGAGTTAACAGTTTTGGTAATATAATGCAATCTAAAACATTTGAAGGTACTCAAATGTAATTTTGCCATCACCTAGGTACTAAATTGTAAGAAAAGATAAATTCAGAGTACCAAAATATTAATTTGTTAATTTGGACCTACCTACAGACTTGGCCCCGACACAACCCAGTCCGATTTAAACGGGTCAGACAGGGTCAAGAGAAAATAGGACTGTCTGTAGCTTGACTCTACATGGCGATGGAATTTTTTAGTATGGTTCTAGGATCACGGTCGGGTTTGGCCCATTTTGTCCTCCTTATATATGGTCACCTGAAATTCTGGCATCATGTCAACAATCAGTTAATCACAATAATTCGACTTCTTCGTTTAATTATAAATCATATACCACTTTTTATGTGGTGTTGTATATGCTTCGTGCAGCAAGTGCTACACGATTGGAACGATGAAGACTGCATCCGGATACTGAAGAAGTGCAGAGAAGCCATAGCAGGGAGGGTGAAGGGGAAGCTGATAATAGTGGAAGCTGTGGTTCATGATAATAATAATACTGATAATAAGGAAGGCAAAGATGGGAACAGCAGGCTTGAGCACGTGAGGCTGATGCTGGACATGATCATGATGGCGCACACGACCTTGGGGAAGGAAAGGACTCTGAAAGAATGGCAGCTTCTTCTTCGCCAAGCTGGGTTTACCAGGGTCGTCGTCACTCCCATCGAGGCTGTTCAGTCGATCATCCAAGCTTTCCCTTGAGAATTTATTTGATCTTTGGCCCCTTTTATGAAGATGATTGGTTTTCCGATGTATTACATATATAGTTTGTGGTTTGGGTCTTGAATCATTTAGATCGATGGGAAAAATAATTTGATTTAGTTTTTCTATGTTTTTGGTTTTATTGATATGTTTTGAGAATATTATATGGTTTGGTATAGTGTAAGCCTGGTGCACGTTAATCTTAGCGTATTCTCATCGTGTTTTGTTATTCGCACTATGGATAAATCACAGTTTTGAGGCAACCGTACTATATCCTAATTAATAATGGTGAACTGAATCTCGGTCCTTACTTCTCTACTTTGCTTCTCTAATCCAAAATAAAAATATTCATTTAATCTAGAAATAATAACCGACAATACTAATTTGTCGATGTATATTGAAATACATCTACGAACTGTGAACACACAGTCACAGACGTATATCACTCGCGCCAGATGTACGCTAACCTTTTGTCATATATTGATCTATGAACTAGGGATGGAGTTTCAGTTAGTTCGGTTATAACCGGTAACCGAACGGTCGGTTATCGGTTAACCAAATTACCGGTCCCCCTTACCGACAACCGACCTAAATAGAGATTAGACTTCGGTTTTCGGTTAACCGAGCCACTTCCAAGAACAAAACCATCTCGGCCATCCACCGAACACCGACCGGTTTTCAGTTATCTCGGTTATTGGTTAGTGGATAACCGGTAACCGAACCTCCACGCCTATATAGAACCTTTTTAGGCTTAATTTGGGGTCATAAGTCATAATTTATATATGGATGATGATGGGCATGGTTTCATAATAACCCATAATCATTATGTTTTGGTGAGATTTTACATACATGGTTCAAGGCCTGAACATAAGGAGTAGACGAACATAAGCCCAATTGTAAATAGGCTTGGGAGCGGCCACAGTCCCAACCACTTACCATAACAGGCCCAATAAGGAGGCTTCCAAATGCGGCGAGCTCACCACTTCCCCACGATCTCCTGCCCGCAGCTTATAATTCCCCAGCCTTCCCAATCCTATCTCAGTGACAGCCACGTCATCACCCACTCACCATTTCCATTTTCCAGCTCCCCCCAATTCCCAGCCAACTGCCATTGAAGAAACCTCTCTCGGAGCTCTCTTCTCCTCCATGAACTCCTGAACGAGGGAAAAAAGAAAATGGCTTTCTCCGCCATGATTTCGCTACCGTTATCGCTGCGTCCGTCGCCGGCGCTCGGAAGCCGGCGGAAACTACCGATTCGGTTTTCAATTTCTTCGTCGGCGTCGGTATCCATCGAATCCAACACGACCCAGTTCGATTTGCAGGGGTATTGGACCTCCCTGAGGAAGGAGATCAACCAGAATCTGGACCAGGCGATCCCGATTCAGTACCCGGAAAAGATCTACGAGGCCATGAGGTACTCCACGCTCGCCGACGGCGCCAAGCGGGCTCCGCCGGTCATGTGCGTCGCCGCTTGTGAGCTATTCGGCGTCAATCGCCTCGCCGCTTTCCCTACCGCCTGCGCCCTCGAAATGGTGTGCCTTCTCCACTCACTATCTCCCCATTGAATTTTGGTTTAGTGTATTCCGATTGGAGTATCATAAGCTAGGTTAGAGCTGTGTAATTTGCATATACTGCATTTGCTCTGTTCGTAGAGGATTACGAATTCGTTCCAATAACTTGAGCTGGTGAGATCATTCAAGAATGAATATTTAGACACCTATGAGCTTGAATTGTACACAGTCGGTTATACAACGTGTTTAATCACCATTGGGGTTGCCAGAATAGTTGTAATGAGCTCTGGTAACATGTGAAGGATGGATTCGTTCTAATAGCTCGAGCAGTCGAAAGAATAGGTAGATTGAATCTTGTTCTGTTTTCGAATCGCAGGTTTCCACTTTTCCTACTTAGCTTGTTAATGCATTTGTTGGCATTTACTCAGTAGTTAAAACCAGTTCCATGACTGCAAATATCATAAAAGTTGGTTTCTTTGTGTTGATGAACGACCTTGCTTAACCATGGTTGTCGTGCTGGATCAATCTTATCACTGCATTTTTCGGTCTAAACAGGTTCACGCAGCCTCCCTGATCCACGACGACCTCCCCTGCATGGACGACGCCCCATCACGCAGAGGCCAGCCGTCAAACCACACGATTTACGGAGTGGACATGGCCATCCTCGCTGGCGATGCCCTCTTCCCCCTCGGATTCCACCACATTGTCCACAACACGCCCAAAGACCTAGTCCCAGAGAGGCGCCTCCTCCGTGTGGTGGCTGAGATCGCTCGAACCGTGGGCTCTACAGGCATGGCAGCGGGCCAGTTCCTCGACCTCAACAGCAGTAGCAGCAGCTCATCCATCTCGAGCGCCATCGAGTTCATCCAGGAGAAGAAGTTCGGCGAGCTGGCTCAGTGCTCCGCGGTCTGCGGTGGGTTGCTGGCTGGGGCGGAGGACGAGGAAGTCGAGAGGCTGAGGAGGTACGGGAGAGCTGTTGGGGTGCTGTATCAGGTTGTGGATGATATCCTGAAGGCGAAATCGGGGGATGGAGCTCTGAAGAAGGAGAGGGGTGGGAAGAGCTATGTTGGTGTTTATGGAGTTGACAAAGCCATGGAGAAAGCCGAGGAGCTGAGAGACGAGGCTAAGAAGGAGTTGGGTGGGTTTGAGAAGTATGGTGAGGCTGTTCTGCCTTTATATGGGTTTGTGGATTATGCTGCTGACAGAGGGTTTAGTGTTGGGTGAATTGATTTGATTCTAAGTTGGTTTAAAGCTTTTCTTTGCCTTTAGATGAATGATGGTTTGGAAATGAAATTATACTGCTAGAAGTGATTCAGCGCAGAATGCAAAAGGTCGAAAAGCAAATTGTTCCGAGAGGTAAATTACATCCCCTCTATGCAGAGTCCTTTGGACAAAGTTTCCTTAGCAGCCACTTCCATCTGATTCTACCTCTCTACCGTTGGCTCTCTTTATACAGAGTCCTTTGGACAAAGTTTCCTTAGCAGCCACTCCTTTCTGAATCTACCATCCAATGCTAAGAACATTGCTGCTTTCTTGTCGTCATCTTCGAAAAAATCGCAGGCATCCAACATTAGTTGTTCATCCATGTCTGGTATAGCCTGGAGAGCATGAACGACTTCAACCAATTGATCACCCCTGCCTTCCACCATCTTCTGCTTCTTAGCCGGATTCCTGAGGGGCTGTGGTGATGGCGATCTGCTGTGCTTCCTGGGTCGTCTACCCAACTGCTCGACGAAATGACAGTCTGCTTTTGATTGAATGATTCAACCAGCCAGAACATGGACCAGAAGAGACATGGGGTTAGAGACCACACAACTAGAAAGTAAAATCAGAGAATACACACACCAAGCAAACAAAGTGTGGTAGGAAGGAAGCAATTGCAGGCAGGCAGGCAACAAGTGCTGGATTGGTGAAATTGTTACGAGCAAAAAGAATACTCACGAGTAGTAGATGTTCGCGCCCGAGCTGATTCGATGCTATGAACCAACCGCGTGTAGCTGCCGTGGAAGGCACCCTGCAGTTTCTCGTAATTCGGAATCGGGCTAGGCCAGCAAGTGAACCTAGGGTGGAACACTCGCCAACGCTCCGCATCACTCGTCTGCTCGGCGACGAACGTCAGCTCTGCCGTTCTGATATTCAGCGAGAACAAAACACGGTGTGTGCATAACTCGCGTTGTGTCCATAACTGGGGTCGTGTGCATAACTCGCGATGAGAAAATTCTAAGAAGACAATGTCCGGGTCATTCGGATGCAGAGCACATACGCCATGCAGCTTCCACTTCAAATGAGAATACTTCTCGCTGTTTGATCCTACAAACTTGCACGCCTTCAAAGGCACCGACGCGTATAGCTTCCTCCCTGTGATGTCACCGTCTCGTTCCCCCAATCTCCAGACGTACAAGAACTGTGTAAAATTAACAATGTACAAAGCACCTTGCGAGATCCAAACCTGGTCTAGGTCGACAAGTTTACCATCCATAAAAGTTGTGGGTGCGTCGGGGCGAAAAGGATCCCACACATAAATTTTGTGCCCAGCAATGGTCTGCCAGTGCAACTTGCCATTGAACCACGCCGTTGTTAAGAAGCATTCTTCATTAAGCGTAAGCAACTGCTCTCTCAATTGCAACCTTTTGCCACGATTCGGATTAAGAGCATATTTCGTCCATTCCCCAGACTCCGAACAGAACAAGTCCACATCTGGAGCGTAACCCGATCCAGAAAAACACACGACGCGAAATCGATCGATAAAGGCTCGGACTTTGCCGTCGGACTGGCAAACTAAACTTACCGTCGAGAAAGGACGATCCTTCTCCGCAGGCGCCAGAGGGAGAGCGACCCATTGCTTCGTAAACGGATTGCAGACGAAGAACATCCTCCTCACCGATTCATCCTGATCGTCCCCACCACTCTTCTTCGAGACATCAAACCCGCACAGAACCAGATCCTCGCACGAGCTCAGAACCGAGAAGTATGGCCGTAGGTCGTCGGGCACGGGGAGAAAGCTCATCGTGACGGATTGAGCGTCGTGAGACGACAGCACAAGAGATTGTTCTCCGCCGCTGTAACCACCTGATTCACTCTGTTTATGGGAAAGGAAGCGCCGGCGGAACAGGGGATCTGAGATGAGCGAGCGCCACCGCTTGCAGATGGGCCGGCATCGGAAGGCGGACCTGGCGTCAGGGAGGCGGGCCAGAATTTCAACGAGGAGGTCGTCTTGGAGTTGGGTCATGGTTAAAGGAAGAAGAGGGCTTAAGGGATTTGAACGGGTTTTGGGTCGTTTACCGGTTTCGCAACGGAGAAGGCGTCCGTCGGAGGTGAAGCTAATTAGTTTCCGACCCTTGCTACAGTTCTCGTCGGCCGCCATGCCCATGGCGGAAGAGCATGCGAGATCGATGTTGCGAACGTCGAAAGGGCGAGAGGTTTGAAATCCCACCCCTGCTCCATCTACACATAATATAATACGCCGAAGGTAAAAACGGGAGCCCCATTTCAAATTTCCTGCAACGAGAGTGAAAGTAGGAAGGACATTTTAGTCTTCACAATTACTTTTTTTTATTCATTAAAAAGACACGTACTGGGATTCGAACCATAACCATTTTAAAGAAAAGCTAAGATCACAACCAATCACACTAAGTACATTTGTTGTATCTTTCTAAATTAAAAACATATAATAGCAGGGAGGAAAAAACCCTTTCCCCATTTCAAATTCTCTGCTCGAGGAGCGTTTATAGGAAAGGTAGAATAGGGAGTGTCAATTTTTTTTCTCTTTCCTCTGTGGAACGGGCCAACTTACAGTATACATGCGAATTTAAACGGGCCCAGGAGTGTCAATTTTTTTCTTTAAGCCCTTTTATTTCTCTGTTGTGATAAAATATATATGAAAAGGATTTGAATGCATGGTATCTAATGAGCTAATCGCTAACCATAAAATAAAAGAGTTGAATGGGCCTGACCTACATGGGATTTGGCCATCAAGTGAAACAAATGAACATCATTGGTTTGTCATTCTAAAACAAGCTATTTTCTCTGGCATAATATATATTATGCTATTATTCTATATCTTATTGGCTAAAATATAATGTATTTTAGAGTTATTCCATGGTTCAACCTCGACCAGCCCAATTAGTCTAATTTTTATCATTTCAAATATATATTTTATAATTATTTGATATCATAATGATCAAATTATAGTGTATTTTATAGGGAGTCGTTTGGTATTTGTTAGTAAAAAACTAAACATAAAAGATCTATTTAGTTATTTTAAACATTAAAACGATCCTAAATATTTTCAGTTCCTTTTGAATTTCTATGGTTTTATTCCCGAATAAGTGATGTGCAAATGGCGAATTGTAGTCGTCTCTTTTCTTTCACTATTTTTTATTTTCAAATATAAAGTTTAAAAGTAAAGAATAATTAGAATTTGGCATGGGTCGGTCAAACAGGCTGAATTTCAAGTTTTGGCCCGTTTGTTTTATGCATTGCAAATTTATTAGCATGTTGATGGAAATGGCTTGGAAAAAAGACATATAAGTTGTACCTTTGCAGAAATGTCCTCAAATGTTTGAATGCATTGTGAATCAGTTTTCGTGACTTTTGTGATGGTGTATGTGCTTGACGATTGCTCGATGTTGTAACTGCTTAATTTGAGAGTAAATCTTTTGATTTTCCCTATGAGTTGTGATACCAGTTCTGGTGGTTGCAGCATGTTGTCGTTGTTGGCCTGTAAAAGTTGTTCAGTCGTGATGCTAAATACCTTTCTTTCTTTTTTAACAAATTGTGTAGTAGTGCTATGAAACAGACCACCCATGAACGCGACGCTTATTATGGTCTGTTCTTACTTCCGGTGGTGAGAAATTGTGAATTGAGAATCATATTCGCCTACCGCACTGTGTCTGGCTGGTGGTTGCTTACTGTGCTCTCTAGAGTTATGAAACAGACTACCCATGAACGTTACCCTTAAGGGTCCATAACTTTGCGAAAAACCAAATTTAGGCAATCAAAGGTGGTGGATGTGTGATGATTTTTTATGGCTTAATTGTTTGTGAATTGGATATCTGATCTTTGTATGATTAGAGGGGATGTTTGCTTAATAGAATAATATATTTTAATTCATGTTTATTTTTAACATGAACTTTAGTAACTCAAAACCTTCGAGACACATATCACCTACTGCATTCTATCATTTTCCCTGGGTGCTTGATGTGTTGTCAAACTTCTTTGCTGTTGCTGCTGCTTTTATACTAACAGGGGAGTTAAGAACCCATGAATGTTTCCGTTTGACACAAACAGGAGGAATTGCTTCTAAATCGTGCACTAAAGATGATTGGAGGAAACATTTCTGTTGCAGTTGATATACTGGAGACCAGAACAAAAGCAATTTATCACATCAAAACCAACCATATGAACTATTAGCATTGTTGCTTTACTCTTTTTTCGTGGTTGAGTCTCCTTCAAAAAATTTAGTTTGATTTTAGAAAATTTTGCTTCTGCAGTCCTGTCTTGCCACCAACGCGTTCAGTAGATGGAGATGGCAGAGGCGAAGGCTATTTTTGTGTTGTTGTTGCTGGTTTAGGGATCGGTTTGTGAAGAAGAGGGAGAAGAGAGGGGGAAAGGGAAATGCAGGAAAGGGGGGTAACTCTTTTCTCCGGCAAAAATGGAGTGAAGAAAGGAATTATGATCAGTAAGAATATGGTTATCTTACATAACGGTCTCTATTCTGTTTGAAATGAGCTTGGGAGGCAGTGTTAAAGACGAGCTGCAACCAATTCATAGTGAGAAGAGAGCTATGAACTGTGATCATGTCTTATTTCAAGTTAGAAGGTAGTTTCAGTATAAGGATTATTTAATTTGACAAGTTGTTTTGTCCATGATTCTTGGTAGTTTCAGTGCCATTCTAGCCATTGTTTAGTCTGTAATTTTTGAGAATTGATGTGCGAGTAATGACTTTCACTTAGCTTCAACTATTATGTGTGTATTTATTGGCATGTGATAGAAATCTCTTTTCCTTTTCTTTGAATTCAGTTTCATACTCTAATTGTATCATTTGTACATAGGCAAATCATGCTCGAGATGACAACTCGCTAATATGGCTGGTGCAAGGAACGAAAGCTATCATTAGAATTCAGACCGACAACGGGGAGGAATGCCCAGGACTAATTTAATGATGATTGATGATGGTATAATAAAAACTGCAGTCTGCATCAGCACCAATTTCTAGGCCTAAGTAAAGTTATTCAACCCAGAACTCTGTTTAGCGCTAAAAATCTCCCTCGCCCAACCTTGATCCTGTTTGACCCACTTCTGAAGAGTCAAGATATATGACTAATCCTCTCCGTTCGTATTTTCTTATTGACTCTTTCTGACCCTTTAGGTTAGGACGGGTCGGGAAGAATCAAATTAGTGGGTTGGTCCTAATAAAGTGGAATCCCAATCCCTTCATTCTCACTTAATTAATGTACATATATAGTAGGCAATTATACGTAGTTGTTGGATGACCCATATATTGCTAGAACTTTCGGATGGTTGAGTTGCAAACTCTTTTGGGCCATCCGGACGAGGGATTATGATAATTAGGAATTTATATGTAGGATGTGTGGCAAATAGTTTGAGCCCCCTCCAATTTACTAATGACTGTTCCAAACCCAAAATTGCACAATAGCTCAATTGTTGGGCGTGAATTAAACAATTTTGTATCGGGATTACAGCTTTGGAAATGTTAATATAGTCAACTGATTCTCCTGAGTTTTGTGTTAGAGCTTATGAACTTACAGGTGATGCCGATTCAATGGTCTTCCGCAGTATGTTGGTAGGATATATGCAGTATGTTGTAGTGTGGAAGTACTTTTGTTTTATATATGTTGGTAGGATATATTATGCTTCCTTTGTTTTAAAAATTGATGTGCTCTTTTCTGTATACACCAGCAGACTTGCCATTTTCCCAACCCATATGTTCATGTCCAAATTATCTATTTGCGACATGTAGGCTGTAAAGCAAGAACCGGGAAGTGTTGACAACTAAGTTTCAGATGCATTATTTGTTTTATAAAGGGTCAAACTGCAGCTTCGGAAATGTTAATAGAGGTTAACTAATTCTCCTGGGTTTTGTGTTAGAGCTTATGAACTTACAGTTGCGGTGCGGATTCAATGGTCTTCTGGATCTCGATTTAAGATGCCCCTCCAGAAAAAGGATTCGTCTAGCATTTGTCAAGTTGTCATCCTATTAAATATTAATATTTGTTTTTTTTTAATCTTGGGAAGCACATAGTATCAGGATTGCAGTTGATGTCGGGCAAGTAAATTCATGAAGAAATATGAATTGATGGACCGGGTTGTGTAAAGTGTCAATTTTATTTGCCAAAAAAAATATGGTACTTCCTTACTTCATATAATTTATATGTATTTTCATCAACATTATAGTGCTTTTAAATGTATGAACTACTTCTAAATCTTCTGTGATGTAACTGTGGGTATCGATACTAATATTTTTTAAATGCAAAATGACTGACCATTACTTAATTATTACCAAAATCTATTCATAATGATTACTTCACAACAGACCAACGGGCCGAGCAAAGACGCATTCAAGACGCAAGCTGATGTGTAGATATTCGCAACAGTTCTGCGACCAATTCTTTTGGGCTATCTCCGGCCAAGGGGCCGGGTAATAAGCTAGTAATTTATAAAGCGCTGGCTGCACTGTCTCCTAATTGGATTATGATTTTGTATCGCGATTGGACAAATTACATCCCAAGTCACAAACATATTGGAAAAGACAAATCAATCCAAATAAGAATCAACATAGTTAAAATGCTTCTCTCAACCTGCAAAGCTAATGCAAAGTGATTAGCTTTGTTGGTGCAATTAGGAATATATATATATATATATCACCTGGTCAGCAGTAAGTAAGTCAGTGAGTGCTTTTTTAAGAAGGGCTTGGCTTGGAAAAAAGAAAATGAAATACAAACAACCACGCTGGTCGTCGATCCGTTTCAACATCGGAAGGATCAAAAGGAATAGCTTGACAATCCAGTGTTTTTTGAAAGCATTCTAAAAGTTGTTGTTTTCCAAATTCAAATAGTTTGTTTTGAGAATAGGCTAAATGTCTGCATTTAATTGGTTGAGGTTGAGAATGAGCAATTTTATATCTAACATAACGTTAAAATTTACACTGAGTAGTTTGCTAATGTAAAGATGAGTCGTCTCTTCCATCATCTTTTCTTTTTTATGGCATAGAGCAGGGAAACAAGAGTATAGTCTTTATTCAATGGGTCAATGACTCTTCTTATCTTCTATGCCATGCCATTGAATATATTGCAGACTACACCGAATGTCACGGTCACAATCGTCTGCAAAGTCGCAATCGTGACATCTGCTCCGTGACATTGGAAAAGAGCCAAGAAGAACAAGGGGATGTCACGGTCATGACCGACTAAAAGTCACGCGCGGTGATATCTGCCCATGACATCAGAAGTGGGGAAAAATACGGGCAAATTATTTTAATATTATTCTTTTTTTGTAATTGGTAAAATCCTCAACCCTAGTTGCTTGTGGAAGGTCTTGAGCTATATAAGGAGACTTTAGTGTTGGAAGAAAATTCTAAGAGCGATAGCACATAATAATATCGGTTGAGAGCCTAGCTCTCTATGGAATAGTGTCATTCACGTCGAACGAGAAAATCACATAAATCTTGTGTTGTATGATTGTTCTTGATACTTTTTTTTTTTATCAAAATGATGAATTGTGTTCTTGGCATAAATTAAACACCCAAAAATGCGTAAATGAGTATATTAAGCAAAGCATGCAGGCTAAACAAGCATTCATTCATTCATAAAGACACTTTCACATCTGTCCATCGCTCTATCACCCTCTAAACCTAGAGCAATAAAGAAGGGCTTTATAGGGTCTAATTTGATTTCTGTCTACAAGAGGATTTCCTCTTCCAATTGGAAAAATAATTTTGGGGTCTAACTGGGATAAGACAAAATTTTAGTGACCGGATTAGTAATTTTTGCATCGCGTGATCTGATACCGAATTTACCAGTATCCATTTCAACCCGCCACCTTAACGCGATTGCCTTCATTTTCGGATCAAAGGAATCCCCACTCTCCTCGTCGATAACCTCCCTAGGCAATCGTCGGAAGTCAACCCTAAGCTCCGATGGATTCGACCGGCGAAGGAAGCGGAGGCGGAAAAGGAGAAGCAGCAGAAGCAGAAGGAGAAGGAAAGCGGCTGGATCGACTGCCGGAGGCTCTTGTCTGCACCATAATGTCGAAGCTCGACGTGGGTTCCATTTGCTCCGTCGCTTCCACTTGCAGAGCGTTCAGAGCTTCGGCTTCACATCTCTTCGCTTTCATCCCCAACTTCCACCTTCTGGTAAGAGCTAGTTGCTTGAATCTGTCTAGCGATTTTAATTTCCCCATACAGATCCGTGTTTTGGTTTCTCGGAAAAAGATTGCAACTTTCCCCAGAAAGTTCGATTATTGGAACTGTTTTTGTACATTTCTGGGCATATTCTCGTTTGGATTGACGAATTGGTTATTTATTGGGAAGGTTCAGATCTGTTTCTGACTTCGGTTGTAAGTGATATGAATTCCTTTTGCTCTAATTTTTGCAGGAGATTGCGCTTTCCATTGATTTATTGAGGCGTTTATTGCCGCGGAACCCTTATCTTAGGAGCTTGAAACTGGATTGCGAGCGGCTGGATGATTCGGCCATCAGTTTACTATCTCAGCCTGCCTTGCAGGAGTTGTATGTGCACAACTGCTCTGATTTTACTGGGAAATTGCTCTCCCAAATTGCTTCGAACTGTGCAGATTTGAGGTAAAGATTGAACGGTGGTTATGTATGCATCTCGAGGATGAGCTATAATGAACTTGCTTGAATCTATGGTTGATGGATTGCTGTGATGTTAAAGAGTTTATTTCATTTGGTATCGGTGACTTTCATTCAGGTGTCTCTACTTAGGTTCAGTGGCTGAAAAAAGAGGGCGGGCCATTCATATTTCTGATTTGGAGGACTTACTCAGTCGTTGCAAGCAGTTGGAAGTAAGGCTTGATTGTGAAAAATCCTGATGAAAGCTTCATTGAGCTTAGTTAGTCGAATGCTCAATTTTGGTTCTATATAATGACTCCCCTGATTTGCTTGATCTTTTTTTTTTTTTTGGTAAATTGTATTCAATTTTGTTAATAATGAGTCTGATTCTTCTAGATATCAAATTCTAATCTGTAATGCACATAACCGCCAAGTTCGAAATTGACTGCTAGAAATCACCATGATGAATACTGTCATGATATTGCCCTGCTGCGTACATATTATATGTTGGCCTATTTTCTTCCTTATCTAAATACATAGCTTCTAGCATGGTTGATTTGTTGTTGTTGTTGTTGATCTTGTTATGTGAATTTTGTTATGCAAGTTTACCTCAGATACTGATATTCTCTACTGTTTTCCAGGCACTCGTGTTGATGTTCGATGTCTCATTATTCTTTAGTCATAATTTCGCCCCAATTTGGGCGTCAGCGTCTCAGAAACTTGAATGTCTCGAGATTGGCTATGTGTCCTCGGTCATGGTAACCGAACTGCTCGCTCCAAATCTAGCCCCCAAATCTCCAAACTCACTTCAGCCATCCATTCTCCCTGGGATTCAGAAACTTATCCTTTCAGTGGACTCCATCACAGACATAATGGTTGCAACAATATCAAACGGCCTATTGTCCTTAACCCACCTTGATCTCCGAGACGCACCCTTCACGGAACCAACAATTGTAACTGATCTCACCAACTCTGGCCTTGAGCTTGTCAATCAGCACGGCAAGCTGAAACATTTGTCTCTAATCCGAAGTCAGCAGTACCTCATCACATACTTCCGAAGAGTGAACGATCTCGGGTTACTTATGATGGCCGACAAGTGTGCAAACTTGGAGAGCATATCACTTGGAGGCTTCTGTCGTGTCACAGATTCGGGGTTCAAAACAATCCTCCATTCTTGCTCTAGACTATACAAGCTCAAAGTCTGTCATGGGACACACTTGACTGATCTCGTGTTCCATGACATCTCAGCTACATCCTTGTCTCTGACTCACGTCAGCTTGAGATGGTGTTACCTTCTAACGAGCCACGCTATTGGGAACTTGGTCTCCAACATGCAGCTCAAGGTACTCGACTTGCGTGAATGCAAGAGCCTCGGCGATGAAGCCCTCAAATCTATCGGTACTCTTCCCGAACTGAAAGCCTTGAGATTGGATGGTATGGATATAAGCGACTTCGGATTGTCTTCTCTCAGGGAAAGAGTCATAAAATCTCTGACCTCGTTGTCCTTGAGAGGATGCAAGAGGCTCACTGATAGAGCCATCACGGTTCTCTTCAAAGACACATCAAATCTAGAGCTGCAGGAGCTCGATCTTTCGAACATCCCGAGTCTCTCCGACGAAGGAATTCTGTCTCTTGCAAGGAGTCGTGTTCCCGTCTCAGAGCTCCGTATCAGACAATGCCCGCTCATCGGCGATGCATCTATAATGGCACTGGCGTCAATGCAGGTGGATGACGACCAGCGCCATGGTAACTGTTTGCGGCTGTTGGATCTCTACAACTGCGGTGGCATTACGCAACTGGCATACAAGTGGTTGAAGAATCCATACTTTCCAAGGCTGAGATGGTTGGGAATTGCCGGGAGTGTAAACAGAGATATTATAGATGCTTTAGCTAGGAACCGACCTTTCCTGCGAGTTACGTGTCATGGTGAGGAGATCGGGCCAGAGCACTGGGATAACGTGGATGGCAGTTACGCGCAAGAGTTCGACGAGGTTGATGGGATCGGAGGGTGGCTCG